TTTTTTTTTTTTTTTTTTTTTTTTTTTTTTTTTTTTACTTTTTTTTTTTTTTTTTTTTTTTTTTTTCCTATGCTAATACTAGCAAGTGAAGTAAACACGGCTAAGTCTAAACCCAAACCCAAACCCAAAAACGAACGACTAAACTATTACCGAGTACCACATCCTACCGATAGTATGTCCCTAATCAACCACTCCATACTAAGTAGTATGTACTCCGTAAACGATGCTTATCTATCTACCGACCATGACGTCTATGGAAGATTCATTATTGGATAATACTTTGCAGAAACTTTCTCCGTCCGATCGTCGACCAATCGATGACCTTGAAGTTGGGATCGGGTATCGGGGCCTGCCGATCTCGTGGGTGTGGGGACTAGCACTCCACTTGCATTTAGTTATCTAGTTTCTTTTGGGGTTGACGGTTGGGATTGGGATGTTCTGGAGTCTGGAGTCTGGAGTCTGGACTTTGGGGGTTAGGGTGGAGGTAGAGGGGGTGGTTCGGAGGTGAGCCGCGTTTTTCTCGGGGGGAGGATGTACATTGTAGGATGGGTGGGGATTTTTATTTGGGGTTGGTCTGAGGATTGTTTGGGGGTTTTCTTTGGTTTATTGTCTTTGTACTTGTTGGTATGGTGCTGTGTGAAAAGGAAAGAATGATTATTGATCTATAGAAAAGCTTTGTACATTTACCTATCACCAAACTATGAAATGCTACACTTAAGCCCTAGTGATATAGTACTATGTACTATGTACTACTACTATCATGTACCGACTCGTGGTGATGTGACAGATCACCAAGCCCTGTCAGCACCATGACATCATCCTCCCAACGGATCGGATCGAAATCGGACTCGTACCTTTCCATGTCGTCATAGCTCCTCTGAGTTCCTTGGAACCAACGCCGCGGCTTTTGCCCATCAGTTTTTGCTTTGCTTGTCTGAATGGCGCCCTCCACGCGGGTCGTGCCGATGTGGGGTTCCCAAGCCTTCTGGCGGTGTATTTCTTGGGCTAGTATGGTTCTGAAGGAACCGTACCGAGTTATACCAGTACCGTTGGTACGGGTATGGCGTATGGGATACGACACTACCCGGTGGTATTTTGGTGTTGTGTATATAGAGATTTGATGGATGGGACGACGTCGGGTGTTTGAGATGTCGTATCTAAGGTGTGGGAGATCGCTCGGGTTATTTTGGGTTACATGTAGTATGCAGGGATCTGGCGGATGTCAGATTCTTCAGATGTAATACTACGTTGTACGAGGTATATTATAGTATAGGACAAGATCGATCGTGTGATCGTGATCGAAATCGAATCGATTACTCTCGTCCCTGACGTAGTATAAGACTTTATATATCGATCTCGAGGATTCATTAGCCGGGTAAGGACATCGCCCACGGACCGTGGAGCAGAGGGTTTGTAGGATCGATTCGCTTAAGGTTACCTTGCAACGTGCACACTGCTTAGTGTCTCAGGAACCAGATGAGGGAGCCTGGGAGGAGACTGACTGGATCAGACAATTCGCCACTGAGATCTCCGGGCTCCAGTTGCCGTAGCCGTCGTCGGGAGGGATTGGCCCATCTGAGACATCGCTCGATGGCGTGCAGTGCACCTTATTCCGGATAACCTCGCGGGAAATGGGGCTAGTTGACCGTTGCTGGGGCTGGCTAGCATGCATTTTATGACTTAATCTAGCCTGTTATGTATATTTTCGGAAGATTGTTCCTCGTTAGTACCTGCTGAGGAATACTGAAGCTTTGACTTACTGGCCTGTGCGTAGATATCAAGTAGATATCATCCCACGGCATTTACCGTCAAGCTACCAGCCCTATGTGAATCACCGTGTTGCAGCATACTGCTTAGCGCGGATTGCAGACCAATTGTGCTGGCTGGCACCGGCAAGTGCCTTCCCCTGCTGGTCGCTGGTGCTTGCCCTTGCCCTTGCCGAGTTGGGATATCACCATTGCACTTGCCTAAACGACACCATTCGCCGGGACGACGACCTCTGCCTGCCCACAACACATTTTCTTTCTTCTCCTTGAATTCTCCTCCTTTCTCCTTCTTCTCCTTCTCTTCATCTTCTCTCACTATCCTGCTGAACGCTCGTTCGTCCCGCTTCATCCTCTGCTTCAAAACCCATCTTCAGTCGTTTATCTACCATTCGCTCGTTAGCTACCTTCTTTCTTGAACATCTAGCTTCATCTGATCGCTGAGATGTTGTTCAAACTAAACTCCCTGTTCGTGGTCCTTGTGGCCGTTTGGTTTTCTGCCGTCGTTGGCTATGCCACTGGTAAGTAGATTCAGCTGTTGACAAGTCCGTCCTTCGCTAACGCTTCCAGATCTCGTCGATCATTTCGGCGATGCCCTTGATGAGGAGTACGTCTTGGTGTTTCCTGATGGTAAGTCTCAAATCTCATCAACAAAGACACGTCTGACAGGATCCATGCAGCCAATGACGCGTTCGTCTATGTCAAACCTGGCCTCGTTCCTCGGGACGGTAAGCTGTCGAGCATAACCTGGTCCAATGTAAGTCATGCTGATCAATCTAGTGACTATCATCAAGACCATCTGTGAGACTGAGACTTCGGTGGCTTCTACCTTTTCCACTGTTCCGGTCCCTACCGTCGTGACTGAGACCACTCGGCTTCCCACTGGTGTCCCCACTGGCGTCCAGACTGGGGTTACTGGAAAGTCTCCGGTTGCTTCGGCCACTGCTCCTACTGGACCTGTGGTTACTGTGCAGCCTCCTGTCACCTCGAAGACGGAGGGTGCTCCTGGATCTACTGTGCAGCCCCCCAGCTCGTCTGGAACTCACAGTGCTCCCACTACCGACACTGAAAATTCCACTTCTTCGGTGTCCTCTGGCGAGCAGACTAGCAATCACACAGTTGGCACTCACACCACTGTGTCTGCTGGCTCCACCGCTCCCAGCAGCACTCATACTTCTTCTCCTTCGCCCACCAACAACGCCGCTGGCGGTCATGGTGGTCTGCACTCTGCTTTGCTGGCGTTTATCGCGGCACACCTGGGTTTCTTTATGCTCTGAAGGCTATCGGTGGATGTCTCGGTCCTTTGAATACGCTGTATGCAAAGACCTGGCGACTGCCCTTGTTTCCTTCATTGAAAACCAGGCGTTGTTTCTCTTCATGTCGTTCTGGGATGCACAGCTTGCTCCCCTAATTTCGAACGAATGTTTCTAGTTAAAGCGGCCGGTCACCGCTCAATCTAATCAAGGCCTTACAGACCTTATCAGCGTTGCGTAGTAAATTCTTGCTACCATGGGTATCTCCTAAAGACTAAACATACACCCATCCAGGCGAACTATGGAACGTGTAGAACCTGCCCTCCCCTTTGATAGAATGACAAGCGCTAGATCATTACTGCCCGGACTGATACCTGCGCAACGATTAGTACTAAATGACATTGCGATGCAAAAATACTTACCAACGAGGTCAATTTACAGGAGAAGCAGTCCTGTTCGCTACGTACAGTGACGCAGAGGCGATTGTCGTATCGCCAAAGCTACCGTAATAAACCTAGACAATGGCCCAACGCACAGGAGGGTGTCCTACGCACTCATGCATCCGAATCCCCGATAGCCTCGAGTTCCTTGGCTAGAGCACAGATGCGGCACCCATCGCCAATTCGATCCCTCAGCAACCGAGCAGTCGTCACCTTGGGACCGACCGTGCGGGATGTCGACAGCGACAGTTCATCCAACGTTGGCGTGTGCGTGGGGGAGAATGGTCTCGGAGTCTGAACGGCGGACCGACTGTGTGGGGTACTTGTAGATGAATCCGACGCGTGGATGTGCGATAGGTGGAAGACGTGACCGCAGGCGAAACCGACCAGGATTTCCTTTTCTGTTGGGTGTTCGTCAATATTAGATAGAATACAAGGGGAGGATGAAAATGGAGGCAAGTTGGGGAGGTACCGTTGGCACGGAATGGTCGATGACAGCCGGCGCATTTTCCTGCCTGAGAGGCCGATGAGATTGCGGTGGTGGAGGTTTTCTCCGTGTCGGCGTCGCTTTTTAATTTATCCTTTTCGGGAGCATCGGTGGTGGGCGTGCCGGGGATGGATTTTTCCTCTTCGACAATGTTGAATTTAATGCCGCGGCGTTGGCCTTGTCGGAGGGTGTCCATGCCGACGGCGACTTCGCTTTGGAGGACTTTGGCGGCTCCTTGGCTGATGCTGGCTTGGAGGTCGTGTTCGCGGATCATCCGCGTGAGACCTTCTCGTAAGCCTTCGATTTCTAGTCCGCTGGGAATCCGACGCACGAGTTTGATGGGGTCGATGGATGTGCCGGCTTCGACGAGGAGGCCGTGGATGAAGCGGGGTTTGTCCATGGAGTAGTCGAGGAGGTCTTCCCAGAGGTCGGGCTCGTTCTGGGACTTGGCGAATTGAATGGCTTGGGAGACATCCTTCAGGTCCGAGAGAATCAGGTTGAGGGCTCGTTTGGTTTGACCCGTTTTGGAGAGGAGGTAGATGAGCTCCGGGGTGAAGTGGCGCCCTTCGCAGATGCTCACGGCCATGTCGAACGAGTAGGAGGTGCTGGTTTGGAGGAATTCCATCAGCAGTGGACGGTCGTAGTCGGCGAAGAGCTCCACGGCTGTGTCGGCGAAGTTGTCGACCAACGCCTTGCCTTCATCGGCTGCGAGCTTGCTAGCTGCGTCTCGAATGTGGGCGAAGTGGCCCCGGCGAGGTTTTGCGACACCATGAGGAAGCGATTCGCCGCGCCACAGGGCCCGTATGTAGAAGTAGAGGTATAGAAGCTTGTTGGCGGCTTGTAGTTGGTCGACTACAATTTCAGGCCGGACAATGCCCGTATATGCTTCGCTGACGAGGAGTCTGATGGGTTCCGCGGTGAGCTCTTCGAGTTCGGGGACGGGCGCCGATTTCAGCTGTTCCTTGGACACCCGGATCAAGATGAACGCGGGGATATCGTCCGTGAGCGTATCCAGTAGTCGGTGGTCCTTGATCAGGGCCATCGCCGTGTCTGCGTCTTGGAGGCGGATGTAGCAGTGTAGTGCTTTGCCGTAGTGGCCTCCGGCGAGGTACAGTTTGGCAAGACACTTTGTCAAAACTCGCCAGTCTTCTGTCTCGGGGACCACGGAGTCGTATTGCAGCTGTTCCTCGATTTCCGTCGCAATATTGTTCACATCAAACAGGTCAAAGGGCCAGGAGTCCACGAGCTCGTTGAACTTTGACCGGTTGTGCGCAACATAGTGCCCAAGAACAGTCTCATAGACGTTCGCAGGGAGGCTTGGACGTAAATGAACAGGCATGACGACCGAGATCTCATCCAGCTTGTCATTCTTGATAAAGGTCCAAGCCCAGTGCTCCCATCTGCGTGTGGTATCGATTGCCTTTACGCAAACCTCGGCGGCCTCCTTCCATTTGTCCTCGTCAACGAGCTGCTCTATCCACAACTCGCCAATTCGGCGCCTTTCTTGCTCGGCAGCAGCGGAGGATGCAATGTTCCGACCAGTAGTTGTGATTGAGGACCTACCATCAAGGAAAGATTCGCCAACGCTACTGCTCTGAGATCTCGAGGGGGTCTCTAGAATATGATCGTTCATATCCCCCGCCGATCCCGCCGCTTCCGGGTGCTCCTGAAGAAGCGTCCAGGCTTCCTCGTATCGTTCATGTGCATCTAGCCACGCCAGGCGATCGGTAAGATCCCGTTTCAGGGCAACGACACAGTCATACGGACTGTGGACAAATATTTTAGCCCCTACGCTTCCGGCAATGTCCTGAATCTCTTTCGAATGAGCCTCCTCGTAGGAAAATCTCCGAGAGGCAAAGGTGCTTGGTGCCCGGCTAGATCCCTTGTCACTGCTGGTGGTACTGCGAATGCTGGCGGCTGAGTTGAACAGACGCGCAGGGTAGAGCGTTGCATCCCAAAGTCCATTCCCCAGAGCTTCTAGCGTACCACGTTGCGAGACCGGTGCGTTCGTCTTCCACGGAGGCAGAACACACAAGTGATAGTCCGAGGAAGTCAGAGTTTCGAACCGACTGATTGAAAGGGTATCGGCACTGAGCTCTTCCTTGGTTTCGATATCGATGATCCGCAGCTCCGGCTCCAGGCCCCGTGGCCGGCGGCGCGTTCCCGGACGGCGGCCTCCCAGCTTGCTCCGCTCCTCGGAAACGTCCTCCTCCGCCTCAATGTACGCAAGGACAACCAGAAGGCTAGGTGTGTATAGTGAAATACCAGATATGACGCAATCCGTCCGCAAGATTGTAGAAACCTCAGCGGACCCGATCTTCTGGTCTCGGTTGTTCTTGCTGGGCCTATCTGGGTACACGTCAATGACCCAAACGGTCCCTCCCCAGCCAACTACTAGCTTCTCCACCTTCTCCCGCACAATAGTTGAGTGGGCCGTAGGCGATGTCTCCTTGTTGTCTGGTCCGTCGTCACTATTCAATGCGTTCTCGTCCACCCACTCCGCACGAGCTTTCCAGACGCTCGCCATCTCCTCCCAGCCGGGACGATTGGGGCGATCAATGTGGCTGATCCGCTTCCAGGCAAGCTCGGCCTCCGAAGAATCCAGGTACAGGTTCGACCGCATGATTTTGATACCCTCTTCGTTGACCCAGACAACATACTTCCCCGACAAAGACCACTTGATCGTACTGATAGCGCCCTCTCCGCTATGCAGGATCGTGTCTTTGCCGGTGTTGGCCGCCAGTCCCAGAGACCCGAGCCAACTTGAAGCCGTCGCCGCAGCACCTCCCAATGTTGTAGAATTCGTGCTAACACCCACTCTTCCACCAACTGTGAGGATCAGGTCGCCTGCCCGCCCACCGGACAAGAACGTCTTGTCGCTCTTGTACTCGGGCGAGAGCGCGACAGCCTGAACGGGCCGGCCGAAATTCCGCAAGAGAACATCTTTGGAATCCACAAGAGATGCAACACAGACGTTCCCGTCCATCGAAGATGTAGCAATATAGATCGAGTTGGAAGGGATGGCAGGTAGACTGGCCTGGTGCCCTGGCCGATGCCGACTCCGCAGGCTCGCCGTGCCGGATGAGGGCCTGGCCGGATATTCCTGATCCTCGGGGACTCGACTAAAGTACGGTGGGTTCACAGTGTGGGATGGAGGGGGGAACGGGGACACTGAGATGGAGGTGATGCTAGCGGAGTGTGCATGATACACGCGAAGGGAGCGCAATTGAGGGACGGATAGCACATGCTGCCGGGTGTCAGTTCTCGCGCCATTCAAGCGGCACCGGTGGTACTTACGATGTTTCCATTATGCGAACCGATTATCTAGACCCTGTCTCAGCACTGTGCGCTTCGTGGAATACATGGGTGCCATACCATCTTGTCCCCAGCAGCGAGGAAGGAGCTTGTTGCGTCCCCGTTGCGATACACCGCCCCTAGGTGTTTGGTCAAGTAAGCATACTTGAGCCGGGGTTCCTCCTCCTCTTCCTCGTCATCACCTTCCTCCTCTGCTTCCTCATCGTGATCATCATTGCCGCCACTTCGTCTTCCATTGTGGTGGTGTTCTTCGTCGTCGTCATCGAGCCGGTCGGGCCGATCGCGATGGTTGCTGTGCGGGTATGTACTCCTCTCGACGGCATTGGGGTCGGAGTCGTGGCGGTCCTGAGGGACACTCTCATTTGCCTCTGCCGCGCCAGGCGCGTCCATGGCGAGAGCGGAATCGGAATCAGAGCTCGGGGGATTGGGAGCAGACAATGGGCAGCTTCATGGCACCCACCGGCCAAGCAGGACACAGCTGATGGAGCTTGGGGTCGATAACTGACGCCCGGCAAGTCGGGCGCCCGCCAGGTGGTCGCCGATTCCAGCTAGGCGGTGCTGACTCAGCGCCCCATCTTCTGCAGCTCCGATACATCGGGGGAAATATATTTTCTTGCCCAAACGTGCCTCGTCATGGCATTAGTCCATACTAATGATATCTACGGTTGATTAGGGCCTTTGGTCAATTGTTTCTGTTTCGATTCCCTGCGCCTACGGATTGTGCGACTATGTTCGCCAGACCGCATGCTCTGTCTTTGCGGCATTCGGCCGTTAGGCTCTTCCAACAGCCCCGGAGCCAATATCTTCATGCCTCTCCTCCATTGAGCTATCCTCGACGAAAGGACTTCTTCTCATCCAATGCATACCTTCATCAGAAGCAATCCAGAAATGGCGACGCAGCCGAGGAGGTGTCCCTGGAGACCCAGAAACAGCGGAAAAGAAGCAATCGGTCGCCGGCCGCATCGACGTCATTACGGAGAGTCGCAGTGGAGGCACAACGGTCTAAGGATGGGATTTTGTCCAAAGCCCAGCTCCGAGAGCAGGGGCTCTATCAGACTAAGGTGCCGAGCAAGCCCCGCGACCGTTCATGAGTAGTGGCTAACACTGGATGAGAAGACCGTAACAGCATATGCCGTAGCTGAACAATTCAACATCCGCAAAGTCAGGGAGATCTTGCAGGAAAGAGGCTACGAGCCGGACCCCTACGAAACGGGCCTGTACCCACAAGTTGTCCATGTTCAAGTGCCGTTAGACTCAATCCGCCGCCAGAGCAATCCGAACACCCTGGATCTGTCCCCGAACGAAGTGGGCGATGTGTTTGTCTTCCCATCGGGTACCGTCGTGGCATGGGCATTGCCCGAAGGATTTACTTCCTTTTTGGCAACCAGGACGTTACTACCCGCGGCTGAGGGAGCCCACCTGGATGATTTAGAAACAGAAGACCTCGAATATGTCGAAGATCCTCAACGAGAGAACAGCAGCATCAAAGGCGACACGATCATTCTCGGGACCAAGCCGGGCATTGAAGCGCTCGACTCGCACCTAAATACCCGGCAATCTGTAGATACGGTCCTCACAAAAGTGGCATTCTCGTCGGGACTGGCTCGCAGTACCAAACTAGCTGTTCTCGAGTCCCTGCTATCCAACTACTTTGAGTCTACTAGAGCCATTCCTACGCTTCTATCAAAGGGCTCCCGTCTTCCATTTACGAGGGATTTCATTCTTCGCAAAACGGGCCAGCTGCTCAGTGTACGTGCGCAGCTGAACCTATACTCGGAGCTCACCGATTCTCTGCCTGACATTTTCTGGGATAGTCGTCATGAGCTGGGACTAGAAGGATACTATGAACAGGTAGGAAGAGCGCTTGATGTTGGGATACGCATCAAGCTCCTGAACGAGAAGATGGACTACGCACAGGAGATTGCCAGTGTTCTCCGGGAGAGGCTGAGCGAAACACATGGACTCCGGCTCGAGTGGATTATCATCCTACTCATTGCGGTCGAGGTAGGATTCGAAGTTCTGAGACTCTGGAAGGAGCGCCTCCATGAACAAGAAGCCGAGAGCAAACAAGTTGAGGGGCATTAAATCCTTGAGCGAGGCCGCCATCTCTACTCATGTATATATCGCATTTATGGAGTTTTGAATATGATACCCCAGGCATTGTTCTTTCCGACCAATGAATATCCATGAGTCACGATAAGGGTAGCTTCAGTCGATCCGGGGAATCGTCGATAAGGTGCTTATCGAACCAGTCAGATCACATGCTGCTGAGTCAGGACGGGGCCCGGTCATGGGATGGATGCACGTGCAGCTGCTGTTGGATCGATCATTCGCCTCATTCTTTCTCTTGCCCCTATTGTCTTCCACTTCTCTCGCAATTGATGCTCTGGGAACTCTCTGCACTCACATTTCCCTCATATTCCCTACTTTGTTGCTGAGCAACAGCAACAAGCCCAGCCACCTGCCCCATGTACGATATCGGTAGCACTAGTGCTATCGGGTCCACCGCCAGCTCCATGAGGGACCGACTACTCCAAGGTATTCCAGGACCGCAACAGGTTCTGAAAGCCATAACGGGCACATTGGGTGTCTCTTCGCTCTCAGCGTCAGATCACTCATCGTCCGAGACGACTTTCCGGCAATGTCCCGGGACCGAAGTGAGCTGTAAAGCCAATTATCATGGCCAAGATACATGCTGCTTCAACTACCCGGGTGGACAGATGTTGCAGACCCAATTCTGGGATGCTGATCCGGCCATTGGACCGGCTGACTCCTGGACGATTCATGGACTCTGGTAAGGTTCAAGTCTTTTCTCTTCCACCAGACAAACCCCATTTGATATGTCTTTGCCACCCCGGGACTGACACCGCTTCCCCGCATTATAGGCCAGACCACTGCAACGGCGGCTTCGATCAGTACTGCGACTCCAAAAGACGGTACAGCAATATTTCGTTGATCCTGGTCGACTCCGGCCGGGGTGATTTACTGGACTACATGAGCGACTTCTGGAAGGACTTCAGGGGCGATGATGCGAATCTCTGGGAACATGAGTGGAACAAACACGGCACTTGTGTCAGTACCCTGGAGACTCACTGCTACGCCGACTACTACCCGCAACAAGAGGTGGTAGACTACTTCGACCGGACAGTCGATCTCTTCCGAACCCTGCCTACTTACGAGGTTAGCCACCATCCACACTCTCGAAACAACAAGCCTAACTGTCCTCCAGACCCTCGCCAAAGCTGGCATCACCCCCTCCTACACGCAAACCTACACCCGCGATGCGATTGAGGATGCTCTGTCCAAAGCTCACGGTGCCGAGGTCACCATCCGGTGCCGACACCAGGCTCTCAACGAAGTCTGGTACTACTTCAACGTCGCCGGTGCACTGCAGACAGGGAAATTCGTGCCATCTGACCCAGGTTCGTCAAGCGACCATACCCCTCCTCATCCCACTCCAATTAACCCACTATAACAGATGGCCAAATATCCAACTGCCCCCGCAGCGGCATCCACTACATCCCCAAAACGCCCCGCAACGGTCACGAGCCCACCAAGACGTCCCGCGGACCAGCCGAGCCGACCTCTCCGGGCGTGCCCTTTGCCGGAAAAGGCAACCTCATGATCTCGACCCTAGGCCAGAAACGAGGCTGCATCATCAGTCGCGGCGCGTGGTTCAGCTCGGGAACCTGTGCAACCTTTACGGCCAACAAGGCCTCTGGTTTGTTACCTCCGCACCACTCCCCTATCCCACAGACATCAGATAGCCATATATTAACAGTCCGCTTCCGTACAGATGACACCATCACCCTGAAATCCAGCAAGGGAGAATGCGGCTTCTCTCATGATGTCTTCACCTGCGGTGGTTACATCAAATCTCCTACGGAGTTTACTGTGAGCCCCCTCCCTTATTCATAGAACCTACATAGGCACCTCCACCCACAAAGAAAGCGTATCTAACCCCATCCAGGTCGAAGACGGCATGCTCGCCTACAACGGCAACACAACCTTCTTCGCAGACAAAGCGCCCAAAGGCCCAACCAAGAGCAAGATCTTCGCGACAGAAGAGGATCATCCTCTCGAGCTATCCATCACCTGGAGGGAGGCCTAATCGTCCTCCTCCCCGTTCTCGGATATCATCCTCACTGATTTATACACGCATAGTAGAACCAGCCCTGTTTTCATATCTTTATCACATATAGAGTGTATTACATGCATGCATTTGCTTGACTTACTGCTTACGACATACTACTAACCACATTGGACACTGCACTGTCAGCTACACATATCAGATATAACCATCTATACACACAAGAAGAATAGAATACCATTCCGTCCAAGGATACTTGAATTGTAGGACGAGTCCATATCTATCGCTAAGCTAAAGTACAGGCACAGGCGAGGCCATGCGACCACCAAGGCAGAAGAAGTGAAAGAAGAAGAGGAAAAAGAAGTAAATGCAAGCGTAAGTATCTGAAAAACAGAGACAAAAGTATTAAGTAAATTCGTAACATGTAACGAGCGTAACGGACGAATAAAACATCCCAATACCAAGCCAAGATACGTAAGTCATAGGACAGAAGATGATGAGTCCATTGATACAATATCGGCAGCAAGCAAAGCAAAGTAAGTCAAAGCAGTAACGTGAAAATCATAACAAGGGCGTTATAAGTAAGCAGCAATCAGATAACATGATCAATCAAAAAGTCATGAATAACAAAACATAAAGAACGGATGAACCTGTAGAACTCCGTGAAAATTCAAAAAATCCACAGATCCCAAAAGCGGTTGCAAATTGTTTGGTGGTCGTACATGGGTGTCATTGAAAAGCATGAAAAACACAGAAATATCAGATCAGATGCAGGAGGATGAAGAAGAAGTCAATGCCCGAAAACTCATCAAAAAGTTTCATCAAAAAACATTCTTTTTGGTGTGTGTTGTCGTTGTTGTCATCACACAGGTGGCTCATTTGCAGTGAATAATTTCAAAGTCGTTGATCGTAGAAAAAAAAGAAGAGGAAGGAGAAGAAGAAATTGTACATAGTTTCGTGTCGTGGCTATTTTTGAGAAGAAAAAAAGGAAAATCATTTCGCGTCTTATATGCATGGGTCCAGTCATCCAGTCCTAAATCGTAAAGAGTCTTATTGCACATTGGGCCGGTAGCCTAGAGTCGTTGCGTCGTCACATCGCCGTCGTTGGATTTTTCATGTTCGCTTTTTTGGTCATGTCGTTACAGCACCTCCAGTTCGTTATCGTTGTCGTTTCAGTCCATGAAGAATTCTTTAGTCATGACATCCGAGGGGGGCTCGTCCACTTGGAATTGAAAGAAGAAGTCGTCGCCCATGGTGGGGCCAGAGCAAAAGGGCTTTGTGGGGAAAAGATCGATTCCAGTTTCGAAAGACGCAGTGTTCACATAGTCGGGGAAGGCAGCCATATCGGGGTCAGCAAGATCGCCGAACTCGGGCTTTCCGAATCCCGCCGTCGATCCCTGGCTGATGAAGATATCGAGATCAGAGCCGTTGGATGATTCGGACAAGGTAGGGCCGGCGTGTGGGGAAGACATGGAATGGCTGGCTGTGCCAGACGCATCCGTGTACGGGCAGGTATCCGGATCGGACATGTAGGGTAGACTCGAGTCCGTGATCATCTTATCAAGGGACCGCTTTGCAGGTGAGGAAGGCAACATCTCGTCCTCCGAGCTGGGGGTGATGGATCGGCGGTCTCGAGAAGGCGATGGCTTGATCCCAACGCTATATCCGGGAGATGCAGGAGGCGTGTATGTGAAAACCTCGGGGGGCAACGAGTAGTTGGGGTTGTTGAAGACTGGCATCTCTTCCGCCGGACTCGAGCCATGAAGACTCATATTCTCGAAGACTTCTGATGGAGGCGTGTTGCGGGAGGATTCGGATATGGAGGAGTCAAAGGACGTCTTCTCGGCAATCCTCTGGCGCGTTCTCGTCGCCTTCTCTTGTCTTTCGTCCATCTCGGGTCGGTGCTTCTTTGGACGGCCCCGTTTGGTAGTCTTGCGCACAATGCCCTTGTAGCCGCCGATGCACATCCCGCGCTGCCGGTGTCGAGTCAAGGCGTCATGTCTCGCAAACACGTTTCCACATAGGCACTCGTAAGGCTTGTCGCCGGTGTGGATCTTGGCATGACGCTTGAGATCATGACCCCGAACAAAGCATTTGTTGCAATGGTCGCACTTGTACTGGCGATCGCCCAAATGAGTCTGCACATGGGATTTGATGTTCTCTTTTCTTCCGAACCGGCGCTCGCAGCCGGGGTGCAGGCACACCCACTTCCCATCCTCAGGGTCTGGACCGTGAATATACGACGCAATCTCGTCAATAGTGACACCGGTTTCTTTAATTGATGCCTGAACGCGAGCGTCGAGATTGAGGCTGTCGATATTGGCGACCCGCGGAGAAAGCTTAGGCTTGGCGGACGTGCTAGGCGTCTCACTGGGGGACTTCTTGTGATGCGGACGGTTGGGGGTGGCGGGATAGATGGGCACTTTCGGTGTCTTTGCGCTACCATCCTCTGGACAAGGCATAGCGGCCAACTCTGGAGATGACATAAAGGAGGACGATGCTGAGGACGAGGTATACTGGCTTTGTGACAGACTCTCCGATTTAGGAACTTCAAAACTGGAACCCTGCTCATAGTTAAAGGTATCAAAATTATTCACTTCAAATGAGGCTGTGTTCGGGGGAGAGGGCACATCAAACTTCTGCTGCGTGAAAGTAGTTCCAGCCACGCCTTGGAGAGACTTCGCTCGCTGCATATACGACGACTGAGCTGATCCGGACATCGTGTTGTTCTGGTCCTTGGTGGGGGTTGGCTGAATGTCCGCGCCGTAATGAACAAGGCCCACGGTCTGCTTGAACGGAGTTGTTGCTGGTGTAATGGGGACATAGTCTGCCACTGATCAGTGTCGTAGATCTAATAGAGCCAACGGTTATGAACTTACGTGTGTTGCCATGCTTGGGCGTATGCGGGTGCTGGGATGGGGTGGCGTCCGACTGCACCGATAATTTTCTTACATCAGAAACAATATGGTTGGTTGGGTGAGGAAATGTCGCCGCGACGTTGTTCTGTTGGTAGAGATCCCAAGCTCCGGTGTCGATATGTGGTTGCTGCATCAGGTTGAAATGCATACCCATGTGCGGAACGCTGAGGTTCTCCTTAGGAAATCCCGCATTCAAATAAGCCATGTTCGATTGACTGTCCTGGCCATTGCGACGGTCCAAGGTGTGCAATTCTTCCGGGCTGAATGTTTGGCACTCGGGCATCACGGGCATGGGGGCTGACTGCTGAGGAAACGGCGGTTGGGCGACACAGAGATAACGTTGGTGTTGACTTTCCCCAAGCATATGGGAAGGGTGCTGCGGTACTGTTGGGTTAGTATGAATGGTACCATCTTGCATGGATTGCGATCGTTGAACGCGCAAAGATCTGTTGTCAAAGCTCTGGCCTCGGCGATGGGCATGATACCGATGCATCGCTTGCGCCGGAAGGCTGGGGGCTTTCACGGCATCAAGGGCGGACGGCGTCGAGATCTGCCGCCGGTGTTGTCGATGTCGCTCATGAAGGTTGTTATGCGCCGTGGACAGCATGACGGGCGGAAAGGCTCTGGGAGCACTTGTCGCAAGGTGTGCTTGACCGACGGATTGACAGACCTCTTGGTTGGATCTGGAGAATTTAAAGGTGTAAGCTTCCTGCACAACCCCTGCGCCAGTCGCATTCAGCGACGATGTACCAACCTCACGCAATGCTAGCCACACGGCTGGGCCGACAAGATGGTAACGAAACCGCCCTGCAATGGTGTCAGTCGGTGAACTATTGCCCCAAAACACTCACGCTAGGAAAGGTTAGGGAGGACGAAGAAAAAAGAGCAAAAGCAATGCAGGAGTCAAAAGGTTAACGCAGTCTCTGCGCTAGATCTATGCAAAGGAAGTAATGCGACGTCTAATCTAGATGCTGAGACGCAAAAGAAGACGCAATCGAAGCCTTAGAAGCTTCCTGCGCGCGGGTGAAGAATTGAAACTCCTGCTTCGATGGGGAGGAAGACGGGAAGGCAAGACAATGGGAGTCTTCGGTATTTAGAGGTGGGAACCAGGGAAAGGTGGATGGAGATGATGAAGCTATCCCGATCTACCGCCCACGGTTCAGATCAACAATGGCGGCGTTGGCCTAGCAACGCGGCCCGGCTGAGGCGTCAGGACAACCAGCGCCCCTTGGCATGGAGCCCGGCGATTTGGCCAGCGCCGTGTGGATCGCGCCCTGGTTCCAGCACGGAGCATTAGCAGCCAGCAGCAACCAGTGGTCCAAACGCAATTAAGGCTTGCGATCCCGCAGGTTAGTCGTCCCCTGCAAGGAGCTCGTTCTCGCGCTCCCCTAGCGGTCCAGACACCACCCTATCGCCATTATAGACTCTCGCCATCCTTCAAGGATGGGGGCGACCTGTGGTCTGTGAGGGTTTGAAACATTATTTCACCCTGTCTCTGCAATAGCCCGTAAATAATTGACGCCCATCCCAGTGCCATGCGATCAATAATTCGCATCCGAGGGGGAGGCGGCACTGATGACGATGACGAAGTTGACGTCGAGATGAGGCCGAGCCCGAAGCTGAGGCTGGATCTTTTGGGCCGCATTGATGCCTTCATCACCAGGCACTCAACTGACGTAGCCGGACATCTCGTCCCGTGATCCGGAAACCAAATCCCTCCCATCACATGACTGAGGACCCGGAGGGCTGATTATCCGAGGTCAGCCCGCACTACGCTCGAAGCGGTAAAATTGGCGCCACGTGACCGCACAACCGATTTTAACGAAGCGCCCTCCACCGAGGATATTTTTCCACCACGATCGCCGAAGGTTTAGGAAGACAAGTCTTGTCGAGGTGAGTGAAGGCCCTATACCTATGCCGTTGAGGAGAAAGATTCGGTCTCTTCACGTCGTTCTCTTCAAAATCCCATAATGTATCGTCTCTGCGACTCTATTCGCACGATGCAACACTGGGCACGCGAACGAGGATGACGCCGAGGATATCGAACTTCCCCGCCGGGCACACATCAGCAAAAAGCAGTCAACTAACGATGACTTCCAAATCAGACCTTCATCAAGATGCAGATCTTCGTCAAGACCCTCACGGGTAAGACCATCACCCTCGAGGTGGAGTCTTCGGACACCATCGACAATGTCAAGTCCAAGATCCAGGGTAAGCTCGCCTACATCCCCAAACCGAACCGAAACCATTTCGATGTTGGGTCTAACACCATCCAGACAAGGAGGGCATCCCCCCGGACCAGCAGCGTCTGATCTTCGCTGGTAAGCAGCTCGAGGACGGCCGTACTCTTTCGGACTACAACATCCAGAAGGAGTCCACCCTCCACCTGGTGCTCCGCCTGCGTGGTGGTGGTAAGAAGCGCAAGAAGAAGGTCTACACCACCCCCAAGAAGATCAAGCACAAGCACAAGAAGACCAAGCTTGCCGTCCTCAAGTACTACAAGGTCGACGGTGATGGCAAGATCGAGCGTCTTCGCCGCGAGTGCCCCTCCCCCGAGGTATGTTTTGCCCTATGCAGTATGTGGCAATTTGGCTGGCAGTTTACTAATGCATCTTTTAGTGCGGTGCTGGTATCTTCATGGCCGCTATGCACAACCGCCAGTACTGCGGAAAGTGCCACCTCACCTACGTCTTCGACGAGTCCAAGTAAATGGACTCTGTCGATCGTTCCGCCCTGTCTTCGTTCCGGTAGCGCCTAGCAATGTCGGTTGTGAATATGTGGTGGATGAGGGATGGAACGTGTGCGCTTTGATCGTTCCATAGTGCCTTGATATGAGAAATGAAAAAAATTCGAAACCGCCTCCATCATTGAATCTATCTACCTAGCTTGTAGCATAAGTGCGCGCGTAAACACAACATGCTGAACTTGAGACAAAATGGGTATCAACTGCGTCTACTGGAAACCATTCCTCAGGTTGTCATACTTGCTTTCGGGGTAGGAAAGCGCGTTCTGCGATTGATCCAACGCCGACACGCCTCCAACCTTGTCTACAAAAACCCCAATCAGGCTGCCGTCAGATGCGTTCGCGGTCTTACCTCCCTTGTCGCCGCTGGTCTCCCACCACATCCCACCACCGAGCTGAAGCTGCTTGATGTAATCCGCCTTCAACTCGCCAGCAGCCACATTGTCATAGGAAACCATGGTGCGTGCTGTGGGATCATAGCTCCAGGACGCGCCCAAGGTAGCATCTACATATTCGGTGGCTCCTGTCCTGGGCAGGGCTTTATAGTCCCAGACACCTTGCTCCCAGCTGCCGGATCCGACCCCCGAATAAGCGGTGCCAGGTCCATCGGTGTTGGTAAAGGCACGTCCATACAGCGGCATGCCCAGGATGATCTTGGAAGAAGGGACTCCGCCAGTCTGGATGTAGTAGTTCACAGCTTGATTGGTAGAGAATGGCGTCGATGCTGGCTTGTCAGTCGACGGATATAAATTTGCTTGGTGGCCGGCAACTGTGTCCCAGCTTCCGGCATAGTCATAAGCCATCAGGTTGTAGAAGTCCAGATAAGGCGTCATCTGGGACAGCTTGAGCTTGGTATAGTTATCAGGGCCTACACGGGTCAGTAACCAGTAATCTACGTGAAACTGATACTGTCCACTTACCAGCTGGACAAGCAATAGTCAAGAGGAACTTTCTATCTGCACCAGCTGCTGCATCCAGAGTCTAGACCACGTTAGTGCATAGGTACACACCCGGTAAAGTTAGTGCGAAGCCTACCTCTCGGCACTTCTGAAGCAGCAGGACCATATTCTGCGCCTCTGTTTCATCTGTAGACATCTGTGTTAGTCCCGATCTGACTGTTCACCCATCTCCACACCCAGAACTAACCTTTGGGGTACTCCCAATCAATATCAAAACCTGCAATCTCCAGCATCAGCAAATCAGATTCCGCTCTACCCCGAAACTAGCCACGTACCATCGAACCCAAGATCAGTGACCAATTTAGTGGCAGTCTCCGCAAACTTGGTCCGGCCAGCATCCGTGCTAGCGGCCTGGGAGAAATTGGGTGAATAGGTCCATCCTCCAATGGAGAGCAAGACCTTCAATTTCCTGTTTTGCTGCTTAAGCAGGAACAGCTGCTTGACACAGCCATACACATTGGTACCGACGTCATTCCAAGAGTCCGTGGGGTAATGTTTTTCGATATCCGACCAGGTGTCAGATAGATACCTGTGGCAAGAGTCAGTGCGGCTGACGGGTGGCAAAGAGGGTCAAATTGACGCGAGACGATAAGCATCTTGCAGGAGAGTGGCGAGCTTACACTTCACCACTTTCGGGGCGGACGTTGGCAAATGCGTAGAGCACGTGAGTCAGCTTGTCGGCCGGAATATCCTGAGGATTATAGTTGCGGCCGTAGATCGCCTGGGATTGGCATTAGCGCTATACGAGCTGACTTGATCGAGCGCTGAGATTCATATGAAAAACAAATATGAACTAGATGCTCACCCAGTTGACAAAATACGCCACTGACTTCAGACCGGTAGACATGGCTGGAGTGGATGCGTTCGTCTCGGGAGTTACGGGGTTGGGCTGGAGCGGAAGAACAGCTGCGTTATTGCAAAGGTACCGGACCGAGAGTACAAGGACCAGGATAAGAAGTACGAGGCAGTGGATCAAACGAGAGAACGCCATTGGGACTAGTACGTGGTACTACTTACCAGCAAAAAGAGCTGGTGAGAAAAGCAAGTCAGGCTAAGTCGAAAGGGACGCTGCAGGGTGGGTTGTACCTGCCTTAGGTCACGACTGACTCCTGGATGCCTGGCACAAATCGGTGTATAAAAATAACAACGGCCCGAGCTTCTGATTGGCTCGGATGGTACAATCGCGGCGGTGCAACTGTGGCTGGGGAGAGCAGGGCTGACCAATAACTAGTCTCTGCTTATGTAATAATATTCAAGAAGTGGCTGGCTTAGATTTCGTGAAGCTGCTGGACACGATGGAAGGAGGCAATTTATATGACTTGTTTGACAGGGGGGACAGACACCGTGTTGAACTTGTGAAGCCTTTTGAAACGGAGTTGGTGTAATTGGTGGCGTTGGTCATTTCCAGTCTGACCTCAACATGCTCTCATCCCCAAACCAGAAGGTTCCTGGCAGTATAGGCCTCGGTGACTACGACGCTATATCGCGTGCTCCCATTTAGATTAACGACCCTTGGAGATAGATGAGATCCGAGTGGATGGGTTGAAGTGCAGACACTTGCAGCTCCTCAAGTGATACGTGCCTGGCTATTCGTCACGAGAACATATAGAAAGGCCGTGAGGGATGAATCCTGATTTGACAATCTAACCCCAGACTTGCGTCGACCGTCCCAGCCGTATACCATCGACCCAGATGACACTGGAGAGGGGGCTTTAGCGCATGATGTGTTTCGAGATAGTCCGCATCGCCGGAGATATCACGGGGGCTGAGGTTACAATTCCCGGGCCTCGGAATGACCGTGGGTGACATTGGAGTAGAAGCAACCCTAGAGGCAGAGTGCTTTGTGACGAAGCGTTGCTCCAAAGTATAGCCAGGTAAGGGAGCGGAGAATGACTGGCTCCGAGCAAGCCAAGTGCTTAGGACTGAATGTGGCCAGAGCGCATGATGCATTCTGCTTGTTCCAGACTCTGGAAGGCATCCCTGTCAGTAAGCCATCCCCGTTCAGGTCAACGCACGGGGAGACGGGGAAAACTCAATAGTGGATGTAACTAATGGCAATGAAGCATTTCCAGCCGGGGTGGTCAAATGAGGAAGGAGGAAAGAGTTGCCAAAACGAATATGCACTGATGCATGGATCACGGTTGAACGTGGCAGATGACACTACTGCACCCTCGTGGTCCACCTAAAATTGGAGGGATCCAAGGAGCCGGCCGACTTGCCGATGACCGGACGAGACGTCAACCCTCATTTCTTCACCCATCACTAAGCAAGAAGGAACGGAGAGGAAGTCCGAGAGGAACCTTAACGGGCCAGGATTAAGAAGGTGAGCCAGCGGGTGGATCCCTTCCCTGAACCTCCTCAGCTGAAACCTTTGCCTCTGTCGCCGCGCCCGGGGCCCTGATTGGTGCACGCCATCTTTAAGCTACTGCAGGGCACGGTTGCACGGCCACTGTTCGATCCCACCGACCTCAATCTCACCAAATCAGAAATGGACCGGGGGTGAAAAATTTTCATGGACTGGGGTGAAGGACGGACCGATCTGATGGAACCGCCGTGCGTCTGTGTCCAATGCCCATGCCTCCATTATTTGTCCAAGACCGCGGTCCCTGTTCTTTCATTCCTCCCCGGGCGCATGCAGCACGGAAATCCGCCCCATCGGGTTCAGCTGGGATGTCTTCGACCAACTGCACTAAAAATTAGCAACGACCCATAATCATCGGTATCTCCGACGACGGTCATTGGGTGTGTCGTCAGGTCCTCGTTTCGTGTCTGACACTCTGGTCAGAGCGTTTCGTCCCTCGCGATTAACAATCTGACACCAATGAGAAAAATGGGATGGCTGCCATTCAGCTGGTAGGTTGTTTCCCGCCGAACCCTCCGTACCGTACTCCGTCGTACCTACCATGTGGGAACCGGGACCCGTCCCGGGCAACAGAAAGTGGCTGTTTCATCTTCATCTCTCAGTCTCGAGAAAATTGCCCTCTCCACTATCCGTCGGGTCCACAGGGCGGGCTTACCGGTTGACAGGAAACGACGGGCAAGCCACACGCTATCTTTTCCCTTCGACATCATTGTGGCGTGTCGCAACCCAGCTCTTGCCCCTCGTGGCTGATTGTATCATTGTAGTCATCGTACTCATGCTCGCGGCAAGGGAATCTGTGTCACACCCAGTACCTCGTCCTTCGTACATAGGACTAACGGGGACTATCATCGCTAGACTGGTCGGCCACCTCCGCGGAGCGGAAAAATGATCCGTCAATAATGGAAAACCGTCGGACTTGCATTAGTCTAATTCTAAGGCAGCAACATCCCCGTCTCCTTGCGCATCGCGCATGCGTAGTCTCGAAATAGATCGAGTCCAGGACAAAAGTACTATGAAAAATAGATCGAGACAGGAGTAAAACGAAATAGACCCGCGCTGGGAGTTCCAATTGATCGCATCTAGCGTAAACCATCACTCGAGGGGATATCATAACATCAACGAAAGCTAAGCAATGCTGCAGACCGAAATGAAAGCCGAAAGATAAAAAGAACACAGGAGTCGAATCATAAGAAATCATAGAGCTTTTTCTCTGCCTCAAAGTGCACATCGAGCGACCCGCGCCCGATGTCACTGCCGCCCAAAAGGGTATAACGAAATGATCAAGAAAGGTGGTGCCGTAGTCCCGAAACTGCTTAAAACATCATCTCCGTATACACTCTAAGGGTGAGAACGGATCCAGTTGAGAATCACGGGCAAGGCAGGGTCTTCGGCCAGCCAATGGCCTGACCGCGTGTCGGCTGCCCGGAGATCAGCAACAACGTACTGGTCCGTTACTTGTGCCAATTCCTATTGCATCCCAAGTCAATCAATTGCTCATGAACCAGATGACTGGAAATTGACCCACCTGTCGGAAGGTTTGGCTCACGGCCTTGAGTTGAGTAGCATGCTGGGGTCCTGGGCGCTGGCCTCGTAGGATGTTCTGGCGATTGATCGCCCATCTTCTGGCGGCCGCCACGCGGAGGTAGATGCGATGGGCTTGGAATCGCCGGGCACTGGCGTCCAGGATGACTCTCTGCAGTCCTGCCTTCTCCGTTTCCACGTTGGACTGGGCAGGTGTCATGGTGGGATTGAAGTTGGATGACATCAAGGCCTGTGCTGCGGCCAGACCCTCTCTAATCGCCTTGTAGCCCTCTTCGTTGGCTTCTTCGCTCGGGATCTGGACGTTTTGCTGGGAGATGTGCACGAGTAGAGTTCGGTAGTCGTTTATGATCTCTGCCACCCGCAGGGCACGTGCTTCATTGACTGCGACATGTCAATGCCATTGACCCTCTCACTATTGCGACGAGATGGATGCCAATACTTACGTCCGTCGGCCATTGCGATGTCTGTTGCTTCGGGATTGCCTCCAAATGATAAACTAAGGGTATATAAGAATAAACAATGGCAACGAAAGCTGACAAAGGGATTATGTCCAAAGTGGAGAGATAGAAGGATAGAGCAACGGTGCAGTCAATTGACTAAGTGAGACAAGGCGACCTTTCTATGCTGATGAGGTGAGCGTTTGTCTCATCTATGATCTTGTCTCATACCCGAGGGTGGGATATCCTTTTAAGCTTAATGTTCAGCCATGGGTACTTCTGACGGCCCTTGGCCATCAGCCCGGTGATGGAGAACATGGTGAAAGAGGATCATCATCTTCAGTCGTGGCTGGCTGTACCGATGGATGCTGATGGAGAAAGGAGGATATCACAGCTCGGGACTGCAGCTGGATAATGGCAACTATTGTGGATCAATAGTAGCAGCAGGCCCCATGGGAGCCATGTGTCCGAGAGGACCTGGGATGCCCACCCACGGTGAATGGATCTAAGGCTGATATCTAAGCGCGAGACTAAGCAGCTGGCCCAGGAAGGGGGATCGATGCTGATGGGTCTGCATGCATAAGGAAATGAGATAGACACAAAATGGGTCACGGAAACCGGCGACATCAGACCAAGGCAGGGGTTGGATGTTTGGAAAAAGAAAATCAACAGCCCGAAGCCAAGTCTCAGAGCGGCCCAGGCAGGACTCCACAGGCTGTGGCCGGGGAGAGTGATACATCGCCGCATGTGTCACCGTACCGCACCAGTGGGATCCTCTAAAGCCACAGACATTTTTTAGTCTGGATAGTATTTTTTGTTTTTCTTTTTTTCTTTTCAGATTTATTTTAGTTTGAGTTTTGTTTTTCCTCTAGAGGGGGTGCTGGATCTCGGGTCATCTTGCAGACACAGTGGGGACCGACAGGCATGAGCCAGATGGAACCGGGAGACCGTCATCATGGTATGATTGATTTGGGGCGGCCAAAAGTAGCTTAGCGACGGGAATCTGCTGGCGACACTAAAAAAAAAACGAAGCGCGAAGAACAGCCAGCTGGGGAGTCATCCACCCTCGGTTAACGCCACACTCTAGTGGTTCATAGTTCAGATCAGCTGCAGCTTGTGCCCGGAGATATCGACCAGAAGGGGATAACCCGGGTGCAAGAGCAGGGAAACCCGCCAGAGAATTGGCTTTTTCACTGACTCGATTTAAGTTCAGGCACCGTTTGGTCCACGGTGGACAGGCAACGAAGGAAAAAGAAAGCGACAGTTGAGGCAGGCCAAGGGAGAGAGAAACGAGAAGCGAGAATGAAAGCCACACTCGTCTCCAGCTCAGCCACAGAGCGGCTAGTGGACCAGCTGAAAATGGAAAAGCAAACACCGCAGCCTCAGGCTTACCTCCACCATGGATTGATCTTCCGTCTTCCACCTTCGCACCGTCTACTAGTCCACTACGATTGACGGAGTCCGGTTGCGCCCTCTTGCCCGTCACATCGCTACATAATACGAGCAGAATCTCCGTCCCGGCCTTGTCGGTGGCAATTCTCCCCACTACCCGCCAATGAGCTGGGTCAACGTTGCGCAGTGAAAGAGCTCGCTCTGCAAGCTTGCCGAGGTGGTCCTAACGCCTGCAGATGCTCAAGACCCCATATCTAGACCTCGGACGTTGGTCTGCATCGATCATCCCGGTTCAACCGTTCCTTTCTTTAGTAACCAGCGCTGCAGCATGGAACGTGCAGATATGACGACGTCGCTCTAAGCCTGTCAGATCGCAAAGACCATACTTTATCACACCGACGTGCTTATCCACATTTGCCACCGCTCTGGAGAAGCAGGCAAAGGGCGGGCCTTTCCGATCGCCGGGCCCGGTCTCAAGAGCTGCAAGGGCGCTTTCCAGGTTTAACGAGTCAAGTAAAACAAGGATGCAAAAGCAAGTCAACCGACACGGATGAAGAATAGAGTTTCGTCAGACAACCACCAGCATAGAGCGTCAGAGAAAAGTAAATGATGTTCATCGATCGTTTGCGTCTAACAACATGGATGCTCCCAGTGAAACAATGAAAACAGCTCAGTCCTTTTCGCTGATGGCCTGCAGTCGTTCGTCGATCTCCTCCTCCGTCAAAGCCCGGAATCCAATGTCTGTCCCTTCCTGGCCATCAGCGCGCGGTCCTCCGACGATCCCGATCTCCAGTTCGTGCTTCTTGAAATCAACACTCAGCACATTGCTCAGGGCCGTGATACCCAGCTCGACAACCTCCTCCCAGCTGCCCTCGGCGTAATCCTTGTTCTTCAGCTTCTTCTCCAAGTAATTGAGCGCCTCCTGCTGCTTCGGTCCAGATGCAGTCGCCTTGTATCCGACATAGTACCCAGCCGGGTCGCACTTGTAGAGTTGTGGGCCCTTCTCCGAGTCAACGGAGATCAGGGTCATAGCAACTCCGAGCGGACGCATGTAAGCCTACAAAAGTATCGTGATCCATCAGTCAGTGTGTTGGGCTAGCGTTTCAGGCAGGTGACACAAACCCTTTGCGTGTAGACCTGGTTGATATTGGCAAGACGCTTTGCAAGGACATCACAGGGCATCTCGTAGCCGTACTTGTATCTGAATTCAGCCGCCTCACCACGAGCACGGTCAACACTTGCCCTCGCATCAGCGATGGAGCCAGTCATGACACAGCCCACCGAGGGGGAGAGTCTGAAGATGTGCGAAACGGAGGAGGGGTCGATCAATTTGTCCTGGAGTGACTATCAGACGATGCCCGATACGTCGTCTCGGGCCGCGGAGCGATCTTACAGCAACTTTCTTCTGGGACAGAACCACCGCGCAGTTCTTTCCCCTCACACCTAGCGAGGTGATGTTGGCAGAGGTGATGGCCTTGAAGGCATATTCTAAGCGCCGGAAGATTGATGGTGAGTAAACGGTCTTGATGATCTAGCGTAATCGGTGGTCGATGGTCGGGACTCTTTGAACGTCGTCGGGACGAGGGGAGATGGCGGTGGGCTGAATGGTCACTTACCGACTTGGTACAGACGACCCTGGTCTGAGAAGATGGTAATGTGTCTGTCATATGCACTTCCTGCTCACGGAGGGTGTCAGTCGATCGATGAAGTCATGGACGTCGGGCCAGTCGAGCGAATCCGGAGAGCCTTACCAGACATGATTGCGGCGATGGATCGAAATCGGATGAACACACAATAGTTACTGATCAATCTAGAAGCGAAGCGAAAGAGATCGAGATGGGGGGAGAGAGGAACGGGGACGAGGGAGGAGGGACGTAGCAGAGGACGCGTGCCAGAGGGTGCCTGGCCGGAGCTCTAAGCTTTGGGGCCCCGTTTGAGTAAGCTCCAGCGTCACCGCCTTCTCCGGTTCATTGTGCCGCCATGTATCTTGTCTTCTACATTGCTTTAATCAACTTATCAGGATTTCGCTTTCGATGTCTATGCGAAATTCAAGAGATGTCATACCTTTAGGCCTTCATCTTTTGACAGTTCTGTCAATTTAAATTAAATGGCATCCCACAATATATAATCGCAGTATAAAGCATTATCATTCCAGGAATCCATTGGCCTTGAAGCCTATCATCACATCTTCCTTTCCCCTCAGGATCCGATTGTATATCTCTGACCAGATCTCCTTTCACATGTCATGAAGGTATCATCGGGTAGCACCCTTGAATTGAATCCTACAACATAAATCCCCCTTCGATTCTAGATCGTCTCTCGTTCAGGACCACTTGCCAGGATTCCCAATCCTAAAATGACAGGCAAAGAAAGCCCACCTCACTAACAACATGGAGTCCACCTTCATCTACCTAGTCCTATCTCCTGGGGGCTAGATACCATCTTATCAATCGCTAGTATAACTTGAAGATACCGAACTACCGTAGACTGTTAAAAGCGAGCACTCTGCATCAACTGTATGGATAAAAATCAGAATGGTATACGTTTAAACGATAAGTATCCAGTGCGGCTTGTAGGTATATATGAAATGTTCGGTTGGTTGAGAGTTCCCAGAGGGGAGATATCTCTCAGAAAGAGGATGTCGGCTCCTAGGACATGATAGGTCACTAAGGTATCATAACCATTTCTATGAGATGCATTTATAGCTTGATCAACTTTTCTATTCTAATTTGTAGCGCAGCAACCGGCAAGCGACTCCCAGAGTCGTGATCATTATGTTATAGCGGCCTAGATGACTGTTCATGAGCATACATATAAACCCCTAACAACATGCGTCGTCCCAAAATCAGGGCATGAGTCTAAACAATGAAGGTCTCCCATAAGACATGCAGTTTTGAGAAGGAATAGAAACAAGCAGATAATCCAACGGCTGCATAGCGACTAATCACTCGAGCTTGAGCTATCCGAATCGCTGTCGCTATCGCTGCTGCTGCTGTCACTGCTATCTTTCGAGGCGGAGGCTTTGGCGCTTGAAGGCTTAGCCTTGGTCTTCTTCTCGTCGTCGCTGTCGCTATCACTGTCGCTAGAGCTCTCACTCTCACTGCTGCTCGAGATCTCCACGAACGCGGTACGGTTCTTCTTCTTTTTCTTGCCGGGCTGAGCCTGCGCCTTCTTTCCTTTCTGTGGCAGAGCTTTCGGCTTCTGGTAATTGAACAGCGTGTCGTTAACGGCGAACAGAACGAGCTCAGCCCGTCGTCTCTTCTCGACCTTCTTCAGCGCCTCAGCATCAAACTGCCCGGCAATATCCTGGCTATCAAGATCCTCCTGGCCCGCAGACAAGCGTATCCGGAAAGCCGCAATGGCCTTGTCATAGCTCGGCGCATCTGTCGTCGCAGAGCTCTCCTTCTTCTTCTCCTCCGCCTCTTCCTTCGTACTCGACTGGTCCTCAGCCTCGATCTCAGCCTTGACAGCCTCCTCCGCAATCTGTCTCAACCGTAGCTTCGCACCCTCACTTTTCAACCCCCGCAGATACGCAAGCAAAGCAGCATTATACTGCGCCGGGACCTGCTCCAACGACAAGACATGCTTGAAAAGATGCGTCTCACGATTCTTCTGAAACTTCCACGCCGAGCGATGTTTGTGATAAAGACTCAAGTAGGACAGAATCGGCGTTTCGTGGATTTTCGGTGTCGCAGACGCATCCTCCGTCGAACCGTCCTTCTTCTTATCCTTGTTCTTCTTCTTTTTCTCCTTCTTCTTCTTCTTCTTCTCCTTCTCTCCTTCATCATCTCCCTCATTATCATCCCCAGCACCCTCCTCAACCACAGCCTTATCATCATCATCCTTCACCGGCTCTGCCTCCGGCACCTCCTCATCCTCCGACCCATCATATTCCTTCACTCCCGCCGAAAACGACACCCTCTTCTTCTTTTTCTTCTTCGCAGCCTCCCCATCTCCCTTTCCTCCCTTATTTTTCACCTCATCGTCATCCTCCTCCTCAAGCCGTCTCTTCTTACTCTTCCGCTGCTTCTTCTCCAGATCCTTCCCCTCCACGCTCACATTCTCCTTTCCCTCTCCCTTTCCGGATTCCACCTCCCCAGACGTATCCTTAGCATACTTGAGCTTCAAGCCCATCTTTTTCCAAGCCGGAATGTGCTGCGACGACGACGACGAAGACGACGATTGGGTGCTCGACATTGAGCGAGTGCCGGACTCGTGTTGCAAATCGGTAAAAGTGCGTCGCGTAGATTGTCAGATCGTAATTGAGGTGTGCTTAAAAGGGAAATATCATTCGTGGGTGGTATAATGAGGGAAGGAGTGTTGGGTTGTTCTGCTGGTTTGTAGAAAGTTTGGGGGAAATTTTCCACGTGAGTTGCGGAGACCGGGTCATGGGTCCGCTTTGCCGCGGTCGATACTAAGTAACTACTCCGTAGGCACTTTACATAGTACTCGGTTGAAAGTTCTATGGGATTTGATTTGGGGAGACTTATTATATTCGGTATACATACATACAACTTATTGCGAAATATCTCTATACGTGTTTGGCCCACGAGATCGTCATACTTTCATTAACTTCTTTTTTGGTCACTTCGCTTCCCTTTCCTTTCCTATTCTTCCCATCCCAGATTCCTGACTCCGTGAACAAGACCAAATGCTCCTCAAGTAGATATAGAACCCAACCGGGGTAGGGAGGGAGAGACAGTTATTATCCCGTTGCGCTTCCAGTCCCACTATTCTCCGTCCCGTATGGGTCCTTTTTCTCTCTCTTGGCTTCCTTGGACGCGCTGCTTTCCGCACTGGCTCCCGCAGCGGCTGCCTTGCGTCTCGCTCGTTCCTTATCGCGGGAACTGGTACCTGCGGTTCGTCTTCGACGGACGGGTTCGTAGACGTCATTGAAGTTCATCACGACGCCGAGGAATCGCATGTCCACGTCGGGTTGGTAGGCGAGATCGCCTAGGAGGACGTTCAGCCGGGAACGGAACTCGGCTGAGAGGTCTCGGAGTCGGACGCGCAGGGAGGCAAGCATGTGGTCGTCGGCGGATAGGTCATGGTGGATGGAGGATGGGGTGCCGATGTCGTCGCCGCCGTTGCCGATATTTGGGGTGAAGGCTACTGAGGGGGACATGGATGAAGAGACGGAGTCCTTGTGTCCTCGGGTGCGTCTGGATGAGAGAAGGTCGCGCTCGGTGACGCCCCAACGGCCCTGCGCGGTGCGTGTCTCGATCTTTGCGCTGAGTTCTTGCCGGCGAGTGAATTCGGCGACGGAGAACGAGTAGAGGCCGTCCACGGCGTCCTTGTATGCAAGCATGATCTTGAGGATCTGGTGCAGCTGGCTTAGGAAGCCCTCTTCCGGTTTGTTGGTAGATGTGTTCTTGAAGGAGGATGAAGAGCCTAACAGGCCCTTGTGCGTGATTGAGTTGAGGTATTTGGTGTGTGCTTCGATCAGGTCATCCAACGTGCATCCTGGCTTGGAAATCGAGGCCTGCAGTTGGTCCCAGCTGGCCTCAATCACCTCGAACAATATGTAGTATTGGAGTTGGCAAACGAAGTGAATCATCTCAGCGATTACACATCTTGCCCGTTTCCAGTCAGGCCCGACTTTGTCATTGACACTTCCCAGGACACCGCGAGCACCAGTCATGCATCGTCGCCAAGTACTACCCAGAGCGAACTCTACGCGCTTCACGCGCCAGAGGAAGTTGAAGACTTTCAAGTACTGAGTGGAGCCCCAAGGTGTAATGACCACATCTACCGGGGCATCGATCTTGTACTCAAGGGTGAAGCAGTCCCAGCCAATCTCTCCATGACTGAGTTCCAGCATGCGGGCATCCAGTCGACGGAGGACATCTGGGGAGTCGTACTGTGCATTCGAAGCACGAATGGCATGCTCCAATTGGGCAGTCAATGTATGGCGGTACTGCGAATTAGCTGGTCGGTCCAGGTTCGAAGCTAATGACTCCATCAGCAGGGCGATGAAATCACCCTGTCCCAGCAACAAGTATTTCTTTAGCGCCAGAAGATGGTCAAACAGCTTGAATTTCTCGTCCATGAGATATATCAGCCGCGCCATGGTGGTCTTATAGGCTTCATCAATCGAAGACTCCAAGGTAGCCGTATCGCCGTACCGCAGTTCTTTGGAGGCTTCCTTCGAGTAAGCCTCAACCCATCCCGAGTCTCCACAACCGTATCGTAAGAAGTTCAATGACTTTCCAATCAGGAACACCTTCTTCGCAAAGTCCTGTGTGATGATGGAGGGTACCATCTCATCGTCAAGCTTATACTTATCCTCCCAAACACTGGTTGCAATACGGCGTGGGTCTGTGCTGGGCCTGAACTCCGGCTCCACAACAAAGAACTCTTTGTACGGGTCAGACAACTCGCCGTCGTAGATCCAAGATCGCAACATGTCGTAGAACGGTCGAGTAACATGATTGAGAAGCTTTTCCGCCACAGCGCATACGAAGGGGTCACCATGGGACGTCGAGAAGCCATGGATCAGGGAAATCAGTTGACCACCTTTCTTGTCTGTATACCGCCGTTAGTAAAGATACCATCCATGCTCGAGACAGGAGTGCTCACTCTGGGCTTCTTCGACAATAAGACTCATCAACCGCAGTGCCATTGTTGCATCTCGGGTCCAGACGACACATCGCTTCAAGGTCACCCCACTCTTGGAGGCACTCCTGGGATCATTCGGATCCGCAGGTGCGGCCAGCGCCCGTCGAATTTCCCCTTCTAGTGTAGCAACGAGACCTAAGTAGGAGCGGAGCTCATTCGAGAGAGCTGCCCGCAAGCTCTGACTTAAAAGTCCACCTTCTGAGCTCTCAACGAAGGACGATAAGCCACGATACAGGAGACATGGCTCTGCAAGGGAATTCAAAAGCGACACCATCGGCACAGGTAGCGAAGGTGGTAGTTTCAGGGTCGAGGACGAGGAAAATTGTAGGTTCGACGAGGACAAACCCTGTAGGTTGAATGGTAGATCACGCAGGAGCCCATCTTCCAGAGGTCCCGTTGGCTGCGGTTCCTTCTCCAAACTAGTAGGCTCTGGTAGTATTGTCTTCTGATCGTCGCTGAGCGGTTCTCTCACACCAGTATTGGCCCGACTCCGAGTCACTCGAGCCCTTTCCACCGTGGGTAACCCAGCATCATGCTCAGGCTCTCGTTCTTTTTCCGCTAGTATGTCTTGCCGCCGTATCGAAGCCTGTCGCTCAATCCGCGCAGGCAACTGAGATGCAGACGAGCTGATCGCAGGGCCCTCCTCGTCCGACTGATCCCCCCAACCTTGTTTTGCCCTCTGTCCCTTCCAGAGGATATTCTGCAGATTCGCCGGCTCCACCGGTGGACTTCGGGGTTCGCCCTCCTCCTCCATAAATCCATCATAGTCATCCGCACTTGAGAGCCGATAAAGAAGGTATAAGATGGCCCATTTCTGCGACAAGACGGGCTGTGTCAACAAACGCGAGTATAGGTTCGAGAATCGAACCGCCTTATCGGGGCTCGCGTTCTCGCGCAGCAACTTCCGTTTGATCAGATCCGACGCGTTGTTGATATTCTCCCCACCTGCTAGGCTTCCCCTCCTGTTTATTCCTGGGCCCGGGGCGTTCGATGGTGAAGCTGGGTCGTTGGCCGCGCTGGTGTGAGTGTCAAGAATGCGCCATGAGCGCTCGAGGATTTCCTGGTGCCGTCTCTCCTCCGCTGCCGCGAGAGCGTCTTCGGCGTCATCCGCATATTCGTCGTCAATGTCGGAGAGCGAGAGGGGAGGCGTAAGGGAATCGACGAGTTGGGAGAGGGCGTCATCGATGCGCCGTGGGCGCGCGGGGTGACGGGCAGACATGATCTCTTTGCTAGCCTGTTTGAAAATCTCTGCCTAGCGGCCCACTTTGGGTTAATGCCAATTATTCCTGAGACCTGACAGGTCACGATCTCTTGCGAGCAATTGACGAGTTATAGGTCGGCAGGCGCAGGATACCGCGGGCGAGGGTAAACGCGGCGAGCAGGTCGAACACAAGTGGCTAGTCTTCCAATTCACTGGGCATGGCGTCCCGCACCAGTCAGAGGGACGCCTGGAAGTAGCGATAGCATACAGACCCGACGTGGTTAGGCATCCGTTGCGTTGGACCGCGTATGGATGGATGTTATTATGTCTGGCTTGCCCGGGTTGAGTGGTTGGCCCTCTGAACCCACCCGCGTCTTGCCAAGCCTTCCAGTTAAGTTCCGTTGGCTCGTGTCCAAGTGAAGTGCAGTCCGACTACTACATGGTTGCTTCCCTACTACATCCTCCAGTTGCAGGCATTCAATCTGAAATCATTGGGATTCAATAGCAGCAGATTTCCTAGACGCTCAATGACATCTAGCAAGAAAGAAAGAAACCGCCAGTACGCCACCCAAGACCGTGCTTCGCAGCAAAAGAGTAAAGCAAACACCCAGTGACCCGCAAGTATCAGACAGACGAAGAGAAGACCCCGTAGCAAAGGGGTGACAAGATATGGAAAGACAGATAAAAAGAGTACACAATACACCACCCTAGCCTGCACGCGTGGAAGCCGGGCAGGAAGAGGGTCTGGGGGGTTGGAAGTAAAAGAAAGAGAACAAGAGGAAATGAAATCAGCCAGCCAAGCTTTTGCGCCAAGTTTGCACCTTCTGGTGATTGAGTGAAACCCATTCCACTTCAAATTCAGCCGTCCGTTTTTAGAATTCGTATACATCATTAACACCTATCCATGCCGGTGGCTCGTAGCCAATAAGAGTAAGACGTAAGAGGCATGCAAAGCGCCACTCTTCGTCGAGAAGGACGCCCTGCACTCCTGAAGCAAAGAGATTGTGGTTCTCTTTAACCAAAGAGAACGGAGCACAACGATTGCAGTGTTGTTATCGTGCTCCGAACAGGGGCTCGTTACCGTCGCAGCCCCTGCGCAGGGATAGGCGCTCCAGGTTGCATTCCCATACCGTTAGCGATGTTGTATGGGTGCGCATCAAATCCTGTCGACATGCCATTCATCATGAGGGGCCCAAGACCCTGAGCTTGGGAGACTGGGCAATCCTTGTGGGCTAGCAGAAGGGTCTTGAGATTGACGATCTCCTCACGAAGCTGAGTGACGGTGGCAGTGAGTGCATCATTCTCGGAGGTAAACAATTCGACCTTAGCTTGAAGGTTGGCAAGCCACTGCTTCTTTCGCTGACGACACTTAAGCGCCGCAACCCTAGTCCGCGTTAGCACGTAAAGCCGTCACTTGTATTTAAATATGACGAAGAGCTCGTCATCTTACCTGTTTCTTTCGAGGAAGTTCTTTCGCTTTTCCTCATCAGTCATTTTCTTGGATTCCGTCGTCGACTTCCTCTTCAAATCATCATCGTCATCTTCTGAGTCCGCTGCATCAGAAGGAGGCTCAACGCTGCCAGCTCCGTTACTCGACTTGGCCTTTTTGTTGAAACCCTTGGGTGCATCTTCTAGCTTGCGCTTGTTGTTTCCAGCGGTGCTGGCCTTCGTTCCTGAGTTCTTCTTGGCTTTGCTCTTGCCAGCAGGCTTCGTCTGCTCACCCTGCATATCGGAAACATCGCCACTGGTCTCTCGGCCTGCTACACCATTGATATTTTGTGAATTACGTCTGTCTGCACCAGGGTCAAGTTGTTGATCATTGGCCTGGATGCTCTGTGGCTGAATTGATGTCTGATTCGATACAGCGAACTGGTTGGGGTTCGCCTGTCCGCCTTTGGCTAGCATGAAAAGCCCATTAGCGGCATCGGCAGCATCATGATGACCGAACGGGTCGGCACCTGCAGGTGGGTTGGGTTTCATATCCATAGTGGAGTTTTGAGTGGCCGGATCGGGATCAGAAGTTGGATTAGAGGTGGGACCATTCAAACTGTTCTTCTTAGCGGCATTCAGTGCAGTCCGGTGAAATTCAATGGTCGACGGTGTCGCACCCCCACTTTGCAGTTGCTGCAGAAGTGCCTGCGAATTTGGGCTGGGGGCCGGGAACATAGAGCCTCCTCCGCCTGGGGTCAATCCAGTACGGAGAGAAGATTCGTTAGGGGTAGGAAAGCCTCTACCGATGCTGTCAAAATAGTCGTTGGATCCAGTCGGCCCAGCGAGCATAGCAGGGCTCAGCGGCCCGGAGCGCAACGAGTTGGACCAGCCGTAGCCACCACTTGCAGAAGTAGCCCCTGGCAGAGCAGGGGAAGTAAGTGCTGCGACAGGGGGAAGAATCGACTTCCCGGGGGTTTCACCCGAGGAGCCTCCACTGCCGAAGGATTGCTCGAAAGGGTTGGGTTCAAGAGAAAATGGGTTGTGAACGGAGTTGAAGTAATCGGGAGTGTCAGTCGCGCTTGTTATGGCTGGTCGTGGAGGTGGTGCCAACGATGCTTGAGCATCTACATCAGGCTTCGGGTCTTTGAGATCCGACGATGCTGCCCGGGAATCTGTGGCCGAGCAGATGCTCTTGTCAGTGAGAGCACTAAAACGACAACGAATGGGACAGCGAGGGATGTGAAGACAGGGGTAGGGATGCAGATGTTGACAGAATGGCACGGCCGAGGCCAAAGTTTGAGAGCAGGGGATCTGATAACAGCAACACCCGGCGATGACGCCAATTGTGAGGTCATCCCGACGGCGGAGAGCAGTCAACATCACATTTGGGGAACAGTGGCGTACGACCAAGCCAGAACAGGCCAAGGCCTCGATAATGAAGTAAGGAAGTGCAAGATACAGCGGATTTTCAGAAAGTTGGCATGGGAGGTACCAGAGTTCCACGCGCGCGCACACGAGATTCGGAACAGTAGATGTACTCACCTTCAGTGTCTAGGCCGGCCTTTTTCGCGTCCATTGGGGAAGAATTACGATGGTCGGTATGATTAGCTAGAGTGGTCGAAACGGTCGAAGCAACAGCCGCAGACATAGTAGCGTGGAGGGTTGTCGATATATTAGAGCGAGGGAGGGCGACAGGTGACCCGGGGATGTAAGGAAAAAAATAGCCAAGCGAGCGGACGAGGTGGCGACGACACAGAGAAAGGACTGGCGACGCTGAACAAGATAATGGGGGAAGGGTACGGGAAGGGAGGCAGAAAGTCAGATCTGGCCGCGAGTTTAGTAAATGTGACTTGCTAAAGCCGTATGGTCGCTGCGCAAACGCCTGTACCAAGAGGTTCACTGAGCAAGTACACGGTATAGTAGTAGTGTAGGAAGGGAAGGGAAAGGAAAAAGTTGTGACGTAGTCCGGGCTCGACAGGGAGATTTAGGGGGGAAGGAAAGAGGGGAGGCGGTCGAGTGGCCGTCCGCGAGGCTAGGCCGAAACGGGCTCGACTGTCTGTCACCCCGAAACCATGCAACCCTGAGAGTACAAAAAGCCCGCGGGTACCAGCCAGAGTGCAACCTCGAAACACTAAGGTAGGTAAAAAAGAAAGGTCCAGGAATTTCCCTTCTTTTTTTTTTTCTGCCGCTTTGGCTTCTAATTTTTTTTTTTTTTTTTCTTTTTTTTTTGCTCAGTTTTTGCTCCCTTCCGTAATGGGGACTAATCTTCTTGTTGCTCTTTCCTGTTCCAAATGGTCTTTTTCTTTTTACCTTCGGATGGCCACCTTATGATTCCTGATTTCAAAGCAGGAATATCGATACTCCGGGACACATCAAAAAGGACAATGGAAGAAAATGGCAGACGAGAAAGGAAAAGAACACCTTACCCTATAGTGACCAGGCACTGTATGATTATGCAGGCGAATGCTGGCTGGCCCTTACTTGCAAAAAGAAGAACTTGGAGACGGACGGGTGGGTTCCCGGCAGTACTTTTCAACCAATCCGAGTGGTGGAAATGCGGTGGACGCGATTGTTGGATGACGGCGGAAGCGATAGGCAATTCAACCCAACAGTTATGACACAACGTCCGCGCCGAGAAGAAATGGAAAGGTTATAGGAATGTTGGTCGCTATCCAGGGATGGGAACCTCGAAGGCGTCCTCGATAAGAGGTAAAAGTAAGACTGACGAGGGGGCAGTACCAACAAGTAACTGTCGACCGGGGGGGTACACCACAAACTGGCCAGCGAAGTTTGGACAGAGGGAGGAAGGGAAGGGGTAAAAAACATGAATGAGATCACGGTGACGACGACAGGAATTTTCCTGGGTTGTCGGACAGTCGGACCAGCCGGGTGGCCACTCGCGACTGAGACTAACGTACCAGTGCACCCACTTGGCCCAGCCACTCACGGGCCTGCTTCCGAGCCCCGCCCTGCAGAGTCAACCTGGAGCGGGTGAACGAATCATGAAGAGGGCGCCATGTTTGTCCGGCCGCAGGGCGGTGAGGATCTTCATCCGGTCGAATGGTCCAAGTCAGCCCAAAGCTATCTTCTGAATGGCCGCTGGCAGGCCTGAATCTGGAGGTAGATTCGGTCCAGCAAGAAATCCTTCCAATCTTCGGCTCTCTATCGCCGTCGTCCGGTTTCTGGGCCTTTCAGGGGCCAGTCTTTTCGGAACGTCGAGAAGTCGAGTGACACGTCCGCTCGCTGATTGGGTCCCTGATGTGATGACGCAATGCTTCTAGGGCCTTCGTCCCGTGGGTTAGCATCACGTGAGGGTGTGTCGCGCCGTCTCTTTGGGCCCAAAACAAGGATCGAGGAATCTAGTGGGTTGCCACTTGGATTCTGGACAATTCATTCAATGCACGGAGAGTGTGGTACGGGGTACACGACAGGTTGGTAGCCAGGAGGAGAAGGTTCGGAGTAGACTCCACAATAATGAGTCCCTACAGCTGCCAGAAGTCGCATCTGGACTGGGCCTTGGCAGTGATACTACCGCGTCCCTCAACGTGTACACGATAGTGCTACACGCTAATCTATCTGTTACCACACTTATCAGGCACGCGATCGATGTCGACTAGCGAGGGTCAACGTCCGCATCCTACTCAGTACCATCAGGTCGCTGATTTCGGCGGTGACGGATGCAAAGCATCCGTATAGAATGCTTTATGCGCACATGCATATGTGCAAGTACAAGATTACTCACTTACGTACCCGGGACTTGTAGACGATCCCTGTCACTCAGCGTACTTTTGGGTAAGGCCGTCCTTTAGGCCCAACGTTCTCGAGCCTAGCTTTGCCGCTCGCCTCCCGACTGCATAATCATGAAAATATATTGGGTATTTCCTAAGTCCCCAGAGTCAAGTGCTAAGAGGCCCAGATTGACAGCAAGTCAACACCTCCCCACCTCTCCCGCAGGACAAGAAATCTCAGCGCCCGGAGGTATCTCTACCAATGATCTAGTAGATACATGATGGTACTTCCGCCATGATTTAGCTTTCCAGGCCATGCAGCCACCAGAAGAGCGGTTGCCATGCAGGCCTTTCCGAGGATATGGCATAAAGTCTAGACTGCATGCTATTGTTGCAGCGTACCATGTAGAGCCGATGCAGCTGTGATACCTCGTTTTTAAGTATATGGGGTGAACAAATATATTTTCACCCTACAATTTTCCAAGATTTGTTGCTCATTACCCTCAACAGGAGGCGTGTTGAACTGCAGCTAGCTCCAGTATTTCATGCAATTACAAATATATTCTAGGATACAAGTCAAGCAACTTGCGATTCATTAATCTCAAAGTATCAAATCCATAATAAGCGTGCTGTTTCAACCCCATCTCCAGATACGTCATACGGGTACATGCGCTCCACGATACGGAGCACGGAGTACTAGTCTGGAGCGATAAGATCCCATCCATCCGGGCGCATCTATCTATCGGGCCATCGGCAGTATCCAAGCTTTATCAATTCGTCACGAGCCCCGATAAGTTGAATAGTTCCAGGGTCCCAACAACACGGGAACATGATAATGGCGCCAACCCTCCTCGCCGTCCCGACCCCGTCCCTTGACCGTAAACTTCACTTCGACTTCGGGCCAGAAACTCTCCACTCCTTGTGCCTCGTACCATGGACCGACGTCAAACCGAACGGACCAATTCGTTTTGCTGTCGGCGGCTGGGAGTCCGGCAAGGATACCAGGAACGGATTGGGATGAAGCGCTGGTGGGATCCCAGGTTTTGACTCGGCCGTCGGCGTCGGTGGTCGCGCGGAAAGTGAGGGGATCTTGGCTGGTGGAGGGTCCGGATAGGAGGGTCAAGGTCACTGGGAGGTTCGCGGCGGGAGTACCCGTCAGGGTGTTCAAGACGTGGCAGGTGATGGGATCGCGAGACATTGTTGCTGGGGTTTGGAGGGGGCTTGGTGTTGTGTTGTGGTTGTTGGAGGGGGGTTCTGTGGAGGGACTCGAGGATTGGAGGAGTTGGTTGCGGTAGAGGTTTAGACGGTCTGTGATTTTACCCAGTTGACCACTCGAAGGCGTGACTTCTGCAGGGTCCATTAAGAGGGTAGATGTAGTAAAAGAGGGTTTCGAAATAAAATGAAAAGTAGAATGTCGGGGGGGTTCGGCCGCGAGAGGGCTTTTCTATCTCCGCTTCCCATGCATCGGAGAGCACCGACAGAGCTACCTTGGGATGCCGGAGTATACCTTCAGTGGGGTAAGTCGTGGGGATTGTTCGAACCGCAATCAAGGTTCGTATTACTACATGATACATCAACTCAAAATGGTTCAGGGGTCCTCGAATCAACAGTTGGCAATTGCAAGCAGTCATCACTTTCTCCTTCTGGCATGAATGTGTGCAATGTCGCCTTCAGGTTCTCCGACTGATGATCTCGGGATGTCCCATGGTGGTCGCTGGTCTGACTTCGCCCATTCTGCAGCGCAGGGCAGATTTCCATCAAGCGGACATTACACACAGTATTCCGGAGAGACGGTCTAATCCAGTCTAGTAATGCCGCTGAGGTATACGACGGGTTGCGTCTATTTATTGCATAATCCTATCTTCAATGCCCAGAAACGTAGATTGAAGCTTGTCGGGAGGGGTAGACAGGCCTCCATACGAGGGCAGATGGTAAGGTATGGATACCGAATGACCTATTGTGCAGACATTCTGCCAGAAGATTTGATTTCTCGAACTGGGTGAAGAACAGCCTGACTCAGATCATATCTCCGGTTGGAAAGTGTTGCATTGATGTCACTCTAATTGACAGGTGGGGTCGCCTCAGGCAGAGAAAATGACTCTACCCCGTAGCACGTGTCGCGCCACAACAGCTCGAATGGAAACGCTTCTTGGTAGCGGCGCCTTTTACTGGAGTAACCGTACCTGATCTTTCAGCACCTTGCTTTTGCGCCCCTATCATCCGGACCTGAGTTGGTCTTTCTTGAACAATCAACAAGTGTGCGGGTGACTCAATCCTCCCGAGAAAGTTCTCGAAGTTCTCTCCAACCGCCACTACTGAAAGTTTCGGGCCTCTGCGGGGAAACGATACGTGGTAAGTCCAAGCTTCAAGATCGCGATATAACCTCTTTAGTACGAAAGCTCACTCAATCGCGCCTCCTCAGACAACGAATCGAAGTCGGTACTGATTTAGACGAGCATCAAAATGTCTTCCGCCGTTGTGCATAGCGACGATCTCATGGAGCCCACCCTCCAGTCGGTGGTTAACCAGAAGACCCTGCGCTGGATCTTTGTCGGCGGTAAAGGAGGTGTCGGCAAGACCACGACTTCTTGCTCTCTAGCGATTCAGCTTGCCAAAGTTCGCAAGTCCGTTCTGCTTATTTCCACCGACCCCGCACACAACCTGAGCGATGCTTTCGGACAGAAGTTCGGAAAGGAGGCCCGCCTTGTCGACGGATACTCGAACCTTAGTGCTATGGAGATCGACCCGAACGGCAGCATTCAAGACCTCTTGGCCAGTGGTGAAGGCCAAGGAGACGACCCTCTTTCTGGCATGGGTGTCGGTGGAATGATGCAGGATCTGGCGTTCAGTGTACGTTGTCCTACGGCGCACTCTAGCTAACCAGCCTTACAACTTAGCTCCCTCGGAAGATGGCTGATTGTGTCAGATTCCCGGTGTCGATGAAGCTATGTCTTTTGCCGAAGTCCTGAAGCAGGTCAAATCTCTGTCCTACGAGGTTATTGTGTTCGACACTGCACCGACAGGTCACACTCTTCGCTTCCTCCAATTCCCCACAGTGCTGGAGAAGGCTCTCGCGAAGCTGTCGCAGCTCTCGTCCCAGTTTGGTCCCATGCTGAACTCGATTCTTGGTTCTCGTGGTGGTCTGCCGGGTGGCCAGAACATCGACGAACTGTTGCAGAAGATGGAGTCCTTGAGGGAGACGATCAGCGAGGTCAACTCGCAGTTCAAGGACGCCGATCTGACCACCTTCGTCTGCGTCTGCATTGCCGAGTTCCTGTCTCTATACGAAACCGAGCGCATGATCCAGGAACTTACCAGCTACAATATCGATACCCATGCCATCGTGGTCAACCAGCTCCTGTTCCCCAAACAAAGCAGCGCCTGTGAACAATGCAACGCACGGAGGAAGATGCAGAAGAAGTACTTGGAGCAGATCGAAGAGCTGTATGAAGACTTCAACGTGGTCAGAATGCCATTACTGGTTGAAGAGGTCCGGGGCAAGGAGAAGCTTGAGAAGTAAGTCATCGCCGAATTTTGGATGTGAGGGAAGCGACGTGATGGCTAACTCCCTTGGCAGGTTCAGCGACATGCTTGTCAACCCGTATGTTCCCCCGGAGGGCAACTAAGGTGGATTGGCGGAGCAGTTTCAGTATGATATTTGCGGCGAAATGTTGTTATTTGGACGAGTCATGAAAAGAGTATAGACTATAATACACGAAGCATGAAGATGCACTCATTGAAACCCGTGCTTCTGCGGGCTTGCTTAGTTCTGCCCCTCACCCGTGCCTGCTTATTCTTTGCCTTCTCCTTGGAGCCTTCTCCTTGGAGCCTCCACTTCCATTCCCCGCTCACATCTTCCTCTCCCATCTTCCTCCCATGATGTCGTCGCTCTGTCTAGTCAACGCCTCACTATATCGCCTCGTTAAGGATCCCGCTAGCCGCATCTGCAAAGATCTAAGCATGAGTACTCTCGCCGCAGATCGAATCACATCACCTGTGGGTCTTCGCCTCAAGCGATCGCCTTTTCACAATCAAATCACCGCCTCGGCGCCTCCCGCCCTATAGTTAGCTCCAATGTGATAACTAATTCCCCTAGCAACATGCCCCTGGACAATCTGATGGTGAGTTCATTGACAAAGCTTCTTTCTGATACTTTACACGGATTCTTTGTAGTCCAAGCATTTCTGACTCTCTGTTCAGCCTCACTCCCAGCCCCCTGCGGAAGACAAGCTACGACCACTGGAAGTCACAAATAAAAGCAATGGTTCCGAGCAGGGATGATTTATCTGGGTTCCGATGCTTCGTCATTGGTGAGAGCAAGGCCGTTTCGGTCCGAAAGACATTTTGTGAAACAAATATCTGCGTGCTGACGATTGATTGTACGAATAGAAGGCACATCGCAAGCCGATCATACAGATAATTGCGGTTGGCTCTCTATGTTGCATTGTTACATGGTATACTACAAGCTGCCGCAATGAATAGATGGTACCAGATCCATTCAACCCAGTGGGGCATCGGGGGCGTGCTGTGTCTGCGTTGCCCTGGCCGCAATAACAGAAGCAAGTCCTGTCCTCTTCCTTCAGGGCCTTGATGAGCGACAGGCAGGGAAATGAAAGCTGGTCTTCCCAGTTTGGCTACTAGATAGCTAGACCGGCCCATGCAAGCAAGGCTGGCTACCGAATCGGATTTGTTCAAGCCCTGATGCAAGTGGCCACTGGCTAAGGCTAGGCACCAGAGCTTTCGCAGCCCAAGCTGCGAAAATAAGGGGCGGAGCATAATAGGCTGATTGCCTTTTACCCTTGTAAAGCCTACCTACCGCGCAATATGCCTTCGACGATCAACAGGTATCTAGTTCTAGTGAGGACTAGCTCGATTGTTAGAGATGAACCGTGCCGGTGGCTTTCGGTCGCTACGATAGTATCTTGCAATCGTGACATAGAAAATTAGACCGATGCAACTGTTATCTGGCTTTTGCTTCTGCGACATACGATGATAAATGCTGGATCCACCTGCATACAGACGAAGTACCCCCACGCTTCCATCGGCTCAGGCAGTACAAGATACAGGTCAGATTAAGGACGGGAAAGAAAAGGAAAGAAGGGGAAAGAAAGAAAGAAAGAGCGAGATCGGGCCGATGACTGTGACTCAAACTGTTAAGATCCTCGGGCTCAATCAGTCCGGCCTAGCGGACCCGACTAAGTGGGCTCAAGATGGCCTCATAGATCTGCGACCAACAGGTTAATATCATGGCCCGGGTCCCATGCAGGTGTCACGAATGCCTGGACTCGAGACGCAAGAAATCCCGAACTGTACGAAACCACTTTGGGTCTGCAAGATCTGGGGCGCTCACCAATAAACTTCGAGATAGCATACTAGCTGCATCTGAGACGCTCGGCCCTTGGAGCCACGGCATCACACAGACAGTCCCTACTACATACATCCATCGCCGACCACTTCAGTGGTGCATGTTCACCGCAGGAAGAGCCAAGCATTCGAAAACATAGGAACGCGAGTGCCGGGCGCAATATCATTCGATTTGCGGAAATTGCAAGTCTTCCTTGAGGACCAAGCCTCACTTTACCGGCGCAAAGGGGTTGGATGAAAGAGTGAGGCGGTTTCCCCGGAATCGGACGTGAGCAGCAGGCCTTGCAGACGTTCCATTTTGCTCGTAAAGGAGTCTATTTGGAAAGCCACATTTGCATAGGCGCAATCACGACAGGAAGACTTTTCTCAGGCCGATGACGGGTGTGCTGATCAACTCCTTAGTGATGGATACCGCCATGTACGGTCACATTGCCCTAGGGCATCCCGACACTTGAGAGACATATCCACATCGAGCCCACCGAGGCGTGACGAATGAAGCTTATGTCCGTTTGTTATCTCTTTCCTTGCATGACCAGAAAGTTGCCCTGGCTATTTATACGGCCCTCTTGAAGGTTCCAAACGACAGCCGTCATGGTCGAAAGTAGTTCTTTCTTAACAATATACGTCCAGCGCTCCCTCACTCATACCTGTTCATATCCGCGCTAGCTGTTCTCACTCCACGACTATGTCTCAAGTCCAACAATACTGGCTTCCAGGATACGGACTGTCGCGTCACATTGTCTTAGGCCACATACAATACTTTCTAGGGCCATCGGCCAGTGTCAGACCATACTCGTACCAGGTAGACTATACCAAAGACACAAAGCAAATGACCAACAACTCTCTCTAACATATGATCATGAATATAAGGGACGTGACGGCTACCTCATAGTCGGTGTACCTCTCACACGGGTCCGTCGCAGTCTCCCTCTTCTCTACTTCTTTTAGACCCATATTACCAAAGCTACTGACATGGGGACGGCCGATAGGAACAAATCGACGACCTTGCAACAATGTCCCGAGAGTACGAACGTCAAGAATCCCTCAGAATGGCGGGGGACGCAGGCATCAGCAGTTCCACCAGACAAACCGAACCCTATATCAATGAAATCGTACCAGTGGGGATGTCCGGAAGTCGTCGGAGACCGATGGAATATGAAACTCGACGAACTCGATGATTTTAGTGAAAGAAGAATTGTCATTCAACATTATTTACGTTCCTGCCGCGTGTGCTGTCCTGATTTCTCCAGCGGGCTTTCTTTTCACAGATACCTTGTTGTTGTTAAATATGTGGGGTTTTGGGTTTGTTGAACTTTCTTTCGGGTTCGGGGGTTTCTTCAATTGCGAGGCAGCTGAGACTGAGACTGAGACTGTATAATCGCTGCTGGAATACGGCATGATCATACGGCATGTGATCATGCTGTTTTAGGGTACGGAAAATACGGCCGAGAAAGTCAAAGCGATAGAGACGCTCCATAATACAACCAGACACAAAACAAACAGTCGAGATCAGATCCAGGCACGGGGTTTAGGGTTAAGTATTTAATTCCATCATCTCTATAGATCATTCGTAACAGCATAGATCGATCACACGTGGCCTAGCGATATCTCCCTCCCCTTGACGAGAGAAACACACACATATCCCAGCAGAAGGGAGGGGAGAGGGGGTTTGTGTATGTGTGTGTGTATGTGCAAGGACTGCGCTTTTGTTCTTCCCGGTCCCTGTTTCCCAGTTCGCCCTTTTCTTTTTCTTTTCTTTTCTTCCTCCTGATCGGCCCTTTTATCAGATAAAAAAGATGCCCAGATATTTGTGGATAAAATTGACGGTACTTCTTTTTTTTTAGGAGTCATCACACTAAAATCCCGAAGGGTGTCAACAAAAAAAAAGAAAGAAGAGATACACAGGGGGGGAAATAAACGAATATAGGTAGTGGGGGAAAATGAGACACGAAACCGGAAAGGAAAAGAAAAATAGGGGACCACCTGAACGCCAGCCTGATGCCACTCTGCTTTGGTCCCATCATTTATCAGGAAGTCCGCACTCCGGCGGGGAATACTACTAACATGAACAGAACTTAAGAGAACGGTAAAAGGACGAAGATTTCTTGTTTCGGAGTAAACTCAAGAAGGGGTGTCATTTATTTCGCAACGGCAGCACTGTGGGTATGATGTTAGTATACATGTCGAACAAGTCGGCTGGTAGGGGTGGAGACGAACCTCAGAACTTGCGTCCGGAAGAAGGCACCCTTGGTCTTCTCGATGACCTGCTGGTACACCGATTGAGGGGGGTGGTTCATGATCACGGTGCCCTCCTTGTAGTCGATCTTGGCGTCGACGCGGGTGTCGCGGATCAGGTTGACAATCCACTTCTCACCCTCATCCTGGTTCAGACCCAGACGGGTAGACAGGTCCCTAAGAGTTCGGTTAGCACGGTGGAAACAACCGTCACGTCGAGGGGACATACTTGATGTCGATCCGCTGGTGGATCTTGCAGTAGCTCTCGGAGATCAGGTGACGAGCAGCCTCGACGAAGGCATCGGCAGCCGAAACGAGGAAGAAGTCGCTCCGCAACACATCCTCGGCCTCACCCAGCTTCTTCTGAGCCTCCTCAAAGTCGAAGTCAACATACAGCGCCTTGACGAAGTCGGTGATGGGGTCGGTGTATTCGTAGCCCTCCTGGCGAACGACACGGATCAGGTCCTTCAGCTGCTTCTGGTAGACGTTGCTGTTCTTGTGGGAACGGTTGCGGTTGGTGATGACGGCGGCGGCGAGGTAGCGCAGGATCCAGGGGCAGCTGGTCTGGATGGTGTTGATGTAGGCGGGGGAGAAGAAAAGGTCGGTCAGGACATCGCGAGCGGGGTCGTAGTTGAAGAAGGGGAAGAGAGACCAGTGGATGAGCCAGGAGCGGTTCTGCAGCTGACCCAGGGGGTTGTTGAATAGACGGGTTTCGATCGAATCCTTGACCTTCTGGACCTCCTCCATAGCACCCTCCCAGCTGGTGGTCAGGATCTCCGAGGCGAGCTTACCCCATGTGGCGGAAGCAACCTTGTCGTTGTCGGTGGACAGGACACGGAACTGGTACAGCAGCTCGGCGGCGTTGCCGTAGCTACCGCAGCTGTACTGGAAGCGACCATAGTCGAAAAGGCTGTTGACCATATCCACGCTGACTCCGTGCTCCTCCTCGAGGAACTTCAAGTTGGCGACCTTGTCACTGCGCAGGTTGCCGACGACGCTCTCATCCTGCAGCAGCTCGGTGATCTTGGCGCTCTGGTCCTGGTAGTGCTCCAGCTTGGCGAGGACCTCCTCTCTCTTCTTGATGAATTCTTCGGGGATGCTGTCGGAGTCGTTGATTTCCTTCCACAGGTTGGCGACGTAGTCGGTCATGTTGGTGTGCTTGAGCAGCTCATACTTGGCACGGATGATCTCCTTGTCATCATCCTGGCTTCCGGAGCTGAATTCGAGAAGGGGGAAGACCAGGTGGCGGTCGAGGTAGGGGATCAACTTGGGCAGCAGGTCATACTGGTTGGCGATCTCTTCAGCGGTCTTGGGCGGGTGGGCGGCAGCACCGCTGAGAAGGGTCTCAGCGGAAGGAGGAACGTTGGCTGCCATGGTGAAGAGCAGCGAGTGGATAAACCGGGGGAGTCGGAGAGGGGGGGGGAGGGGAGACGGAGGAGGAGGGGGGAAGAAGGAGGGGAGAACAAAACCAGCAAAGGAAGCGATCTCGATGGATGGAGAGCGACCTTGTTCGGGATGGGCAGACAGAGTCAGTGTGCGGCGGCTTTTGCGCTGGCGAAAATGTGGGCGAAGGGCTGCAAGGCGCGCTAGTCCCCTCTGGGCCTAGCGGAAGGTCTCCGCGCCGAAGCAAGAAATCATCGCTTCATTTCTGCATGTCGTATGTTCGCTTCCCTCGGTGCTTCCGGTCTCCTCTCCTCCCCTCCTCCCCCCTCTCTGACTAGACTGCCTTCCTGGGTTGGTGCTCGATTCCCTCGCTGCTAGGAATCGTTTCGGCTGTCTCCGTTGCCTCTCCTTCCCCATCCCTTCCACCTCCATGGCGTCCGTTCTCCAGTCTCTGCCGGTCTGCTCGGCCGCTCGCAAGCAGTCCACCACCCTCCCCTTCTATCTCCAAAAGGCTTCACAGTTCAGAGCCTCCTCCGGAACGCGTAGCTCGCTCTCCACGCTATGTTCCGCTGCTAGATTGTCTCCCTCTCGTACGTTGCGACCCTTTCCGTCCGTTCCATCATTTGCTGTCTTCCGTGACAGTCAGCGTGGCTGTTCCTGAACAGCAAAAACTTAGAAAGAGACCAAACAATCCGGTGGAGCTTCGATCTGACCTACTCTTAGAACTCGCTCTCCGTCCCTCCTCCCGCTTCAACTCACATCCCAAGACTGCCGCCCAGCAATGTCGCACCTTCCTCGTTCAACTGAAGCGCCAATCTCAGACTCTCAAGGAGAACGCCCCGTCGCAACCGCCCGCTGACCTCCAACTCACCAACCTCCCTTATTTCATCCGTCGCACAGCCTCCAACCAGCTCCCCGTATACCTCGTCACCAAGGCCGGCGGAACCAAGCAGCAGACCAAGATTCAGAAGACCGAAGGTGATATGGATGCCCTGAGGAGTGATCTGGCACGGTACTTGGGCGTTGAGTCGGGCGACCCGCGCGCTCCCAAGAGCCAAGATGTCACAATCAACCGTCTTAACGGTCACATCATTGTCAAGGTACGCTCTACACGACCCTTCACCTGAGCAGCACGAAGCTAACGTGGTTCCTTCTCTTAGGGCTGGCGGAAACCCGAGATTCTGAAGTTCCTGGAGGAACGTAATTTCTAAATAAGAGAATAAGAGAAACGGATGCATCCCTGGATCCCTTTCGCTTACCCACTACCCACTACTCTTCATCGTCAACAACCCATTGAACCCGACGATAATGTCACACACACACATGTCTATTGTCACATATATCACGGAAAGCGTCAGGGATCCAGGGACTTAACATACGCAGCCGCAGACTGGGTCCCAAAAAAAGGGCAGACAGATGATGGGACGAAAACAAGCATAAGCAGCCAGCCATACGCGCGAACGCGATGGTTATGAAGGATTCCTCACTTCCTTTATTTCCCTTTTTCTGTTCTTTTCCAATTCCCCACTTCATTAGTCCTCTCCCGTGTATTATTTTCCTAGTGCTGGTGTTCAGTCGCCATTTCTTCTTCTTTCATTTTCGCGGAGCTTATCTAGCTGTTGAATACTGGCGTGATCTTTTCAAGTCTACGGCGCCAACTGCTGCGGGTTCGGTACTTTATGTCTTGCTTGCGTGCTCCAGACAGTGGTCGCCCCCCCCCACTATCTAGTGTGTAGTATCAATCAATCTTAACGTCCCCCCTTCCACTTTCTCTCTATCGTTCCGCTCAGCGCGGTTGTTACCAACCTGGCGGTATGACATGTTGCAAGATACCGGGTACGAGGTAATTGTGATACATCAAAACAGGTTACGGTGATCACCGGGCATCCCTTCCTGTCTTTGTTAGCTCACTTCGTACAATATACTACTCGCGACACCAGAACTACGAAGGACGATCAGCCGGAAACCAAAGCTTCCTGCCAGGTCTGTGTAGTTGATGACCATGATATGAAGTTACCCATTTAGGCATCATGCATGATTTTTTTTTTCGCCCGAGGGTATTGAACATTGTACAGCGGTAAACACAGAGATACACATTGTCACGCCTCTCAATAAATCTTCCCACCGGCGCCAAACAGGGCAAATAAAAGAAGAATGAGATGTAGATAGTGGTTTACTCAAGATGAATAGAAGACATGACAGAAGCAAACATCAACAAGGCATGCTCAAAGCGTGGCTAAAGCTTTTGGTTGCCCTCGCTAGAAACGACTCAAGAGGTCAACCGTCCAGAAGTGACCACAATCATTCCGCAAGTCGTGCATAAGTTATCAATTGCCGAACAACACCAGGATCTATGTTAGGCATCAACAAAGCCCCAAGCAGGCTCTCTTTCCTTGGAATAATCCCCGACGGGAAACGTAATGTGGCATTTGAATCGGTGAGTTTGGATTTCTCGGCCAATCGGCGCAGAATCGCCAGGCCTCGGTTTATTATGGAGCTGTATGCTGAGGCTTCCGCTTCAGCCTGACCTCTTGCGGCATGGGACTGGCGTGGATTGGTGTTGGGTGAGGGGAATCGTTCCGTGCTCAGGAGGCAAGAAAGCCGGAGGAGATGAATGGCAAACCCGTCAACGGACTCCAGCCATGATTTGGCGATGGGACCATCTGCAAACCCTGAAAGTATATCTGCAGCTAGAAGGCCTTGCATGAGGAAAACCTTGCGAGCATCCGCTATAGCCAAGGGTTTTCGGGGCTGGTCAGGAACCGGACAAATGGCGAGTGCAAAGGCACGGGTAAGCAACTCCTGTTGAATTGAGGTACCATCTCCAGAGAAAATCGCTCTGAAAAAGGTCCGGTTGGGCTCATCGCGTGCCAAAAGCTTGGCTAAGCTGTCAACCGCTGCCGGGGTGTACTTATGGATTGACGGGTTGTATGACGTGAACATAATGCCATCTGGACCCATTGGTCCTGGAAACGGCGCAAAAGAAAGAAGGAAGTGCAAAAGACAGAGGGCTTCTTCTTTACTCGGCAAATGAATGGTGTGGGCCACGTTGCTCAGGTACGTAACCGTGTCCTTCATGAAGTCCAAGGTGTTCTGATGCGTCCGTAGGAGCATATTGCGAGTCCCGAGATAACGAATGATAGTGGACATGAACTGAATGACTGGAGGCGTGGACAATATCCCGAAGTTCGACTCGATGAACGAAAAGTTGCGTAGGATAGTAGTGATGCAGATGAGGCGGTCAACGGCACGGTCTAATTCGTAGTCAAGACTTCCAAATTCAGGAATGTCCGCTAAGGTCGTCCACTCCGACTGGCATCCACGAGTTACCTCCTCATAAGAGGAAAGAAGCATCATGTCGGACACTTCTGCGGCATGTTCCGCAAGGAACTCAGCCTGGTCCTCGGCGCATTCTATTAGGCTCTCCACCAGATCGTCGCAGTTGTCTAAAGAGATTTGAATCGCTGGCTCAGAAGAGATAGATGTAAGAGTGTCCAACGCCATGCGCATTTCCGCATGGATCCCGGACTTGATGCTCATCGTGAGAGCGTGGATGTCGATTACACCCAGCTCGGCAAAAGTGGGAACATTGGGCTTAAATCGGGAGATCTCCTCTCCAATCTGATACATTTCATCGACAGCTATCAGACCATGGAAATTGCTTTCGGGTAAGACCATGGGCTTAAAGGGGTCCTCAATCTGGTGTTTCAAGGGCTGATCGGACGACTGATCTAGCTGCTCCGAAGGTTTTCCAGGCATCTGACTTGAACCCTTGCCGGACGGCGCAGGCGACTGGCTAGGTATTTGACCAGTAGGATCATGCGGCGTCGCCGGGGGCTGCGACTGGCGAGATATGCTAAGGCGGTGCTGAGTTTGCTGCTTACCCTGAGTCTTGACAGGGGTGGGTGTTGCGAACCCGTTCGAGGCACTGTGATTGTGTTGTACAGTACTTGGTACAGACGCGGCGACAGGCGATGGGTGTCCCATCTGTTGCGCATTTTCGAAACCCTGGCCCGATTTGATGGCTGGAGACTGGAATTGCAATGCTGATGGATCACTAGGTTGGCGGGGCACCGCTGTCTGCTGCATCTGGTCCGCAAACTGTTTCTGCTGCGTGCTGAGGAAAGCTTGTTCGTATGCCGCAAGGTTCCGCTGGTAGTGCTCTCGAATCTCCTGTACGGCCATTTGAAGTTGCATCGGGGGGAATTGAAGCTGCTGCGCGATGACATGCCACATATTTGTGGCGGTTATCTTTTTGGATCCACCCAGCTTCATGACTGTGGCATAAAGCTGAACTAGGTTGATTGGACGACCACAAACATGAGGACTCTGGTCTAGGGGCATATTCCGCGCCATCATGAATTTCTGCAAAGACCGCATGAACCCTTCGGGGTTGGGAGGTTTAGCCATAGTCTGTTGCATCTGTCTGATCGCAGCCATTTGTTGAGGATTCGCCATCGCATTCATCCCAGCTGCCACGGGTCGTCCAGCCATGGCGGGATTCATGGCCATCGGACGACCTTGATTTTGCATTTGCATAGCATGCATTCGCTGCTGTTGCTGCTGGGCAGCTATCGCCTGCTGATATCCCTGGGGCATGCCACCGTAGTGTGCCTGCATTGGTGCTTGCACTGTGGCAGACGTCATTGCCGGCGCAGGCGTGAACTGAGGCCCCATAGCCTGGGGAAAGGGTTGACCAGGCATGAATGAGTTGTTCTGCGGAGTGTTGACCCGACTCGGATGATCCGGTTGCGACGGAGACATATGAGAGCCTACTTGAGGGCCGGCTGGGGAAAATGGACTGGGGGAAGCCGTACCCATCCGTTGTACACCGTGTTGGTCAAATTCCTGCATAATTGGAGACTGGGTAACGTTCGGAGAAGCTCCTTGCTGGAGATGCTGGTACGGGGTCGGATGCGGAGGATATTGGGGCGCGCCATTGGCAGCTCCTTGATACCCTGGATATGGCACTTGATGAGGAGTCTGTGACCGGGACGCAGCGATGCCGCCAGGGGCCTGTCGGGGCGACATCGACATACCATCCTCTGGTCGCGGCCTCTTGGAAGGAATCACCTGGTTAGGGTTGTGGAAGCCAGGAGATGCATTTCGCGGCACGCCATTGAACATGCGCTGGAACTGGGTAGGGTCGGGGGTAGGAGAGGTGTGAAGGAATGTCGTTGAGGGATCAATGGTCGCCTGATGGAAAGCACCATTGTCATGGTTCGGAAGGTTCGAGGCGTCGGGTAGCCAGGCATTCATGTCGAGTGGTTTTGCCAACCCATCTGTAAGGTGACCAGAGCTGTCAGAAAAATGACACAAGCCGCCAGGCCATCATCGGTACGCGATCGACAAGAACAGCGGTGGTACAGTTATCATAAGCTTAATTTTTAGGAGCATATGACACAAGCACCAAGGTTTGTAGGGAAAAGAGGGTCTAGACGCGTCAGGTGAGGAAGCTGACAGTGAGGGCGTCGCGCTTCGGTCTGCGACACGAAGCAGCGACCACACCGAGAACAGCCACCCCAACGGGTACGGGAAGGGGATATAGTCTGGAGGGGGGGATGGATTGATGTTTCTCAAAGAGGGAAAATTGGAAGGGACAGGCAGAATGTACATACCGACAAGGCTGAACAACTAAAAATGCCGACTCACAAGCGGATGGAGGCCGGTCCCGAATAGCAGTGGTTGGAAGGCCGGAGAGAGAGATTGCGAGGAGATGGAGCAAGTCACGGGACCATGAGCGTCGCTGGTACCGCAAAAGGCAGAAAATTGCAGAGGCGTCGCGAGCGGCACTGGGTGGCAGAAGTCCGATCAGCAAATGGCAGGGGTCGGGGCCTGGGGGTTTCAGGTGACAACAAGCTGCAGAATTAAAAATGATCGAAAGCAGGACGATGGATCAGCCATAGAACGGCCTGCAACCCATGGACGAAGGACCCCCCCAGCGAGGGCTTGCAACGTGCGTGGTGGTCCCGAGGAATGGGTGAAAGGGTGGCCAGCGCTTAGTGCGTGGCCACAGTTGTGTGAGGCGTGTGGAAGGCAATCCAATGACTGGGAGACAAGCGGGGGAATCAATAGTCAGGAATGACAGGCGTACCTGGACTTAAAGCTCCGTAAAGATTTGGTACACTGCAGTACCTTGAAATTTGGTATTTTATTGGATCCGTTTAATCTTGTTTTTTTAGATTCTTTGCTGTTCCCCAAGGGAAGGAGGGGGCGTCTCCTTCTGGAAAGGTGGAGGCACACGGGGTTGGGAAAGGCAGGAATGGGGACGGGCGTGGAGTGATCAGAGGCGCCTCAGGAGTCGAGAACGCGAGTCGAGCGGACGGGAAGAGGGAACAAAACGATAGGCAAGTATGGATGGGACTGGCGTAAGGGTTTCCAGTAAGTTATCTTACCAGTAGTACGTAGCAGCAGCAACCAGCCTGGAGCAGCAGCAGCAGCAGGAGCAGAGCACAAGTCGGTAGTAGTCGGGCGCGGGTAAAAGGGGTGAGCCGAAACAGTAGGCGGACCTTGGCGGCAAATTAGGTAATCGTCACGGGCCAAGGATACGTCATAACCTCACAGGCAACTTATCGCCAGTACTACAGTAGTGCTGCGTACTGCGTTTTATGAACAAGACCACGCACAATCATTGTCACCACGCATCGCTGCATAATTTGCATAGTATTGAGGAATACCTAGTTGTGTTGTCTGCCAGACTACACCCACCAACAGTATCTCGTATTTCTTCCAACCTACTCATTTCAGTGCGTCTGGTTCGCCATTCCCCGATGTTGCCTCGGTCGAGGCATGACCTGCCTAATTCGGAAGTATTCCCAACCGCCCAGTTGGTCCGTCTCATGGACCATGAATGGCCACGACCCCGCGCGATGTTATCCAAATTTAGAGTATGCGGACTTCTATTCCATTTGAGGCCTCTAAGTCCTCTATAAAAGGGAGCGTCAACCTCGCCTGAATGTCTTCAGAGTACTCATCCCCATCTGACAGCAACACTGGGCTGTCATCATGGCGACATCGAAAGAATGGCAAAAAATGCTCAATGGTGAGCTTTATTGGGCCTGGGATGCAGACCTCCAAGCCAATCGAGAACGCTGTAAAGCAGCGTGCGAAAGGTTCAACCAAGCTGGCCAGGTCTCCCGGCGTCGCAGGGTGGAGCTATGGCGAGAGTGAGTGAGAGCTTTTTGGGCATTCTTCGAGCAAGGAGCCTTCTCTGATTTGACTACCTCATATATAGCATTCTGGGTGATAAGCGCCCTCTACCACCAGTCCATCCCGATCCCAAGGAAGACGAGAAGCTTTTCAATGACACGGATCCAGTTGTGGAACCTCCCATCTCCGTGGATCATGGCTTGAATCTCAAGGTTGGAAAGGGCACCTTTCTGAATATCAACCTTCTTGTTCTCGACACCTGTCTTGTGACGATCGGTGAAAGAGTGCTTTTCGGTCCAAACGTCTGTATTTATGGGGCGACTCATCCCATGGACCCGGCCGTGCGGCGAGGCTTGGAAGGCCCAGAAGCCGGCAAGGAGGTACATATCGAGGATGACGTGTGGATAGGAGGTAGCGCAATCATCTTAGCCGGGGTAACTGTTGGGCGGGGAAGCACGGTTGGAGCTGGCTCTGTCGTGACCAAGGTAAGTTTGGTGTTATGTTTGACTACCTCGTCTCTGTAACAGCATTGAGTAACTGTTTTCCCAGGACGTGCCTCCCTTCCACTTTGTTGCCGGAAACCCAGCCCGCATAATACGCCGGATTGAGACGAGCATGGACCCTGACCAAGAACCTAAAGAAGGCCAATCCGAGTAATCATACACTGTTCCCAATATTTGATCGTCGTCTTAGCGATAGGCACACCATAGACAATAGTATACCAGCAGTTTGAACTTCTCATCATTATCAACACCAGTAGCAATCGAACAAGGTAACTTGTTAGTCCAGGGAGTGAGTGTAACTGGAAATGCAAAACCACCACCAGACAGAATTCTATGAAACTCGCGTCTATCGCAATCGAGTCATTTCGGTCAGTGCAAGTCCTCCGTGCGTATACCCTCATATGATCAAATAATCGTGTTGTCGCGCCAATCCTGGACAGTGTGTCTGGGCCGACTAGTAAGCTTGGGGGAAAGATGCAATTCGAACAAGGCCACTTACGAAAGTCGTCCATGAGATGTTTGTGGAATCATCTGGTGCCTGTGCTGCACGAGCATCCCACACCTTTCTCAGTAAGTCAGCTGGAACTGGGTTGCGAAATTCCGACCTCCGCTCGATTTCGTGCAGTCTCGTCAGAACATAATACTGCGAATGGCGCGAGAGACAATCCGCTCCTGCCATGAAAACAGGTAAGACGAGAAGCTCCAGTAACGAGCAGTCCGAAGAGATCAACGCCGTTGCGTCAAGAATCCTTCTGACACATTCGTGTATATCCAGACTGCTTGCTGGCTTGGACGGGTCTAATAACCGAAGAATGCGCAGTATACATGCGAACTGAAAAGCCTCCGCGATGGCCAGCCAAAGAGGGTCAGTACTAGGATACTTCCTCCCTTGTGGGTCCCACGAGTAGAGCTTATGCCTCGCTAGGAGCAAGGCAATTTGATACTCATCCCAGGTTGACCAACCCAGTGTGTATTCCTTTGCTTTCTCCAGTGCTCCACCAATGACCAGGAAGACTTCTCTAGGACACCCGTTTACCAATTCGAACTTTTTATCGCTTGCGCAAGCAACCAACTCGCGGATATCCTGGGAAAAACACATTCTTTCTGATCCAGCAAATGCTCGAATAATATCAAGCCTGTTTCATTGCTAAGTCAGCCTTGTCTCAGAAACAACACATGAATGACATACCAGGCGAGGTTACCAAGAAAGAACACAGCCCGCTGACGTCGACCATGCAGTCCCTCGGCAATGAGCAGCTGTTTACAGACGGACATGGCGCCTGTGATATGAATTCCATGGCTCGAAACCCCTGATTCGCAAATCTAACGCCCGGTCAGTCCGTGTGCTCAAGCTGGAGGAGCTGGATAACGCAAACCTACATCATGAAGTAATAAAACCTGAATTATCGCCAAGACAGTATCCTGCTCGTCTTCGAGCAGAGACGTCCTCTGGCTCTTGCGGATTTCCTCGCTGAGCGCACGTATGGCCTTCATTCGGTACTCGACTGCAGTAGCCTCGTGTAGGAACTCGTCGTCAGTCAGTCGCCCAAGGTGAGAAGCAGCAAGTCCAAGAACGGCATACAACAAGCCGATCTTCTTTCGGGCCAACGGGAGAATGTACGCTCGATATGGGTTTTCTGCGTCATCTCCCACCTCAGCTATCTGATGAGGGCAGACAATCTCATCGTCTGCAGTATTGTATCAATAAATATGTACTCTGTTTCTTTGTCCGAGGGCAGAACCTACAGTGGCCTAGCAATCTGGCTGTGTCAGGAGAATTGAGAAGTGTGGTAACATCGTCTGGAAGCTCTGGCAGTGGCCGGCTGCGTTTTGCGGGAGGGCTTCCCGGGACAGGCGCTTCCTCTGGGGACTTCGAGCTATCATTTGAGGTGGCTGCAGAGGTTTGGTCACCTTCTGAAGGTAGCCGAGCAGTCACAGTAACTTCTTGCGTCGATACATTGGTCTCCGAGGCTGCATCGCTTACTCCTGTTCGTGTTCTGGTGGAGCTTCTACTGCTCACTGGGATGCGAGCACCCTTCCATTTACCTCGACTGGCAATTCCACAAAATCGGAACTGTTCTGGATATCCCCCGCATACTAAACCTTTCGAGATGCATCGTTGACAATCAGGACGAGCACGATCGCACTTACGGCATTTTTGCCGGCAGGTCAGGCATGCGGGACCTGCAAAAAGATATAAGCATCGGACCAGCAGCTCATCACGGTCATACGACTGGGTAGATTCCTACCAGCTCGTGGCATTCCGCCGTCAACAATAGGCTATCCTTCGCATGGGAAGGATGATTGATAAATCCCGGGTTTAGATAAGCAATGATATCATATGCATGGGTTGCACTTCATTTCAGGAGCTTAAATGGGAGAGTATCCAATGACTATCACTGCTATTGATCAAATTAAGCCCACGGTGTGTTGTGCCACCATCTGAGTCCTGAGCAGGGGCATCCATGGCCGGGCTGCTGGATATTTTACCCGATCAGGTACCGTTTGATTATGTAATTTGCTTCACATCATGTGATGCTCGTCGATGTCCACCATTCCCACTTTAGGCATTCATTCAGCCCAGCAGTCTGGAAGATATTCGGATCTACTCCGTAGGTACGGAGTACTATAGGTGAGACCCTCTTTGCCTCCGCAGAAGCTCAGAATAACCCACACCAGACTCTCTATGTTACCCAGCATGAACACAATAGACGGCTCATCCTTGTAATGTCTATGCAGGTCGTCATGGTCCGTTGTACGGAGTACAAGGAGACATTCACGACTCCATTGACTGGGTACACAACGTAGCTTCCGCTGAGCACTAGGAATTCGACGGGCTTCGAACTGCATGAGAGGATATAACTTCTGCCGTGCTCAACATTTAGTGTCAGGAACTATCCTTTAATGAAAATACGCAGGTGGACTCCTCAGATAAGCAATATATATTTTCACTACCAAGGATATTTGGAGAACTTGTGCACATTATTGATATGGTATGGAAACTACTGAGAACACACATCATGCTGTAGAAGCCTGGATGGATATAAAACAGCATCAAGCTAAACCCAAAGGGAAGAAAATAAGCATACCCAGTTCTTCTAACTGTGAGGTCGAATTTGCTTACGATAGGCATGCCCCATCGCCACTGATGGGCCGCCGAGCTCCAGGTCACATGACCACTGCCGTGAGCTTCGTGAGCCCGGCTGTCTGGCATCGACGCAATAGATCCAACCAGCTAAGTTCTTCTCCAACTTACCCACGACTGATCGATCATTTCGTCTCTGGAGGGCATTTATACCGACTTACAAATATCTGCGCTAGCTCTTTTTCGCATCTGCACTGATTTCCGACCTAGATTCCGCCATGGGAGACGTCGCCGTCGAGACTCCGGCGAACAACGTCACGCCTCACACCAAGGCAGCTCCATTGGACACGATTCCCAACATCGACTCCCTCGAAGGCACAGGAAACGATGGAGGTGATGAATATGCCACCCTGAAGAGGCTGCAGAGACACCTAGAGTACGTACGAGCAAGGATGACGGTTTCCGCAGCACTCGTTGACGCTTCAACAACAGGTACATTCAGCTCCAAGAGGAGTACATCAAGGATGAGCAAAGGCAAGCTATAACACACTTTTGATTGTCCGGTTGTTTGGCTAACGCCGGATATTGTACAGGAGCTTGAAGAGGGAACTCGTCCGCGCGCAGGAGGAGATCAAGCGGATACAGAGCGTGCCGTTGGTAATTGGGCAGTTTATGGAAGCGATCGATCAGAAGTATGGCGCTTTAATAAGCTACAGGGAAGCATCAAATAGCTAACATATTGCAGTACCGGTATTGTGCAGTCGTCGACCGGCTCGAATTACGTCGTCCGTATCTTGTCCACCCTCGACCGCGAGAAGCTCAAGCCCTCATCCTCGGTCGCACTCCACCGTCATTCTAATGCCCTTGTCGATATCCTTCCCCCAGAGGCGGACTCCTCCATTGCTATGCTGGGTGAAAGTGAGAAGCCTGATGTGACGTATGCAGATGTTGGTGGGCTTGACATGCAGAAGCAAGAGATTAGGGAGGCAGTCGAGCTGCCTTTGACGCACTTTGACCTTTACAAACAAATCGGTGAGCTTATATTTCTCCTCGCTCCACTCCCAGGAAGCTCGATTGTTAATACTGGCCCATCTAGGTATTGATCCTCCTCGTGGTGTTCTTCTCTACGGCCCTCCCGGTACCGGTAAGACCATGCTCGTCAAGGCAGTGGCAAACAGCACAACTGCCAGCTTCATTCGTGTAAACGGTTCCGAGTTCGTTCAGAAATATCTGGGTGAAGGTCCTCGCATGGTTCGTGATGTTTTCCGCATGGCGCGGGAGAACTCTCCGGCTATCATCTTCATCGACGAGATTGACGCCATCGCCACAAAGCGTTTCGACGCCCAAACCGGTGCGGACCGTGAGGTGCAGCGTATTTTGCTGGAACTCCTGAATCAGATGGATGGTTTCGAACAGACGAGCAATGTCAAGGTTATCATGGCTACTAACAGAGCGGATACTTTGGATCCGGCCTTGCTACGTCCGGGTCGTTTGGACCGGAAGATCGAGTTCCCGTCTTTGAGGGATAGACGCGAGCGCCGGTTGATTTTCTCTACGATAGCGTCTAAGATGTCACTGTCCCCCGAAGTCGACTTGGACTCGCTGATCGTTCGCAACGAGCCCCTGTCCGGTGCGGTCATTGCGGCTATTATGCAAGAGGCGGGTCTCCGCGCCGTCCGGAAGAACCGTTACAACATCATTCAGTCCGACCTCGAGGATGCTTATGCGGCTCAGGTCAAGACCGGGCAGGAAGCGGATAGGTACGAGACACTGTCTATGCACTTCGTCATCAGGACACGGCTAACAAGGAACACAGACTCGAATTCTACCGGTAAATCAAGCGTGGAGCGTACTTCAAGCCGGATATCGGATGGCTCAAGGCGAATAGGGGGACAGTTAGCTGTATTACCAAATCTAGGCTATCATATATTAGGACAACGACTGATGCATTTGGGTATTCCGCTGGAGTAGCCTATCTGTTGGGTGCAAGCAGTACAACGGTAGAACACATCAGCGCCGCCACTTGTCTTGGGCTGTGTCGACGCACGCTCCACTCTGGACGGCTATGTAGGGACCTACAGGTGAACGTATCTGCTGCCTGGGCGATAGGTACCCAGTAGATTGTACCTGTCTCCAGCTGTTGGCCAGTTTGACAAGGCGCTTGCGCTAGTTTAAAGTAGGCAGGCACCGAACCTACCTAGGCATGGAAGGCGGTCTTACATCATCACCCGCGGCCGGGTTCGCGTGATCCGAGCAATGATAAGGCGCCAGCAACGGGGACCTCGGGAATCCAGCGCGCCATCATCCCCAACATCGCGATGCGAATCTAATGTGAATGAGCTGGACGTAAAGACGTGAGCTGGAGCTTGTACGGTAGAATCTGAATACCCAAAAAAGATGTACCTGAAAGACCTGGCGGTCCAGAGGATCAACTGACCCGATAACCCGTGACGATCCCCTTGCCAATGACGCAGCCGGGGCAGCCAACCATTGGCTGCGGCTGGGAGGTCGCTCCGCAACCAGAGGAGCCGGGCTCTCGACGGTCACCCGCATCACTTCCCTGTCCCCAGACCTCCTCTTCTCCTGCTATCTCTCTCTCCTCTCCCCATCCCCCTCGGTTCTTATCCTCATCTTTATTCATACGTGCATCCTCTCGTCTGTCTGTCCCGGGCCATCACATCTCGCCGGGTCGTTGTTTCCGCTGTCGCCCATCATGAAGTCGACCTCCTTGCTCACAGCATCCGTGCTGTTGGGCTATGCCTCCGGCGAGGTTCACAAGCTGAAGCTTGACAAGGTTCCTTTGGAGGAGCAGCTTGTGAGTTCTCCCATCGGTGCTTGTAATACTAGCTAGACAATATCCTTGAATGCTTCCGGGACTTCCAAAGCTGACCCTATCATCCGTAGCTCACGCATAACATGGACGCCCATGTCCGCGCCTTGGGTCAGAAGTACATGGGTATCCGCCCATCCATCCACCAGGAACTGGTTGAGCAGAACCCCATCAATGACCTGAGCCGCCACGATGTCTTGGTGGACAACTTCATGAATGCACAGTGTACGCAAACGATGTCTCCTGTGGCCAAATTGATTAGGAACTGCCGCTGACACTCCCTTCCCTAGACTTCTCCGAGATCGAACTGGGTACTCCCCCCCAGAAGTTCAAGGTTGTCCTGGATACTGGCAGCTCGAACCTGTGGGTTCCATCCTCCGAATGCGGCTCTATTGCCTGCTACCTCCATAACAAGTATGACTCGTCTGCCTCGAGTTCGTACCAGAAGAACGGCAGTGAGTTCGCTATCAAGTACGGCTCTGGTAGCCTGAGCGGATTCATCTCCCAGGACACCCTTAAGATCGGGGACCTGAAGATCAAGGGACAGGACTTCGCTGAGGCGACCAACGAGCCTGGCCTTGCCTTTGCTTTCGGCCGATTCGACGGCATTCTCGGATTGGGCTATGACACCATCTCCGTGAACAAGATTGTTCCCCCATTCTACAACATGCTCGACCAGGAGCTCCTTGATGAGCCGGTCTTTGCTTTCTACCTCGGGGATGCCAACACGGAAGGTGATAACTCCGAGGCCACCTTCGGTGGTATTGACAAGGATCACTACACTGGAGAGCTGATCAAGATCCCCCTCCGTCGCAAGGCTTACTGGGAGGTGGACCTTGACGCTATCGCTCTTGGTGACGATGTTGCCGAGCTCGAGAACACCGGTGTCATCCTGGACACTGGCACTTCCCTGATTGCCCTGCCTGCCGACCTTGCGGAGATGATGTAAGTTCAATGCTTTCTCGCGTCACGACACACTGCTCACAATCTTCACAGCAACGCTCAGATTGGTGCCAAGAAGGGCTGGACTGGCCAGTACACTCTTGACTGCGCGAAGCGCTCGTCCCTGCCCGACGTTACCTTCACCCTTAGCGGCCACAACTTCTCGATCTCCGCTTACGACTACACCCTGGAGGCGCAGGGATCTTGCATCAGTGCCTTCATGGGCATGGACTTCCCCGAGCCCGTGGGACCCCTGGCCATTCTGGGTGATTCGTTCCTGCGCAAGTGGTACAGCGTGTATGACCTCGGCAACAGCGCCGTTGGTCTGGCCAAGGCCAAGTAAGGTGATATGGCAGATCTCTTCGTCGCCGTGATGATTGTTATTTGTAGCTGGGGATCTCCGAGCCTGGCTGGCCTGATCTATTCTTTGCAGACGCAGCAGGATGTAATTTTGCGGATGGTTCCCTCATGTTTCCAGCGGTTGCCGGATAGGCTCTAGGGATCTCCAATGGAATGCCGGTGATATTGTTCTATCTATGTTCTTGCTGGAATTTTGATTGAAGATGCAATACAAGTAGCACTAGACGTGAAATGACCATTTCGCTTTGAGGGATGTTCCTCTTGTAGATGTGTAGACATAAGCGGGGCCCTCCGGGAAGAGGTCGACCACGAAAACTACAAGAGATCGCATGAGCAGGCCGAGTCTGGGCCGCCCAGTCTCGCCCCGCACAGGCCAGCCGTCGAACCCATGACTCTTGGCAGCCAAACCTTCTTCATCCACGGTCTCACCTCCACGCCCGCTCCTCTTGCTTTCTTTCTTTCATCATCACCTCCCGCGTCCTTTTATCCTTCCTCGTTCTCCACCTAACCGCTTCTTTGTTCTGGACCTGCGCCTTCAGCACCCGGCGCCGATTGGTCCGCTACCCTCAGCTCGAGAGCTTCCCGCTTCATTGTATTCGTCGCGTCCTTGCGTGGCGAACCACCCGCGACAACAACCTACCTTCTTTGACCTGTTCATCTGATCTTCATCCCGCTTTTCCGGTCGCATTCCATCCAACAAGCCTTTCCGTTGAGACCCTCGCGCCTGGTCGAGCTTCGTCTGCTTGCTGTTGTTCCCATCGACAGCAGTCATCGGGCATGGCTCCGTAGCTGTCGAGGTCGTTTCCTTTCTTTCGCAACCGAAACATTCAACTCCTCGACCGGTACTGCTTCGCTATCGGTGATAGGGAGGTAGGGGGTTTTTCTGGAGGGGGTTGGAGACGAGGATTGATTACCATTAACGATTAAAAGCCAGGCATGCTTCTCCGGTTACCGCCCAGCCTCCATTACCCGATCACCGTCACGTCGCTGCTCAAACAGCCGGGCGATGCGGTGGAACGGGATGAGGCGTTGTTTTGGTATGTCTACCAGACTACCGTCACGGAGGGTGATGGGCTGGGGAATAAGATCGAGGTGAAGCGCAAGTTTCCGACCAAGTTTGAGTCGACGGTTGATGGTGAGGTGGTACAATGGAAGATTGCTAAGGGTGATGTTATTGATGAACCGTATGTTGTTTTCTTGTGGTTTTTGGAACAATGGTGGTTGGTGTTGGCTGACGTGTGGTTTGTTGGGTTTAGGGTGGATGTTCTAGAGGTCGATGAGCCATGTGCCCATGAGGTTCAGTTTGGCGGTCTCTGTGCTGAGTGTGGCAAGGATATGACTGAGTAGGTGTTTCAAGGATGCTTGTGGGATCTGGCTGACAGTTATAGGTCGTCGTATAATACAGAGGTGGCTGATGTGATGCGCGCGCCGATCCAGATGGCCCATGATAATACCGCCCTGACCGTCAGTGCTCGGGAAGCTACAAGAGTGGAGGAAGATGCGAAGCGTCGTTTACTGTCGAACCGGAAACTCTCGCTTGTTGTCGATCTGGACCAGACGATTATTCATGCTACTGTTGACCCGACGGTGGGAGAGTGGATGCAGGATAAGGAGAACCCGAACTACCAAGCTCTGAGCGATGTTCGTGCGTTTCAGCTGGTGGACGATGGACCCGGCATGCGTGGATGTTGGTACTATGTCAAATTACGACCTGGGCTAGAGTCATTTCTGCAGAATGTCTCGGAGATGTTTGAGCTGCATATTTACACCATGGGAACGAGAGCCTATGCGCAACATATCGCCAGTATCATAGATCCAGATCGCTCGCTCTTTGGGGACCGTATTCTCAGCCGTGACGAGAGTGGTAGTCTGACGGCCAAGAACCTGCACCGGCTGTTTCCGGTGGACACCAAGATGGTCGTCATTATCGACGACCGCGGGGACGTCTGGCGCTGGAGCCCCAATCTCATCAAGGTGTCGCCCTATGACTTTTTCGTTGGCATTGGGGACATCAACTCGAGTTTCCTCCCCAAGAAGCAGGAGCTGGGGCCACCCAGCAAGCCTGGCGAGAAGCCGGCGCCCAAGCCAACGAAGGGTGCGCTGGAGGAGCACCACGTCAACGGGGCAACCGCGAAGACCGATGAGCAGAGCGAGGTTTCGACATTAGAGCAGCTGGTGACGATGGGTGGTGGAGACAATCCTCGACTATTGCAGGAGCAGAGTGACGCGCAAGAGGAGACAATTATGCATCAGGTGGAGGACCGGCCGTTGCTGCAGAAGCAGCGGGAGCTGGATGCGGAGGATGACGCGGCGGAGAGCAGCGATACTTCCAGCAGTATGGACGACTCGCAAGATCTGAGCAAGCACCGGCATCATCTGTTGGAGGACAACGACCGGGAGCTGTTCGACTTGGAAGTGCGCCTGGAGCAGGTGCACCGGGACTTCTTTGACGAATACGACCGAAGAAGGTCACGGGCGCTGGGCGGCCGCGTGGCAGCTCTCCGAGGCGAAAAGGTGCCGTCCAAGGAGAAGGATGTGGATCTGAAACTGGTGCCCGACGTCAAGGACATCATGCCTCATATCAAGCGGCGCATCCTCGGCGGCGTCGTTCTGGTATTCTCTGGCGTGCTCCCGCTCGGCACGGATACGCAGAATGCCGATATCTCCCTCTGGGCGAAGAGCTTTGGCGTCGTCATCGCATCCAAGATCAATGTACGGACCACACATCTTGTGGCCGGGCGCAACCGCACCGCCAAAGTGCGAGAAGCGACGCGATATCCCAAGATCAAGATTGTTACGACGCAATGGCTCCTGGACTGTCTCATCCAATGGAAGCGACTGGCCGAGGAACCATATCTACTGCCGGTGCACCCTGACGACCGCGGGGAGCCGATCTCGCCCGGATCTAAAGAGTTGGCTGAGAGCTCGTGGCTTTCGTCCTCGGACGACGCCACCGGGGACTCTTTAGCGGATGACGAGGAGGCAACCGAAGACATCCTCAAGTCGGCAGGCATGGATCAAATGTCGCCCATTGGCTACGATGAGGAGCAACAGGCGGCCGTGCATGAGGAGCTCAAGGAGTTCCTGGGCAGTGACGACGAGAGTGAGAGTGACAGCGATGTGTCGATGGTAGACGAGATGGGCGCCAGCAAGAAGCGAAAGCGTGAAGATGGTGACGGGAGCGGGGACGAGGAGACGGACAGTGCCGGCGAGGAGGGCGACGTGCCCGGCTCACGGCTGGCGCAGCGGATCAAACGGTCGTACGAGCGGAGTACCGGACTCAAGGAGATGGCCAGCGCAGGGACCGAGGCATCGACAGCTGCATCCACAACGCCAGACGAGCCAGACGAGGCGTCCGCGCTGCAGGGCCCGGCGGAGAGCTCCCCGGTGGACCCGGCAGAGGTGGACCCGGCGGAGGAGGACGACGAGCTGGAGCGAGAGATGCTGGCGGCGTTTGAGGACGGGGACTACAACTCGGAGGCGGAGGAGCAGATTGCGAACGAGAATGGATAGGACATGTATCTGGTTGGATTGGTGTGGATCTTGGATGTGATCTTGGCAGTGTAATTTATTGGGGGCGTTACTGTCGAGCATTTGCTTGTCGAAGTGATGGCATAGCGAGGGCGTTAGTAGCGCGAAAAATGATACATTTACCATGCAGTAAACCCGTCTGGATCATACTCTGTATGCCAACTCCCCTACCATCCCCCCCGGAAAGAAGAGAATCATTCATATATTCATAACCATAAGTAAATACATCAATCCCATCACATCATACAATCATCAATCATAATACATCATCCCCTCGCTGCCCCAGCCCCAACCAACAATAAATAAGAAACCAAAGAAACATATACCCCCGAAACATCCAAAGAAAAGAGAGAAATAAAAATCACCTATACAAATCCCGATTCACCTGCCACGACATAATAATCATCCAAACATAGAAAATGGTATTCACCAATTCAAACGCAAAGGCCGTTCTCCAACAGTTACCTACCACCACCACCACCAACAAATACGTTAGCTGAGTTCCCCATTATCAACCCCCCCCCAAACCAAAGAAGAAAGTAAAAGGACAACTCACAAATATTCTCCTCCGTAATCCACGCCAAGGTCCTCCACCCATCGCCCACCTCCCGCCCCGCCCCATCCACATAAATGCGACAATTATCATTAACGTTCGCCAACACACCATACAGCTGCAACGAAGTCTCCACGAGGCCCGTTAACCATAGCACGAAGAGAATGAATCCGCCGACGATGATGATGCCGGGGAGGAGGAAGCGTTGTGCGGCGAGGACCAGGATCAGGATTACGAAGAAGATCCCGAGGGCGCTGGTGGTTATCATGTAGGGGAAGAGCCTGTAGATTTATTAGGATGGGGTTGGGGGGGATGGGGGGGGAGGAGGATGATTGGGGGAGGAATTGAGGGGGGAATGTATACCAGGGGACTTCGAGTTGGAGATCATTCTGGACGGTCATGAACCAGGCGAAGATACCGAGACAGATGGCGGAGGAGGAGAGGGCGACTAGGATCCAGATGTTGAGTTGGAGTTCCGGCCAGTGGTACCGGCGGCGGCGGTGGTAGATTCGGACGGCCATTCTATTCTCTTTCTTTGTTTGTTTCTTTGTTTCTTTGGGTGGGTTGTGGTGGTGGTCAGTAAGTAGGGTAGTATAGTTGTAGGTAGGTGTAGGTGGTGGTGGGGTGAGGTATATAGCAATGTGACTATAGAGTATACCGCTCAATCAATGGGAATATTAATAAATAAGAGAGATGACCGGTTGTATCAGATCAGGCAGAAGCGTCACTTTCGCCTGACTCGTCGAGGCTTGACTGCCAGCGCATTGGTGTGTTCCTGACCGATGAAGCGATGCCGTGCGGGTCCAATGCTCAGCTCTAACAAACCGATAGATAATTTTAAACCAGGTATTTATCGGACAGCTTAACCTTACAAAGTAGGATGACAAGTGAAGAAGAAAGAATGAAGAATGTCCTCCGTACTGCGTACCCATTACGGAGTACTCCCATGAAAATCCGGTGGCAGGAAATGTGCAGGAAATGCGGTGGCGGGATTAGCCCCAACCCTGATGCCGATAAACTGCTGCCGAATTTATTGCTCATAAATCATCCTCTATCTATACTCCATTGGTCTAATCTACAACAGCGTGTCGCCCAGCGCACTCCGCACCAACGAACATCCCGTCCGGATCGTGTCGCTCGCCCCCGACTCCTCCAGGCTGGGGTTCACCTCCACCAGATCCATCGCCACCAGGTTGCCCGTCTCGTGCACACACTCGCAGATGAAGTCGCCCTCCCGCAGCGTCAGTCCACCGCGCACTGGCGTGCCCGTGCTGGGCGCCCACTGCGGGTCCAGCGCATCCACGTCAAACGACAGGTGGATCGGCGTGTCGTTGCCAATGTGCGCCAGGGCCATCTCGACCACGCGACCAATGCCGTACCTGACAGAATTAGCGGACGCAAAAAACACTTGGAACAGGGGCACCAACCGGTCAATATCATGCATGCTGAACGCCTTAATGCCATGCTCCCGGAGAATCTGCTTCTCGCCCCGGTCCACATCCCGGAGACCAATGTACACCAGCTTGCGCGTGTTGACAATGTGCTCCTCCTGCAGCCACCCGAAAATGTCCGGACGCTCCTCGCGAGCCAGGCGCGTCAGGAACGCCATGGGCATGCCGTGGATGTTACCGCTGGGGCTCATCTCGGGGATGTTGATATCGGCGTGCGCATCCACCCAGATGACCGCCATCTCGCGGCCCAGGCGCTCGCGGATGGCCTTGGCCGTGCCCGAGATGGTACCGATCGCGATCGAGTGGTCGCCGCCCAGGGTCAGCACAAACTTGCCCTCCTTGGCGTGCTCATAGACCTGCGTGCTCAGCGCCTCGGTGACGGCACTGACCGACCGGGGCTTCTTCATGCCGCGGTGGTCGGGGTCGGCGGCGGGCATCTTGTCCTCGTAGTAGTGAACCTGGTCGTCATAGTGCAGGTCGTAGCCCAGATCGTCGCGCAGTTGCTCGAGGAGACCGGCCTCGACCAGAGCCATCGGAGCCGCTTCGACGCCCATCTTGCACTGCAGCCAGGCCCGCATGGGGCGTGGGTTAGCCGGGTTCTGACGCTAGACTGCGGTGACGATGATCGACGGATCCGTCGCCGGGATTTTTGTACGTACCTGGCCGCCATTGAAGCCCACGGCCACCACACCCAACTGGTTGGGCTTGGAGAGGAATCTCTGCCGGATTGTGGAGGGAGAAGTCATGATGAATCTGTGGGGGGAGAGAGAGAGGAAGAGGGGAGGAGGAGAGTCGCGAGGACGAGTGAAGAAAAAGAAAAGGTTCTAGAAGGCGGGACCCAAGATTGAGATAAGATCAAGGCGGGTGGAGACGATCCGAGGCTGGCACGGCCGTGGACACAACAACACACAAGGCAAACCACGAGGGAGAGAAAGGAGGGAGAAGACGAGGAAGAGCAGCAAGGCTGATGAGAATGAAAGAAGAGAAAGAAAGCAGGAAATGCGCCGGAGAAGCAGGAAGGAGGCCGGGTTAAAAGGGCGGGCGGCCGTGGGGCATCGCGATCGCTAAGACCTGCTTTTAGGGATCAGGCATTCCCCTAAGTACAGGTCCAGGAGAGATGCCCGCCGCGGCTGCCCTTTTCACTCCACCGCCCGTTTCCATTAGCAATTGATTCGCCCCAGATACGCTCGGAATGCTACGCCGTGATAGTCACGGACATACTCGTGCGGAAATCGCTCGCGGGATTTCACGGGGCTGACGCCGGGTCCCCCCCCGGCTAATGGGTATCATGACAGCTACATCTACAGTCTAGACGTCGGATGAAGAGAATACATTAACTCCGTCCCTCCAGAATCAACTCCCGCAGGATCGCATCCGCCTTGGGGGCTTCCACCCGACCCTTCTCGCCCATCCGCATCATCTGTCCGACAAACCACCCCAGCTTGCCCAGTTGGTTCTTCTGCCGGATCTGCTCGACCATCGCCGGGTTGAGGTTGATCGCGGCCTCAGCCAGTGCCACGTACTCCTCTCGCGATAGCGGCCGCAGCAGCAGGTTCTCCTCTTCCAGGAGTTGGGGGATCGGCCGCGCATCCCCATCAAACACCATGGCCAGCACCTGCTTCGCCGTCGGGCCCGTGATGCGTTGCCGCTGCAGCTGGTCGATCAGCGCGGCCAGGGTTGGGGCAGGAACCCGCTCGCCATCCCACGCCAGGTCCGCTTTGGTCAACAGACCCCCAAGCTCGTGGAGAACCCAGTTCCCCGCCACGCGCGCGAGCCCTTTCTGCGCCTTAGGGCCCTGGTCCTGCTGCAGCGCCCGCAGGAGGTCCACCACCTCCTGGTAGTATTCCAGCCGAGCGCCGTCCTCGAGTTCGACCAGCGGCTTCGCGTCCTCGAGGGGCAGCCCATAGTCCGGCCCCGCCAGCAGTTCGATGAGCGCGTCCGAGGACGTCGGGAGGGTGTTTCGGAGCTCCGTGACAAGGTCCGCGCCGATGTAAAGGGGCGGCAGATCAGGATCGGGCATGTAGCGATAGTCAACCTCCCCCTCCTTGCCTCGTAGTTTGCGCGTCTCCGTGCTTCCGATCGTCCAGCCTCGGGTCTCGCCTGCCACCACCCCGCCGCTCTCGAGGACGGCAATCTGTCGGTTCTTCTCCGCGATGATGGCGTCCTCCACGGCCTTGAAACTGCTCAGGTTCTTGATTTCCGTGCGCTGTCCGAGTCCACTGATGCCGCCGTACTGATGCGCGCCTGCTGCATCCCCCCGTTGGCGGATGGAGACGTTGACGTCAGCCCGCAGACCTCCCAGCTCCATGCCGGTTGTCACCGCATTGCACGCCTGCAGGATGGACTGGATCTTTCGAACACAGGCCGCCGCGGTGGCGGGCGTGTGGATCTGCGGCATGGTGATGATCTCAACGAGGGGATGGGAGACACGGTTGAAGTCGAGGAGTTGCGTCGAGGGAGGGTATTCTTGGGACTTGGCGGTATCCTGTTCCATCTGGACCTGCTTGATGCCGATGCGGACCATGTCGCCGTCCTCGGGCGCAATGCCGTCGTGGGCGAACAAATCCACATAGCCATTCTTCGCAAAAGGCTCTGTTCTGTGTTAGAGTGCGAAACGGCCGCGGGGCGACTCAGTTACCATAGTATTGGGTGATCTGGTATCCAGCCGGCTGGTCCTGGTAGAAGTAGTGTTTCCGGTCGAACCTGCTGACTGGTTGAATGTCACAATTTAAAGCAAGGGCGGCACGGAGGGCGGGGAGGAGCGTTGCGATTTGGAACTCCTACACAGTAAACGTTCGCCTGTTATCATCTGTAGCGCATGCACGTTGGAACGGATCAACAAACCGGTTGGGTCCCTGGGAAAGCCAGGTCGAATAGGGCAACATTCGAGTTGGGTAGATCCGTAGATGACGTCGGCGCTCCTGTCACAGAGATCAGTTAGAGCCCCCAATATAACCCATGAAATTCCAATCACCCACGAGAAAACAACTTGGACTCGGTGTTCAACTGCGCATGGATCTCAATGCCCACTGTCAACTCCCATTTCTGCCGGGAAGCCTCCTCATTCTCTCGTGTCTGTCGCTTGCGCGCCTTGACGGCCTTGGCGTCCTGCTTCAACTGCTTTCGAAGAGGGACGCGGTCCGGTGACTCGGCGGCGGTTGTTTGAAGGGTTCGAATTGGTTGCGAGAGGGACCTGGGGTTAAGGGTACGCCTGGTGAACTGCGGCCGGGGGAGATGGCATTGCGAGCAGGCGAGCGAGCGGGTTGCTCGCGGGCACTGCCGAAGCCATGGTCGAAGCATGAGCCCGAGGGCAGTGAAAGGAAAAGGGCGGATCCGCTGGAGGGGAAGATCGGAGGTTGCAGGGGAAGAAAAGAGGGGATCGTCCAACAGCAAGCACAATTCGTCTGCTGGAGACAGTCTGGACGGGGATTGGAATCAATGGCAGCACGGAATTAAGCGCGCGGAGAAGATTACAGCCCGTACCATACGGTAATTAACTACTCTCACCGCTGAGACAGCACGAATCATGAATGGCTTCAGAAATAGCCCGGATGGAATGATGGGAATGAGGGGAGCAGATGGTGCATCAGCACCAATAAGATTATCTCCGTAGAGGGTTCCAAGACCTCCCATTCGTGATGCGCTGGTGGCAAGTTCGCGCATCGCCTACCCTCCTGCATGTCATGCTTCCAGAGTCTCCAGGACGGGCATGTCATGCATCAAGCCCGGGGATCAGCGGAACCGTAGAGAAAGAGAGCAACTGAAGATAAAGAGGCAGGGCGAGAACCGCAGAGACCGACACAAGCAAACCGGTTTGTAACCCCGGACAGACACCAGCTCACGATGGCTTTCAACCAACGCATCGCGCGGTGCCTGAGATATCCAAGCGATGAATGACCATCGCTGTCGTGTCCGGCACGATAACGCCGAAGAATTTGAGCATGCAAGGTGGGATCGGCAGCGAGTCACCGTCAGCCAACGCAGCATAACCTTTACAGGAACTTTAGCAGTTCGTCTGATGGAGGAGGAAGAAGAGGAGAAGAATAAGAAGAAGGAGGGACAGATGATCCCGCGTCGAGCATGTATACAACGGCTGCCAGATTCCGCCGTCCCTCTTCTTCTCTAATCCTTTCTTCACCCCGCTGCTCTTCAGTCTGCATCCCCCTTCCTCCCACCGAGTGTCATCGAATCCTGGATTCTCTCCCCTTCTTTGCTGCCTAGGAGAAGATATCCCGCCCGACAGGGAAGGGCCCTCGCGATCGAAGACGATCTGTAACTCGGGGCGCCTACTACAACGAATGAGACCCCGCCGAGGTTATCGCGTCCAAAAAAAGCATCTGCTCAACTCACCATCGGGCATTTGATTTGATATTCTCCCTCCTGGATATTGTCGGAGATTTGTCTCATCTTGAGCATTGGTCTTGGGGGCTGATCCGGCCTCTGGAGTGACTATTTACTGGTGACCATTCCCGGGTTCGTCTCCATCAGCCTTGCTACTATTCATCTACTTCCACTGATCACGATCGGTCTAAGAACAGGCTAAGCGGCGGGATCTCCATCTGGACGGCTCCATAATCCGTCAGCGATCTTCAAGTCTCCGCTTGTCATTAAATTAATTCACTAAACCGACCCGACGGGCTGGCCGCCCAAGGGAGACCTATCAACCACCACATTCTGCCCTGCATTCCTGGGCACTCTTCCGAGATTCACGCCATCCAAGAGGCCCGATTGTTTCTCCCTTGATATGCCCCCTCCAAACAACCCAGGCCTTTCTCTAGACGCCTCTCATTGTTAGCTACCATCGCTCCATTCGTCTCTGGGGCATGACAATTTCAACCTTCAATTCTCCTTCTTATCCACCAGTTCCAACAATGCCATTCTATTCTACATCGACTCGCTCCAAGAGACCCAAAAGAGATGGAGCAGGAAGAGCAGCGTCGGTTATCTCTACCAACTCTCATTCCACCTCAAAAAGCTCGAAGCTCTCCGGGGATAAACCGAAGGTAGAGAGCAAGGCCTCGTCCACGGTACCACAGAGCAACGGATCAAGCATTGCGCAGGCTGTACGGCCACAACCGACACAAGCCAAAGGTGAATCAGAACGCAAAGCGCCAAATGTCTTCGAATACCTCGAGGACAATTCCACCACAACTGAAGAGGAGGACGATGATGATGAGGAGTCTTCGGCAGACGAGTACGAACACCCCCGGGTTCCCAATAGCCACCCTAAGACGGTGTATACTGGCTCTGCCCGTCAGACTTATCCAGCGGCGTCCCAAGGGACGGACACTCGCAGCCGTACCTCGTCCGTGATGTCCAAGTCCTCGGCCGGTTCCCAGAAAACCCCCAGCTCCATTGACATCCCTCCTAGTGCAGCCACCTCGCACGTAACGAGGAATAGCATCCCTACCCACAAACCCTCTCTGGAAGCAACCTACAGCACAGTAGGGGCTTTTCCGGATAGTTCACACTATCTTGAGAAACAGAGCATGGACTTGGGCTCCAGGCCGGAGGTTTATTACCCCCGCAACTCAGTCTCCCTTCATCGGTCACCGCTTCCTCCTTCGCCGCCGCGAAGCCCGGAAGAAGACCTCCACCGGCCCACTCGCCGACGCAGGCGCAGCACCAAATCCTCTTCTGCTTCTTCCGGATATGGTCTTCTTGCTTCGCGGTTGAGCTCGTCCACCGAGAGCCAGGAGCCCCGGATTCCTCCTCTGTATCGCCGATTTGAGGATGTCAACCATCGCGTACTGCTCCATCTTCAGGATGAGATTGCACAGATGGAGGAAGACCTGCGAGTGCTGGACGAGTACGAGGAACTGCATCGGGCTGCGGCTGCTGAGCAGGAGGGCACGACAATACTGCCTGCCTCGCGGCGCATGGATGCCCAAGCACAGGTCTACTCTTCTCTTCACTACCGGCGCGAGGAGTTGCTGGGGACTCTAGCGCGTAAAACCGAACAATATAGTGAGTGTCAGCGGTGCCGTCAACCATACAGGGACTAACCATTTCCAGACAATGCTCTCAGCGCATATAGTAAAGTCCTACAAACTCTCCCATGTGCCTCCGCGAAGGATATCGATACATACCGGGCTTGGATGAAGGAAACAAACCCTGTCGTTGCTGCTGAAACGCGGTTCTTAGACCACACTAAAGACTTGATCTCTCTAACTCCACGCAATCTCGCTTCCACCTCCACCTCTACTACGAAGCCTGTCTTCTCTGCCATCATCATCGCATCCGCTGCGGTACTCCTTCCATTGCTCGCATTTAGCATGATCTCCGAGTTCTCCGGCCGTCTTCTCGTGGTCGCAGTCGTGGGTGGTGCTGCGTCTGCCATTGCATCCACCCACTCAGCGGGAGCAGATCAGATAGTTGACTCCCGCGATGGATGGAGATGTGCGACCATGTATGTTCCCCATGTTTCTCAAACAACTTAGTACTGACCACAAGTGCCAGATACTTTGGATTCATGACCGCGGCAGCAATGTTCATCCCCTGACCTCAGTAACGTTAAATCTAATGACTCTACGAATCTTCTTGGGCAGCATTACATTTGGCGGATCTCTTAGCTTGGGACTTGGGCAAATTGAGACTGAACAATAGATGAAAGGTAGGCGTTATCGACTCTGGGTTGGCCATGGAGCCGACATGACTAGGAGTACGGTCACTTATACCTTTCTCTCATCGGGAACTTCTTCATACTGTTCTTTGTTCTGTTTTGATTCTTGTGACGTATTTGAGAATGTACAATGATGAGACTGATGTATACTACACTCGTTACCACAACTCACTAATAAGTAAGCGATAAGCCATATCCTTCAATTCCATCCGTAGGTATTGACCTCTAGAACTACAGAAAGAAATAATCTAGTCATACTCGGTGACTTGCCCAATAGACTCAGGAAGATACCGACCAAATAAAGAGGCCAAAAAAAAGAAGAAGAAAAAAAAAAAAGAAAAAGCCAAAAAGAAACAAAGTAGCTGACTAAAGATGATACAACCTCATGTATAGTAAGCATAGCGCTAAACGGTCACAACTAACCACGCAACGAGTTCGAAGAGAAGAGCTGTGAAGGGGAAATGAGTCTGAGATGAAGGAAAGGTAAGGTACGGACGGATACTTCAAACGTCATTATATCAGGGGGCCTGGGGGCGCGCGGGGAGGGGGTTGGGTGGGGATGTGGGTGGCTTACAGTAGGTAAGCACCCGGAAGTCCCAGTATTCAAATACTTATCAAGTACGGGGGCCAATAATTTTGCATGGTCTTTAGATTACAATGTCGCGTTGGAGGTCATAGTCATAGCAATGGCAATGATGATAGGTATAGCAATGAGAATGGTTATGGCAAAGGTTAATGGTTATAGTGATAATACTCCATTCGGGGGAGGTGAAGAGAACTGAACTGAATGAAAGGAACCGCACAGAACAGAACAGAATACAATAGAATAGAGTGGGACTAGAAAGCAAATATCCATCCAGCTAAGCCAGCCATACATCCTGTGGGGAAGGGGATTACTTGTTGAATCTAAGAGGTATTCCGTCGTTGCGAAAACGGGGGTGTGAAGAAGGGGAAGGAGATTATGAATAGGTAGATAGAGTGTTGTTGTTGAGGGTGAATTGATGTGCCCAGTATCCAAGTAGACGAGTCTGTCCACGCGCCTAGAATTTGTATTTTTGGGGGGGTGTTGTTTTCTCGGGTGGTTTTCTAAGCTCCACTGGGAGGGAACAGGGCTGTGGGGGTAAAGACACAATGGTATAATGTTGACAGGAGGAAAGTTGTAAAAGGTAGCAAGGAAAAGAAAGGATAGAGGAAAAGTCAATCGCATATCCCTACATGTCGACCGTGGTCTCATCTCATCCGCTCATCAAGATACCGGCGTTCCGTTCTGCTTGCTCGCCGGCGTTGCGCTTCGATCGTGGGGCCCATCGCCACCTGCTGGCTGTGGTGTTGTCGAGCTGGGGCGGTTCTGGGCGGCTGCTGCTAATTGAGCCTTGTTTCGTTCCATCATGACGGCTTGCTCGGCTGCACTTCGGGCGTAAGTCATGGCGGCAGCGGAGTTGGAATACCCCCCTGAAGGCGGTGGGGCTTGGTTGGAAGGGTAATTACCGTAGGGAGGGGGTTGTTGGCCTGGTTGTTGCTGCGGCATGTAGCGCTGCTGCGGGTTGGCGGAGCCCGGGGGAATATACGAACCTCGCGGGGTTGCGTATGGCGGAGGTTTCTGAGGGGAGGCACTGCGTCCGGCTGCATAAGGCGGCTGGCCGGGGCGGGGAGTGTAGGGCTGCGGCGATCCCTGGGCTGCAGGTGCGCCCGGTTGTCCCGCGTACGCGTGGTAGCCGTTCTGCCCGGGCCGCTGGTACTGTGGCACTGTGATGCCCTGGTTGTATTGCGGGCTGGGCTGGGCGTATCCCGGGAAGTAGCCGGGTCTCTGCTGCGGCGTGGATGGGGGCCGTGCGCCAGCAAACGGTTGCGGATGGCCAGGCGTGTACGGTGCCGGGGTCGAGTTCTGCCTACCTCCGTAGTAGGGCTGTGCAGCCTGGAAGGGGGGCTGAGGCTGGGCTCGGTTGTTGGCTCCATACGCCCGTTGGTTGTAAGGCGCCTGGTAGCTACCAGTCCGTGAAGGCGTCGACGTCCGGTTGGCGCCGCCAGAGGCAGCCATGGCAACTGCACGCTCCTGTTGTAAAGCATAGTCATCCTTCTCCATCGTACCCTGGTATTCGGGGTTCTCGACCAGGATCTTCTGGCTGATGTTCAGCTCGGCCAGCTGGTCGCCATCCAACTTGGCGACCGCATAGGGCGGCAGGGTTGCGACAAGAGCTGCCAGACTCGACCTAAGCGTCTCGTACACGGTTCGCTCGGCTGCGGACGGGTTGTCGGGTCCTCCATTATCAGATGCCGGTTCCTTGGGATCAGTGCCTTGACTTCCAGATCCCGAGGATTCGAGACTGCGGATTCGCTGGTATGAGCTGAGCGTTTCCAGAAGCTCAGAAACATCGCGCAGTACTTCTTCCAGATCTCGCTCTTCATCGTTCTTCTCTGTGGACTTGTCGTTATGCACGATGTTGTCCGCAAAGTCCTCGGGATTGAACGACTTCACCATCTCTTCCAGAGTGCTCTCGTCAAGCTCGCCAATATTTCCGGGCTGCACCGTCGTCGAATCCGTCTGTTCATCTTCGAGATACGGGAGGGAGAGCAGCGTGTTCAAACGCCTTGCTCCACGCTTGCTCCACCACACCAAATTCTTTGAATCGGCCTGCACAACAGCCCCGGAGCTGTCGAACGAAGGGGCAAATGACGAGTACACGCCTTGCAAGAGCGCAGCGTCTTCGTCAGTACTCAGCGCAGAATCATCGCTGGGGACCTCCTCAGCCGGTTGCTGGGGAGGCTGTTGTTTCTGCCGACGGTTCCAGGTAGACGGAGAGGACGTGACTCCGCCATACTGGAGCCAATACCCTGACGGAAGGGGGGCAAGACAGTAGTTATTTCGCTCACCAAGGAAAGCTTTGTAGTTCGTGATGGCCTCAAACGGATCGATCCAGCCATTTGTAGCGTGACAAGCGGAAGACCTGGCTTTGCGGGGTGGCTCTAATTGGGGCAATGTTGGACGAGGCGCGAACACCTCGCCGAACGTCCTCTTATGCTCGTTGGTGCCGGTCTCTGCATCCACCGGTTGCACTTTGGTGGTAGAGATCCCGTTAGGCAAACCATCCTCGCGCAGGGGCGCTTGTACTTCCACAAACTTGTCCGCATTAGGGTCATCCGAAGGGAGTGGGACTTTGACTGTCTTCTGCAAGCTGGAGTAGAGCTGCTTCGGATTGGCGGGATTCCCAAACAGGGTCAGAACGAGGCTATCATTCCGGGTCTCAACATTGGTTGGGGTGGACTTTGCCGGGACTTCTCCGTCTTCTTCCGAGGTCTCTGTCTTGATGTTGGACTGGCTCACGTGCGCCTGACGAACCAGACTATTTAGCAGCTTCTTGAACGCGGCAATACGATTGACTGTCTCCGTCAAAGGCGTCCCGTCAGCCGGAGCAACCGTCGCTTGAGCCTTATTCCTCTCAATCACAGCCGCAGACGCTTTTTCGATATCGCTGAGGAACTCCGACAGATTGTTGTACCGATCCGACGCAACCCGTGCTTGTATGCTGGAGCTTTCATCCTTATCTCCTGACACCTTCGCGCGCTTTGAGCGTGGTTTCGCCGGGGAAGACGGTAGGGGGCAGGACAGAAGATGGAGATCGGTATCGCTCCTGACATGTGTCAATGGGAAGCGGTCCCGGTTCAGTGTCGACGCGTAGAACTCACTTGCTTAAAATTTCAACCAGATTACGCAGGGTCTCCTGTAGCTTCGCCCTCTCTTGCGATTGCGCCGCAGAGACGCCGGCATCTTGGGTGACCTTGTCATCGTGACTCGCAACACGCTTTCGCTTTCCCGGAGTCGCCAGCACCGATGGATCGGGGGTGTTTTGAGGCTGTTCGCCGTTCGTGGCCGGCACCGGGGCCGTCCCTCCACCTTCGTCTGCACTCATGGCCTCGGAGTCGCGCCGTTCTCGAAGTCTTCTTTGACGCGAGTGCAATGGAACTCCTCGTTTGCCTTTTTTCTTTTTTTCAATGAAGGTTGGAGGGGTGCACCAGGTAATTAAGCGCGACAGAAGACCCACAGCCTGCGGAAATTATTGAGAAATAAATGGAATGAAGGGATATAATTCAGGAGAGGGGCGGAATAGTGGCCGGTGATTGAGTGTTCCTTGTTCTCCGAAGCGGATGCGCCAATAGTGACGAGGCTCGATCGAGAAACGGTGCGCTGCAGTTAGGGAGAGTCAGGTCGCGACGCATAGAACGGTGTCACCACGAATTTAGATTGACACGAAGCGACGGGCTCCTTGACGCCGCGAAAACAAGACGGATCAGGGCCAGTTGGGGCGCGGAACTGGGAGACGCAAGACGGACTCCATCGCCAGGCGGGAGAGCGAGATCCTCCTGCGCGCCATGCCAGAACCGCAACTCGTGACGATCGCTCACGTGACCCCGCTTTTTTCCCCAATCGCCGGTTCGCTGTCCATGCCGATGCTCCTGGCCTCGATCTTGCTACCAGGGACAAGCAACACCACGTCTGCGATTGGCTGTGCTGTAGCTACTCGATGTCCTCTCTTCATGGATGTCATCGGTCTTGAATCATGTGTCGAGCCGCTCGAGGGTCTCCTCTCTGAGAGCGGCGCATCTGTCCAACAGCCGTATCTGGCGGAAGGTACCGAGGAATAATCGTGGTCTCCTACCTGGTCCACCGTGCTAATTCTTCAATTGCTCGCTAGGGATGTCCTTACCATAGCTTTGCCCGGTCGACAACGGGGTTGGCTGCGAAACTCTTTCATGGCGTTCTCCGCACCTCTCCGTCGGTTCGGCTGTTAAGCACCTTCGGGGCCGGGCCTGGATTTGCACAGAACCAGCAATTGGCGACTGAGTATCTGGACAAACAATGCGATGATACATCCGGTGAGGACTGGTCTAAACTGCGCCTTCAGTCTCCGTTGAGCCAGTGCTATAGTCCGTCGGATGCGAGCGCAGACTATGCGGACCCGAGGGTCATAGAAGTTAAACAATCAAAGGGAGCGTCGAGAGGGGAAGCTGCACGCACAGGAGATGATACAGGCTGTACCAAAAGAATCGAGCAGGAGGCTGAGAATGGTGAGAAAAGCAAAGTTCATGGAGAAGGGGAAGGTCGAGGACAGAGAGCGGGCCAGTCCAACAGTGAAGATGGTCGTCTTTCGAAACCTCTACATTTGAGCAGACGCACCGGATCATTACCGAATGAACAAGAAAAAAGTAAACGTTCACGGCCCCGGAATCAACTGTCAGAACCACGCAGGCGAACCAAGGTGGCTGATTCCGCATTTGAGCCGACTCCTACCGAGTACCTAGTCGATACCTTACAAAACGCGCACAAGTCCCATGGCGCCCAAAGCCGCAGCTGGATGTTTACCACAAGAGGCACTGGGATCATGGCTTCCTTGACCCAAAGACAAAGAGATAATTTCAAACAGTTCCACCGGCTTTCGTTGCAGGAAATTGTCGCAGACTACATAGAGTTGGTGGACCCCCTTTTGGAGCAAGCAAACTCTGGCGTGATACCTGGTGCAGCAGAGTTAAACGAGGCCCTCCAACTAGCCTTTTGCGAAGATCACCTCAATTATCTCGCGGCACGGCAATACTCCGCCGCCGATGTGGTGGCTTGGGCATGGGTGCTCAAGAGCAGTACACCCTACGAGGCCATCCTTCGAATTTTACTCTTGGAAGCAGAAAGAAGTTCAGACAAAGACTGTTCGATCAAGACGGTGCCTCCTTTCATCCCGCTCCTTCTTTTGCGCCAGAGTCTTGATACAAAGGCGTTCCGGCTGCTCTTGATCTATTCCCTGCACCTGATGAGCGGCCAGGCTGTTCCGACCTCTGACATCGCGATGGAAGCGATTGCCAACGGCGCAGTTTTTGACCGACCCCAGGTACCCGGCAATACGAAGCCATTGATTGAGCCTAACATGTGTGCAACTTATGTGGTTCGCTTGCTCCATCATGCTCGCGAATTGTGGCCACAAGCTCAGCTTACTATTGCCCGCGCATTTGCGTTTTATCTGGATAACCTTCAATGTGGAGGCGAGGGCGGGACTGTTGCAACAGAGCGGATCAACCAGTTTATGGCCGACAAGTTCAACACTGTGCTCCGAATCCTTTCGTTGCCCTGCAGACATGGTCCGTTTACGTCCGCCTCCATCCAGCAACAAGCGCAGTTCGAGCTCCTTCGCGCCATGGCGCGACATCGGCCTGCTTTGCCGGTCACGCGTCGCGGTTACCAGGGCATCGTTGCGGTCCAAATAGCCCACAAGAAGACTCCGGAGGAGCGGCAGTCCGCGGAACTGAGGGCCCCGTCATGGCCGCCTTGGAAGGAAGACAAAATCGGGTTCGACGTCAAGCGGGGTGTCGAGGGTATGAAAAGCCGAGCGATGCGGGTGCTTTCTCAAATGAAGGAGGCAGGTTATTCGCGGTCTCGTTGGGAAGAGATGTCCAGTATTCTAGCAGGCTGGGACACGGACAAAAGCCCAACGATTCAAACGCGATCGTTGATGTCTCGCCCGGAGACGGCGCATGGCCCTTCCGGAAACCCCAACCACACCATCTGGGCAGCCCGGATTCGGGCTACCAGGACGGTCCGAGAGGCCTGGGCATGCTTCCTCTCCTATCGCGACCAGGGTCTACCTCCACGCGGTACCATATACGCCGCCATGGCCGAAAAATTGATCTTTCGGCAGAAGGCCGTCCGTCATAGCTCTCATCAACACAGCCAGGCATTGCCGGGTGATGGGAGGGAAGTCTTCCCCGAACCTTCGTCTGTCCGGGATTGGATCTATGTCTCCACCGAGCCACCTCCATTAGAGGATCTTCTTCGCGAAATGCTCTCACAGGGCATCCGGCCGCGGGGTAGATTCCTAGCTTTACTTCTGCGCAATGCACCGACTTTCGGCTCGGGCTTGGACTATCTTTGTTGCAGTGACTTGACAAATGAGCAGTTGGAGGAACTATGCACCGTCTCGGGGCCGAAACGCGGCGACCAGGCGCACAAGAGCAAGGTATTAGACCGATTGCCTGACTACCTCATCTCTTCCTTCATAACCTTCTTATGCAACTTTTCTACCGTTGGGCATCGTGGTCTGGTGCAATCCGACAGTCGTGCTGGGGATATGTTTCCTATACTACTAGGGCGTCATTCGACGAATTCTTCTTACACGGCTACGCTATTTGCATATGCCGAAGAACTGAAGAGACGCGAGGATCTTCGACATCCCAAGATCCTAGCGCATGCTATACACCTTCTTCAGCTCCGACAGTCGCGGTCTCCTCAAACGTGGATCCAAGTCATGTCGGCTCTGGCCCGGGACCGTGTTGGGTATTCATCCCATAGGATGGGACGCCACGCTCGATTGGCCCTTTCCTGGTACGAACTCTTGGAGCTCGCCAGTTGGATGGACCGGCGTCAGATCGAGTTGAGCTTGGAGGGATTCCAAATTCTCTGCTCCAGCTTTTCACGGGTCGTAGTTGCAGGAGTCAAGCATCCGGACTCGGTGGAAGACGGGCTTGCGATCGTCAGCGACGTGGCGCGACGAGGGCGACTGATCAGCTTCAAAGATACTTCCACGCGCTTTGAAGATATGGTTCAGAGTGGGCTCAGCATCCTCAAGACTCGGTTTGATGAGCTTGTTTTTCTGGATCCCAAGACCTCGTCCTTTTTTGAACGAAGCCGAACTTCGATCCAGGATGCCACCGGTTCTCAAGTGACCGTGCCATCTCTATTTCACGTCCCCTCACCTGCCGTGCTCCACGCGTTCGTGCGAGCGCTCGGGTTTGCTGAGGATACGGACGGCCTGTTGAGTCTGCTCCGCTGGATGCGGCAGTACGAACTCACGCTGAAGGAGAAGTATGACGAGAACCTGAATGGCGAGAGGATGATGCGGCAGATCATTGTCGCCGTCCGCATGTTCTTCGAGGGGTACTGGGGCAGGTCACCCCCGGCTTCCCCCGGGTGGGAACCGGGCATGGAGCCGACGCATGATCTGCATGAGAACGGCGAAGCTGAGGGTTTGGACGAGGGATCAACATTCTCGGACGCCAGCCTGCAAGAGGCGTATGACATCATCACCACCTCGCAGGTCTGGGGATCGTGGCCGAGTGATGAGGAGGTTTTGGATTATATAGCTCACGGGGAGCAGGAGTCGCGCGGGGCCAGCGATCGATTCCGGCATTCTGTACATTAATGTAAATAGAACTGTAACATTATACATAGGTGAATAGAGCATTGCACGCAGCGCTTATCCGCGGCTTCCCCGCAGCCGCGCTCGGCGATCCCCACAGCTGCGGATCTCCATTTCCAAGCTCAGCTTCTTCTTCCTCCTCCCTCCATTGCCAGGGACCACACTTCATCTCCAATCACCACCATGCCTCCTCGTCTCCCCACCACCACCGTGCGATCTGCCTTGTCCTGCCGCATCACGATCGCGAGGTTCAGCACGAGCAGCGACAATGCCGTGATCCAGACTCAGCACGTCCCCGCCCCCGGATCGGGGAGCATTCGCGTCCTGCTACTGAACCGACCTAACGCACGCAATGCCATCTCGCGAGACCTTCTCAATGGATTGGCCAAGAACGTCCAGTCGATTGCCGCCGAAGGGGGCTCAGGTCCAACCCGGGCCCTCGTCATCGCCAGCAACGTCGACTCGGCGTTCTGCGCGGGCGCCGACCTCAAGGAGCGCGCGACCATGTCTCGGGAAGAGTACGCAGGTCCGGTCACCAACTAGTGTCGCTTGCTAATCATGCATCTATCCTTTAGAACAGCCGAATTCTTAACTAATCTCCGAACGACCTTCCGCACCCTCTCGGAACTCCCCATTCCTACCATTTCCTCCGTCTCCTCCATGGCACTCGGCGGCGGACTCGAGCTCGCCCTCTGCACGCATCTCCGCGTCTTCGGCTCCTCCAGCATGGTCGGACTTCCCGAGACACGACTAGCGATTATCCCCGGTGCCGGAGGTACCTATCGTCTCCCGAGCCTGATTGGCGTGAACCGTGCCCGGGATCTCATCCTCACTGGACGGCGGGTGTCCGGTCCGGAATCATATTTCATTGGACTGTGCGATCGGCTCGTGGAGATTCTCCCCGAGGAGGAAGCCAAGGAGGGCGTGGCGCGGGAGAAGGTCCTCCGGGAAAGTATCAAACTTGCGTTGGATATCTGTGAGGGCGGGCCGATTGCCATCAAGCAGGCCTTGAAGGCTGTGAGTGAGTACCAGCGGGGCGAGGCGGCCGAGAATGAGGCGTATCTGGGCGTGATGGGCACGGAGGACCGGTTTGAGGCTCTCCGGGCGTTTGCGGAAAAGCGGAAGCCTGTGTTCAGGGGGAGATGAGCTTGCCTGGTTACCTGGGTGTACGACGAGACGACCAATGGATATTGTGAGTCAGGTCGGACAGACGTAGGTGGAAAGATTCTAGAATTTGTGTGAGTCATGTATGCTATATGGGAATCTTATTCCGATGCCGTTGGTCTGGATTTCTTGTACCGCACAGGCTCAGTAGGTTCCAGGGATCATCCAGACCTATCGTATGTTGCACGGAAGTCTGTTTCTTCACCTGGACCATCATCTCCAGGCTACTACATATCCTCGAACCTCAAACCAGATGTCTATTTCACAATGAACATGACCATGAACATGACCTCGACCACTCCCGTATCCCAACCCATCCTCGGTACGTACTATGTAGGTGGGTTCAGTGGTGGGTATCCATCCGCCGCGGCCAGACCCGCTTCCGTTCCGTTGCTGGTGCTGGTGGTGGTGCTAATGCTTCCGGGGTGCTCCACGGTCCGACCCTGATCATCCTGAAGGGACCCTGACCTTGAGTTGGGTGACAGCCTTTTGTTAGTAAGTTTCTTTCTTGATTATTTATCGTCTATGTTTGAGTCAGGTTGATGTGTGTTTTGATTTATCTAGTAGAACCGCTAAGTATGAAATAACTAAAACTTAACTCATCGTTGATGTGATATCCATATTAAAAATCATTCCATCTCACAAAGAAATGTAAATATCCCAGCCTCGCAGCACAAAAAGCAAAAACAGGGCGATGCGAGTTGAGCCTCGCATTCCCAAATCTTATTAAGCTCATTCCCATAAGTACCTACGATGTAAGATGAACATGTAAAGATGAACGGAATAAGAAGTAGGATTTCATGCAGGCACAGCCACGTAGATCCATCCGAACCTCAATCCTCCGGGAACATCTCCTGCATACGGAGTAGGCTGACAGCCTGGTGCAAAAAGAGCCCGAAGTGCTCGGCGGGCATGACTGGGCTTGGCCTGCCGAACTAACTTTAGTCGGCCGCGCCGGGGCGTCACAGCCCCTCCAGGGGCCGGGGTCTAATCCGGGGGTTGGATCCCGTACTACGACGGATGGAAGGTGGAAGGGACAGTCTAGGCTGGGTGGACCGAGGTTAGGGGATGGTAGTATCATTGTGTCAGGATGGAATATGGGATGAGACACGGCGGCGGTGGAAGATAGATAGATAGATACATAGTACTCGTTGGCATCGATGCGTTCCCCGCGATCTGCAGGTGAGCTTCGATTCTTCCTGGTCAGCGAGGCGGGCGGCATGACCTCTAGTTGGTCAGCCCCCCTGGTGTCCACGGGAACTTGACCAAGTGGGAGTAGGAGGAAAACTAGTAAGTAGCAACTGAAGATACTACCAGTAGTAACTCGATGACGGAAATTCACTCGTCGGCCTGCTGCTTGCCCTGCAGAACCTGAAGCAGCGCCTACAGGCACCAGGCACCCTCTGGGCCCAGTCATCTGCGGCCCTCATGCTGGGCTGCCCCCACTGCATAAATACCATCCAGCTGCTCGTCCTTTGACTCAGTGACCTCCTCACCCTCAACTGACCCGTTGTTTCCCTCTTTTCTTTCTTGCTGTGTTTCCACCCTTCATCACCTTTCGTATTAAATCTCCCTCTTAGCTCCATCGCTTCGTCCAAATTAACCACCATTCTCTCGCGCATGGTCGCAATCGACTCGTTCTAGCCTTCCTCTTCAGGAAACTCCGTTGCGTGGATGTGAGAAACCGAGTGCTGTTCTGATCGGTGCCTGGCTGACTCGACTTCTCTAATCTCACCCGCAGTCGACCTCAACCTAGGCAGCTCGAGCTATGTCCGACCTCGCCTCGCGTGTAAAGCAGTACGGTTTGACCCAGGTCTACTGTAGCCCCGAAAAGCCTCTGGTTGATATCGTCTTTGTCCATGGGCTGAATGGCCATCCTCACCACACCTGGGCCTCAAAGAATAATGGCACCTTCTGGCCAGCCGACCTGTTGCCTGAGGTCCTCGGCCCGTACCGGGTGAGGCTGCTGACCTATGGGTACAACGCAAACGTAACTGCCTTCACGGACGGTGCATCGAAGGACAGGATTCATAATCATGCCGAGACTCTGGCATCGGGACTCGCGGCCAACCGGAATGTAAATATTCCTATTCCACTCATGCAGTACTTGCGAAGGCATACTGACGTCTTTAGCTGCGCAATTGTTCGGAAAGGCCAATCATCTTCGTCTGCCACTCTCTGGGTGGTCTCGTCGTCAAACGCACCCTCATCTACTGCCGCAACGTGTCGAACGAGAAGATTGAGCATCTGCGATCCATCTATGTGTCCACATACGGGATCCTGTTTCTAGGAACACCGCATAATGGTTCGGACGTGGCCAAATGGGGCCTGCTCCTGCAGAACATCTGCAGTGCCGTGATGCCGAAGAAGTTCATGGAGTCATCCCCCCATCTGGTCAAGGCCCTCAAAACCAACAATGAGACGCTCCAGAATATCAACAGCCTCTTCGCCGACATCACAAGCCGGTTCCACATCTATTTTTTTCACGAGACACTATCAAGCGACGTGAAAGGGACGCGCGAGTTGATCGTAGACGAAAGCTCCGCCGCGCCCTACGCCGAAGGTGTCGAACGGATGGGTATCGAAGCTGACCACAGTCACATGTGTAAGTTCGATGACGACAATTCCCCTGGCTATGAAGCGGTGGCCGAAGCCCTGCTGCGGTACTCGCGCGATGCCCCGCACACGATCGCAGATCGTTGGGTCGAAGAAGAAAAAACTCGCCGGGTACAAAAACAGACCAAAATTAGGGAGATCTTCAGCCACGGTATGTAGTCAGGATCCAGCCATCTGAAGCAGTACTAACAGATGCAGATCCAGTAGAGGCGGAACATCTGGGGAGAAGCGTTCCGGACCTTCGCACAATCGGTAGGACACACCTGCTTCCTGATCCTTCATCTTCTGTCACGTTGAGGGAATATGAGATTGAGGAGCCCCCGGAGTCTGCCTATCATAGCAAGCATGTGTAAATCTGTGTTTGGGATGGTTGCAAATTAAGAACGGAGAGTCGGCCTCGAAAGCTGAAAACCAGAATAGGCCATCAATTTCGGCAGCCATCGTTGTGTTCTTTTCCTTTGATTTCTTGTCTTCCCATGGCGATGTGTTTTTCCTGTTATGCTGTGATATCTCCTCCTGTACCCTAGTGTTGTTTTCTTATCAACAAATTGTCAAGTCAGATCATGCTGACTGCCCCTTAGGTAATTCTGAATTGATGGCCCTTCAATCCGAGAGAAGAAGGTCCCTTGTATCTGATCTCGGCGAAAGCACCAATTTGTCTCTCTCCCAGTCTCTCCAGAGGGATCCCTTGTTTGTGGTGCCTCCAGGCTTCCACCCGAACGCGACCTTTGTGGGAATGCAAAAAGAACTCGAAATATTGCACTCCAGAGTGTTCAAAGCCAAGAAGAGAGCAGAGCGACTCACAGCCGTACTCATCTGTGGAGGTCCCGGGACAGGCAAGTCGCATCTTGCACGCCAGTATGTTTGGACCCATCGAGCCATCTACCCCGGGGGAGTCTTCTGGGTGGACGCGAAATCCCGTCAGTCGACCTTCAAGTGCTTTTGGGATATAGCACAGGCTGCCACCCTCACTGATGGACAAGAATTTGAATATCCAGACACCGATACATCGCAGAAGTATGTCGAGTCGGTGCGAAACTGGCTGCAAGCGCGAGAAGAATGGCTGCTGGTATTTGATGGGGTTACCTTCAACCAAGAAAACGACCTCAACCACTTCAAACAGTTCTTGCCGTTTAATAAGAAGTGCAGCATCATCTACACCTCCGTGGATAAGACGCTGAGAAAGAAACAGCGCCTGTATGAACCGTACTGTCTGATGGTATGGCCTCTGCAGGTTGCCGACGCCTGCAAGTTACTCTTCGAGGACCTCGGCATCAGGAAGCCCAACAAGGAGCAAATCCGCAAAGCGACTGATTTGGTGACTCATTATGAGTGCCTTCCACTGGCCATCCATGCTATTAGCCATCGACTTGCCGCCACATCGAAGCCAATCGAGCGGTATCATATCAATTCCCATCTCACCGACGAGAAGCTCGCAGAGCCATTCCTGAGCATCATGCACGATCTTTACCGTAGTGGGCACTTTGAGGCTTTGAATCTGATCAACCTCGTATCCTTCTTTAGTCACCATGTCCCCATCGGTCTTATAACGCTTGGAATCTCCGCCCTGGGCAAGTGGAACGTGAATATTCTCACTAGCAGCAGACGTGGCGAACAAGGTGACATCGACACCACTCTCGGGATCCTTATCCGATACGGGCTGATTGAGAGAGTGTCCGACTTCTATGCCCTACATGCCAGAGCTCTCTCGCCACAAGCCGAAAAGGATAATGTTCTAGACATGAAGGCAGTGGCCCCTGACCTGTCGGAGTCGCAAACAGAGAGCAGCCAAGATGCCTTTTTTTCGGTTTATCAAAACTCCGGGACCATCGATGTTATTAAGATTCACAGCGTGGTCCAAGAGTTCTGCCGGGACGAGCTCAAGATTATGGACCAGGAGGAGAAAAGCCGGTTCCAGGCGAACGCAAGCACGTCGGACGCTAGCTTTTATGAGTCATGGCTTGTGGTTGCGACTCGTGTCCTATGCACCTCCTATGAGAATGCAAAAGCCCGAATGGACCGTGCTGACGACTGTGGCTTGGTCAAGGACTATCGGGAATATGAGACCCATGCTTCGAGATTGGCCGAGAACTTGCCCAAAAGATCCTCGAGTGAACCAGCAATAGTTCGTGAAGCTCGCAAAGAACTCAAGCAGGTGCTGAAGAGTATTGCCAGCGAAATCGATCGAATTTCTCCCAGTTCCTCGCAGGAATCGGTCCGCAAGCAGCGGTCTGTCTTTGACCGGTCCAGCAGCTCGTCGTCGTCGGTGCCTGAATCCGCAAACGAGGAAGGGCGTTGGGACTGGAGCGAATTGACGACGCCCAAAGTAGAATCGCCGCAGGAGATCAGTGCACCTCAGCAACGCGTGAACCTCAAGCCATTTGTGCCTCATATCTTTAGAGAGTCCAGCCAGGATAAAGACACCGGATATGAGAGTGACCGAGAGAGCGCTACTGCTGTGATCCGAACTTCACCTGCGCTATCGCAAATGAGCCAGCAAGCGGAGACGCCCAAGTTATCGCAAGGGACCAGCTCTTCCCTGCCCATGGATGATTGGGGCTGGAATGTGGTCGTGAAGAAACATTCAAAATCCAAGTTGAAAGAAGAGAAGTCAAAGCAGCGGCCATATTTCCCTCGAAACATCAGGGGCTCCCTGCCGGCAGCTCCAGTTTTAAAGATCTTTCCCGTCCAAGGGAGAAGTGCTTCGAGCAGCTCTCTGGGTAAGAGCCGGAGAAGCTCGCTCGCCTCTGCATCGGAAGCCCTTGCGGCCGTACAGCTCTCCAGCCCTCCTCATTCTCATGACGACCTCACCAAGCGAGGGTCAGGTCGACCGTCTGTGGACAAGGAGAATACGCCAACGTATGCCACGGTAGTAGCCAGACACACGCAAGATGAGACTGGGGCCCCGAAGCAGCGATCATCGTCAACACCCGGTGGAAAGACCAGGCCCACACTTCTTTCACTGCAGAACAAATCTTCGGGTGAGTCCCTGCAGAGCCGGTCCAGCAATGCACATGCGTCGCCACTGTCCGCGGAGTTCAAGCCCGACCGTATGACCCAGTCCACGTATAGCGAGCCTGACCAGGGCTACCTTCAGCATCAACTGAACGCCCTTGATCTGGGAATCGCGCAAGAGTCCCGGTACCGGTCCCGCCACTTGTCCACCGTGCGACCAATGGCACCTCCCGGGGGCGATATGTCGGCCAGCACGCCTTCGATCCTCACATATATCCCACCACCCCCTCCGCTTCCGTATGAAGGAAACATTGACGTTGCAGTTCCTCGACGCGTCGGTGTGGCCCAGGCGAGCCCTATCGGCCCAGCGACCGGCAAGGCGAGACCGGTCACCCATCCATCTGCAATCATGCCAGGCATCTCACCTCCAAGCTCTCTGGTTGTTGATCCGCCTGCTGGATATGCTTCCGAGCCGGCCCCCGAGCCTATGACGCGAAACCCATCAACGCAGTCCCAGCAGTCCTGGGCGACGGAGCCGATTCGGTATCCGCCGCGGTTCTCCCCCATGCCACCTTCTACACCGGTCCCCGGACATTCTGCCTTGACGAGTGGTCTACCCCATGTGATGCCACCGCCGCACACGCTGGCTGGGGCCGGCAGCTGGATCACGGACATACCACAGCAGGGACCACCGCCGGCGATCATCGGTGCCCGGCAGCCGGAAATAGCCTATGCTGCGCAAGCCCAACTCCGACCGATGAATACATTGGAGGCCCAGGTTGCGACCATGGACCCTGCATGGGCGGCCGAGCCAGCTCCCACACTGCATTTTGGAGGCCACCGCGTGGATGTGCGTGACGCTCGACAACGGCTGGGGGGACGCGTTCAATACCCCACACATCTTCCGCCGGGAGTCCCAGGATACCCCATGTATCATCCCAACTTATCGGGACCGTTGATTCCGCACGAGTTGGCAGTTCCAGTGGGGGGAACAACCGGATTGCGAGCACGGAGTGGCAGCTCACCTCCTCGTCCTGACTTTGACGGACTCAACATGTGAGAAGCAGCACGGAATCGAACCTGTCTGTGATACACCCACCAAGGAAAAAAAAGAAAAGAGAAAAACAAGTGGAAAAGTAAAACCGCTGGAAACAATAATGTATGAACGATAACGAAGTGACGAATCCATCGGGGGATAACACATGCATATGAAGGTTTGGAGTTTCGTTCGGGGTTCAGGTCTATGCATTTTCAGGAGCATGACGAATGGAGGAGAGCATCTAGAGGTGTTGGTACACGAAAGATATCATAATACGGTGGGAGCATTGCATTTGGCGTTCAGTGTTGATCGGTAACGCGTCTTAAGCAAATCATCTGTCTGCCCTGTTTTTTGTTCTTTTTCTTTTTCTTTTTCTTCTTTTTTCTTTTCTTCTTCTTAGGGGCACTAGCTGGGGTTCCAGCCGGGCCCTGCATTGAACAAGACCGGTAGGGCGATGTGAACGACTCAGCCAGCGGATCACCAACCCGGGGGAGAAGTGATCTAGAAGAACGGATGGAAGAGGAGAAGGAGACTAACGAAGACTAAGGAGTGATCCGCGCAGGTGGATCGGCCGTGAACTGAACCGAGCCTTGGTCACGATCCCCGCTAACCCCAATCGGGTCCTGCAGTGACAGGCCATCGACGTAAGAGATACATAACCGTGCTGGCTCTGGTGATGACGTCTTCCAGCATGCAAGCCAGTTATAAAGACTCACGGTCCCTACCGCATGGATGTAGTTCTGGAAAATCTGACACATTGGTTGACAATCCATTCCATTGAACTAGCTAATTACCTCCTCTCTCCTACCAATCCCACCGTTGACTATTATCCCACCCACCATGTCTTTCCTCACTCGCATTGCCCCGGCTGCTCGTACAGCTTCGCTGTCTCTGCGACCCACCACCACTCCAGCTCTCTCCGTGGGCGCCACCCGCTCGATCTCCGCCAGTGCTCGCCGGGAAAAGGGCCCCGTTGATGCCACCAAGGACACTCTGAAGAAGGCCGACCGGAAAGTCTCGGATGCTGCCGTGAAAGGCATCGAGGTTGGTGGTATGTATCATTCCCATATTCCATCTATCGGTTTCCTCTGGACCATCGCTCATGACGGCTGCAGAAACCGCCGCCGAGAAACTCAAGGACACTGTGGGCAGAACCTCCACCGATGCCAAGGCCAAGTCTCAGGAACTGTCCGGGGATGCATCAGAAGTGGCCGGCAAGAGCAAGGGCAAGGCTGAAGAGGCACTAGGCTCGGCGAAGGGCAAGGCCGAGGAAGTGGCTGGCGAGGCCAAGGGCAAGGCCAAGCAGGCTGCTGGACGATTCTAGAGGGGAAAATTCTTACGTATACTTGATGACCTGCATGAAATGCCCGGATTGGAGTCATAAATATGTATTATTATAGTTAATTCATTGAATCAGTGACCATGCTTCTTTGTAAGAGTAAGATTCGTCATAGGCTTAGTGGCGGATGGCAGCGGCTTGCGGCACCCGAGCGGAATCTAGGGTACAGAAGGTTAAATTCTGATGGTCTTCCATGGATCCAGACCTGTATGTTCCTGTGATGGCAGAGAAGTTTTTTGATCAGTATACATTCGAGTATCCTCATCATCAACGTCATCCTAGCGGCAAAGGAACAGTTAGCGCGGGTCCCTGCACCAAGCGGGGTCTTCCAAGATGACGAACTGAAGAACTAAGAAGAATGAAGAATCCCCACTTCTTCATCGGCGAGCCGAGGCTTTGGCTCTCCTCGGGGTCATGCCCGTTTCGGGACTCTCCATCCTTTTCTTTTGCCCCCGACGATTCTGCGTCTCCTCTTGTTCTTCTGTCCTTTTCTTCTGTCCGGGGTTGATCTTCGTCATTCTTTTTATTGTCACCTTTCGGTTGTTCTTCTGTCTCTCTGTATCCTCACGTATGCACAATGAGTAATCTCAAGAACCCCCTCGGCCTATTGATGGCAATTCTCATACGAGTGCCCCTCGTGCTCAAGACCATCCTACTCCATAGCATTCGTCTCTCGCCTGTTACCGGAAAACAAGACCTGCGCACCGAGTTAACCGTCGCCATCCTCCGCTCGATCATCGTCTTTACCTCGCCCGTCGGCAAGCAGCAAAACGACAGCTTGCGCGATCCCGGGATCAAGGGTCCCATGTGGGTGTCCAAGGTGACCCTTCCTCGACCGGAGGATGATGTCCAGGATGCGGTCATCCGAGCGATCGAGGAACTGAAAGTGGGGGACGAGTCATACAATATTCCGGGGGTGGTGCCGGTTGAGGCCGAGTGGACGGGATATCGCAGTGGCGTGGGTAAGAACGCACCGCAGCCGGATATCTCAGAAGAGGCCAAGTATGAGGAGCTGCGAAAAGAGTGTAAAGAGGATATGGTAATTTTGTATCTGCATGGGGGCGCTTACTTGTGAGTTGCTACTTTGCCACCGGCGATAGGGTCTCACTAACATCTTTTATCTAGTCTCCTCGATCCTTGCACTTATCGCCCGGTCGTAACCCAACTGTCGAAGCGTACAGGCGCTCCAGTCCTATCGGTGCGCTACCGTCTTGCTCCCCAGAACCCGTTCCCTGCGGCTCTCATCGACGCCCTTGTTGCATACCTCTCGCTCGTTTCCCCGCCTCCGGGCTCTCTGCATGAGCCCGTCCCACCAAGTAAGATCATCATCGCTGGCGACTCGGCTGGAGGCAATCTCAGTCTCGTTCTCCTGCAAACCATTCTCACGCTCCGTCGCGCCTGCCCCGTCGTTCGCTTCCACGGACGAGACGTCCCCATTGAGCTCCCCGCCGGTGTAGCCACCAGCTCCCCGTGGTGCGACGTCACCCGGTCCATGCCCTCGGTCTTTCACAACTCCGTATACGACTATCTCGACCCTCCCACCCAGAACCCAGAGGTATCCTATCGCCCACTCGCTGTTCCCGAGGACGACGTCTGGCCTGTTAAACCGCCCCGCGTCGATCTCTACGCTAATGCCAACGCCCTCCTTCACCCACTCGTCAGCCCGCTCGCCGGCCGCGCGGAGATCTGGCAAGGCGCACCCCCCATTTTTATTGCCATGGGCGAGGAAGGCCTTTCAGATGAGGGACTGATTCTCGCCCGCAAGATGCACCGCGCGGGTGTCCCTGTCATCGTGGAGCAATTCGAAGGCATGCCGCATTGCTTCGGACTGATCATGATGGGCACCCCCGCTGGCCGTCGGTTCTATGACAATACGGCACAGTTCTGCCGTGATGTCGTCACGGGCACGCTTACCGCGGACACTCCCACGCCCGGGAATGTCACCTATATCGGGTACAAGCTGCGACATACGCGTGAGATTCCTCTCGAAAAGGCAGTTCCCTTGACAGACGAGGAGGTCGCGGAGATCTTACGAAAGGGTGCTCAGTGGCGCGTGGAGGGAGAGAAGGAGCTCGAGGAAGAGTGGCTTGGGAAGGCGAAGCTATAGCCTGCGCGTTGTCTAACATCAAGATTCTGCAAGTCGGCGTTGGGTCTCAACTTTGCTATACCCTTTTTTGTTACCTGTTTTCTATAGATCATGTGTTTAACTGTATATTATCGCATGGACATACACGATACCATACATAGATCGAGATACATACTCTTAGAGCCAAATCGTCCCTTAATGAGTACATGCGCATCAACGTCAAGCACAATCCCATCGTTCTCATAGGAGGCTGATTTGACGGGTACATCTCTGCTCCAGCCTCCACGCTATCTGCAATAACTCTCCATTTCCATGTACATAAGGTTTGATGAATCCATCACATCTATCATATGTTCTTGATAAACAGTACCGCTATAGTCAATGACCTCGGTAGATTGAACAAGGTTAAATTCGACCAGCGTCAGATCCAACCTGCAAACAGCAGAGTAAGATCTTCTCTTTGGGATAGGACAGTCAACAATGATCTACAATGTTGACTAGACGGAATTTGCTGAGACAAAGCTCCGTTCACATCCCTGCCACCTGGCTCAGGCGGGGGTTTCCCCTACCCCGCCTGAAGCGGCGATACCTGGGGCTACTAGTGGGCGGCTGAGTGAGAGGGAAGCGAAGATATGATTGCCATGAGTGCATCCCTGAGTCTACCTGGCTGATGGAAACAGGGCCTTCAATCTTGATATTAGGTTGCTTTAAGGTGCCCGAAGGGTTCTCGATCCCAGAGAAAAAGAAAACAAAGAGGGATGACAGCTACAGTGAGAAGCCTCCTGGGCACGTTCAATCCTCAGCCCATGGATATCGACACCAACCCCACACTTTCCAGCAAGCAGTGGACCGAAGATTTCCCTCCTTTTGAACAGCAATACGTCAGGGTTTGGGCCCCGACTGTATCCGCGGTGGAAGAATTTCTAGGGCCCGGCAGGGACACCCCCTCCGGAGCTGATGGGGTTGGACTTGAGACTGTCGCCCATGTATTGAACACCTACCCCCAAGTGGTATCAAGTGAGGGCGACGTCACCCGGGATTTTGACCAGAACATCATTGTGCCAGTCGCGTTGGCCTTTTCCGGCCACTCAGCCTGGTCCAGTCCCAGCCCTGGCGTGCAGGCCGTGCCGGGAGCGCCCACACTTTGGTCGCGATCACTGGTCGGAGCGAAACGAGTAAGCTCGTCCACCAGAACAGTGGACTACCAAATGACGATGTCCCATGTGGAGAGGTCCCTCGAGCGTCCTGCTATGATTGGAGAGATGAAGAAACCCCGAGTGATTCGGCGAAAGGAATGGACGTTTGAAGAAGAGGCGAGTGGAACGACGATCCGTCTTGCCCAGGAGCTCCGAGCGTATGTTGCACGGTCCTGTGGTGACCTGTTTATCTGGGGCCTTACTGACGGAGTCTAGATATGCCTGTGAATATCGTTGCCCACAGGTCTTTGTCTTTGATATGAAAACGCTTGTGCTGGTGCAGTTTCGGGCCTTGCGTGTCGAGGATATTTCTGCGGAAGATTGCCCCGTTGATATCTGCGTTATCCCTCGAGATTATGATCCAAACATACCGGATCAATGCACGATGCAGTTCGCGCTGTACAGACTTGCCTGGCGGGGATGGGTTCGTCTATGCGCAACGTTGGAATGCAGAGAAGACAGGCGGCCAGGAGAATATGTACGGGTGCCGACCCATTTGAACCATGGGGGCTTGACACGGAAGTACGAATATTGGTCAGGGACGCCGATATGGGTTGACCATTATGGCCGTCAATACCTTGCTCATCCAAGTGGATGTCGGCGAGATTTCGTCTACAGATCTCGGCCCCGTCCGAATGGTACCGCAGAGACACAGGGCTTTTGGGTGTGGAGGTCTCAGGATGGACTGATAGAAGATACGCCAAATGCTTTCATTTCTGGCTATTGAAAGCCAGTATCAGGCCGGGGTCAAAGTGTAGCTCATTGGATGGAGGAGCCAGCTTTGGATTTACAGACCCTAGCTCGAGACTACTTCATATTTCTCTACATCAGATGAGACTAATAGTCTTGCAATAAGAAGCATTGCTTTCGCTCTGGCTCTTTCAGCGCTTTACTGGGCTACGCATTTACAATCCCACTGTATCATTGCCAATGTCCTTTACTGGACTTTGGTGGAAACTGCGTCCCATACTCCTTGAAGACACTATCAATGGCATCTGTCAGATGCAGCACCACTATACAGTCTATGGGAAGTCAACTAGATGAGGGACACCCAATCCCTCCTTGTCTGTTCATGATGGATTTGACATTGATCTGTTACAGCCAGTAGTTAGGACATGCATGTGACAGCAGATTAGTCAGCAACCAGATCGACGCATCTATCATCCCTGTCTTCCTCTCTTTCAATATCGCTGACCCCTTCTTCCATTTTTTGTTACTACTTAACACGATGGCTTCGGCCTTGCAGAATGCACAACCTTCCCATGTAAGAAAAAGCTCATAAGCACAGGTTGGACGACCTAGCTAAGCTCACAGGACCAGATCCTCTATCTCGGCGACCAGCCCATCCCTGTGACCGAGGTCATACGGCTGGATCCCAATCGAACTGTCTATCGCGTCGGAATCGAGCCCGTTGGCGATCTTCCGCAGACCGTCATCGTCAAGCAGCAGAAGGAAGGATGGGAGAAAGAGTTTCGACAGGAGGCGGAAGCTTATGAGAAACTCAACCCGCTTCAAGGAACCGTAATACCACGGCTATTCGGGCAAGGTTCTTTCGATGGAGTCCCCGCGCTTGTCCTTTCAGAGGTGATTGGGACCACTTTATATGATCTTGCTCATTGTCGGGAGTCTCCCATTCACGAGAAAACCCTGAGAACGCAACTAGAGACCGTATTCACTCTCCTATCCGAGTACGGCGCCGTGTACTGGGACCAGAAAGTGGATAACTTCCTACTCTGCAGTGAGGAGGACTCGGGAAGTAGTAAAGTCATGGTGGTGGATCTCGAGCAGGTGCGGTTCCCTGGGACGTTTCGGTCGTGGGAAGGGAAGGTTAATCGGAACGGGGCGCGTTCTTTGATGAGAGACTTTCGCGATATTCGATACCCAGATCGTGAGGCCTCACCTGTAAGGTCCTGGATGGCTGGGTCTGTTCGCCAGGATGAGAGTGTTTCGAGGACAACTGAGTCATCGAGTCTAGGGGTGTTGTGCGCTCGATGAATCTCCGGGATACAAGGTAGCGGGGTATTGTGGCTGAATAGACCGAGGCAGAAGGAAGTTGCAAGGTCCTGGAATTGAAATTCTGAGGCGTTCAGGACACTAGGACTAGCGACGAAGTCAAGCTAGGAAATTAATAGTACAGACGAGAGGGAAGTGGATGAACTTCGAGCTCATGATACTGGATCTGTGGCCGGCAGACATGAGATTATAAGCCACGGTACTACCAACCAACAAGTTACAACCCTTCGACTACTCGAGCATATATCTCCGGTACCCAACCATCCCACCACAATCAATACATCCACCCGACGTATCCCCATTCCAATCCGGCCTCGCCCACCGAACATGCAAAGGAACATGAACGAGGTTGGAATGGGGCAGCCAGGGATCATCCCACTTGCGGAGGGATCTCACCCCAGTCGCGGAAACCTACCCAGGTGCTATACACAGACAGGGTAGGTTCGTCAACCCACTCACGATACTCAAGTTCACCTCGGGGAAGGGGGCAGAGTTACGTGCTCATTGGTTTTCTAGGTGGTGGGTTGGGGGTGGGCGAGGGTGATGGTTTGGCTGGGCTGGATATCCAGGTTGGGCGGATGGTGTCTTGGTTGGATCAGGATCGGATCGGGGGAAGGACTTTGTGATGTATGTAGTGTGGTGGGAGTAGTACGGTGGGAGGAAGTTAATTGTGTGTTATCTACTTGATGGGTGTGGCGAGATGGGGAGGCGAGATGAGGGATGAACGAAGAGAGGGTTAGAAATAGTATTAACTAACCCGCCGTCATCCTGACATCTCGATGTGAAGCCCGGTATCGCAGATTTACTATGTAATAGGAAGCAATAGGGCTTGACTAACTGGGAAGAGCTAGCGCGCGTCTTGCAGATCAACGATAACCTTAGATAAGAATAGCTCCATTCGAATTGAATACAAGTTAAGCCAGTAATCACATTCATAGCAAATTGCCGAGAATCAATCCAAATCCACCAAGGTATTACCCAACTCCACAGGCAACTAACTCCAAGCAACTCCAAGCAACTCCAAAGTATCACGCTAAACGACCTAAAAGATAAACTAAATATACTCATCATCGTCCATGGAGCCATCATCCTCCCAAGAGGGTGCTGGAATATCCTCCACCTTCAACTCGGGAACCGCCTCCGGAACCACCGTCGGCTCTTTCTCAGACCACAGTCTAGGCGGAGAGAAGAACCCCCGAGATGGAGCTGCCGCCGTAGGAAAGTTGGTCACTCGGCCATGGATGCGGACCTCGCCGGTCAGATTAACCGGACGGGGAGCCTCCTCCACATATCCATCCCAGAAGCCAAGCACCTGTGCCAGAAGTCTGGCAAGCGCAATGGTGACAGTCCAGAGAGGGGTGAAGATCGACGACAGGTGCAGCCAGCGCCAGAGCATGGTCGGAATCACGTATGGAAAACAGGGAGCATCCGGGAGCAAGCAATTTCCTTGGCAGGTGTCGGAGATGGAAGGGTGGCAGTACAGATCACACATGGTAGACTCGGAGTAGAACCACAGGAGCAGGATGAGAGAGCACCATCCCAGCCGCGTCGGACGGATGCGTCGAGAGACAGGATCCCGTCTCCATAGACGTGGAAGAGAGACCAATGCGTAGACACGGCCGTCATGCTCTCCGTTGCAATTCTCACAGCTATGCTGATGGGATCGCTTGCCCCTTGGGGCCGAGGCAAGGACGTCCGCATCTCGGGATACCTGGGCCTCCAAGCCATTCAGCCCGGTTTTGACTCTCTGAATATTGTCCGCCAATGACTTGAGCTTTTCGTTGAGCCGGTCCAGGTCCACTGTCTCTCGGCTTCCGGAGCTTGCAAGCTCCAGCTTCTTCAAAATCTCCTTCTCGTATGCAGCATCATCCTCTTCCTCGGTCTTTAGCTCGCCGGGTTGCCCGTCAATGATGTCTTGGAGCGACTCGATCGTATCATCACCGACGTCCAAGGAGACTTTGTGGGACTTGAAATCTTGCAAAACCGTCTCTAGGGCGCTCTTGGGCAAGTCGGGTTTGACCAATGGTGGCTTGTCCTTTGCCTTTGCCTTCCCAGTCGTTTGTTCCGCTTTCTTCAGCACGTCCTTCTTTTCCTGGGATTTCTGCTCTGCGTCCTTTCGTTTCTGCTCCTCCTGTTCTAGCCTTTGCTTTTCCTCCTTCTGTTTCTCCTTCTGCCTCTCCTCCCTCTGCCTCTGTTCTCTTTCTCGTTCCTCCCGCCGTCTCTTTTCTTCTTGTTCCTTCTCTCGATCCTCGTGCCTCTGTCTTTCTTCCAACTCGAACGTTTGGGACACTTCGTCGATCGTAGGTTGCGTAGGCACGTACCGATCATTCCTTGGCGGCGATGGCACTATATCCTGAGACAGATGTTCTGGGAACTCGCTCACCCGCTCCACCCGTTCAGTCACCGGCGTATCGATCCACGCACCCGTCACAATAGGCGTCTTGTCGTAGATGTGTCTTTCCGGAACTTTCTGAGACTCCGGGGTCATAAGCTGCTGGCCTGGACTCTCGGTTCTCGACAGTTTCCGAAGCAAATCTTGAGAGTCTCTCTTTGTGGGACTTCGCTTCGTAAAGGTTGAGTTCTTGTAAACGACAATCGGCGTGTTTGGTATTGGGTCGCCCTCAATGGATTTCTCGGCGTTTTGTTCAAAGGCCAGCTTGTTATGTGCGTCGGATAACGGAACCCTGTTGTACCTATTGGATTTGCTTTCGAGGGTCAATTCTGGGGCCTCGAATCTCGGAGGCGATGGGTCCTTCGCCCTTTCAGCTGGCATGTCTGGAAGCTCGGTGCGCCGGGTCATCTTCTTCAACCAGTCACGGCGATAAGCCGCCCGGCTCCCCCAAGTGTTGGGAAGGTTCAAGGAGGGCTTGAGACCATCGTCCTCTTCCAGTTCCATCTCTTGCTCGTCCTCCTCCTCCTCGCGCCGTTGCAGATTCTCCGACGTCAACGGATTTATGTTCCCCGCATTGCTTAACACAGGTGATCGGCTGGATGTGGCTCGTCTCAATCGCTTTTCATCTTGGACATGGTCGACCAGCTTGCGGCGCAGGGAATCGTCGGAGATCTCGTTCAAGAAATCCGCGTCGGCAGCCGCGAACAAATCCTCCCCTCGCAGACGTGATGCCGACGATGAGCGCCGGCTGCGACTACTTCGTAGGGAAAAGTTGAAATCATCCTCCGGGTCTAGGTCAGCGAGACTCCCCGCGTCATCGATCTGCCGATACGCCTCTGCCAGCTCATTCGGAGGGTTGGACTCGGGAGAGGCGGGGTTGAAACTCTGTCGTCTGGTCCGGTTTGGCGACCCAAAAGTGTAGGGGGCGGCCTCACGATCCGACATGCTGGGTAAACGCGATGTAAACTCGAATGCTTTGCGGAAACTTCCGGTTTGGCTGAAGTTCCTCCGGTATTGTCGGCTGTTGTAATCGGCGAAGTTATCGGGCATAAACGACGCGTCAAAAGTATCGGCAAGACGAGTTTGACGAGCTCGTCGAAAGGGAGAGAGTTGCTGGTCCTGAGGATAATCGCGGTTGCGACGCGCCAGGGCTCCGCGGTCGCTCCTGCGCTCGGGGGTGGCAGGCATGATGGGAGATCGACCAATCCGGGCCTTGCGACTAACACCGAGAAGCGAGGAGGGATTGGGGGGAGAATGCAGTGAATGATCAATCAGGCCCTCAGGTATCGAGTATTACGTCTCGACCGGCAAGTACCAGCAAGTACCAGCAACTTAGTTGCAACACGAGCTCCGCCGGCGGTCTCCTGGGTGGCCCGATCAGGTTAGCCGGGGCCTGGCGTCATTCCAGCAATTCCGCATCTCCTTCGCTTTTCTTTCCTCCTCGGCCTCAATTCTTCCAATTTAGGTCCAGGCCGACTGCTGAGCCCTCCGGTCAGTGGATAAGACCTCCCAGTGGGTATCACGCCTTCCTTTTCCCGTCCCCTGCCCAGATGATCCCATCCGAGCGCCTTCATCGACCGACATGTGACCCGATCAGGCGAATCGATCGTCGTCGCTTGTCGTGTCCCCGCATCGCTTTCAACGAGACGGGCTATAAACTGCATTATTGTATGTCACAGGGACTAACATCTCTTCAACTTCTCAGATACTCTATAGTCCTTCCCCTTCGCCCACCTCGGTCATTTAACCTGCCCGAGTTCCGAAAACAAGAGCACACAAGAGCACTACCAGAACATCGCGAAATGGCCAAATCCGCCAGGCGAGGCCCCAAGCCCAAGGCGTCAGCTACGACGTCCGCGGCCTCCTCAGGCACTTCCACTCCCAGCTCGCAGGCGGGCCCTCTTCCTCCGTTCCGCAGAGCCCCTGAAGCTCTCAAGCCGCTCCTCGAACCTCTTTCCCCGCGCGAAGTCTACCTCGTCCACATCGACACCTCCCCCGTAGAGATCAAACAGCAATCATTCATCGTGCCATGCGTCATAAACGCCATTATCCTCGCCCTCCTCGCTTTCCGAGTCTACATGGTTCGCAACATTTACCCCGCCATGATAGCAACAATGGTCGGAATCAACAACTCCATGACCGTGGACACATCGATAATGACATGGGGCGAGATAGCCGACGTGACCCTGCGTCGCGTAGGAAACGTCTTGCTGGACTACTTTCTCGTGACGGTGTTCCTGTCCTGGCCCATCCGATTCCTCTTCGGCGCAGTACGATGGCGCCGCAACGTCGGCTTCCGGGGCCACGAGATCATTGTCCGGAAGAGCCAGCCTGACATGACTAAAGGCCTGAAGCGTGACCGCTGGATCCGGGAAGATGAAGAAACGCGGGACAAGATTGTTGCGGCGGTGACCCCGGAGCGGATCATGAAGACTGGGTACCTCCTTGTGGATGCAGACTTCGATCTCGATTACGACGCCATGATCAAAGCCCACGAGATGGTCGACAACCCTCAGAAGGATGCGAAGGTCTCATTGGAGGAGTTCCGCACGGCAGTTCTGGTGAACACAGATGCCCATGGCTGGTTGATCTGGCATGTTGGAGACGAAAATGAGAAGATTAGCCCCGATCCCAGCCCCAGCGATATCCCGGAGGACCCAACCCGATCCGCCCAAAGGGATCAAATTCTGATGTTCAAGGACAAGCTGACGGCCATGGGCAAAGAGGACCTTTTCTTCCGATGGGTCGAACTAGTCCAGTACGAGAGCACCCAGCCGGGCGGATTCACCCCGGAAAGGCAACAATCCGCCATGCTTCAGGTCAAACAGCTCTTTGAGGAGAACGACGTCGACTTTTCACAATTCTGGGAAGACGTCGGTGGCTTGGATGAGTTCATGGAGCAGCTTGATTAATCTCGTGCATATATCTACCAGTAAATGCTTTCTCTCCCATTCTATCTTGTCTTCTTGAACCATTTTCGGGGATATTCAGGATGCCAGGCGTTGTCGGTGCATTATAAAACCAGAGCCGGATGGCACATTGCATATCAATCTATTTCATCCACATAGTACTATAACAAAGCAAACGCTAAATCATAATGATCTCCACGTCTAATCCTAACCCTAATCCGCTTAGGCCACGGACGTAAAAGCAAATGTAAAACAGATAAAAGGTTTCCATATAACTAAGGGTGTGAAGAGAGCGACTAGAAGAAGATATAGGGCAATTTGACCATATAACCGGGTATCATTCAAGCAGACATGATCTGATGATCTGTCATTCCCTTCATCATCTATCGTGAGAAAAGTGGCAAGAGGAAAGCTGAGGGCTTGCGGGATCCTCCCGACTCAGCGACTACTACTACCGCTCTCCAGACGGTAGTCGACAGACCAGAGTTTCTCCCATGGTCGGTATCGAGCCGCTGGACGTCGGGCCGAGCGGATGGAGGAAGCGTCGAGGTCCTCGACACGCGGGGAAGAGGGTGATACTCTACCTTGCGAAATTCTTCGCTGGTGCGTTCGTTCCGTGCCCTATGACGGTCCGTCAGCTCCGCTCAGGTGACGCAATACGGGAGAAAGAAAATCAGGGCCGCGGATTTCACGGACCCTGGAGAAGGTTGCGGCGAACCTCGTCGGATCTAGGAGCTGCCTCCCGTGAGTGTAGGCTGGCAGCGGGGTCTTGCTCGGCTTGTCGGGCTAGATCGGTGGTGGAATCATTGCCGCGTTGTGATGGCGTTGAGGAATGCCCCTTTTTGGAGTTGGAACTGTTCCGGCGGCTGTCGAGGCTCTTGGTCAATGTCCTGGCGACGTTTCCTCCGGCGGATGTGCGCTTCAGGCGGATGCTGCCCTTGGCGTCTACGTGCGCTGGCGCAACGGTACTCTTGCCCAGGCCGGGAGTCGCTGGCGCGCCCGGCTTCTCCTCCGTGGCATCTAAGAGGTACCAGCGCAGACCATCGGACAGCTCAAAGGGGTTTTCGTCGTCGAATGACGTGCCGTCGCTGACTTCGCCGATGGACCGGCGGTCAGGGTTGGCACCGTTCATTGACTTGGAGAGATCGACAACTCGTTCCTCGATCTTGGTTATGCGAGCGAGCAGCCAGTCTCGAGTCTGAAGCTTGTGGGCGTCTTGCTCGCGCAGGAAATAGTGCGGTGCGCCAACGTTGAATGCGGCCCAAGACCGGATAGCCTGGTTTCGGGTGGGCAAGAACAGAGCAAGGTCTCCTTCTTTAAACGTCCGATAGGCGATTTTATCGTGCGCTTCGCTCTGAACTCGATGATACTTATCTCGATATCCGCGGGCTTCTTTCTGCCATTTGCGAGCCAGTATCTCGATGTCCTTCACACGTTTGACAACCGCGTCACCGAAGATGTCCACATCAAACTGGTACAGTGATTCCATGAAGGCCATAAACTTGTCTGTCTCTTCCTCCTTCGTATCGGCATGCATCCAGTCGAGGAGGCTTGCATCCGGCCTCACCGACACCACCCCGGATTGACTAAGACTATCTCCAGTGCTAGAGAGCGCATTGACTTTCGAAGATCTTTGGACAACAATGTCCCCATCTTGACGGATGATAGTGAACCCCAGTTGCTCCAGCATATGCTCCAATTTCTCCACCTGTGCGAAAAGCTGCTTCGATAGTTCTTGAGATCTGAACCCGCACGTCTCGAACCGTACCGTAGCTTGCTGCTCCGCCTCCGACATGGCTTCTACCTTCGTCTTCCAGGCAGTAACCTCTTCCTCGGACTGGCGAGCCAAAGACTCAACCTCGGCCAATCTTTGGGCCAGGCTCGTTAACTTCCGTTCTTCTTCCGTGACGCGTTCTCGCAGGGCATCGGAACCCGTCTCGCCTGCCGCAAACTGAGATTGCAAAGCAATGAGTTTCGATCGCTCATCTTCCAATTCAGAGCTCACGATGCTAAGTTTCCGTCTCTCGTCGGCCAGTTCATTGTGGGCTCGGGAAAGCTCAGACTCCTGCGAGGCTGCACGCTTTCTTAGCTCTTCGGCTTCAGACTCGATCTGGGCCAGACGCTCCTCGAGTGCCTTGCTTTCAGCTACAGCGTTGGTGGCACTCTCTTCTGCGTTCTTGGCATGAATAGTCAGCCCCTCGGAGAGCACCTCGATCGCCTTAATTATATTTGGAATCTCGGCAGGAACAGCGCCTCCGGGGGACAAGTTAAGAAAAGCGACCTGTAGGGCATGGCTGTTCTCTTTATCCTTCTTCTCATTTCCTGTCACTTGACTTTGAAGCTCATCAATACGAGCCCGGAGGCTCTCTCCCGCATCCTTCTCTGATTGCAACTGTTCAATCATCTCACCTGCTCTCCGCAACTCGTCCTCGGCTCGAGCATGGGCGTCTTGTAGTTCCATTTCAAGCTGGTGTATCCGCTCATCGGCGTCCTGTTTCTCATGTTCGCGACTATCAAGGTTCCGATCGATTTCCTCTTCGAGCTCCTCAGTCCGGATTCTGAGCCTCTTGAGCTCGTCCTCAAGGAATCTCCGCTCCGCATCGAATTCACGCTGTCTAGCTTCAAGATTGCCGATCAGATCCTTCTTCGTCGATTGAGCTTCTTGTATCTTATCGGTATTGGATTGCCGTTCGGCATGCGCCTCCTTCTGGAGTCGTTGGACCATGTCTCGTTCGGTCGCCAACTCAGCCTCAAGGCGAGTAATCCGCTGAACGAGTGCCTTCTCCTCAGGGGCTTGATTTGAAGACATTCGCCTAGAGGATACCGATGATCTCCTTGAGAGCGAATCGGGATGAGGTGACGCGGGAGAACTGGGGAACTCCAGTGAGAAATTGCCGCTGGAGGGCCGGCTCAGGTGGCTTTGGCGATGAAGAAGATCCTCTAGCTTTCGAACGCGGCTTTCGGAGCCTTTTAGTCTGTCTTCAAGCTTGACTTTCTCGTCTTTCAAGCTTCGAACCATATCGTCGCTTCGCAGTAAAAGCGAACTCCGACTCAGGTCAAACAGACTCCCTTGTTTGAAAGCCTTTGCTCTGCGGCGCTGCAGCCGTGTCGGAGCATCCAACTCTTTGAAGAGCTGCGTCAGCTCTTGGACATGGTTTCCCATGCCAGTTTTTGTCTTCAGGTCCTCGATATACGACTCAACCTCCTTTCTACTGACCATAGGCCACTCCTGCTCCTGCCCTCGTAGATTGACTTCAATTCCTGGGGTCGTGGAATCTGAGATAGAGATAAAATCCGCCATGTTCTTTAACCACTTCTTTCTTCGACGCTGCTCCTCGTCGCGAAATACCGACATTTCCTCCGCCAGCGTTGCGGAGTCATTCTTCATCTTATCATTGAACTCACGACGGCGCACCGACTCGATCAGAACAGACCCATACACCAGAGGCATGTGAAAGACGATGTATATAGCGTCGAAAGCTTCACTCTGGAAGGTCATACTGTTCATCTGAGTCTGTACATCAGCAAGACGTAACTCGATAGAAGATATGCGTCGCATATGATCCAAAGTGGTTTTCATTGCCGCATTGTAACGTCTCACGGCTTCCTCCAGGCCAGCTTGGATTTCGTTGCTGACATCCAACAGCGACGGTAGGAGGTTTGTGGTGTGGTTGAGAGCGAGCCTAGAGATATTTGCCAGCGTCTTTTGATTATTGGGCAAGGCCACCACATGTTCGTAATCGGATTGTATCTTTTTGGATATTGTTTCCACTTCCTGTAAGAGGCCTTCCACGGAATCAACCCCCGCAGGAAATGCTTCATCAATCAGGCGCTGAGTATCTGCAGCAATCTCACTAACATTCTTCTCGGTAATGCTAACTTGATGGGCGAAGCGCGCAGATACTTCTGGGGCTTCCGAGCCAGCTCTCTGCACTTCGCCTGTATCCACATAGTCTCGCAGTGTACCCATCGCCTTATCCCTGCCTTTTGTCGGTGTGGACGGTCGGCCCAAGAAGGGGAAGTCCTTCCGAGCCGGGATGCTATCCAAATTTGACAGTGCTCGTCTCCATCCATCGAGCGCTGTTTGTTGTTGACTTAGCAGGTCGTTGGCCCAGGACTGGGCCTCTTGGAACCGGTGCTCCAAGGTGCCGACGTGAGTTTTGAGGTTCTCAAGAGCTACACTAGCAGCTCGGTTGATGATATCAGTGCGCTCGTTGTGTTCATGTATCTGCTTATCCGCCGCCTTACAGCGTTCTGTGAGATTCACCGCCCAAGTATTCCTCGCCAGATAGAGGCTCCGCCATGCTTGTAGGTCGTTCTGGTTTGTGAGGGTATCGGGCGGGTTATCGGCATGGAGTGGCTGTGGTGGAGGCAGCTCCGGGAGCTCGAAGCTGTTTGGTTCACTGACGAATCGCCTATCGTATACGAATATCTCGCTCTGTTTTTGATGAGTTTAGCACGGGGCACGTGAACATCCGAGGCGACCGTACCTCTGTGGCAAGCGTTTGGATCTTGACGTTTTTCCCCCGAGCAGTCATCAAGATCTGCCGCTGGGAAGGGATCGAGGTATAGCGGGTGATCCATGATCGCAGGGCATCCGTCCTGAGTGAAAGAGTAGATAGGGTCAGCGAGCATTCACGGGGGACCGAAGGGCAAGGGAGTAGATAGTAGGAGCTCCAGGGCTGGCCCGGGCTTAAAGGGCGGTGATGGGGAAGCAGAATGAAGGGTGGCAACATACGAGGCGAAGGACACCGGATCGGTGGGGAAATGCTCACCGGTGTGAGCGATGTAGATGTGCAAAGACATCCCCTCCTCACAAGGCGAGCAAAGAAGCTCCGACGTTGGCTGAGGAGGAATTGCGGGAGGGGAGGTGATCCGGGAGTCATATAGTCGAGGCTGCATCGGTGCATAGGCATCCAGGCCCAAAGAGCTCCCCCGGCCTAGGCTGTGTTTGGTCGGTTTGGTGTCTGACACGGCGCCGGAACCGCCCACCGCATCCCGCGATCTCCACCGCCCTACCGCTAAAGGTCGTGAACCATCGATCCATGATCCATCCATGCTGGGCCTTTCCAATCACACGATCATTTCCCCGACTTGCCACGAGGTCGCGTTCTATGACATCTGAAAAGATCCGCTCCCTCCCTCACCTGAACCCAGGTGAGGCGTCCTTGTTGGACCTTGCGACCGACGATCCTCGCGATGCCGTATCTCTGTCCGAAAGAGAGGCCTCGATCCTGCAGCTTTATCAGCAAATCCAGGAACAGCAATTAGAGAAAGCGCTACTGGAACAAGGTCAGTGTCTATGTTGCTAGAGCAACGTGTCGCCATGCTTTGATGATTTCGTACTAACTGACTTTACAGACACGGATTTGCTCTCTGGGGACAATGCTGAAGAGCAATTAGCCGTCGCAGAACGTGAGCTCCTCGAGGCGAGGGCCACTTACACCGTCAGGAGGAAAGCTGTCGGAACCGTTCTTATGACTGATCCAGTTCTCAAGGCTGTTCATCTGAAAGCGACGACGCCAGCTGAACAGTACGTATTTTCTTCTTTTCTTTTTCTTTCTTTTTTCTTTTTCCTTTTCCCTGCTTTTTCTGATTACATCCTTGAATTCTCTCTTGTCTCTGTCTCCCGACATGATCCCCTTGCTGATTGATTGTAGGGCTCTCCTTCGGCTCATTAATCGTCGTGATGTGCTATCTTTAGCGCATGAAAATCTAAATTCTGCACATAGCGCGACTCTCCGAAAGCTTTCCAGCTTGGAGGTAGAAACTTCACAGCTCCACCGGAAGAACCAAGAGCTAGCCCGTGAGCTATTAGCACTTACGGAGGATGATGAATCATGGAGAGAGGACCTGGAAGACGCGGAGCTCAAGGCCCAACTAGAGCAACTAGAGGCGGATCGTAGAAAAAGCAAAGCCAAATGGGAGACCATGAAAAACGTCGCAAGTGGCATAGTTGTTGGTAGCGGAGTGAACTGGGCGGAGGACGCAAGACTCACGGCTCTAGTCCTTGACGAATCCGATGATTGATATACGGAGTACACAGTGTTGGGAATTGGCTGCGGCCATTCTATTTGGACGTGCTGCATTTACTTGGATATGGCGTTGTGACGGTATACCCTTGACTAATCGATAGAGCTACATACATAGTACATATATGATGATTCTTTCTAATGCTGGGGGTTGGGACTAAATTTGCGATTGATCAAATTCTCACTGTCCCATGACAAGTCATGTATTGCGGAGATGTGCATTATGATTAGTAATCCATTTATACCAGTGCGGTTAGTTGACCACTTTTCTCAGCTTCCTCAGCCGGGGGCGACCCACGTGACATCATGGCCCACCGGGGCAAAGGCAAGCAGCGTTCGTCATACCGTGTCCGCAAAGCTTGCTGACCGGAGTGTTGGGGATCAGACGGGGAACAGCGGACGGAAAGAAATTGCTAGCCAACCCGAGATAAGGTGCAACCCTTGCAGCAGACAAAGGAGCAGTGACAGCCGGAAATCAACAACGGCGCTTACTGCAGGTATGCCATTAGATTTTACCTTCAAAGTTCAAACACCGGCAAGGCAGTGAGCATGTGAGCATACGAGAGCTCCGTGAGGGGAGAGGAGCCAGACCAAAGAGGAGCCGGCGTTTCCACCTGGACCCAAGTAACAGCGTCAATGACCCCCTCACCATTATTAAGAAAAGAATACCAGGCAGCTTACAATACCGAGAGTAATCGGCAGGTATCATCAGAAGGATTTGTTGCGTCCGATCATTACGGGATCTAGTATTTTGCCGGTAACTTTCGCTGGTGCTGTTTAGAATGGGAATGCGGTGGCATTTAGGTCCGGAGTCGCAGCAGCGCAGCAGCAGCAACTCGCCCTGGGCGAACCATCTATGCACACCTTTACCATAAATCCCTACGATCGTCTACATTAATGATTTGGGCCAACAATAGTCAACAAGCAAACATGTCGCAGAACTCGTGGCATCCAGTCTCTTTCCTCTATACGGAAATGATCTGATTGCCAGTGTTGGGTCATGGACTTCTTTCTTTGATAACAGACGGCAGATGCAGTCGGGAGTAGGGTCCAAAATGAGACTCTTATTATAAGTACGTGCTTGGAAATAGGTCAAGGCGTTCCCTGTCTAGGGAAGCCTTTGGAGTGAGCCACATGAAGAAGTCCGCGGTCTTGGGGAGTTGGCGTACTTTCTGACCCTGGCATATAATCATTTATCGGTGATCTCCAAACAGGATTGGTTTGTGACTGGTAGATTTTCAGAAGCGGTAACAGGCATCCAATGCCTACTGCGAAATAATGAGAGCTCCTAGTACTCCGGACTCCCGTACGGATAGGCTGCACATGGCCTTGAAGCGGTCGAGTTAATCATGTTTATTAATTTATTCAGCAAGTCTCTTGCTCTCATCACTACATCACTCGCGCTATCCCCATCTCTCATTGGGGGAGTGTCTCTATGCTAGGAGAAGAGCGTTCCTTAGTGTCACTCGGCAATGGCATGGTTAGCCTCAGCAACTCGCTCGAGCACGATCCGCCGGCCTATAGAAGCTCAATTGTGCAAGGAGAGCTGTAAGGTATCCACATCGTACCACTGTTATTTCAGTCTATAGGGAATCTATCTAGTAGACACATCTCACAACCACTGGCCAGGGATGAGGCTTTTTTAGGAGTGACGAGTCCTTTATCAAACACACGTAACTACAAGGGAAGCGGGACTTCGGACAGAAGATGAGACAGGGTACTCGCTTCATACGTCCCAGGTTTGCCAGAAACATAATTACTCGAAGGATGCAGCACGGCCTAGGATAGACACCCTGTATGAAAGAAAGCGCGGAGAATTATCAGTGCGGGTTTATCTTCGAAGATCGCGCAAGTACCCCGAGGTACCGAACGCTGTGTGTGGTCAACTCCGGCCCAGTAGAGCGAGAGTCCATGCAGCCAAAAAGGCCCCTCCAGACACCAAATAACATGCTATAGGCAGTCTTGCTCGGGCATCCTTTTTTATCGATTGTATACGGCCTTCTGCAGTAGCACATACTAACGTCCTAGACACGCACGAATTCATGTAGACTCGGGTGCTGCGCGGTATGGGAGGTACTACCTAGTACTAGCACTGCTAGTTAGGCATAGTATTGTTGCGCTCAGTAACGAGTAACAGCGTACGGTACGACAGGTAGCACACCACCACCTCCAGCACCATACCGCCAGGTATTTTACCCAAGGCCAAATTATCCACCTAATAGTGGCGCAAATTGGTGTACCGGGGTAGTATGGTAAAGTTCAGTACGGCAAGTGACAGTGGACCTCCCTCAGCGCAATGTTCGGTAGAGAGCTCCATCTTGTCTAACAGGCGAGGTCTGGATTACACCATCGAGTGGCATCCGACTTGCTTGGGAAAGGCTCTGCAACCTTGCAGGCCAGCCATCGACCCAGAGCAACCGAGTCCCCCAGGCTGCAGCGGCGAGAGTGGCCGGGGAGAGAGGGAAGATGACGGTACGTGACGGGTATGATACGATACCAGCCATGCTCCAGCGGGCGGCCAGCCAGTCGCAGCCGGCAGACCTACTCGCTTTCCCTTGCTGTGCTGCCCACTTCCCCCCTTCCCAAGAGTGAGCGAGGTCAGGTAGGTAATGGCCCGCCTTCCCGTCTTCCCTCGCTCTTCTCCTACTACTACTACTCTCCCCCTCTCCCTCTCTCATTCCCTCTCTACCTACTCTCACTACGCTTCCTCCCATACAATTCTCTCTCCCATACAAAAAAGTACTGCATATACCGCACTGGTGGGTTCCCTAATAAACATTCCGCTTCTGAGCATTGCCTCTACAACACCAACCCATATTTATTTTCTCTCTCAACACTGTTGCTTTCCTTTCTCAAATGCTTCTTTCGATCATCTGTTTCCCTTGATTTTCTCTCATCCTGGTTGCGCGACCTCGCCGTCGCGCTTCTACGGCAATCCTATAGTTCCAGTCATAGTGAGCTGACCCAAGCTGTCTTCTCCTCCACAGGTCGAATTTGCCGACCTCAAATCCTCAATTTTCGTGTTCTCTCTGAGTCAATCATCGGGTAAGTCACTTTTCTGCGCGCCTTTTTCTTCGTGGTGTCATTTGACTTGCGACCGCGATCCCTCATGTTTGGGCGCGCGCAAACCACGGATTATCCGCACCTCTGACCACCACTTCACTGCGCACTCCGTCGCATCCCCTCTTATGCTCTCCAATTCTTGTGTTGTTGTCGCCGTCATGTTTCCCATCACTTCACATGTGAACCGGGCCACTTACTGCTTCGGTCATGGGCCTTTGGATCACATGAATCGAGCCAATGTCCGAGTGGCTAACAGTCACATAGAGACCAATAATCAAAATGCCTAAGGAGAAGACCACCACCCGCAAGACCAAGGCTCGCACCACTGAGCGCAGAAAGAAGGGTATGTACACCTCCCTCCAGGCCCAAGACTCTGGCTGATCCATGTCTCAGATCCCAACGCCCCCAAGCGTGGTCTTTCCGCTTACATGTTCTTTGCCAACGAGAACCGCGAGAAGGTTCGCGAGGAGAACCCCGGCATTTCCTTCGGTAAGACTGGCACCTTGAACCTCTGGTGTTGCTAGATGTCTAACTTCCCTGTAGGCCAGGTCGGTAAGATGCTCGGAGAGAAGTGGAAGGGTCTGAGCGATGAGGACCGCCGCCCCTACGAGGAGAAGGCTGCTGCCGATAAGAAGCGTTACGAAGACGAGAAGGCCAGCTACAATGTAAGTTAACACCGGTAGCTCCCCTTTCCGACCGATACTAATCGACCCAAAACAGGCTGCTGCTGAGGAGGACGAGGAGTCATCCTAAATGTCTCCCTCACTTCGTAGGTCTTGTGTGTCTGGCCAATTGGCGTTTTCGTGTCGTTTATTCCGCTGATTGTCTGGCTTGTAATTGACGCTTCTTATATTTTCTCTTTATCTACTCAAATGGCTTCTGGTATGGGATGACGGCGGTTAACCTCTTGCTTTCTGTTCATGAAGGATTTTCAATGGGAAATGTTTACTGTACGGACTGGCGGCTTTGGGACGAATTTGACTTGAATTGAGGTGCCCGGCGTGAGTGACAACGACGGGAGAACCTTGTTTGAGTATCTATGGTGAAATATGAATTGCAGCTGCAGAAGTGATGTTGGGTGAGCAGAATCTGCTGTATACTAGCCTAATCAACCGCATCCCTGTCCTCGGTCTTTCGTGGTTCCACCTTTGCTGTCCCGTATGTTGTTCTGGCCCCGTGGGTGCTTCCAAGTCTCTGGGAAGGATCTGTTGCAGAAGTTGGCCCAAGCTCCCGGGGGTGACGCGGGGCGACAGCTTGTTTAATGTTTACGTGTCGGACGCGTCGGGTTTCCGATATCTCCGGCCGCGGCCTGGGTGCCTGAGGCGATCCATCCGGTGATCCGCGGTCCGCGAGTGCCTAACACGGTAGCTAACCCAATTGCCGGAGGCAACGTCCACATGTCATCCCCAGGATGGGTGGACTAAAAGGGGAAGCATAGCACCCAGGCATCCCATCTGTATACCTACCCAAACCACCATCAAACAGTCTCCATGCATGAGAGTGCCTGTACAACTCAGAGGATGTCCAGTCCGTCGTGGGTGAGCGTCTGCGTCCGCCATCGATTCTCAGCTAAATACATATTTGTTTATGTAGCTACAGAAGTTCATTTAGTGGATTTCTGACAAATTAGTCGAGGTTCTATATGGGCTAAGCAACCGGCCTAAGTCCCAGGAAGCATTATTATGCCTACCTGGTACTGGTTTGCGCAAGCTATCAAGCGTAGTTGCCAACAGTGAGTGAATGTATCGCCACTGTTGCTTGGCCCATACTCTACTCCGTACCGGGATGTGCATTAAGGGCATATAGCCTTGGCGATGCGAATCAGGTTGGGTTGACGTGCAGTATACAGTGAGAAGTCGACTTCTCCAACTTCTAAAGTACTTATATACCTTCCTCCTTGCAACCAGGTCGAACTTGGCTGTCTCGTTCAAAAGGTCAAGAAAGGTCATCGTCATCGGTATCCACTGACGGTTGGCGCGATAAGATAACGATTGCTACTCCGAACTATTTTCAAGCTTGCTGGAAAGTGGATTGAGCTCCATTTCTACAACGGAGTAGATTCTTCTTGGTCTATAAATGTCGGGTGGATACGGGGACAGCTCCACGTCAGCTATGGTCTGGCTTGGGCTGTAGCGTGTGCAAGTGTGGGGGCCAAATGGTGTCGATTGTCTTTGGGGTTCTGGGACTGACTGCCTGGGCTAAGCAGGTAGCCTTTGAGACGCCAACCAGCGCGGTTCGGGTCAACGTGTTTGCTGTTCCTATATGATTGAATAGCAAGGACGACACTCTGGGTGGTTCCGAAATCATCCGGGGATATGACATGCGGCAAAGGTAGGCATGATTCACTAGTTAATCACCGGCGCGGCTTTCGTTGATTTAGACGTTTCGGGCTTTATGGGGGAAGCTTCCAGGGGCTCGGTCCAGATATATAATGCCCGTGATTGCTCCACATGGCTCTTTGCTGTCCGACAGCCCGACCGTTAGTGCTAGACTTGAAGAGAGCTGGGTTGTGCTGGCCTGGCTACGAGTCCGACTTCCTTGAATGAGCTATGGGCAGACTCTCATCGCGGTCAGGTTGAATGGTGCAACGATCTAAACGATCCACCTGGTCGAATTCCGTCTCCATGCTTCATGATACCAAGTGCCTTGAATGATTCACGTATAGAAGCCCGTATTACATGAGAAAGCTTATCTGATCATAAGCGAGCTCTGCCAAGTTGACGAAGGTGAATGGGCGCTCCTCCACGCCTGCCGCTGCCCTTCAACAGACAGGCACAGTCCATGTTCATCCTGGTGTGCCGGAGTCTCGTGACTGGGCCGGTCTGTACAACCTGAATAAAGTTTGGAGGAAGTTCCAAGTGGAATGCCACCCCTGCTAGTTAAGACCCCGGAGCCATCGGGGACGGGCTCTGTCGTACGATTCCCATCCTGGGTGAGATTGGATGCGGTTCTCGGTCTGCCATCGATTTTCTTCCCTTCCTCTTCTTCTCCTCCTCCCTCCCCAACAACCCAGCAGCCCAGAGCCCAATGTACGACGTGCTGGAGTGTCACCGATGGCGAGAGACTGACTGACTGACCGGCCGCGGGGTTGCACTTTGGCCGGCCATCCTGGCCATCACCGCTCAATCCCATCATGCATTTCCACCGCCCATTATTGGCCTTTGGTCTTCTCCCGCATGAACACGTCAACGGGCCCAAGGCAGTTAGACGATGGGGAAAGGCATCTGGCTCCATTGCCCGGTCTGTCCGGCTGTCAGAGAGCCGCATTGCCTGCGACCCTTTCGGGCGATTGACTACGAGATCCCTGCCCCACTTGCGGATGATTCTGGTTCAGCATTCCTTTGTGTGCGCCGGTGCGGATGATCTCGACCCTCTTTCTGCTCCGTTTTACTTTCTCTTGTGTGTGGCCTCTTCGTCTGCCTCAGATCCGCTGGGCGAGACTCGGTTTCTGCTGTAGTCTGCGTCCGTTGCCTGGTGAGACTCCCAATCAACATGCACCCGGAGGTTGATCCCGCCGATAAGAGGTCCCTTTCTGACTCCCTCGTTGCAGTCTACTGAGTTGTCTTCCTCTGCCCCTCCCCGGCTCCTGGCTGGCCCTATCCCGTCTTTTCCTATTTTACTTATGCATTCTCCCGTCGGGCCTTCCATATAATTGCACGCCCGCCACTGTCATTCGGGGTGCTTGCTGGTGCATGCCATTTCCCGTTGCTGGCTTTGCCGTTCTTCCATCTTGGCCCTACACCTACAGCTCTATAAATTCCTTCCCACCCACGGTGCCACCCTCTGTGCTCAACACCAAACTCCACTTCCATGCATGGCACGCCATAGTTAACAGTCACAATGGCCTTGTACGACTCCTACAAGACCGCGGAAGCTGTGGCTGAAGGCTTTCGCTATTTTCGCGAACCTCTGCAAGAATACAACACGGAAATCACCCGCCTCGTTGCCCAGCTCTATTCGATCAGTGTCTCTCTCAAAGGCCTGGAGGACTTGACAAGACATCGAGCCTACCACCACAATCTACCTGCCATTCAGCCCGATCTGGAATTACTTCGGGCTAGCTTGAAGTACACGCTCGAGGACGTGCTTGATTTCTTCGATGATCTGGAGAACCGACGAGGCGACAGCAGCGGAGTATACAAGCAAATCTGGGTCGAACTTTGTTCTCACTTTGTCGCGGAATCCCAGGAGTCTTTGTCCACTCGATTAGCCAAGTACAACTCTTTCCTGGGTGATTTAAACCGTATAATGAAGGGGTGAGCCCGTTCCCATACTTCTTCATGTTAGGTTGTGGCTCGACTGACTCCTGGGGACAATGTAGTGAATACCCCGATACTCGTCTAATGTCATCACTCCGCAGCAATATCAAAGGGCTCTTAGTCCATCAGGATAGCCGACTTGCGCCACGTCTAGGTTCTCTGTCATTGAGCTCGCCGTCCTCCTCCAGCAGCAGCAGTAGCAGCAATGCTGATCCGGGGAGTCCTGCGAGTGACCGTAGGCCTCGCAGCCGCAGGTCGTACGAACGAGCACGGCCTGCTCATTCTTCGCCTCAGTCTCCTATATCGACTTCATCGGGCACGTTTTCTGACATTCCACCCTCTGTTCCTGATGCTCCGGATTCTCCTACCACCAGCACGACCGCCACTAGCCAGTCAGTAGACTCGACTTCTGCCAGCGACCACTGGGCCAGGCGAGTATTTTTGGACGAGCATCCAAAGACCGCGATCCCTTTTGTCGGTGAAAGGTAGATTGTCCTTCGTATCCACATGGTAGTAACGTACAGCTAATTTTCGTCCAGCTCTAAATGCCTCGGGGAATTGAGAGAGGGCGTCAATGTCAAAGCCTGGCTTCACAGTCAGGGCTTCGAGGAGTTGTTTGAGCTGTGAGTTTGTTAGAGTCCTCGCATGAGTCCCGGGGCTGACAGTTTTTGCAGTGCTTTCAACGGCGACGAGACAGATCTTCGCGTATCCTTCTACCTACGGGACGATGACAATCGCGTACGGATCGTGTGCAAATCTCGGCGGTCTCGATCTAGCGATTACTTTTGCCTGCCTTTGAATTTGCTTGAGATCGTCCGTGTCGGCTCCTGCCTGCAAATCTGTCGACGGCGGCGCGGAGGCTCTGAGCTCGTCTTGTGGGCCAACCTCAAGTTTGGCACCATTGAACGTATGCTAAGATATACCTTGAGCTCGGATGTCACGGCTAATGTAGCACAGATATGGTAATCTTTTTCTGCACGTTCTTGGCTCTACGGTCGCAGGATTCTGGTCGGCCCGTGGAACGCATTCGCGATTACGAGCTTGACGAGGAGGAGGAGCTGTTTGGAGGGTAAGCAGCCGCGTGAAATACTAGCGATGGGCACTGACAGCTTAGACAAATTGTCGATGATGACTTTCTCCATGCCTTGCGTGTATACCGAGACAACGTATCTGGAGCCGTCCGACTGCAAGCCTCCGTCCACAAAGGGGAAATGAAACGGTAAGATGGACGACCGTCTGCAGACTATCCTTACTAATTGGGCAGCTTCCACAGGATGCCCGTTTGGACTGCCTTTATAACGAGATCCATTAAATCCAGAGGCTGGATTCGCCGACTGAATCCCAAAACGGTGGTCCTACGCGACCTCCATCGGGTCATCTTTACATTCCCAAATTACAACCCACCAATGACACCAAAAGGAGAACATATCTTGATGTTCAAGAATCGTTCTGGTATGGTCAGCTTTCTTCTTGTGGAGAGTCTTACTTGCTAACAGGGAGCAGATGCCCAGGGCTTCATGGACACGATCGCGGAACTGTCTTAATTATAACATGAATGATTAGGGATGCTGACAATCCAGCGTTGTTGTATTAGTTGCGGCAAGGACAGGGAACAGTCCTACCTCGCCCAGTATCGATAGTGTTTACGATGAATGTGTTACGATTTATGATGAAACGAGCCACATGATGACGGTTGTTACTATTTGATGTTCCTGATCGAAGCCACGTTCGCTGCACATATAGCTGGTTCTACCAATGATACCCTTCGTCCACTGGTGGGCGGGATTGCGTGTACATCCAATTTTCCAAATCAAATAAGCTCATTAATATAATATATCGTCAAGGGGTATCACAAGTCATAACAAGCCAGAAGAGAACACCGCCCTTACTAACCACTGCCTCCTGCCAGAACACCCACATCCCCCAGGTTGGCAAGGAACATTTCCGCGCGTCTTTTGGCCCGCAACTCATCGACCTTTTTCTTCCGTTCGTCCCTCAACCGCTCGCGCTCTGCCCGTCTCTCCCGTCTAGCATCTCGCTCTCGCTGCGTTTCCTCCCGTGCATTGAGCAGCTCCTCCATCTGCTGTTTCCGCACATTCTCATCCTTCGAGAAGGCATAGAACCCCGTACCCCGATTCCGAACCTCCGCATCAGCATCATAATGCATCTCCTCCGGCGGCGTGGGCGACCGATCCCGCCGCGCAGCCAGATACGACATCTGCGACGCAACCGCCGCGTCCGGATTAAACGCCTCAGACTGCACCGTCACCCCATAGATCAGGTTCTCCGGACGAGCCGGACGCCACCGTTCAGTATTTCCCCGTGGATCGTCCTGCTCTTTCAGCGCCGCCGCGCGCGCAGCCTCGGATCGAGTACCGCGCCGCGACCGTCCCAGTTCATCCTCGTAGGAGACAATCGACGCATTATCATCATCCCCTTCCTCTTCCTCCTCTCCATCCTCATTTGCTGACTTCCTCCACTTCTGATCAAAATCCACCAACCCTTCCTTCTCCCTCCGCCGTAACCGCGCCAAATACGCATCCTGCGGTCCAGATCCCTCCTCATCATCACTTCCTCCGGCCAGATAAAGCCCCCGCTTCAAGTCATCGTACATCCGCACTTTCTCCTCCATCCGCCGCTTGGACCGGTGCAGCGCGGCGGCGTCCACGGCTCCGATATCCTCCGTGCGCTGGTGCTTCTGCTGCAGGGCGGTATTGTCATCGTCGCGGAGATCAGCGGCAGCGCGTTTCTGCGCACCTTTGTTGGGACGACTGAAGAGGTCGGATTTGGGGGCTTTGGAGGGTCGCGGACGGCCGGCGCTGCGGGTGGAGTCGTCTTTGGCGATGAGGGAGGAGAGGGTGCTGGTGAAGGCGAGGGTGGAGGCAGAGGGGAGATCGGACTGGGATGTTTTCTTAGATTTCGGTTGACCGTAGAGAGACGGGTTAGACATGGTGGGTGTCTTCGTGTGGAGCGGTGGTAGAGCTAGTATGGTGCAGTGAGTTGGATCGAGGATCATCGAGTCGGAGCCGATATAGGGCGATGACTAAGCCGATCAAGGATGGCCCCGCGCACCCCTCCCTCCGACTCATTCTCTCCCCTCTCTTTTACTTCTTCTTTCTATCGAGTCAATTGTTTCTGTCTGTCAAGTTTGCTGTCTACTTGCTCAAGCCTAATTGAACATGTCTCAATTCTACCTCGGTGTTATTGGTGAGTTCGTTCCTTCACTCTAGCAGCACTCCCCATCCACCCTTGCAAGAATCGTCACTACAACCTCGACTCCAACGAAGAATCACCACCAACCCAATTAAAATACTAACCACTCCATCAGGTGTCGGCGGCGTCGGCACCGCCTTCCTCCAGCAGCTCTCTCGCCTCCCCGATGCCCCGAAGCTAATCCTCCTGGCACGTTCCTCCCAAACCCTCCTCGCCCCCACCCCGACCTACCTCCCCGGCATCGCCGCCGACTGGAAGACCGCCAGCGCGAACCCCGACCTGACCAAGTCCGGCGCCCTCTCCCCCGAAGAAATCGCCAGCTACCTCTCCTCGGCTCCCGGCCGGGCCATCCTGGTCGACAACACCAGCGACCCGGCCCTCGCCGCCTCGTACCCGGTCTTCCTCCGCGCCGGTATCTCCATCGTCACCCCCAACAAGAAGGGTTTCTCCTCCGACCTGTCCCTCTTCCGGAACATCTTCGCCTCCGCGATCAAGGGTAACGCTCACGTTTACCACGAGAGTACCGTTGGCGCCGGTCTGCCCGTCATCTCTACGCTCCTGGACCTGGTGTCCACCGGAGACGAGGTCACCCGCATTGAGGGTGTGTTTTCGGGAACGTTGTCGTTCTTGTTCAATACCTTTGCGCCCGTCGGTGGATCCGGGGCTGGTCGGAAGTGGAGTGAGGTTGTCGCTGAGGCCAAGGAGTTGGGATACACGGAGCCGGATCCCCGTGATGATTTGAATGGTATGGATGTGGCTCGGAAGTTGACTATCCTCGCCCGTCTGGTCGGACTGGAGGTGCAGTCGCCCGATGCGTTCCCAGTGGAGTCGTTGATTCCGAAGGAATTGGAGGGACTGGATTCGTCGGCCGAGGGCGCGAAGGCGTTCATGGACCGGTTGGGTGAGTTTGATGCCCAGATGACGGAGATCAAGGAGAGTGCCGAGAAGGAGGGCAAGGTGGTTCGGTACGTGGGTAGCATCGATGTGGCTTCGAAGGAGGTCCGCGTGGGATTGCAGAAGTTCGATAAGGATAGTGCCATTGCTGGCCTCAAGGGCAGTGATAACATTATCAGCTTCTACACGAAGCGCTATGGCAGCAACCCGCTTATCATCCAGGGTGCGGGTGCCGGTGGTGATGTCACTGCTATGGGTGTCACGGCGGATTTGCTCAAGGTTATGCACAGACTGCGGTAGATCTGTTTGCCTATGAACTCGATAGATGAGCGGGCAAAGCTCTAGATCTAAATCGGCAAAAGAAAATAACGACTCATACTCATGCAGATACAAATTCCAAACAAACACCTAGGATAGATAGTATTTATACCATCCACTTCTCTACCCAAGCCATCCCCCTACTTAACCCACCCCAAACCAACATACTATAAACCTACTTATAAGTTAAAATGAATGAATCTACCTCCTCAAAAACGCCTTAACCGCCTCCCCCCACACCGGACCCCGCTTATACCCATGAATCTCAGGTACATTACCCTCTTTCAGACCGTCAATGGCCGCTGCAAGGTCCTCGCCGAGTCCTTCGTCTTTGATCTCTTGGATGGGGTAGGTGTAGGTGTGGAAGGTGAAGATTAGGGCTTTGGTTCGGGGGAGGCGGTGGAGGGTTTGGCGTTCGCAGCGGAGGCGGGTCTGTATTATCTGGTTAGTTATTGTGGGTTGGGTTGGGTTGGGTTAAGTGATGGTGAGGGTTATAGAGGGGGGTTGGGGTATAGATAAGGGGTAGAGAGATAGGAACAGGGAGAGGGGTTAGGCGACTGGAAAGAAAGGAAGATAAAGAACATACCTTCTCCCCATCTACCTCCTCCACATTCATAACCTCCTCCTTTTTCTCATCATCCCCATGCACGCCCCCAAAAGCAGCAAACAACGATGTCCCCTCCGTGGTAACACTCCAATTCACCCTCTGCACGACTTTGCCTATTTCCAATCTGGCGAAGAATCGATCCATGCTCTTCTCCAATTTCTCCTTGTAGCGTGGTACCGGATCATGGATGGTTGAGAGTCTCTTCCCCAACTTCTCGCGCGTGTCGAATCCGGCCGGGTAGAATGTCGTGTATGCTTCTAGTGTATATTTTATGTTTTCAACATCGGGGACCTTTTCAGAGGAGGGGGATGGAGAGCTGGTGGTGGAAGGGTCCGGGAGTAAGACGAGAAAGTCCTCGTCGACAAAGGTGCCCAGCGTGGTGAGGATCTCTCGAGCTGTGCCCGGGTGAGGAAGGGGGATTCGTTGGTTGGTGATCTTGTTGTGGAGGGTTTTGGATTTTCCGTTTCGTTCAGATGATTCGAGAATGAACATGGTTGGGTACCTGGTGGGAAGGTATTCGCTTACTATGAACTCGTAGAGCTCGGTGATGGCGGCGAAGACGGGACTGTCTCTTCTTTGTCCTTCGGGGGTTACGCCCACAACGACGGTGGGGTGCTGGGCGAGCAGGTTTTGGCGGAGGGCGAGGCGCTCTTTGTAGGTCTTGTCCATGGGGATGAGGTGGGAGATGTCAGTTGTTGTTAGGGCTGAATTTAGTGTTAATCGTGCTTCTGAAGTGATAGATATGGAGGTATACCCATGCTAAGGTGGTACTTGGGCTTGAATGGACGGTATTTGGTGGGTTCGGTGGTTTCCCAGTTGAAGGCTGGGAGGGGGGTGATTGGGGGGTAGGTGCCTTGCTCCTGGCTGTCATGATTGAGCGAACCGGGTGCTGCTTGAGATGATTGCTGTCATGTTGTTAGCTGGTGATTGTCCATAGAAGGTAGGTAGACGTACTCGATTCCATCGTGCAAACAGCCAGAGGGCGAGGACGAGGAAGACCACCACAACTGGGTTTTGTTGGATATGGAGAATCCAGGCGTCCAGATCTACCATGATGGTTGGAGTCTATGAATGATGATGGTATATGAGGAAGTCTCCAGGTAGGAGCCGCACCTTACTTATATCGCAGTCATCAGTGTATACATCCAGCGTATCGCGGCCCGCGATTGGCTGACATGCCCGCCCAACTCCGATTGCACGAACTCACCGACTCGGCATAATGCTCGAGGGAAAGGGTTGCCGTTTGGAGATAGCAAAGAGATGCTGCGGGGTGATCCCCGCACGAGCAAGCTTCGTTGTTACTATCTGAGTTGGTCGGACTGGTGACGATCTCGACTCCCCGGTTCTCCGATATGCAGCTGACCTTGCCAACAGGCTGGTGTGCTTATGTCTGATAAGGTACTATGACTTGGCGATAACTATATTCTGAGCCAGTCACCGTATCTTAAAGCGTACTCTGCTGTAGAAGCTTGAGCGATATAGCGCAATTATCGAAAGGCCTAGGAATGAAGAAAGCTGCTTGTGATGATGCCATACCAAGACTATGGTACAGTGACGGGTCATATAGAGACATGTCTATAAAGGATGTGATTCTGACTAGCCTAGTGAGATCCGTAAGCTTCAGTGAGCCTGCAAGCATCGGAACATCGGGTGCACTGAAGGATATAGTGTATAACACCTGCCAGCTATTGACGGCTTTAGCTTGCCTTCGCACTATGCATTCGACTTATCGGTCTGGGCTGTCTTCCATTATACAAGGAGTTGTGGTTTGATGCTTTTCTGTGATAGAGTCGTAGCAAGTTAGCATGCTTCCAGAACTCAACATGGATTGGGATTGAACCTTCTGGACCGTTTTATAACCTCAGCTTGGGAAGCTTACCATTGGTGATGCTCTTGACTTTCGCAGCAATCTACTTTTTGGTGGCTTGCATCAGATGATTGAAGACAAAAGCAGGCTTTTTGTATGATTGTGGCCGGTCTTGAAAGGGTGTAGCTTTGACTGAGTTGGGTGGGAAAGGAGGGGAAATACGGGTGCGAAAAATGAAGGAAAGCAGTTAGATTAAACAGGCATGGAAGTGGCATCTATCACACCTTCATTGACCACTGGTACTCCATCATTAACACGGTGCTAGCTAAACGTGAGAGGCATCAGTCTCATATACTAGAGCAGCTATACACAGGAGATAAAATGTACTAATAATACGAGCCACCTCTGGCATATCATGAACAATGAGCAACCCCTGTGACCAGGGATTATCAGCAACGAAGGAACAGTAAAGTAGACAGCAGGTATCTCCAGCAGAACGCTTCACCAAACAAACAAATATCAGCCGTTAAATCACCCACAGAGAGTATATATACAGGGTATTAATATGCTAAAATCACAATCACGCCTCAGCAGCATGCACCCAAGCATCAAAGCATAAAGTCGATAAGCTCTCACCAGGAGGCCAGACACCAACACCCGGAAACAATATCACCCAGCCATATAGAACATCCACCGCCTAAATATACCATTCTACCCACTCACTCACCACCAGTTGTATCCACCCCAACCCCAACAACCACCCTCCTCTTCAACTCTTCCACCTCCCACTCCTTCTCTTCCCTCCCACTACTCCCACCTCCCAAACCCACCAACACTCGAGGCTGACCATCCGGCCGCTCATTCAAACTCGGCGCCCGGGGTCGTTGCTTTCCGCGCGCTCGACCCCCCACGACCGGAAACTCATACGTCACCATCCGCCACACATACAAACATATATCGAAGATTAGAAGCGTCGCCCAAGGAAATATACACACGAAACCGAGGAAGATCTGCCCGCGATTGACGTATATTAGCTTCTGCCCGCATTCAGGAGGGTCCGGGGAGAGGGGGAAACGGACGAATATGCGCACAACCCAGGTTTCGATGTAGGAAAGGTCGGCGGGGAGGAGGGAGTACCACGCCATAATGGGGGTGAAAGATCTGGTTGGTGGCTTCTTGTAAAACCGGTTGTATAGCTATGGAGGTAGGTAGGTAGGTAGGTATTGGGTTATTCAGCTGGCGTCGGAAGCATCGGTGTGGCGGTCAGAGGCGGTCCGGTCTCCCTGCAGATGTATAATCGGGGAAGGGGTTTGCACGACGATCGGAGGATTGGTTTAGGATTGAGGATGGGTGGTGGTGCGCTGCGCTGGCAGGAGGGATCGTAGATATACTGTGCACGCTGGCAGGCCGGCTGGTCTCCGGAGATCCGGTGGTAGGGCGGGCGAGGCAGGCAGTGGTGTGATGCAAGCTGGCTAATGAGCGCGAGTCCGTCAGTCAAGTGCGGAGAAGATAGAAACAACAAGCGGCGGCATCCCCGAGGCGAAGAGAAACTGGATAGACCCGGTAAACAGGGGAAACTCCTGGAATTGATGATCGCCGGCCGACTTGGCGAGAAGACGAGCGCGGCCCTTTCGGGTAATTGCTTAGCTTCCACCGCGGGCTCCCCGCACGAAGTACGGAGTACCATCTGTAGCTATAAAGAGTTCTTAATATATAGGTACAATGCCCAACGTCTAACCAAATCAGTTTATACGCTTATATGCAATCTATGTACAGCGATTCTAATCAAAATAGTCGTAGGCACATGACTTCCGTACGCCGTCCAATCCCATCCCAATTCTATGCACAATCGTTATCGCTATAAATCACAATCATCTAGCGTGCCATCCGGTAGTGTTCGTACGAGGTGAAGCTGGGATCGTCCTGCTCTACAGGTCCATATCCCCTCGTCCGCCACCGATCCAACGGCGTCGCCGTCTCGTTCATCGCCGGGCCTTGCGCATAATTGAGCAGCTCGGTTTCGCTCTCGTTGCGTTGGTGATACATCCCTCCGCCCATCGGGGCCGGCACGCGGAAGGCCGGGTGGATATGTTCGTTCGCCGTCGGGTCGTACGGGTCATGCTGTCTCAAGCCGGACAGCGACGGCAGCGACGGGGCCGGAGACGATGCGCGCGAGGAGGTTGGCGACCACTCGCCCAGCGCACTGGCCGGCGTCTGCGAGCGTTCGGTCATCAGATCGTCGGGCCGGCCGTAGATCCCACCACCGAACTCGTCCCGGAAATCTGGGCGGTCCTTGTAGTATGAGAAGTCCAAGTGGTTCTCCGGAACCACTTCGAACGGTGCCGAGGATCCTGCATTGTCCATCATGGACTTGCCCGGTTGCGCAGACGACATCGTATCCATGGCGATGTCCGAGTAATCGCCTTCGCCTTCGAAGGTTCCCAGCCGTCCGCGGTAGATGCGCTTCAAGGCCTCCGCTGCCTTGGCGTGCACCATCGGTGTGATTAGTGGTTTATAGAGAGCCGGGTGGCCGAACTTCGAATTAAGCCGTTCTGAAGCCCTCTTGTTCGGCTTGCTGACTGCCAGGGCTTCCGCATCCGTCAGGTTCGCGCGGTTGTAGTACGTGATGTCGGCGTCGAACTTCCTCATGCAGTAGAACTTAAAGGCCAGCATCAGGAAGGGGGTGGGAACCACGCAATAAACCATGTTCCACGTGCCCTTGGCCATGACAACAAACCCAATGACAATGTTGGAAAGGATCATGGCGAAAACCATGCGGTTGAACAGAACCCGCCAGAACTGACCCCCGGACTCTGTCTTGGTTACAAAGACATACAGCAGCATGTACTTCTTCATCATCGCATCCAGGCCAAAGTACAAGGCGGTGACTGGGAGAACGATCGGCTGCAATGTGGCGAAGCAAAGAGCCACGGTGGCATAGAACAGAAAGTAGTTATAGTAACTTGCATATTCAAAAGACGGCGGGGCCGTCCATTCGATAGCCTGTCGAGGCGTGGGCGAGAGAAACGTCTTGGAGAACCAGACCCAAAAAACGTTGACCAGTTGGACTAAGTCGATAGTGGCTCCCAAATTCCGCTGCAGCAGATATGTCACCCAGAACGGCGACACCTGACACATGGCGCTCACAACTTTGGTATAGAAGGCCCCATCCCTGAGCGCTTGCCACGCGTTTTCATCTTTGTTTTCGGCATCGATGACGGCGGAGACGAAGGTCCACGCTGCAGAGAACAAAGAAAAGACGATGAGGTTGTTGAAAACAAAAAACGAGTAGAGTTTGCTGAGAACATGACGTTCTCGAGAGGTCTTGGTAACGTCGCCAGCCCGGATCGCCAGCCGACGGAAGAGAATAGGTAGAATGATATAGACGAGGGAGGTCACGGCTGGGGACAAGATACCCTGGACTGCAGCCCAGATGTAAGGACTATTTGTGAGCGATGTCTGGAAAGCTGGCCAGACCGAGCCCAGATTGGATAAATTGGACAAGAAGATCGCAATCAAGCCGTTAGGTACGACATACACCAGCGTGAGAAGCGTCACCCAGATGGCACTAAGAAATCGCTTCCATTTGCGGGCAGACTTCGACAACGGGAGGTTTTCCCAGATGAGGTCATCAGGCCGAGGTGCCAGAACAATCGTTGTCCCTTCTGGGTGCTTTTTGCGCGCGGTATAAGCAACGGCATGGGCATGCTCAATCATATCCCAACTGACGAAACCGAAAGGCATAGCGTTCCGTCGGTCGATTGATGCTCGAACGTGCTTGATTTCTTCTTCCAGCCTTCTAATCTTGTCCGTCAAATAATCAATGGCATCCACATTGCCGCTGGGATGCTCCTCTCTTTCCTTTCGGGGAGGGCGCATGGTCGGACGTTTCGCGGGGAGCCGATCTGGACGTTTGAGGTACTTGGCCAGAACGGCTTCGAGTTCGCGTACGGTTTCGTCGTGTTCCTTGATCAGGCCGGGCAGTCCCTTGACGTTGCGGCCGATGGAGGCTCGTGGGACAGCAGCGGTCGGATTCACCCCATCTGTCAGACGCAAGACGCCTTCGTCCGATCGAGCAGCCGGTGGCATATCAGTGATCTACCAGCATACGAGTCAGTAAATAGATATTGAAACTCAACCTTGGCTCCACCGGTTAACGCACCATCAGGGTTCGCGCATGGAGACTGCGCTGATATTCGGGGCTTTCAAAGTACTTCCTCCGCAGCTTCAACACGCCCTGGTAATTCCTCCAGAGGAAAATAGCAACGATTACATCGAATGCCCAGGCGCAAAAGACTTGGCCCCAAATGGCGTCAGTGGTGACATAGAGTGGGGTCATCGTAGCAAACGCCCCGAATTGAGATACCGTGTCTCCCGTACTCTGTGTGAGATTGAGCGGGATCATGACGCCGCAACCGATCACGCTCAAGATGATGAAAATATTCCGACACATCTTAGTGAAACGGACGAACATGGTGGCATCGAGGCCTACGCAATCGACCAGGGCGGGCTCCTTGGTACGCAGGACAGGTTTGAGCCAGGCAAAGAAGCCCCGTCCCACCGGAGGCGGGGTGTGTTTGTGATCGGCATGTTTGACCTTGGGCGCATAGACAACCGAGTGACGAGGGCGGAAGAGGGAGAACAGTAGGGCAAGGAGGATAGAGAAGCCTGCAGAGGTGGCTAAGGAAGCCCAAATGGCGTTGACTTGGAACTGTTGGGGATCTTAGCTGATTGTCGAAGACTGAGAATGGCGGGTGAACATACGGCAGATTGGAAAGGATTCGAGATGAGTTTGAGGAATTGCTCCGTCGGATCATCGCGCTGCTGGAGAGCGCTAGGATACATGTCGGGCGAGGCGAGGCGGCATGGAGGGAGAAGAGGGAGGAGGCGCGAAAGACAATGAGAGAGGACAGAACCGCCGGCCGGGAAAGAAGAAAACGAGTGTGAAACCGATCCAGATAAACGAAAGGATGGCCGCGGAAGAAAATGAGCGATGATGGAGAAGCAGAGAGCCGAGTGGGTTTTGTTGGAGGCGGGTCTGGAACCCACGACGACAAAGGTTGGAGTGGCCGTTGCCCATCATTCCTCATTCCTCTGGGGATGCCGCCGCCTTTACGTACCGGAGGTACGTATCAGGCATTCAGGCCTGGTTGACAGGCGGGCTCGGGGTGCATGCACCATGCAGAATCCATCGTCGTCGGTCCCATTGGCCCTGACATCGACGGGGAAGGCCGATCTATGTACGGAGTACGATGTAGGTCTGATCCATCGGTTGTCATGGTACCCTGCGTGATCCCATCCACCTCGTCCTTTTGTTCTCGTTCAGGCCACCCATGCTCGTTCTACTCGCACGCTTTGATGGCTAGTGACGGCCGGACGTGCCAGCAGTGACCGCCTCAGAAACGGACGCCCAGCACTTCAGTAACAGAAAAGTCAAAATCACAGCAGCCCTGATCCACTCGGGCACGCTGGTTGGTTCAAGCCCCGTCCTCGACCGGCTGCTATTTTGGGTGGGCCAATCTGATTCCACCAGTGTGAAAGTCTTCTAATCTTCTTCGGACTAGTGCCGACTTTCTGAGACACCACCACACGCGGTGGAGTACTAAATTTTGGGGCATCCGCACGCTTGATTGGCCATTACTTCTGGCAACCTCCTCCGAATACCGTACCTGACCATACCAGTGTGGCTGACCAGCACTCAGTGTGGCACTGGATCCGATACATGATAAAGGTCAAAGCCCCTCTCAATCCCATTGGGCACATCAGAAGTCATGGCGGAAGCGGACTGCGGTGCCCCATGATACACAGCTCCCGGCTGATGTGGCTTCAGGTGGCAAGGTACATCTGATCTCTCGGATTATGTAACCCATCCCAGTGGTTGCATGGCTATTTCACCACTATTGCCAATAGTGAGGATCCATTGCTCACGGTCAGAATTAAGGGGCAGCTGGGGGGCCAAGGACTGGCAGAAGGCAGGGCCACTAAATCAGCCAGGATTCAGGGTCTAACGACAGTTATGACCTACCAATGGAATCATGCACATTTGCGGACGGAAACTCTAGTAGTCAGCAGTCAGCAAGGACCTCGAGAAAGGATTGCATTGGTGCAGTGATGAGCCAGAGACCTGATATACACGGGAACGCTTTCACTCGCTGGTTGGCCTCAATGACGATCATACACCCGAGCTGGCAGATTCGCGTACATGATTCTATTTATACTTCGGACTTCCTACTCTACGGGACTCGGGTAGGTTGAGGTCCCGAGACATACTCCATTACCTACTTTGTAGTAAAAGTACGGGCCGTGGGGCACTGCGATCAATGAAGTCATCGCTGGGCAGCACCGCCGAAAAGATTACATCTCACGCACAGTTTGGTACAACAGACATTACTATATTTCGTCCTCAAGACTACATACATCATCACCCACTCGCAACTCCGTTCGATCCAAACCCAGCACCCCCAAGGCAGCCAATTGCCCTCGATCATTGCTCCTGGTTACGGTCAAACAAACAACTTATTTTGTCGTTCTTAGATTGCTTATTTCATGTACTGGTATCTGATTTCGTCATATTCCGAAGACACATATCATCAAGTTAACGTCAAGACCTTTACAGCTGGCCAGCAGTGTTGAAGTCCGCCAGAGCCTCCTGGACACGCTTGGTCATGGTCTTCTCACCCTCACGAACCCAGACGCGGGGGTCGAAGAACTTCTTGTTGGGCTTGTCCTCACCGTCGGGGTTGCCGACAGAGGTCAGGAGGTAGTCCTTCTTGTTCAGCATGTAGTCACGGATACCGGCCATGTAGGCGAACTGCATGTCGGTGTCGAGGTTGACCTTGACAACACCGTAGCTGATAGCCTGCTTGTACTCTTCCTTGGAGGAACCAGAGCCACCGTGGAACACGAAGAAGACGGGCTTGTCCTGGGAGGAGTTGATCTTCTCCTTGACGTAGGCCTGGTGCTTCTGGAGGAGCTCGGGGTGGAGACGGACGTTGCCGGGCTTGTAGACACCGTGCACATTACCGAAACCAGCGGCAATGGAGAAGTAGGGGCTGATGGGGGCGAGGGCGTTGTGGATGGCGAGGATGTCCTCGGGCTGAGTGTACAGGGAGTTGTTGTCAACATCCTCGTTGTTGACACCGTCCTCTTCACCACCGGTGATACCGATTTCCTAATCAAAGTCAGTCTTCCGTTTCCCTCCCGCAGAGGATCAGAACATACCATCTCGAGCCACTGCTTCATGGGGGCAGCACGCTGGAGGTACTTGGCGGTGGTCTGGATGTTTTCTTCGACGGGCTCCTCAGACAGGTCAATCATGTGGCTGGAGAAGAGGGGCTCGCCGTGGAGCTTGAAGTAGCGCTCATCCTCGTCGAGGAGACCATCGAGCCAGGGAAGGAGCTTCTTGGCGCAGTGGTCGGTGTGGAGGACGACGGGGACACCGTAGGTGGGAGCAATGCTGCGGATGTAGTGGGCAGCGGCGATACCACCGGCAATGGAGGCCTTCTGGCCATCGTTGCTGACACCCTGGAGTGTATCGTCAGCTGTGTTTTTTCGGACGCCCATATTGAGGTTCTGAAACATACCTTGCCAGCGAAGTAGGCAGCACCACCCTGGGACACCTGGAGGATGATGGGGCAGTTCTGGTCGCGGGCAGCCTCAAGGCAAGCGACAGCGGTGGAGGAGGAGGTCACGTTCTATGTGATGGAGCCTGTCAGTCCTTTGATCCGGGGTGGTTGAGGGGCTGTGAGACTTACAATGGCGGGGATGGCAAAGCCCTTCTCCTTGGCGTACTCGAAGAGACGAAGGACGTCATCACCGACGATGACACCGGACTTGCGGGAGAGTTGCTCGAGGACACCCATTGTGATGGTTATTGAAAACTAAGGGGAGGAAAGTGATGAGTAATTGATTGGTTGATAGATGGAGAGGAAGAAAGGACGAGAGAGAGGAGCGAGACAGAGGAACCAAATAAATTCTGCACCAGAGGACTAAAAGCTTTACCGAGCGACGAATACGGAGCTGGACATTTAAATGACGAGCACGGGCAAGGAGGGGCAGCGAAGCACTAGGAGCAGGAGGAGGGGGAAACTTGGGACATGGAGGGGCAAGTGGTGCTCGAAGGACTCACCGGGTGGTGGGGAATGATGTGTTCAGTATGAAATCAGTGACCGGTTGGGGTTCCACGGAGAGGGGGAAGCTCGTGGTGATGCTGTGGAAGACAGAAGAAGAGAAGAAGCTCGAGGGGGAAAAGGGGATCAATTGAGGATGCCGTACAGATCTTAAGTCTTACTACCGTGTACACCACCGGATGAATCCCGTCCGAGGCTACGACGATGATGCTTCCATCTTGTTCCCTTCCCTGCTGCAATGGTGGGGTTCGATCGGAAGCCCGCAATGACGCTGTTGGCGGCCTCAGGCTGGCGGCCTCCCGGGAATCCCCGCTCCCATCACATGACATCATTCGGTTACCTTCCCTTCGGTCCGAGTTCGACGATGCACTCCATGATCAGCCTGGATGAGCCTTGAGTCGGGTTGCAGCTGCCGGCCTGCTGGAAGTGTGGATACAATATCCTCTCAAGTCCCGGGAAGAAATTCAAGTGCCTCTTGCCCAGAGTTCAGATACCTACTGGAGCCTGGAGGGTACATCATCATCCACCTTTACGTGGGCTGTTGTCAACCGGTTGCACTGGACAACCAGCTCGGCTACTGCGCCCTGCTGGCTCCTTCCTCCGAAAACATTGACCCATTTCTCTCCGTGTTTCTTTCGTGCTTCATTCAATGCCGGAGAAATTAGCAGGGCCTTTCCTCCGTTCTCGTTGCTCGGCCTTCCAACCACTTCGCTGCCTTTCTGCCGGTCACGGCCTAGACTGTCCTTCCCCGGTCCAGCTGATCTGAAATTAAGGTAAGAGGGGTGCGTTTCCGCCGATGTGTGGAGCCCTGGGACAACCCCGGGTTGGGGATGCCCTCAACCCGGGCCTAAAACCGGATTACCATCGGCGAAGACGCTCAACGTCCACGTCTCGTACGGCCGGTTGGTTGGCCAGACCTGCTTAGGCCATATCCCTTTAGAAACCACGCATCGAAAGTAACCGGCTGAGGTGCCCACCAGTAGTCAGAATCCACTTTTACTCGGAGCGCAGATATCAAAACCGTTGATTGGAGGAATAACTGCTTTCATATAATAATACACATAAAGATCAATGCAAATGGGGTAACAAGAACGATTGCAAAATGCTGGTCTCAAAGGAGATCAGGCATCAGCTTCGTTCTTTTGCGGTGAGTACGCTCCAACGAGCATACTGAACTGTCCTCCTCCAGAAGCAGACACCAGCTTCTTTCCGTTGACGTGCTTGTTTTGGAGGAGTGTCGGTCGTTCGACCTCATCCTCATCGCGGTGTCCAGCCTGGCGCTGTACGTTGAAGCCCCAGCTATACGCCTTGCCGTCTTTAGTGATGGCAAACGAATGGTCACTGGAGGCTGTTGCGAAGACAACCTCCTCCTTGATCTCAGTAAGGGGGGTTGGCATCGTCAGAATACGAGGTCGCCCGTGCTCATCGTGCACGATATCATCTGACGGCATGTCCTCGAGCGAAATACCAAGGGCCTTGTTGTCTACACGTCCCCAGGATAGACATTTGCCATCTTCCGTGACAGCCACGCTGTGATCCTTTCCACCGCAAATGGAGATAATTTTGCTTTGCTTGCGGAAAGACTTGACTTCGGTCGGGTAAAGGACCACAGCATCGCTTTCTCCCGCGCTCATGGGGACGGCTGTCTGACCGAAGTTGTTGGAACCCCAAGCATGGACCCGGCCGTTCTTGCGGATCGCGAAGGAATGATAAGAGCCGGTACCGATGCTCACAACGTCCGAAGGGATAGCACATTGCCCGGGGATGAGACTTTCGAGCTTGCCGTGCAGACGCCCCGATATTCTCCGTCCAAGCTGGTTCTGTTCTTCGCATCCCCAGGTCAAAACGGCGCCCTTGGCAGTCAATGCCAGCACGTGTTGTGAGCCAGACGCAAGCTGGGTCACTTTCTCGAGACCGGGGACCAGGACCGGTTGTCTTTGAATCTTCGTTTCGGGGGAGAAACCGATCACGCCGTTGCTTCCCTATTGACTGTCAGCCAAAAAAAAACAATTATCGGAGAGCCTCGTGAGAACTCACTCTGAAAGTGCCCCAACCATAGACCCGACCCTCCTGGGTGAGAACGAAAGTGGCACTATCCGTTGCAATGACCTGTGTGAAAACAGTGCCATCGGGGAAAAGAGCAGAGTCCACGGCGGTGGGGGTGGCCTCCTTCATGTTGAGATCGACCTCATCATCATCCGAGTCCGAGTCGGACTCAGCCTCCTTAGCCTCCCCACTGGCACCATCCGCACTCTCGGTCTTGCGCTCCTCCTTTGTATCCCTACCTAGGGTACCCTCGTCATTCACTCCCCACGTAAGAATCTTATTGTCATGCGTAAGAGCTGCCGAATGCACACCCCCAATAGCCAACTGCACGACACCGACCGTCTCGGCCGACAGCTTCGGGTTCAACACCGGACCAGGAATCTCCGATTTCTTCGTCGCGTCACCCAGACCCAACTCTCCATAACAATTCGTACCGAAAACATAAACATCGAGTTTCTGCGTCGGCGCGTGGTTGATAATAGCCAGAGCCTCTACCACAAACCAACAGACTGCATTAGCACGGCCTTCCCGAACGACCGAAACGCGGGAGACGGATCAAAACAAAACAGTCCAAGTCGCACAAAAACAACAACAGCCCAACACTTACCCTTCTGTTTCTTCGTGACGCGCGCCGGAGCCGTAGTCGCAGCCCCTGAGGTGGTCTCCTCGACCGAGTCCACAGCCTTCCGCTTTCTCGAAACCAGGGTAGCCTTGGTGCTCTTTTCCGTGGTTTTCATCTTGGTGTCCGAGGGAGCCTCGACTTTGCGCTTGGAAGCCGCGGCGCCAGCGGCTGCACGTTTGGGGGGCATCGTGATTCTTGTCTTGTTTGTTTAATGAAGCACAATACAAGGAAGCTAGGAGGAAATAATGTTAATGTCCCGTGGAAGATCTGGCGGTAAATGATGTCGAAATGCGGTGCTATACCTAGATAAACAGACAATTAAGTAGGTAGGCCAATGTATATGTCAGAAGTGAGGTTTGTGCGATAAGAACAGGGCGTGGTGGCGGCGTTGTGTGATAATAAATAGTTAAAAAAAAACAATAACAATAAAATAATTCATGAAATGATGGCAGGAAGGGATGTCGGAACTGGAACAGGGCGTTGTGCGCTCCAATCAGGGAGTGTCCTTGGGGGCGGAGGGCGGATCGGGTGTAACTGCTCTGACTAAGGCGGTGGTGATATGACTGGGTTGCCGGTTGTCAAGGGACGCAGCCCATTGTATGACGGTCAGGGGGTGGAATGTGGGAGTTATAAGGCCGATTTTCATGATGGAGTGAAAAGAATATCTATCTAGTAAATAGTAGAGTTTGTAACGAGTGGATTGTGCATGTGTCTAATATACTTTAGATGCCTTTTTGCATACTGTCATATATGCACACTGCTCCTTACATGGGTGCGATCGGTATATATACTCCGACATCCTCGTCTAGTTATTTAACATGCCATCAGTTCAGCTTTTTTACCCCTTTTTCCTCCCCTATATATGATGAGAAAAACAAATGGCTCCTTATACGCCAGGTGTCGGTTTTTCGATCTCATAAAACAAGAGATAAACCTCGCGCTGCATTCCCAGAACATCGGATGTCTTGCATTCCTTGACTTTCTCGTCGGAGATGCGCCACCACCGATCGTTCGGCTTGCGGCGGCGGTGAAGCCGGGGTTTGGAACCGGTCGAAGCTTCGACTGAAGTGGCTGGTGTACTACGGTCGCTGGTGAAGGATGCTCGTGAAAATGACTTGCTCCAACGTCCACCCTCCGTGGATGATGGGCTGTGCGGGTCAGACACGGGTGAGAGGTTTTGCTTGGAGGTTGATGACTTGGTTCGAGTACTTTGGAAAGAGACCCGTGGGCTCGATGTCGGCCGAGGGGTGGGTGACGGAGGGGGTTGTAGCTGAGAGGAGCGAGTCGGAGAGGCTATTGACGTGGAGATGTTGAGATTTGCAGGCTCAGTGTCCGAGGAATTGCGAGCTCTGAGCTGAGGACTAGGGGCTTCGGATGGGTTTTCGCTAGCAGCCCGGCTCTGGGCGTACGAGCTGAACGCGTCTGGCGTTGAGAAGGGTGGATAAAGATGATTGCGTCGGAATGACTCGTAGTGTCCGCTGTGGTGGCTGCCCTTATGGCAGACAATTGCAAGCAGTCTAAACCACTCCCGACTCAAGATACCGCCGAGGGGAAGCCTCTCCGGGAAAGACACCTTGGCGGCGTTCTTGGTGGAACTACTTTGGTCAAAGATCGATCGCGAAAGATGAATGGCGACGATCTTGGGGAAGGTCGTGATCCGCATATGTCGCGCAATCCTTCGCTTGGGAGCGAGTTCAGAAGGTGGCAGGGTGACTCCCTCTAAGGGCCCCTCTGGGTCTGTAGCGAGTGCCGTCTGAATTCGCTCAATTTCCGCCTCGAGCTGTTTTCGGTCATCCTTGGTGCGTGTGCGGTGCAGTTCCTGGATCTTCAGTTCAACGGCATGCTGTAATCGACATTTGTCACACTTGAAGTCTTCGATGTATTCGGTTTTGAGTAAACCATCGAAGCAGGCGCTGAGAGTGGTAGAGCTCTTTTGAGGCACTTGCAAGGTCAGGTTCACGAAAGAAGTCTGATTAGGCCTATACTGGTAGTGGCAGTACAGGCACTCAATCTGAGACTCAAGCCGGCCTTCAAATGGAAAGCCATGCTCATGGTCAATTTCTCGGAGCTTGTTGTCGATGATGGCCGGGAGACCGGTTTCGGATCCGTCATCTATCCGCACCTCTACTTCAGCAGGAGTCTTGGGGGAAGACACATCGTCTGGTTCTATGATCTCCAGGCCTGCTGACGGTCCAATCATGTCCTTTGCTCGTTGTCGCGCTTTAACGCCGGCATGATACTCGTCGCAAAGCCTCTCCGCGACGATCTGCAAGAATTCCTGTGCATCCTGCTGGTTGCGACTGATGCGTGTCCGGTATGCATATTCGAGCGACTGGATGAAAGGCCGTGCGGAGATAGTCTTCTTGTAGATTGGGCGTTCGTTCAATCGATCCAGCATCTCCTTCAACGCTCTTGTGATAGTTCCTAGCTGTAATTCCCTTATTCTATCAGGCTTTCCATCCCGTGGCATCTCTTCCGGAGAAGGAAGTATATTATATATCTCGGGGCCGTCCAGTTCACGTCGATGGAGCTCTCTGATCAAGTAGACACGCAGATCGCCAAGCCCCGCAAGAGCCTGCAGGACAGAATTGATGAAGCAGTCATTGGCAGGATTAGATAAACCCACTATGTTCTTCTTGCGGGTACTATCGAGTGACTCGTCTCCATCAATAGTGTAGTTGGGCCCGAAGACGTAGAACAGAGCGATAGCCGCAAGAGATGCGCCCGCCGCGTAAGCGGCGACAGTGGTCGACTTTTCCTGCATCAAGCCTCAAACACACCGAGATATATAGGCGAGAAGAGGGGGTTGGGATACGCGGGAGACAGGATTGGACGAGGTCAATGCTATGGTTGGTCCATTGAAAGATGTGCCATGAGAGTGAACAGTTCGAACAGACACGGAAAGCCGGTGCCAAGACGAGCAAAGTCGAAATTCCCTCCTGCACTCGAATCCTCTCTTATATATGCGGGCCTCAGCTGTCCAAGGGTTCAGAACGGACTTCGATCAGTTGCCGGTAACTACGAGCGGGATCACAGTCAGCAGCAGTCTCCATAAAGCCGAGGGTGTGGAGAGGGCATGGGGTAACTTCAGGTAGACAGGAGGGGGCCGCCAATGACAGCGGTCTCACCAAAATAGAGTAGTAAGAGGCGCTGGTATCCCGCTTCAAGGCATGCCAACGCAAGAAGATCCGATAATCCCGTTCAACGCGACAGTCGCAATGGAACACTCCTCGTCGATTGGCGGTAGAGATGCTGCTGATGCCTGTGTCTTGCTTGGTATTCTCGGATGTTCCTCAGCGCCGAGCACCCGCCATTCTCTCAGCGCACCGACGGGACACTCCGACGCTTTCCAAGGCGGTTCATGACCCCCACATCTTGTCATAGAGTTTTACAATAGGGTCATCCTCCCAAATTTCTGATGATCATAGAATGATCCTATACGAGCCCGATAGTTTGTAGATCTGCAGATTTGTGTGTTTGAAGCGGTTGCAGACTTGTAACGAAGGACTCTCGTTGGAGCGTGCAGATCCCTCGCTGCCCCCTGAGATAGCCTGGCGATTTTGAATTCGATGAAACGAATGAACTGTCATGCCGGCAATTTCTAGGTGTAGCATGTGCGTTCCAAGTCAGAACTGATAGGAAACGAATCATCCCACGTACCCCCATGGGGAGCAATGAGCGGGTGAGCTTGGTGTGATGGGACGAAAACGGAGAGGGGCGGACCGATTGTCCTGGGATTGCCTCAGCCTCAGCCTCAGACCTCTATTATGGACTAACCTACGAAACAACTACAACTACGGAACAGGAGCACTTGAACTTGTGTAAACGAGCTCATACATATTTTAATTTGATTACTTCTTGTTGGCTCTAATCTAGTCAACTAGTTTCATAACCTAACTTGCCAATACTCAATTATTCATGAAATTCCCCGGGGAAGCATCGTAACGGTCGATCAGTATTCACATTTTATGCAATGATGCCTCAAAATAATGCCTGTCCTATGCCCGCAGGGACTCAGGCAATGTGGCAACCTTCTCATCGAAGAGATCCTCAGCCTGCTTCCAGACACGGGCATTTTGCCGGTCCTTCAGCTGGAGTAAGCTAGAGAGCAAGGCCTGGCTGAACATCTCAGAACTCTCACGGGGCAAAAGAGACGGGAGATGGTCGATGCTGATCACACTCAAGCCAGCGATCTGGTCTCCGCCTGACACAGTGACGGGAACCGTAGGCTTGTCGAAGGTGGTTGTGATATTATAGACCGGGATAGGGTTGTGTGGGTTGGTCCTGTCAACGAGATGTCGTACACCGATCAGCGAGTTGTTTTTAGATGGGGGAATATGAGCCTTACGTATCAGCGCTCACGTCGCAGATGACTGACAAGCGACGAGCGGGAGAAGTAAGGGTCTCCGGGGTAACAAAGCTATACATCATGTTAGCGTACAGGACCAGGGCACTGTTTCAGTAAGGGTGTCACGTACGGTGGAATGGGGGACGCAAGATAGATACAGTTCACAAAGATATCAGCATCCTCGACGATTTCCTTGAAAGGACCACCTGCAGAAACATGTTAGTGAACAAAAGTTTTATACGGGGTGAGCCATAACGGACCTTTCTTGGTCTCCTCGATATCCCACCGGATGATATCGGAGTCTGGGATACCGACATCCTTGGCCAAATCCACGGCGCCACTACCGCAACGACCAAGCTGCGGCATTGTCAGATATGCTATTAAGAGGGATGATAGAAAACTCACAGCTCCGATAACGAGAATCTTGGGGGAGCGGCCAGACTGCTTTTTACCAGCCTCGAGGGACTTCTTGACAGACTCGATCAGGCGATCCTGGTTAGCATACGGGGCCTCTGCAGGCAAAGGCTCGCCCTCAGGGTGCGTCAACTGCCAGGCCCAGTTCTTGACAGCCAAAGCGGACCCTGCGTACCCAGCCGACCAACCAAAAGCTAGAATACAAAAGAAAATCAGCTTCTGCGCTGAAGAGACGTTCAAGAGGGAGTCCTCAATCCTTACCAGCGACTCTTCGGCCAACATCATCAGTGAGGAACTCAAGATCCAAGAGAGTACCGCCTCCCCGAGGCCAGCGGCTGAGGACCTTCTCCCAGCCACCTTGTTGCTTGTAGCAGTGCGCAAAGGAGATATGAACGTGCTCAAGAGGGAAATCGTCTTCAGGGAGCTCCTTGAGACCCAGAATGTAGGCATCCTTGGGTGCATCCTTCACCCAAGAACCTTCCTCCACCAGCGGGGCGCCGACCTAGAAGAGGCTGGTATGAGGTTTTGTTCAACTGAGAGATTGTGTGAATGTTCGTACCTTCGCGAATTCCTCGTCTAGAGAGCAATAGCCAAGTTAGACACGTTCTCGAACCGATTGTAATTTATTAGGGGTATTAAGGGATATAACTACTGCTTAGCAGTTATGCCAGTCAATCTTACCATCAAAGATCCGCTGTGTCGAGCGTTCAACTGTCACTTCGTATCCGGCATCGATAAGAGCCTTGCAGGTTGTTGGGGTCACTACAAGACAGCACATTAATACCCCAGCGCCATGACCTGCGAGTGAAAGGGCCAATACTCACAGGCAGACCGAGCCTCGGCGGGCTTAGTTTCGGCACGCAGCCAGATCTTGTTAGAAGACATGATTATAGTATGGCAATTGGTGGTTCTCTGCAGTGAGTTGATGTTAGAGATCAAAAATTTTAAAGATCTTCGATCAGAAACTAATGCTATCACTGCTAGACCTATGACACAGACTTGCCCCTCTGGTGATAGCGGGGGTGCACGGTGGTTCCGTTCCGGGAATGTGACTCAGCAAGCCCAATCTCCGCCGATGTCGGCGATCTGAGACAACTTTATTACAAAGCCCTGCCCTGAATAACTAACTAGTGGCCCGGGGATGGCCTGGCAACACATGATGATACTAGTTACGCTATGACTCTAGTACTTCGTATGTCAGGGCCATAGGCCATACATGAGGCTACCAGCCGTGTTCATTCCTACATCACTACCTAAAGAAATATATACTTCCATACCATAAGTCACTATATTCCCAGCTTGTACCTTAATGAACACCATCTTCGAGTCGAAAGCCCATATCCGATGTCATCAAGGCAGGTGCCAGGGCGCTCAAGAAGCAATCTTAGTGCGACTGCGTGTTCGGCTACCAATACCATCTGTGGGGAGGTCTCTTTTGACAGTGGCTTTCGCTTTCTTGGGGCGCCCTCCCTTTTTGTTATCCCTGTTCGTAGCTTGGCCTCTTTTAGTGTTCTTCGCGGCTGTAGGAGCCGATGGTCCATGCGGTGCTCTGGCATCCTCTGCATCGGTGTTCTGCCTCTTGGGCGCAGGTTCTGTAGCCTTCTCGGTGCCAGTTCTATCTGCGTCCACTGGCGGAGAAGTCGGCTCATACGCTCGCTTGTTGCCTACTCTCGGCTCGCCAGCGGATTCCTTGGGAACAGCATTCGCAGTATCGGAGATTTGTTGGGCAGACGTAGTCTCACTGGTATGCTTTGCTTCATCAAAATTTGAACTTGGTGTAGGCTCGATATCCTTCACAGGCTCGGTTGCAAGGGAGGATTTGGCTACATGACCGGCGCCATTGGTTGGTTCTGATAGTGGAAATGTCATTACCGGGAAGGTGTACATAGTCCGCGAAAATCAAACAGGGGCGTAGCTGGCACAGGGAGCTCAGATGAATATACGGAGACATACCTGAGAATGCAATTACGTTGAGAATACTGCTGGGTCCGGAAGCCATGGCGGTACGCAGTCTAGTAGAATAACCCGGTAATAACGTTGCGTGATAAAGAGAGGTCGAGCTCTTCTGCACACTTTATGGTATGTGACGACAAGCGACCCTTGGCCCAATGGATTGGAGTATTACTGGCTAGGGAATAAACGCCCAGAGAGTGTCGCTGGTAGAAAGGGATCGAGAGGGCGAGAGGTGAGGTTGCGCGGTGACGGTTACTAAGGCACGATCAGGGGGCGCTAACCCGTTTCACGCCACACGCAATCTCGGTTGTCCCCCTCTCGGGTGTCAGCGCATGTCAGATCGAGTAATCCACGGTGCCACTAGACAGATGATCCGATGCTCAGCTCGAGGGGCCATAGATAAGCCCTAGATGTGTTGGGGCTTTCCTTGAGTGTAAGCACGCCAAGAAGAGGAGACAGCCTCCCTTAGCGGCAGGTGTGGAGCCGAATGCGGAGTATTGGTGTCCAGGGTGGTGGTGGTTCAGTGTGACCTTCCAGGCATTGATGGTGCTGGCTGGCTGGCGGCCAGACATAGCTGAGGGATCTTGTCCCGATCTGCGCTCTTCCGCCTGAATTCGTGACTCGAATGGTAGACATCAATTTTGCAGCTTTGCCCGGGGTAATGGAAGCATTGTAGTCCAATTTCTCCGAGATTTATACCACAAACATTGCAGGTGAATAACTACATCGATCAGGTCAAGGCCAACTCGATTTGCAGTAGCCCAGAAAGCGATGATTTTTCATGCTCGGATGCTGGTGCGTCATGTTCGACCTTTGTTTCATCCGACAATCGTAAGACACCTGACAACCATGCGGCATCCCTATGCTTCCCCCGGTCCGTCAAGATGCGGATTGCAACCGAGCAACTATGCGCGAACACGCGTCGTTTGATTTTCGATAGTGCCTGCAATGCCGCCATATCATAATCACGAACGAATTGGAGGAATGGTCTCGGATCGGGTTGTGTGGGATGATGCAGAGCCAGAGAGGCTGTGATAAGTTCCGAATTATACGCACGAGAGAACGCCCTGGAGTATTCTGAGAAGAGGCTCGTGGGAATTTTGCCACCGCTGTCTGGCGTCCCTAGACTAAGGTTGATGAACAGATAGTAACCGGCATTTCGAAATAGGCTGTTCTTGTCATGCTTGCCGTCCGGATACTTGGAGAAATACAGGTCGTTCACCTGCACATAGTACCGCATAGCAGAGCCTAAGCCGCCCCCATATTGGATTTCAGCGGCCACAAGATCAGTTAGAAGGCATCTAGCCCACAAATTTGTAGTGTCTCGATCGATATAACTACTGAAATCTCTAGGATCAGGAGCGGCCAACTTCATCCACCATAGTAGGACAGTATCTTGCATGCCCTCTGCGACCATGAACTTTAGCAAGGTGGTAGACGTTCGTAGTAGGCCGGTGGATTTTTGTCGGACTTGTCTGGGTGATTGGTGTTGAAATATTTTCACCCGATCGTCCCAGTTTGATGCACGCCACCAGTTGACAACCTTGGTGCCGGCTTTGGAATCTTTCATAGCCTTCACGACGTCACCACTCGCCCTTGCAAGCATCAACTGATACTGTAGACATAGGAAAAGGTCCTTTGACTCGACGTGTCCTGCAGCGGCTAATTCGTCGAATACCACCATGGGTTCTGTCAGCATTCTTCGTTGTTTGGCATCGCGCATGCCCGACGTATTACTGGAGATAGCAGACTCCGAGGGCTTCACTCGGAAAAGAGGGTTGTTCAAGATGTTGTGCATCAGTCGATCCGTCGCATGGGCCGAGGAATTGGACTTTGCTGGTGAAGGCTCTTCCGGGGCATGGCTGTGGTTGGACAAGGAAGGCTTATTTGTCGGATATTCACGGTCGAGCTGACGACGGAAGGAGGATGTGATAGCATTGAGGAGCTGCTTAGACTGACGTGGGGTGCGGGGCAGGGGAAGGTGAAGTTTAGACCAAGGAAACTTGACGGCCGGTGTAGCTCTCATGGCGGGTGGTTTTACACAGCGTCAGTCACAAAAAGCGGGCGAGGGGGTCGAAGACTATCGACAAATGGTCCCTTTCACCTGCTGCCCGGGGAAGATGCTTATCCCGCAAGTCACGAGAGGTTTGGGCCCGAAACGACGGGCGGTGAGCAAGGGCTGCCACCTCACCACGCGATCAGCCTGACGAAGCCCAGGAAGGGGATGGACATGATCCATCCCTCAATTGAGTTGGCCGGTCGACCAGCCGGCATTGATGTATCTACTTCCGGATGGACAGCGGAGGAGTCGATCGCATTCCCACGACGCCATCGTCATCACTGCGGTGGTCTACATGATATCGGATCCTCGTAGTGACTAACTAACTAGTTAGTAGTAGTGATGACGAAATCATCCTCGACGGAGGCAACCTAGAAACCCAAACCCAAACCCCCCTCATCGGTAAATGGCATACCGATCATTGCAAGAGCAGAGAGAACGAAGGATGTATCTATCTACAAACTGTACATAGTCGAGATAGTCGTCGTCGTTAGGGTACCCGGTCTGGTAAAGGAGGGAAGTAACACTGCGCCTGCTTGCTTGCTTGCTTGCTTGCTTGCTCGCTAAAAACGGAGGCGGGCAACCAACGCGACCGACCGAGCGACCGACCGAAAGTCGCCTTCTCTTCCCCTTCCGTTCCATCCACGCTCGAACCCCATCCATTCAATGAACTCGATCTGCTGCTAAGTAGTAGTCTTTCCCTACTAAACTTTCTGCACCTCCTCCCCCTTCACCTCTCTAATTATTATTTCCTTGCCTCCATTTTCCCTTTATCCTTTTCTTGTGTCTTTTGCATCCTTTTTCTCACTTGTCTCTTCCATCTCTTTCCTCACTTCCCTCCCCAAAACAAAACCCTGGCGGCCCTTGTGTGCCCTTAGTGGTTCTGGTGCTGACCTCTCTCGTGAGGCTGCATCTCATCATTGCTACCGTACTAAGTTACGACCTTTTTACCCGCTTTTTCTTCCCACTAGCCGCACCTTGTTTTCCTCCCTTCGTCCACCTTGGGTCCTCTCCATTTCCTTCATCTTATTTCTCCATTCGGGAGAATCATAAATACCATCAACAGATATGTCTGAAGTTCAAACAAGGCCTTCTGCCTCTCGTGGCAGAGTATCTGCCCGCGGTGGCCGTGGCGGCTATAGCTCCAGAGGTGGTCGAGGTGGTAGCAGATCCACAAAGGCAGACAACTCAGACGGCACACCTACCGCATACGAAGACGAGGGCGAAATTGGCCAGATGAAGAAGAAATACTCGGACACTCTGCCCATGCTGAAGGAGTTGTTCTCTGACTGGACTGATGAGGATCTGGTCTTTGCTTTGGAGGATGCGGACGGTGACCTTGAGGAGGCAATTGATCGCATTAGTGAAGGTACGGTTTCTTCCCACTACCGGGAACAGCTCAGGACTGCTGGCTCTCTGCTGACACCGCTGCTTCTATCTGCCCAGGCAATGTCGCTCAATGGGGTGAGGTGAAGAAGAAGACTACGGACCGCAGCCGCCCTAAGACCAAGGAGGTACAGAGCGCCCCAACCGAGACAGTCGTTCCCCCTGTTCGAGGAGGTCGTGGACGTGGTGGCTTTGAGGGTCGTGGTCGCGCCCGTGGTGACCGTGGTCGTGGTGGTCGTGGTGGCAGGGCCGGTGCTCATACCAATGGAACCCGCACAGAGAAGCCAGCTGTCGCCACCTCTGTTGAGGAGACCACAGCTACGGCTGTAGCTGCTCCCGAGCCTGCCCCGGCGACGAAGTCCGAAAAGACTGCCGATGTCGAGCCAACCGCCGCAGAACCCATCGACGACGGCGCCAAGGAGGCACCCAAGACCGGCGTGATTCCGGAAGGCACAAAGAAGGGCTGGGCTAGCTTATTTGCCAAACCTGCGCCGCCGCCTCCTCAGAAGAAGCCTGCTGCACCTGCTCCTGCACCCGCTCCCGCTCCCGCACCTGCTCCCGAGAAGCCTGCTGCCGCACCTGCAGCGGAGCAGAAGCCAGCTGAGCCCACACCTACTCCTGCCCAGGCTCCCATTCCGGTTCCGGTTCCCGTCCCCGTTCCTGTTCCTGCAGAGAAAGCACCCGAGCCAGTTATCCCTCAACCTCAGCCCGCCGCTGAAGAAGAACCCGCGGCAGCTACTCCTTCCGCTGATGTCCCTGCTCCCAAGGATGATTTGACGAAGAACAACCTTGCCCAGATCCCCGATGTTTCTCCCCCTGCCCCCACAGCTACCGCAGCTAGCACCGTGGGCAGTGCTCTTGACTCTGTCAATCTTGCAGCGGCTGCTACTCCCACCCGTCCTGCTCCCGGAACTTACCCTGCCAGTGCCTTCAAGCAGAGCACACGGACTCCTGGCACTCAACGCCGTGTCATGGAACAACAGGAAGCAGTCGTTATGCCTGGAAATCACGCTGTGGATCGCGCCGCTGTGCAATTCGGCAGCATGGGATTGAACGGCGATGCTGCTGATGTTGACATTGATGAGAATAGAGAAGAGGCCGAGACCCGTGCTCAGCCCCCTCAACACTCTCCTGTTGCTCCTCGTGCCTCGTTACCCCCTTCCACCCAGGCTCAGGCACCTACCGAAACCCCTGCGGTCTCTCGTCCGGCTCCGGGACTTCCTCCCGTACCCCAGGTGTCTGCCGCTGAGAACTCCTTCACTGATTTCGCCCGCTACACGGATGCTCACAAGCCTTACGACCCCTTCACCCAGCAGGTTACGCAGCCTCAGCCCCAGATCCAGGAGCCGTTTGCCAACCAAGCTCCTGTTCAGCCTACCGTCACGACCGGTAGCGAGTACTCTCCATTCTACGCCGTCGACCAACGCCTCCCCTATAACTACTACGGCACCTACGGTCAGTCTCAAGACGCCACTGTGGCTGCCCAGAGAGCAGGATTTGGTGTCTCAGGCGCCGAGGTGCAGCCCCACGTTCCCACCACTCAACCTCCTAGCCGCTACGGTCATGTTGAAGCTCCCAACAGCGGCCACACCACTCCTAACCCCACCCTTCCCGGCGCTACTCAGACCCCTACGGCTCAGCACATGCCTGGCCAGGGCGCTCACAGCTACGGATACGGATATCCGTACTACTCCAACCCCCACTATGCCTCGTATATTGGCCAGATGAACCAGTACGGCAGGAGCCGCCCGATGTACGATGACGCTCGCAGATACGACGACCACTACATGCCTCACAGCACTCAGTACGGTTATGGAAACCAATATGGCCCGTACGGCGGCAAGGCTGGAATGTATGGCCAACCTCACGCCTTTTCCTACGAGCACTCTTCATCGCCTGCAACAGCAGCTACCTTCAACCAGGCCATCCCGGGTCGCGACTCGGTCTACGGCCGCACCGGATCCGCTCAGCCATCTGAGAGCCAGCAGTCCGCGGCCGCCGGCTCCACTGCCTTCGGGTCAGGCATGTCGGATGTCTTTGGTCGCACTCAAGGCGGCTTTGGACAGAACCAGCCAATCACCCAGCAACCTCCGGTGACCACGGAGGAAACGAAGAGCTTCGACACCCCGAAGGCTGCGGGGCCCAGCCCTTCGCTCGCCCAGGCTAACCGTCCTGGTTCCGCGACCAACAGCGCCCCTGGTCAGCCGCAGGCCCAAACCGGCCTCCCCCCGCTGCAGGGTCAGCAGGGCCAGCAGGGCTTCGGTGGATATCCCCACCTAAACCCTCAGTATGGTGGAGGTCTTGGTGCCCTCGGCGGCCATCAGGCTGCGGCCACTCAGTCTCACCACCAGCCCACTGGGTACGGCAACTACGGCGGCGCAGGCTTCGCTAACTACTACGGAAACTCTGGACGTGGAGGCTGGGGAGGCAACTACGGTCACTGAAGGGATATGGCGTTGCATCTTTTCCGGGTGATGGAATTTCATTGGCTCTTTTTCCTCCGTTATTCTCGGGCGCGGCCAGCCCTCGAAAACATATCTCCTCTTATATTCACTTGTTAACACTTTTCCCCTTATGTCACTCTCAAGTGTGTAATCTCTACTCTCAATGAGAGCTTGGCTGGTTTTACATCTTTGGTTGATCTTTCCTGCAGGGTTGCGCTCATGATGTATTGAATGGAAAAAAACGTTATCTCTTTGTTTCTCTTTTCATCCATGTTCCTTGTTCACGGTTTTACGACATTTGCCAGTGTCTTCCTATTATACTCAAATGTTTTTCTACATCACCTTTACTGCTTTGCCCTCCGGCTTTTGCCCCTTCTCGATTCGGTGTCTGACGAAAACCTTTCCATGTCTCTCCTGCTCTCATCTACCCTGCATACTTTCCACTTCCTGCACTACTTCTTTGGGTTCGGTTGGGACGTCGTTCATGCAAATTGGCTGGATAAGGACAAGGGACGGGGGTTAAAGAATGCAAAGAATTGACCGGGACGGCGTTGTACCTTGTTTTCCAGTGTACAAAAGTAACTCACTATAGAGACGATGACGAGGGAAAAGACAATGGAGTAATGCGTGTGCGTTTCAAACTGAATCTGGGTCTTTTCCAACACCGTAGCTATATTTGTAGTTGTCAATCGAGGCCCTACCGGCTAAAGTCATCGGGTCCAGATTTTGGTATTATCTACATCCCCTCTACGCTTGTCCTTTGCTTTGGAGAAGATGCAGGTGCTTTCTCGGTGATTGTATGCGTTACTCGCAGTAGAGTCCCATAGGGGGCGGCGGTATTCCCTGAAGTCGCACCTCCGGCCTGAGGCAAGACCATTCACAAACCTCCCCCCTGGGGCTCGCCCAAAGGGGATTGTTCCTTTATTCACTACCTGTTCCCTCGCTAAGTCTCGCACATTCTTTTCTACTATCACCTCTTCCACTCACGCCCGTCTTTCTCAAAAGCTTCTTCCCCCTCTCCCACTCTATACTCCGTCTCACCCCTCCTACACCCTCAGTCTACCACCCTCCCTCCCTCTCTCTCTTACCTTCCAGAATACCTGATTCCCTCATCTCAATTGTAATAAGGACACCTGATCGACACTCTGTCAGACTTGGTCTGGTAGAGTTTCTCGGGGGGACGTCCAGGTGGGGTCTCTCAGTTACCCTCAAATTCATTTCTGACAGACTAACAACCTACCAGTCGATAGTATCGACTATCTGACGTTGTCAACGGTGCTGACACTGGCAAACAAGGTTTGTCAGAACACTCCGTGGTCGTGTGGTCTAGATCTTGCAGGACAAGCAGCGTAGAAACTTCATGGGTTTCTACTGTAGCTTCGTTTCATGCAGCCCCAAACATATTAGCAACACTATGTGTAGCAAGCACCCTTTTTAAAATAATCAGGGTGGGGTATGACTTGGTAGCTAGCCTTTGGGGACAGAAACTCAACGAATTTCTAACGTGACTGTGCAGCCACGTAGTCCTGGGCATACCAGCAGCACTATGTGCAGCAATCATCCTTATTGAACCAATCATGGTGTGGTATAGCTTGTTAGCTACTTTCCGGAGACATCACACTGGTGGTGACTGACTCTGGTTTTACAAGTTTGAAGGGTCCTGGAAAGTACCTGGGAGCTTGGCGAAAGCTGTGCACATTACCTCTACTTTCTTGAACTGGCTTGATGATGATTTCGCTCAGGGCTTTGTGCCCGAACTTCTGAGAGGCCAAAACTCCATACCATAATTACTGTTCTCTGAATCGGCTCGATGATGATATTGTCCCAGAGCCTTGTGCCTGATCTGCTGAGAGCGTCTTGCCGGATGTCATACCACTCTGCCTTTGCATTTCATTTTCGCCTCGGTGATGTACTCAATCCCAAGTTTATTGCCAATTGACCCTGCTGAGAGGCATTTGGATCTGTCCGTCAGGGCTCACTCTAACCACACTGTCGTCATTCATAATCGTAACTAAGTGCCCCTGCCTTCATGATGAGAATTCTCTTTGAGAGTCAACTCTCGAATTTCTGAAAGGCATCAAGCGATATTAAATCTAACTGGACGTGTCATTATGTGCGCATCTTCTGCTCTGGGATGTTCTATGACGCACAAGTCGCCTTGGTGATGACAATTCAGTGCTCTATAGGCACGGTTTCTGAGAGGCACACTTTTACGCCCCAGACTGGCTTCTTGAATGCATGTACCCTAGGATAACTTACTGTTCTATCCCTCGAATCCACATCGTAATGGCGACTTTGCCTCCAATAATGGCATTATACACATCAGTCGTTCGGTGTTTCCTACTAAGAGGTGTTTTCCTTATTCCCTGTTGTTGACAGGCGGCGCAACCATTAGTCTATATGTCTAAATGACCAAGTGAAGAATCATCGGGAAGGGTGACAGGCAAGAGGTTTATATTCCACGAGATAGGCAGCTGCACCTCCTCGGCAAACTCGATATATTGGTCAACACCTTCGAGTGCCTCGGACTAGTATTCCGATGGTCATGGGTTGTTGGCCAAGATACGTCATTGCCATGAAAAGTCATTCTGTCATTGCTAACACCTGATTCTGACATTCTAGGTCAGGTCGCAGTTTTTGTTTGGGTCCATCATAGGTCAACATGTTGATAAGTCGGCTACACACGATGTAAAGGCAGAGCTACCGGGAAGGATGGTTACTGTATATTGGATGTATCCTGCACCTATTATTGTACAAATTCTTTATTTAAAAGACCTTTCTGAAGCTAGGTTGCGGACTTATTGCTATGCCATTCAAATAACATGACCTGTTCTGTACCGGGTCGAACTTTGTCCTCTACAGTTCACATACAACTTCTCTTGACAGCGGCTGGTCTATACTGATGGGCGTATATATGCGGCTTTCTCCTCTAATAACAACACCATTGCTGGTCATATTACGCTAAAACTTTCACCACCAGCAAGGGGTCACGGTTGATGGACACGGATGGAAAAGGTATTCCCACATATCCTGTGCCATTCTTCCCTGTAGAACTTGTCGAACTACATATGTATTGGTCTGCGATGTGATAAATCCACTCCACTAAAGTACTCTAACATGCAATGGCCGAGACACAAGATATACTACCAAACCCAACACCACACTGCGGGCCCTGGAGCAAACTTCTCCCCGTCAACAATTGTCTCATTAGCAACGCAGTATTTCCGTGATTTGCTCATGGAGAGATATTCCACCATTGGTGACGGTGCGCGGTTTGGGGAAGCCAGTCATACAGACTCCGGGTCACACTTCAACTGCAATCAGATTTCCGGATTCGGGCTTGGGTGGCTTGGTGGAGGGTATAGGATAGCTAGATATAGTTTCTTCCGAAGAGATATCCGGATCACAGGGGTAGAAGGAGCTGCTCATGAACTCTATTATACCAGATGTACTCCGTATATCAATCATTGATATAAGAATAGTGTTACTCAGATGCAGAAATAACACAACCCGCCAGGCCACTCAATCCGTGGTTATCTCCAATTGTCTTGTCTCAGAGGGTAGCTATATTTCAGTGACTTGGCTTACTTGCAAGAAAGATCACCGCCTTCCATCAGGTCAATGTGCTTTTGTGTACCCGCCACGAACACAAAACAAAAACCGAAAAAAAGATATTCGTTATTGGCGCTGCCCGGAATCGAACCGGGGCTGGCACGGCCACAACGTGACGTCATACCACTAGACCACAGCACCTGTTGTTATGGTTGTTTACAGATATAATCAAATATGTAGACTACTTAGTATTGGTCCAGCCGTTTGAGGATAATGATAGATTAGATTCGTCTATTCTTTCTGTTGGATCAGATAGGATATAGGTTTGTTACTATTTCATGTTCCCAGGAAGTATTATTTAGGATAATTAACTCGGGTTATACAGAGGATTCATTGTACATGGATAAAGGTCAAATACATGTGGGTAGACAAAGTATATATTTTATGTGGACAGCTGAGGGAAAATGTACTATGTACAGCCGGGCTACAATAGTGGATGTATGATGGCTCAATCAAAAACCCAGGGCTTAGTCAGTTATAATAAATCGTTGTGGTTCTTCGCGGCGCCATTTTATCTGGGTGTGATTGCCAGCAGCGCCAGATGTCGGCGGTTGTTAGAGGGCTCATTTGAGACAACTGGGGCTTCTCTGAGCCTAGAAGAAGTCGTTACACCATTCAGTGCTAGGTACACGTGAGCTCAGGTATGAAGCCACTATATGCAGCCCCGTCAGTGCTACCCAAAGTCTGAGCCTTCATACGCACCCAAGCTCTGTCCAACCACCCCAAACGGCCCCCTCAACCGTGGCTGCCCGCCTGCTCACCATTCCCTTCCAGAATTTCGACGTCCCGGGGGGAACTAACCCTCCCAACCCCCAGAGAAATCAACGTACTAAGCACCCAGTCCTGGCATCGTCGTGTCCCATCCATTGGTGCAGGCTTGCCACCAATGACTTGAATAACCTGCGGATGTTGTTGCCGATTGAGGTCCGCCAAGCGACATATCCCCACAGCCTGTAGGGTGGCTAGATTGACTTGGTCGGTTCCGAGTCGGGGAGCAAATTGGTACCAGAGTTTATCTAGGTCTATGAGTCGAACATTGAGGAGGTCGAGACACCAGTAGATGGTTGGTGGATTGTGAAACCCCAGTGCGGGCGATTGTTTGGGTCTTCGCCTGACCCAAAGACAGTGATTGAGAGCTGGTATGTCACTTATCTAGCTAAATTGTTGTTAGCTGGCAGTTTGGTACCTGGTAGGGTCGAGAATATCTCACTTGGAAATAGTGGGCTTTGTATATATGCTCATGATCCATGTGGATGCCTGGAAAGGTTGTCCCCTTCAGGAGGACCCCGTAGGTTCACCAATCATCCTGTCGTTCCAACTGATCTCCGTAGACGTCTTCGCTTCAATATGGACGCCACGAGCTCACTAGGGCGATATCGAAGAAATGAACAACAACCTGAAGTGTACGGTAGGATGCAATGAATAGGAAGACTTAAGAGTTAGCATCTTTTAACGCCGAGAGACACCAGCATGGCTCTGACCCGGGGACCCCTCTAGCAAGAATAGATGAGACAAGCTGGAGCTGGAACTGAACTGGAACTTAGATCAGCACCAAACAGTACTCTACTGCCATCGACGGCAACTACCAATTCAACGTGCCCCTCCCGAAAGGCTTATAATGAATGTATCATAAGAATCCATATCTTGTATGTTGGCTTCACATACTCTACTCATTAGTATACCGAGGATCAAGTTCTCGTAAGGCCCGATTTGGCCACTCCAGCCAAATCGCCCAGTCTGGACCTAGATAGCTGCTGATGGCCTCGATCATGAACCGGCCACCATCACCAAACAGCCATAGGTGTCGGTGCCAATAAACAAGCACGGCGTAATGCGCTAGAATTACCAGAGCCTCTGGCCGTCGTAGTGCCAAGTGTTCAACATATTCCGGGGTAACCATGACAGACCAACCAGTGACACCGTTGACGCTCTTTACCGACCCCCTGATGGCTGCATTTATGGAAACCTGCAGGGCCTGAAGAGCATGTCGATAAGTGGAAGTGATCGCATCACCTAATTTAGCCGTTTCAATGAGGTTCAAGAGTCTCGCGCAGTCGGGCCCCAGTTCCGTGTTCCAGTCGAACATGATCTCTCCGTTCTCGAGTGGTGACTTTAAGATCGACTCGCGAAGCATGCTCCATGTAGGCCCGGATATCACGACGCGAATGCCCAGCTGTAGTTTGAAACAGTGTACAAGTCTCTCGAGGAATTCGTCAAAGCTAGTATCTTCCCGGTGGACCAAGACGTCGCAAAGTGTGTGCATGCCGAGAATGCACGAGAAGAGGAACAATGGGACACAGGTCTCCCTGTTAACATCGAGGCGCATCTGATTATACATCCCTAACGCATGCGTTTGTAGCTGAGCTGCATACCGTCGGTACCGCTTTTGGTCTTCTGAACGTACTACACTCAAGTGCAAAGCACTCAAAGCAAGCATTTCGTTCATGAGATAAGGCGTTGCAATTATTGTTCGCTTCACATCCGCGGAGTCAATCCACCCATTCGTTCCCTTGCTGAGAGAGCGGAAAGCGCACTCAGCGTTGAAGAAAAGCTCAGCATGGAGCATATTGACTGGTGGATTGTCAGAAGAAGAGAATGGGTCTGCAAGCCGACCCAAGGGAAGTTCATCCGGTACCAGTCCAGCTGGTGAAGGGGTCGATGATTTGCTGGATTGAGAGCGCGTTGCGCGGATGAACCGATCCGCGTATTCGCATGAGCGTTCCGAAGAGCGGCAATTGGAGCATATCGGATGTTTCTCGTCGCACTGCACCTGTCAGTCCGTAATGACATATTGACCAGATCAAACTTACTTTTATGTGGCGCCGCTTGCATTCCAAGCAGCCATTGCGCGACTTTGTATGTGTTCTACGCGGCATCTTTACGATGGCTGAGTCGAGTCGCGAAAGCGCATCTTCCAGTGCACATGCGCCTGATGTGGCGAGGGGGAATTTCCCCTTCCCACACTGGAATTTTTGACGATAAGCTTAAATTGTGGCCCATTTAAAATTTAGGACGGGATCCATGAGGGCCATGGTAGCTATTTTCAGCAACTGGGAGTCGGGGATCCAGCGAAAGGTTCCACCGGCGAGATAAAGATGGGATCCAACGCAGGCGAAGTGGAGGAGGGCCCTGCAATCCGCGTATGCACGGACCATATACAATCCACTAAACCATACTCGGTAATGTCTTCAGGGCGGATTGGCCCCGACGCCTTCGAGAAGCGGTTCTCTATACGCGTATCCAGCTGGGGACGAAATTAGCCGCTATATTTCTATCAATTCTTTCACACCTCTCTTCTCTTCTCACGGTACCGCCACACACGCAATGACATCCTGCAGACATATAAGTCCAAGATGGACGCAGAACAGATCTGCTCCAGAAACCAACTTATCTCCATACCCGACCCCATAGCAGCAGGACTCGAAGGAAGAGAGACCAGAACTCACTCATCATGGCAAAACTAGAACCTTATGTGCCTGGATACTACCTCTGGAATTATATGCCATCCATTCCAGCGGCAGTCATCTTCATCGTCCTCTTCCTGGGAGCCACCGCCGTTCATTTCTTCAAGCTATTCCGATCACGAGCATGGTTTAATATTCCCTTAGCCATCGGTGGAATATGTATGAGCCATATACCTCTGCCTTGTCAACCGCCCATATGCTTACAATAAAACAGTTGAAGTGATCGGTTACATCGCCCGCGTCGCCGCTCACGAGCACACAGCCGATCTCATCCCCTTCTCTATACAGAGCGTGTTCATCCTCCTCGCCCCCGTTCTCTTCGCAGCATCAGTATACATGACCCTCGGACGAATCATCCACAGCGTCAATGCAGGGCAACACTCTCTCATCCCTCTCCGCTGGCTGACAAAGCTATTCGTCATAAGCGATGTTGTTTCCTTCCTCGTGCAGGGCAGCGGAGCGGGCTTAATGGCAATGGAGTCAATGGGGACCCTGGCGAAAATTATCGTCATCGTCGGTCTGGTTATCCAAGTGGTCATGTTCAGCTTTTTTATAGTTGCCGCAGCTGTGTTTTATCTGCGCATGCAACAGCGTCCGACACGCGAGGCGTTGGAAATGCCCTGGAGACACCATATGTACACACTCTTCGCTGTCAATTTTCTGATCCTGGTTCGATCGATCTACCGAGTTGTTGAGTACGCGATGGGCAATAATGGGTACCTCTTGTCGCATGAGTGGCCATTGTATGTCTTTGACACGGTGTTGATGTGGTTCGTTATGGTGATTTGGGCTGCGAGGTATCCTGGCAATTTTCAGATGGGGAAATCTGGAATGGAGCTCGTAGCTACCCGGGATGATGAGAGTGTATAGGCTTGATTTTGGTTTATGTTATTGCGTTTTATGTGTTACGATTGTGTTTACCATCCCATTGTGCTTTGGTATGTACTCCAATTGCTGGGCCCGGTTATGGACAGTCTAATGGGTCCGTGAAGATATAGATAAGCCGGAATATGAATGCCCTTCCTTTGTTCATCATTGGTCATGGAAATGCATCAATCCAGATTCTTTGGGCAAAGACCAGAGCATAAGCTCTACACTCACTAGCCAAGCCCATTACTACCATCCACTCCCACCAACACATCCTTCCCCTCCAACCACCCCCTACACTTCGCATACAATGCATCCCTCTCCGGTCCATGCGCATTCAAATCCACCCTCACCTTCACCCCCACCTTTTCCTCCGCCCAGGCCAAATACCGATACCCACTCGGAAATCTCTCGATCTCTTCCTCCGGCACCTTCAGCACATACCCCGGATTCACCGGCACAAGTCGATCCTTATCAAACAACAAAGTGAAGAACACCACTCCCCACCTTCCCTCTCTCTTCTCCAGAAAGAAGAAAAACCGACAATCAGCATCAACATCCGTCTCCACACCATCAATGTTGAACCGCACCGTGATAGTCACTTTCATCTTACCCCCGGCACGGGTTAATGCCTCGTCAGTCTCGACCGCGCAGCCGAGCATCCGGTGCAAGATGTCCATGAATTCAGGGCCGCGGGCGAAGGCGTCCTTCGAAGATTGGAGGAAGCTGTCGATGGGGCCGCTGTGCCAGGATGTGGTTATGTAGGCGTCTGGGAAGAACATGCTGAGGTAGTTTTGCCATCTTGATTGTAACTGCTGGTGAGTGGTGGTTTTGTATTAGGGGAATGGAACATGGCTTACTCGGCTGCGTCACGGTAGCTGCCCCATCCTTCGCAGATCTCGCGGATTTTGAACCGCTCAAGGGCTTCTTTGTCGAGGTCGGTCCCGTGGGAGTTGTTTCGGAGGGCGTGCGGTGCGTAGGTAGATTTGGGAGGTTCGATGGTTGGGCAATGGTCTTTTGTGATCGTCATTGTTAGCTTTCTGTGAATCTCGACGAAGATGTGTATGAGGTTGGTTGTAAGGGAAGGTATGGATGATACACTTGCCGGTTATATACAGGCATATAAATTGTTATTGAACTGCCAGGTTAGATTGCATGTTATCATTTGTGAGCAATTAATGCCATGAAAGCAGGAAGCTGAGCCCTGATGCTAAAGTTTCAGCGAGCTATTTGGGTTGGTAGCTTGTTTCCGACCGACACTCTAACCAACATGTTTCATGGGAGTCTTGATGGACCAAGGATAACATGAGAAGATGGTTGAATGCTCCAATCATAGCCTCATTCAGGAAGAGCCACTTTAATGTATGCTGTAAGAGCAGGCAGAACTTATGTGAAAATCCAACGAACCCAGACCTGGAGGCTAAGGCACAACTAACCCTTTGGAAGATATGATGGGGATTGATCAAGTTACCCATGGCCCCGTAGAGCATTGCTCTTGGATGGTTGGTACTACAAACAGGTCATTTACAGGACGAGATAATGTAAATAAAGGTGGCAGGTGACTGCCTGCCTACAGAAGCGAGATGAATTTTCCCACGTTGGAGTTGCTGCGTTCTTAATAAAGTCGAGATTTGGCCAATGCAGCCCAAGACCACAACTCTTACCACATCGTCGGCTTCCTAGAGATGTTATGTCCTTATATTGGTCCCAGCTCTTTTTACTTCCCATAATATATTCATTGGTGACAATTTTTGATTCTAAATTAACATAAAGGCATAACAAAGTTATCCTAAAGCCTGCCATTCAGTTTGCTTCCCTCTCAAGATAGGAAACCACAAGCCATGTTGTTCATTCTGGTGCTGGGGGAGATCGAATGCTGCGAAGGAACCAATTGCTGTAGACATGGCAACTACTACATATTGTAGAACCGAGGTACTCCAATTGCAGGTAAACCCAGACAGGGGATGCTTGCAAATGAAGCTGCACTGACCGGAACTAGGTATTAACCGATCTCTGTACAAGGGGATCCTAGTGAATGGCCTCTTCCAGACTAAGGTTCTCCGTGTACCAGAAACCGCTGACTCCTACCTTACAGAGTTAAGCAGTCCATAAATTTGGTGTTGGACTAATGCCTACCCCTCTCAGTGGTCTATTGCTAAGTCACAAGCTCCAATCAAAGTACCGCATACCTTATTCAACAAACAGGGACTATTGGAGGTTCCATACCCAATGCTATATTATCTTGTCTCAAATATTAGTAACTGGGTATGTTTCTATATGATCAAGCGTGATGTACCCCGCAAGAGATAGCCATACTGCATGCTTTGGATCATACGTTGGACATCTTTGGTACTGCGTGGCAGCGTTCATTGCCGGGTTGACATGAGTCATGGCGGGCTCTGTGCACGACTGACCTTGAATGACACCTTTCAAGATGTGGTAACTTTGAACGGGTCAAGATCCGGATCACGAAGAAACGGGTTGGATGGCCTGTGCATGATTTATGCCCCTTGTTGACCGTGGTGCCCTGCAGGATGGCAGCTAGCCAAGACATGGGCAGGACCTTGGATGCTCCTAGATCTCTCGATTGCCCAATTTCTCGATCGAAGTAATTTCGATAAACTTCAATGGTAAGACATGGCCGAGTCATGAAGGTAGTGGCGTAACGGACCGAAAGCTGATCCGAGATCGCCAGCCCGAGACTATTGAACATTGTCCCTTTCAGGTAATATTGGAAGTTAGTGGAACGGCAGCAAGGCCAGTCAATGACATGCGCGACAATTGCCAAGACCCGGGGTTTCGCCGACCGTTTGCGAATGCCAAAATTAAGTCAATTCTTAAACTCCGTCTCGGCTCTCGAGGGGTCACTGAGTAGATACTGCATCTCCTCACCGCCGCTGAGATCTACTGACTATCCAGCAGTTATTGCTGTTCTATATACAAGTGCCAAAACGTCCCCACCAAAGCCAAAAAAATAGATTTCAGATGAAAGCAAACGTACTCTATAGTGGCACCTGTTAGCGCCATGTTTGCCAAATCACCCGTCCACCTGGACTATAAAAAAGGTTGATTAAACGCAACGTGTATATCTCCTGACCCTCATCTCATTCATGCAGTAACCCCAAGGCCCTCACCCCCGGTCTTGTGGTAAGGGGGTTTGGCGTCCACGGCGTTGGCCGCGTCGAACCGCCAGACACCGCCCGTCTTATCGCTTTCCAAGGACGTGATGCCGAGCATCCTTGCGAGTTGCCAGAATCCATCGTCATCGCTATCATTAACGCGCTTGAAGAAGCGTCGGTCCCACTCGCGGCCCTCAGACTTCTCAACCTTGCGAAGCTCGCGCTGGGCGTTCTCAATCTTGGTCTTGGCCACGGACACGGCGTCCATGTCGCCCCGCTCAATGCCCACCGCAACGTCCCGCCATGCCCGCCGGCTCTCATACAGATCCTGCTCTTCGATGGGTGCCAAAGTCAAAGGGGTCGTCTTCGTGTCCTTAACTGAGAATCTGTCCACTTCGTGCTTCCGGGAATCCTTAATGACAAAGGAGTCCGACCACTGTCCATCGACGGTATACAAAGGTCTCTTCTCGCCCTCGTTCTCCTTATACAGGATGGCGCTGAACGTGTTCTTCTTGCCGCTTAACCAGCCCTTGCCGGAGTAGTCAATCTTCGCCACGTAGCCAGTGCTGCTGGCAATGCGGGTGGACTTCTCCAGTTCGACAAAGGGCGTTCCGTAGATCAAGGATTCGATGTGGAGGTGTGGAAGGGTGATCAGGTACCTTTCCTGCTGAGCGGGGTCATTCCTGTCCGCACCGGGCGGGGTGAGGGTCAATAGAGCATGTCCGATCTGCTTGATCTGGATGGTGCTGGAAAAGGACGCCTTCTGGGCATTGTATCCTTGGAGCTACGTGTTCAACCTCAAGTCAGAGTCCCACTCTTCCAAATAAGTCCGAAATAACCACGTACCTCAACGCCGTGCTTCTCGTTCCGGATGGCATAAGCAGTGGCCGGGGGATGGTGGCTGGCGCGGTCAGTATGGTTCGGGCATGTGTCCAGAGCATTGCCGCCTACCTGACTTGTTCACTAATCAAAGTAGTCTCGCCCACATCCGCATCAGAGTCCCACTTTCCGAGGAACAGCTCTCCCAAGAAAGGGTTCAAGGGCTTCTTCTCACTGCCGAGCTTTTCACTGCGACTGCAGTACTGCTGGTGGAGGGTGCTGAGGAACCATTTGAGAACAGCCAAAGCTCTCTTCTCTGGATCAGCCTCTCTCGCAGCGGCCACGAACAGAGCCGGGTGTTCTGCCCAGTAGGCGGAATATTCGGTCAAGGAGGTGGAGGAAAGGATAAAGGGCGGGGCGGTCAAGGAGGAAAGATCTCCATTGAAGGAGGCGATAGACTAGAGGAAAGGCGCAGGATCGGTTAGTCAAAGCCCTGAGAATGATATCCATGGCCTAGGACTAATTGGCCGGGGGGAGGATCTGGTCTTTTCCGGCATCATACCTTAAGGAAACTTGTCCAGGAACCTTTGCTGTGGGCGGGAACGCCGGATTGTGGATCCTTGCTGGAACTCATTTTGTGGCTGTGAAACAATAACGATTACGGATAAGGGACAAGACCGCAGGACAGGTTAAGGATAAGCCCTGGGGGACAACTGAGAAGAAAGAAGTGGGGGGAGAGGGGAAGAAAAGAGGAAGGAAACGAGGCACAGGAGAGACGGACGAAGATGTCATGGGGGGGAAGTGGAAGAGGAAAGCGGCCGGAGGGCGATCGGGTCACCCACCAAACCCAGTTCAAGCCACCCGCGCGCAGGGGGGGCGCTTTGCGACGTCATGGGTGGCTGAGCTGGGCCCCGCGCATGTCCTTCGTCGTCTGTTCTTCCACTGGATAGAGACCAAGGGTCGAGCAACGACGAGCAGTGATCTAGATTATCACCCGCATGGTCTTCGTTGGTGGGTTTTACCAACTCCCACCGGCTCGCGTGCCACTTGTTTTAGCTCCATGGCGGAGATTTTATTGAGGCCAGCCACTTCATCATTCCTTCGGCCTACGGAGTACCATAGTAAAGAACAACGGAATTATGAGCGGGGGTAAGCGGCGAGGAAAAAGCAAGAAAAACAAGAAAAGGAAGGGCCAAAGGAACAAAGGATGAAAAAGTACAAAATAGCTTCTAATGGGAGGGGCCAAAGCAAGAGAATATAGTGACGGTCTACAGCTTCCCCTGACTTCGAAGGGCTTATCAGATGACTCGGCGACCGGGATGGGGCGTGAACTCTTCCGCTTCCCCGACAGCCAAGTTAATCGCTTCCCACGCACCATGGGACAGGTCCCTTTCAGAGCCTCTATCGCTGTACTCCAGATCCCGGTCCTATTCTGTCCCCTTTGTACCCTTTATTGTGAGAGGACCGTGCGTCCCGTGTCCAGCAATCACTCGCCCTGTGTGGTTGCAACTCTGCCGGTTACCTTTCCCGGTGCAGTGCGACCACTGGTTCAATGCCTCCTGGGTCGCTCAGGATTGACTGCAAACTACTGTGACAAAGAGCCCCAGGATAGTTGCTTCAGTCAGATGAGTGGTTGGGAGAGGTTCCCCGGAGTGTCCATGTTGACGAAAGCGGAACACTGACCTTCCTATTGAAACCTTAGAATGCTACGTGGAGTCTCCGCCTTTCCGACCCTAAGAAGGAGTAGGACTTCCCTCGACAACCGTGGCATGAATCGGTGTCCCTAGAAGCAGAGACACCCGTGATTACTCGTACAGGCGTACACTGATGACGACGGTGCTTCTTTTGGAGCGTCAGATCAGAGCAACACCCGTCATGTGGACATATCGATCATCACCGGTTCATCAAGGAGCCCTACTCAGGGACCATCGATGATTTTCAAGTAGGCTGAAACCAAGTTATATTGGACTGGGCGCGATCGGCCAGGCCAGGGCACGAGCTGTTCTTCTCCTGGCGCTCTGAAGCTCTCTGTCTCCACCGAGTTCACGACTCTAGGGTCGATTAGTAGAAATGGCCGACGCCGTGCAACCATATGCCACCGACCATAAGGTCCCGAAAATAGAAAGCACGGTACAATGGAATTGTCATTTTGCCCCTTTACCAACTTGGTCCTTTTCTCCGGAACGTGGCTGCTAATGCAGAATTATCCGCATGCCGTTGGCTGCCTAGGGTTTCGTTTACTGGAACCCCTGTGTCGATCCTATTTCCACCTCTGGGGCAAGCTACGGTTCCCGGCATCTGTCCCGAGCTTATGGTTGCCAAAGCGTGCTCAGCACCAACGAGCTACGAACACCATGGGCTTAGCGGCCAACAAGGTTTGATCCGGGGCTAGATTCGCGTGTGGATACCAGCAAAAATACTTCGGCTTTTACTGATCTGGGTGTTCGAGTGGTTTAGGGGCTAGATAGTCTGATGGTCTGGCCCTCCACACTGATGATAGTCCACCAAAATTTGGAGTCATTGTGACACCCCAGGTGGAAATGAGAGTCATTTACTTCCTGGTGCCCGAATCATTTAAGATGATCTCGGACCCATGATCCTATGTCATTGCCGGTTGTTTAACGAGACATTTACATGATCCCGATGCCTGGGTGCTATGGAGCCCCGTCTTCGTTGGACTTGGGCCATCAAAAATTCTTTTAGAGATATCCTTTCTTTCAATCTCTATTGATTGACTGGCTTTCTTTTTGACGCGCTGCCTGGCTCTAGACATCTATTTCTTAGAGAGAAAACATATTTATTTCCCAGCAATAGGGAACAATCGTATCCTACCCGTTGTGATATGAACCCTTTCTTTCACAACTGTCCAAGGATCCCAGCAGAATGTTTGACCAGAAATTCTTGAATTCGTCCTCAACCCTGGTTGTGACAAATGGACACCTGGGCGTCAGGTCTGATCATCGACCACCTCTCAACTCAACGATTACCCTCATTCAGGCCACCACTCGCGATTCAGACCAGACCTTGCCCCAAGAAGAAAACGACAGCCGCGAACTCGATGCGGATCAGTACACTCGTTTGTCGCATGTTCGAAAAATCATCATCGTTATCATTCTCTCATACTGTGCTATCCTTGGCCCTATCTCCTCCACTGCCATCCTGGCCGCTGTTCCCGAACTTGCCAGGACGTTCAATACCACTGGGGATATCATCAACGCCAGCAACGCTCTTTACCTAGCATTCATGGGGATAGCTGCCCTATTTTGGGGACCCTTAAGTCAGATCTCGGGCCGTCGTCCAGTGAGTGACACCCGACCCTGCTTTCCCTATATTAAGGTGCTAATGGTAGCTGTTCCTCTAGGTCTTCATCACGAGCTCCATTCTCTTCTTCCTCTTCACCGTGGCCACAGCGCTGGCCCCTAACACCGAATCTTACTTTGTTTTCCGCATATGCACAGCGTTCCAGGGCACTGCATTCCTAGTGCTTGGAAGCGCTACTGTTGGAGATATCTTCGAGCCAATGTCTCGAGCTTTACCATTGGGATGGGTCCTGTCAGGTACTCTGACCGGACCTGCCCTTGGTCCCTTCCTAGGGGTATGTTCCATCCACCATGCATACAAACTAAGTAAATTGTAACTTACCATTCCCTTCTTAGGGTGTTGTGGCTACTTTCCGCCCCTGGCGATACATTTTCTGGCTTCTCGCCGCATTGAATGGCTTTGCCGCCGTCCTCATCATTTTCTTCTTCCCCGAGACTATCGCCCACAAATCCAACGCCCAACTCAAAGGAAAGACCTTCCTTCAACAAACCAAACAACTCGGCAGCCATATTTGCCCCATCCGCATTGCCCGACTGGTCTTCTCCTACCCGAATATCTTCCTCGCCAGTCTCGCCGCCGGGACCTTAGTCTGGAACCAATACGCCCTTCTCACTCCCATCCGCTACGTCCTCAACCCCCGCTTCCACCTCACCACTCCCGTCCAAGCCAGCCTCTTCTACCTCGCCCCGGGCTGCGGCTACCTAGCCGGCGCCTTTGTCGGTGGCCGCTGGGCCGATCTCGTGGCCCGAAAATACGCCAAGATCCGCGGCCAGCGCATTCCCGAAGACCGTCTTCGCTCCTGCGTTCCCTTTATCTGCATCGCCACCCCAGCCTGCGTCCTCATCTACGGGTGGACGGTGGACCGAGAAGTTGGCGGGGTCCCGGTGCCCGTAATCTCCATGTTCCTTCAAGCTGTGGCCACAATGTTCTGCTTCCCAAGCCTAAACACCTACGGTTTGGACGTGATGCAGGAAAGTGGCCGAAGCGAGGAAGTCGTCGCAGCCAACTTTGTCTTTCGATATGTATTTGCCGCACTGGGGACAGGCGTTGTCCTTCCCGCCGTCCAGGCAATGGGAGTGGGGTGGTTTAGTACCATCTCTGCGCTGCTTTTGACGGCTGTCGGCTTTGCGGTCTTCTTGATTGCCGAGTATGGGCATCAATGGAGGGAGGCGGTTGATGCAAAGCTTCAGGCCAAAGCAAAAGCGAAAGGGGAGAAGAAGACCCCTGAGCAGGTATGAGCTTCTGTCATATCTTCAAAAAGAGAAAAAAAAAAGCATTTGCATTGATCGATAATCTCGAAAATGTCACGACTGAATCTGCTGCTTCTCCCGACTGCTCATTTCGAAAATTCTCCTGTAAACATTTAGCGACTTAGCATAGCTACTTAATGACCTGACTACTTGATCACTTCCTTGCTTTCTTTCTTCCAATCATTCTACCTATCACGTCTTACCTTACCTTAGTCTTTTATTACTCAGTTCCAAATATTCATAGAATAGATAGATTATCAACGGGAAACCTTAATGATAGTTTATGTTTTATGTCAAGCCCCCCCCCTCTTAAAAGCTTTGATGAATATGTCGTCTTAGGAAATTTATGTGGTACATATTGATATCCTTGATGTATACGGATAGTGGGTTGTTACTGGACTTTTACTAGTCGGGTTGTTTCCGCTATAGCTGAAATACATGGGAGCATTATGGAAGTAGATATGCTAGGACGTATCAATATGAGCTTTGATAGGCCATTGTATAAATTGCAGAGACTCGAATTGAGAACCACGATTTTGAAACTCAAGTTGTCCTATTGCTGAGTCTTCTATAGCACCAATCCCGGTTCTCAGAGAAGCCGGGTAGGAAGGGTAACCCAGCTGCGAAGACAGGATCGATGGTCCATATTTCGGCAATTTGCTTCTCTAGGGAAGGATCTTGACTCGAGGACAAACATGTCCCGTTTTGAAAGAGACTGGATTCTGGTAATGGGCCTATCCGGGGTGACAAGGGCTGTGCTCCGGACACAGTGGCAAAGGCAGGAGCAGAGCATCGAGGATGCTGGGGTCATACCCCACGCTCGAGGATAATGGCACCAAAATAGGCAATCAATTTGATGCGATCTGTTCTTCTTTGGGTAGGTTGCTAGAAAGGGACTAATGCCATCCGAAATGTTCCATCTTTGAGTGTACGAGGGACACGTAGTCCGCGGGTTACAACCACGTTAGGTTGTGCACTGGCCAGTTGCTCCAGAATTCTCATCCCACTTTCAATGGCCAACATTTCATTTGAACCGTGCTGCGGTCGATTACCTAGCCCTATTATGTTGATCAAAAGTGCCACAGCAGTGGCGAAGGCCTGAAAGTCAAGGGACTTGTAGCAGAAACTCTCTTCTGTAAGGCGCCGAATGGCTGTGTCACAACTTACAATATGTCTGGATGCCTCGAGACAGATCGAATGACGGTGATTGTATCTTTCTCATGGCCCCGACGCCAGCATGAGAGGCAGATGAGGGTTGCGTAGCATGGTGCATACACTCGTGTCTTACCTGTGGTAGGAATGTGCCTGAAAGCTATTATTGAAGCGCTGATATTCCCTAATTCGGGATAAATGGTCTGTGTTGCATGTATGATTGCGGGTGTAACGGTTGAGAATCCTTGATTCCGTTCATTGATCGCCTATTCGAGAAAGTCGGTCCATGGCAGTGGCGGCGTCGTCATCCGAAATGGATGTGCTGTTTACAGCTGCGTCGCTAATGCCATGGTAAAATCCTAGCTGACAACATTGAATAGGTTTCCCTGGATATGATACGGCATCGCCGTCAATGGCCTAGGAACTTGCTGGCAGCAGACCTAGCTGTACTTGATGCTGACGTGCCTAGACAATTGCTGCAACGGCTATCCCTCTGCCTTTCCTAAAGGTAGCATGGCACAAAGCTTCCGCAAATGGATCTCCCAGGCACCGCGCTACTGACTGCTGCTTTGATCTGCTATGTGCTGGCCTTGCAGTGGGGTGGAATTTCCCAGTCGTGGAGCAGCTCAACAGTAGTAGGAACATTGGTTGGCCTTGGCCTTTTGCTGATTTCCTATACGTTTATACAAAGCTGCAGCAAGAGCGAACGGCCATGGCCAGGCGCCTGCTCCGCCATCGAAATGCGGTGATGGCGATGATCTATATCAATCTCTTAGCCGGAACCTTCTTCCTGGTGGTTTACTACCTACTTACATACTTTCCTCTTTAGTGATTATCGAACTTTCCTGGGCTTAATGCGGGCTGCTCTCGGACAGCCCATGCCATTCACCAATTCATTGATCTTGTTGTGGATCATTTTCTCTACTATTGGGACGATGTGAGCTTCAGCGATAGATGGCGGACCACGGTGGTGTTTAGTCAAAGGGCCAGGCCGGGGAATGGGGGGAAACGGACCGCAAGGCTGCAGCCGGAAGTTGGATGAAGGGGCCTTCATTCCGCCCGCCGCTCCTTGCCTCCCTCCCCTCTTTCCTCTCCACGACTGTCTTTTCTTCGATTATTCTCTTATTGCACTCCATTCCATTCCAGGTTGATGGCCCACCTTCGATTGCCGAGATCTAAAATTAGTCGACTCCACTGCCATCAATATTACTAGCTCGCTCGTGCCCCGCGGGCATTTTATCGATAAACCACTCGGAGCCCACCCGTTCAGCCCCTCCGACCACACGATCACTCGGGAGCTGCCTTCTTTGATCCCCGCCTTCGTCCTCTTCTCCTAAGATGCCATTTGATGGTCTGCAGAAGCAAGTTGGCCAGGTAGGATGTTGTTCAGATCTGCTTTGCCTCCGAGAAGCCTCCGACTGATGACGGAGTCTAGCTCTTCGCGGTCGGTTTCCACGGCCTTACCCCAAGCCCCGAAATCAAGACATTGATTCACGAGTATGGCATTGGGGGAATTGTTCTCTTCAAAAGAAACATTAGCGATGCAGCCCAGCTTCAGGTAGGCCAACCTTCACCGTAACCATTCACTGCCACCTGCAGTAGGCCCATACCGGCACCCAGTCGCTGATATCAAGCCCAAATCGAAGTCCCTAACGCTTGCGCTTCAAGAAGAAGCACGATTAGCAGGGCATGAGCATCCTCTTTTTATTGGAATCGACCAGGAGAATGGCCTGGTTACTAGGATCTCGCCTCCGATTGCCCCGCAACTTCCGGGCCCTATGGCTCTGGGTGCCACCAACTCCCCCGAACTCGCGTATCAGGTCGGGGTAGCTACCGGTGAGATATTGAGCGCCGCGGGAATCAACATGAACTACGCCCCTGTGTGTGACATCAATTCTGAGCCGCTCAACCCCGTAATCGGGGTACGTAGCTTTGGAGATGATCCCGAATTCGTTGCTCGATTTGCCAGCGCTACTGCTCGAGGTCTGCGGGAGCACAAGGTGATCCCTACCGTGAAACACTTTCCCGGGCATGGTGACACCGCGGTTGATTCCCATTTTGGGTTGCCAGTCATCCCAAAATTGAGGGACGAATTGGACCGTTGCGAGTTGGTTCCTTTCCGTCAAGCAGCAGCCGAAGGCATCGAGGCAATTATGACTGCGCATATTTCCCTACCTGGCATTGGTGATGGCAAGTTACCGGCCACCCTTTCGCCGGATGTGATGAATATCCTTCGCAAGGATATGGGGTATGATGGAATGGTCATTACGGATTGCCTTGAAATGGATGGAATTCGTGCTACGTATGGAACTGAGCAAGGCGCCGTGCTTGCTCTAGCTGCTGGCTGCGATAGCATCATGATATGCCATACATTTGCTGTTCAAGTGGCCTCAATCCTCAAGGTTTACCAGGCTGCCGAGTCTGGACAGATATCTCCACTGCGGTTAAGAGAGGCTATTCGTCGTGTGGACGAGCTGAAGCGCGGCTTCTTGAGCTGGGACACAGCATTACGACCCCGGGAACCAAAAGAAAGCTGGCCTGCTCTGGGAGCAGGGATATCAAATCTTTCTGCGTTAGCTGAGAAAGCATATGCCCGCTCTGTGACAGTTATCCGGGATGACACACATGTCCTCCCTGTGTCTAGGTCTGCGAATGTTGTTTTTCTCTTCCCCGGGGATCAGACCCCGGCGGGGGGTGCCGTGGATGGTGAGGGGCTGGGGAGAAAAGGCTCCTACAACGCCTCCGTATACCTCGGGATCCTGAAGAAATACAATCCAACGGTCTTTGAGATCCGCTACGGGGCAGCAGGCTTATCGGCCGAACAAATGAGCATTATCGAAGCCGCCGATGTCGTCATACTCACATCTATCAATGCGCGGGAGTCTCCATTCCAACGGGCATTGGGCCTGGAACTGCCTAGCCAGACTCGTGCACTGATTAGCGTCGCAGCCTGTAACCCCTACGACTTTCTGGAAGATGCCTGCATTGGAACATACATCGCCACCTATGAGCCAACACCTGAAGCATTTGTGGCAGTCGCTGAAGTTATTTTTGGGGTATCAGTACCTAAGGGCGTCTTGCCTGTTGAGAGTTCAGTGGGGCGATTATCAATTGGATTGTCCGAATTGGACAGCCCTAAGGATATATCCCAGCTATCTACTGTTTGGAATGCTGCGTTACCTACTTACCCACTCCCTGCTCCGAAGTTGCAGATATTGGTCAACCAAGAACATGGGCACCATTTTGTTGCTCGCATGGGTGGTGATATCGTAGGATTCTGCCTAACGTACGCCAGCCATGCGCCGTCATACGTGGCTGGTAATGTTGCGGTGCTTGCGGTTGATCCGGAGAAGCAAGGCCAGGGCATTGGAACGGCGTTGATCTCTAAGGCTACTGAATGGTATAGGGTAAACCTGAAGCTCACACGACTCGAGCTCAGCAGTGTGTTCCCGAGGTTCTTCCCTGGTATTCCCCAGGACTTGCCGACAACTGTACAAGAGTTCTTTGAACGACGTGGCTTTTCGCTGTGGCATACCAGTCCCCGAAATGTGGACTTGTACCGAGATATCCGGGACTTCAAGGCGCCGGAAGCGTACATTGCTCGGGCTGAGGAGCAGGGGTATACCTTTGGTCCTCTGCAGCCCGAGCATTATGAAGAATGCTTGGCTGGACAGAGAAAGAATTTCTCAGCTAATGTGGTAATTATGCCTATCTCACTGCATTTATCTTCCTTCTACATATCCTACCTATCTTTACAATTTTCTGTTGCATCTTGAGGTGTTGCTAACAAGATGGAATAGTCCTGGGTGGGCCAGTACGAAGAATTGGAGCCTACAAAGTACCCCTTCAGTGTGATGGTGGCCTTCGACTCGCAGGGAAAGCAGGCAGCCTGGACGCTGATGCTTGGGCCTGACTCGCCCGCTCTGCAAAAAGGCTGGGCCCTCCCACCTTTGTGTGGACCCAAGACTGGGCTTATAGGATGTGTGGGGGTCGACGCAGATCATCGGAAGAGGGGAATTGGGCTTGCACTGCTCAGCCATGCAATGGAGGATCTGAAGCGAAGGGGCGCGGAAGGCGTGTTTGTCGATTGGGTGGTTCTGGAAGGGTTCTATGAGCAGCTCGGCTTCGAAGTGTGGCGGGAGTATCGACGGGCAACCTTTCGTATGTAGATGTAAGACAGTATTTCCATAAAGCAGCATTGTTAGTACATATAAATATAAGCATCATTGGAGCGACTGCTCGACCAAACTCTGTCTAATCACCTCACATGTTGACAGGCTGAGAGTTGCATCTCGGAGTCGCCCTTCCGAGAGAATCCTCGGGTTAACCCCCACATACTGGCTACCTTCCGAGATACCTACTGCAGTCAACAGCTAGTAATACCACCACCCTTCAATTCAGCCTGCTGTATACTCACATCCTGACTCTAGTGATCCCATAAGACGATAGCTGTCAAACCCCTCCTCCGACTCAAGTTACGTCTATACTCTTCCCTCCCCCGGCACATATTTCCGATATCCGCACCCCCGCTAGTTCACCACTATCTACTACAAGTATGAGATGCTCCAAGCCAACTTTCCCCGATACCAAAAGTGCAATTGTCGTAGAAGCAAGCAGGTCCAGTCTTCATGCCACACTCTATATAAGCGAGTCTGCTTCAGATCACATATACACGAAACCGTGATGCCCATACGTGAATTTCAACGCCACCAGGCAACCCTAGCTATCCACCCCCAGTTCTCACACCTGTCAAAGCCCAAAGCGGCATAATGCCAGCCTGGGAATTACACCGGAAGATGATTTCCGCTGGCATATGTACGACACCGTCAAGGGCTCCGACTGGCTCGGGAGCCAACACAGTATTTACTTGGCTCCGGAAACGCTCAACGCCATCTATAACGACCTCGTGAGCTACGAAATGGCTTCCCCTCCCATTGCTTGCTATATGAGCGACATCTGAGCAGCTTTACAGAGAAAGTCCCCACCATCACAATCACCACCACCATCTCCTCTATTATTCCCAACCGCCAACCCCAAAAACCCAACCCCATTGAAGTAAACATAGACGCAGTGGCCTCTCCACAGCCAGCTCCAGCATACAAAAAAGCCACCAGGAAAGCTCCTTCCCCTACGTAATATCTTCCGCAGAGCTAGACCTTATCTATCTACTCCAAGAACCGGACCAAACCACCACATACCCCCCCCGCCCCCTAACATCCCACCCACACCCCACCCTCCCCCATTACTGGACCCTCTGCCTACTACTAGGACTAGATCCCCTCTCTAACCCCATCCAGTCAATCAATCCCCCACTCCACCCCTCGCCCACCCCCCATCCCCCCTCCACACCACAAAATCCAACATCGCAGTCTTCCGAGCCCCAGCCCATACATCTCCACCGTAACCGCCGACACGAAGAGAATCTCCCCAGTCATCAAGGTACCACACGAGACCGTATAATCACCCGAAACCTAGATTTTGCAGAGACAATGGTTGCGGAATTCGAGAACGTATACGGCGCGGGCGGCACAAATAATGACAGAGAGTAGTAGGGGTCATCTGGAAGGGTTCCCAGTGAGGGCCTGAATGATGGGGGCGGAGGAGGAGGTAGAGAAGTTGTTTGGGGACGGATTGCGACTGGGTGGCCTGGGATGGGGTTGGCTGATCATTCTGGGCCGGGGAGGTAGCGTAGTGAGAATGCGGAAGGTACTATCGAACCCCCGCGACGCAGGTCGCTGCCGGCGACCACAGAAAGGCCGGCAGTACTCCTGAATTGGAAGGTAAACGGGAACAGGATCGGACGCCTGCGTGGAGATCCCAGGTCTTGTGACGGTATTCCTGAGGCAGAAGTCGAACTCCCCGAGTATAAACCCCCCCTCCTTTCCCCTCTGCTTCCTCCCATCCCTCGAAAACAACCACCCACTCCACGACAGCACGGCATCCCTAGAAAAAACGTAGCCGGGCCAGTGAATAGCTACAGGCTATGTGAAACCGACACACTAATCATAAATTGTCATTCATTAGGATATTACATGGTCCTTCACTCGTGAAGATCCTTGCAAGCCACCACACTTCAACTGTATCCTGCACTCATATTCGACCCCCTAAACAGAGCGCGGAAAATCACTCAAAGACGCCGATATTCTCCGAAACAATAAGTCCATCCATACTCCGTATTAAGAGCAGTAGTCCCATCACACACCAATGAAACTCTGAACGCTCAGGACAGATGCGTACCCTTAGCCACTGGTAGCGAGGTGATCAAGTTTGTACAGGGGCTCCAACGTAACCTGACGGCGGAAAATGTAGCGATTAATCCACCAGGGTAGCACGTGGAAGACCTGGTAACGCATATGCATCCGAGTAGGAACACCGAAGATGTAGTCAAGCTCTTCCAAAGTCCGCTGCTTAGTCTCAGGGACCCAAAGGTAGATCATGACAAAAGCAGTCACATTCAAGCCCCTAGATGGCGTCAGCGCGGCTGCATTCAAACCGAGTAGAAGCAAGCAGCAACAGCCAGTACTCACGCATAGAAGCCAAAGGCACCGGTTGGGGTCATGACGGCAAGCATACGGGGGAAAGTAATCGAAAGCACCGCAGCCCAGCCGAGACACACTGCCACAGCCCAAGCCATTCCGATCTCTATGCTCGTGTCAGTCTGCTTATAGGCTAACCGCCGATGCCCCAAACTTACCACGATGAGACAGAGGGAACACCTCCGCAGAGTAAGTGAATGGAACCGGTCCCTCACCCGGGGAGTAGAAGGCCGCAAACAAGAAGATAAAGAGTGCAATACACGCTATGTGGGCTGTCTGCTCCTTGGGGATGTAAAAACAGAAACCTGCAGCCAGCAAAGTCCAGGCCATCTGGGGGAACGTGAACAGAAGCAAAGTTCGGCGTCCATAGGTGTCAATAGTAAACACCGCCGGGAATGCGAAAATGAAGTTCACAAGGCCAAAGCCCCAAGAGGCGAATAGCGCTCCCGTGACACTAGCACCGGCCTGCTGAAAGACAGTTGAGGAATAGAAAGCAACGATATTGATCCCACACATCTGCTGCGCAATCATGACAACGAAGGAAGCTAGGGTTGCCCGTCGAATCCGCGGGACGGTAAAGAGCTCCACGAACCGAGTGGCATAGTTGCTATCGCCAGCAAGATCCTGCTCGACCTTGATCTGAGCATAGATGTAGTAGAGGTCTCGTGCAGCCTGTAGTTCGGTGTTGCGCAAGCGGCACAAAGACCGGTAGGCGTTGCGCATCTTGCCCTTCTTGATGTACCAACGAGGTGACTCCGGACACATAAAGACACCAAGGAGCAAAGGAACAGCTGGAATAAAGGCTGAACCCAGTTGGAGTCTCCAGGAGATATCTCCAGTGTCTTTGACAGCAAGGTTCGCCGAGGTCCCAAGGAAGATGCCAAACGCTGTCCACAACTGCCAACACATCACCAGACCCCCACGGATAGATGCCGGGGTGTTCTCAGCACAGAACATTGGAATTGTGGATGCCTTCAAGCCCATTCCCAGGCCCAATAGCAGACGAGTCACAAACAGCTGAGGCCAGGTCTGACTCACGGCCGACCCAATCGGAGTCAGAAGGCAGAAGATAGCAGACATGAAGATAGCGCCACGGCGACCCAAATATTTGTTGAGCGGATCAGACAGCCAACAGCCGATAACAGCACTGGACATGTACGGAGCCCTATACCATTTTATTAGCCTGAAGCTTATGATTCAGGAAAGAGGAAACACTTGACTACGTACGCATTGATGACGCCGACAAGCCACTGGTTTTTCTCCGCATCAGGGCCCGTCTCTGGAATTCCAAGCGCAACGGGGAAAGAAAGATTGGCGCCTAGTCGGTATTGACTTATTAGCAAACCCATTGCCTTAGAATTTTAGAGTGTACTCACCATTACTTCCAGTCTGATCCCATCCTCTGTTCACGGCAATTAGTATTGGCATACATAGAGCCAGATATGCTTCAGCAGTAGTGCTTACTGAACAGCAGCTCCAATGGAGCAGAGAATGATGGTAAAGTAAAGAGCCTTCGGCTGACGCCACTTGTGAGTCACTTCGGCCTCAATGGCGGCGGCTTCAGCTTGAGTGATGTCGGGCACCTCGGAGAAATTCTGGGGATCGCGGGCCACAAGAGCTCCCTTCTGGAGCAAGGGAAGAATGTCAATCAACTGGTGTTCGTTGGCAAAGTCCTCGACATCTTGCACCACTTGAGCGGGGCTCAAATCTGCGAGGGGATTCTTGATCCTACGATGATATCAGTAGCTGATGCACAAAGAGGACGCTAGGAAAAGGGGCACAAGCCACTTACTTGGCAGAAGTATTCTTGTTCAGATTGATGTGCTCCGAAGTGCCTTTCTCAGTGATATCGGGATCATTGCGAGTGCTGCATACCAAACCAAGTGAGTACATGCCACGAAGCAAATACAAGAAGTACAAGATGACACATACTAGGGGTCATCCACCGTGTCAACCGCCTGAATCGGGGCCACTTCCTCCTTCGCCATGGTGTTTGCCAGGCTCAGGATGAAACGCAAGACGCGTGGCTTGAGTGCTTGCAGGAAGTGAAGGAGTACAGAGGTAGTCCGCAGCCACAAGGATGTCGGAAATGAGAATCAGGCAACTCAAGGGGCAAGGATGTGGAGAAGTTCGGGGATGAAGAAGAACGCACAACAGATGTGGGGTGAGGTGGGAACGGAGGAAGGAAAGGGGAGGGGAATTAAAAGAAAACAAGCGGGCAGGTGCCAGGGGAAAGCGAGACGGTTGACTGTTGGGAATCACCGGGTTGAGCCCTGACAAACAAAGAGGCTAGTCCCGGTTGCATTCACTCACACTCCGGCTGCAGGTTCCTTACCAAGATGGATGTACATAGTCCCTGGTACCGTGAGAGCTCCGGTCTCCCCCGCGGGGCCCTGAACCCGGGGAAGCTGACTGTGTGGCAATCCAATCATCAGGTGCATGGCAAGAAGTGGTTGATAGAGCCGGAATCCGTGAGATTGCTAACTATTACCCTCATTCTTTCTACTAATATCCAAGAACTGATGCATGGGGTTGGATTAGAGACCTACTGTCACAGTCTACTTTGTACCTAGAGGGTGCTTAGCTCTCTCAACCTCTGTATCTAACGTACGGTAAGTGACTGCAACTGTGGGGATGTATCCCAGATCAGGCCAAGTTTGCTGATGTCGGTCTGACATCTGGGCTTACCCCGACTCTTCCCCGGACATCCATTCCGGGTAATGGCAGCCTTGCCAAGAAGGGCTTTCCCAAGGTGTAGTATCCATGGTACGGATAGGTGGGCAGGTGGACAAGTACTAGCCAGGTGGACTGGTAGTGAAGGCTTAAACACTCTTAGAGTCTGCGACCCTCTAAACTCGGGGCGCAAAAATTGTGGAGGTGGGCTACTCTGGGTCTGCTGACTTCAGCTGATGTATAGTGCTGGTCTCCGTTGTCACTATCTATGCACAGACCAGGCACAGAAAGCAACTTGTGGGTACAACTCCCCAGTGCGGGCATTATCCGAATGCAAACCCCAAAGAAACCTAATGTGATGCTAAGGCCATCATATGATATTCTTCTAGACTTCCATTATTCCAGGATGTGAGCAGTTCTTTCAACAAACCTTATCTCGTGAATGGAATTTAGGCAGGGGTCTCTACTAGACTCGACGCACGCGTACGTGGCGGGTTTGGCCCCCTGAACTCAGCCGTGCTTTTAATTTAGTTGTCTCTTCTCGTTTGCCTCCTTTTTGTTCCATTCAGTCGGTGACTGAGTTGCATTGTAACACTGTCAACGCCACCTTTGGGTGTCGATGCCGGATGTTGACAACTGGAGTGATGCCTGGCGAATGCTAAGCCAAATGTGGATGAGCGGGCGCGTCCATTGGCCACATGCAGCCGGGGTAGGGGTGCGCTGCGCTGAATTGGGCTCAATATGCTGGAATTTAGAGTTGGCATCAAAGGGCCCTCAAAGACCCCGCAGATGGACCCCTAACGCAGTAACATGAGCGGTTTTTGCAGTTTGAGATGGTTGTGCTGACCGAGTCTCTAACCTGACAGGGTAGCTAATCCTTCTGCGAATGTAGGTCCTTCCAAATCTCCGGAGAATTTCCATCTCCACTTTAATCACCCTTGCGTCAAACTCACGTGGAATTGCAAGTGAAACGGGACGGGCTACCTAGAGAAATCCAGCACTGGTCGTCTTGCACTTCCAGAAACGACCCAGTCCCTTGGTCGCTCTACAAAGACGGATAAGCCACGCAACTAGCCGATTTGATCACCAGGTGTAACCAGACGGAGTAATTCTGGGTCAGGGGCGGCGTAGTATGCCTTGAAAGAAGTCGAGGTCAGCCGGTGGTACACAGCGATTTTTATTTCCCTCTTGCCACTCAGGGCCCAAATCATACGGTCTTGACGCAGACTAGGGGGGCGGGGGGCGGGGGTTCGAACTGCTGGCTGGCTTGGGCAAGGCCTGAACGGGCGGACATGGTTGCCAAGCCGACTCATAATCGAAGCCAGAGGCTGGGTCTTGACAGGTGACCAAATCCGCTCGTTGACAAGGCGGGTCGAGATTCGATCTGGGGTTACAGCGCCATGTGGAGATGAAAGGGATGAAGGGGGCCTCGGCCGGATATGACTGGACCAAGCCTATATTAGTCTTAGTTAGGCTTATCAACGGCCTCCAGCGACCCTCCAATAAATATGCCTGGGCATTCTTTTGCCATCCTGGATGGCTCTTCTTCCTGCCCGGCCACCTGCCTTGGCTGACCCGCTCGATACGACCCGGCCTGGTGACACAAAGATTTGGGGGCGGGAAACCAGGAATTCCGGTGGACACTACTTAGGTCTGGCCTTACAAGGATATCCAGTCGTGATGTAAGGCTTCTTATATATGGAGGAGGATATTGTAGGAAACGAATGAAATATGCATCGAAACTGTCACGCAAGTCCTCTACACTGCTGCATAGAGACTGGATGTTTTGCCATAGTTCCACGATGCCAGGCCAAGGCTTGGCGTAACGCACAAGGCAGTTCAGGTGGGATGAGAGCCCAAACCATACACTTCAGGGGATTTGGCAGTTACTTTCCCAATTGAGTTGCTGTAGCCTCGATCAGGGTCGGGGCTGGCTTTCCTCCCACGGAATGATTCAGGCGATGAATTCTACAACCTCTAACTGCATAAGAATACTACGCTTGATGTAGAGCCATTTCTTTAGCAGTAGATACCACAAAGGTTTCTACATTTTGTCGATATGACCCATCACTAAGGAGGGCATATCTGAACTGGAGAATGTGGTCGATATGCTGCTTACCCAGCGGTCTGATGTGACATACTCGTATCACATTGGAGCCCTGTTGATTGTTTCTACATCAACCATCTTCTACTATTGAGCAACTGTGGTAAGCCAGAGTGCAACAAGTTGAAACTGCAGCATGGATCCTGGGACTCGGAAATGAGAAGATTGCGGTGGCAGTAATGAGCACAATAGAGAATAGTGCATTCTTGCCTTGCACAAAGCCATGCAACTTGTTAATCCTGCATAACCTGACTGAAATGAATGTTAACCTCAAATTGTGTCAGAAATGAAGAACACCTGCCTGTCAAACCCACCAACCTGTCCTTCGCACTACCACAAGTTACCCAAAACGGTTAAAGCATATTTGCGGGGAATACGGGGTCACGTGCACATTGAGAACCAGAGCCCCGGTTCCGAGATGGCCGATTTGGACTTGATATTTAACCTCCTTGCGAAGGTGATGCCATGACCATGCCGAGACTTACATTTTAAACAGGGTGATCATGTTGAATATATAATAACTGTGATATGGACCCTCTTCAGCTGGACCCTCCGTCTGTGCAGGACCTCTTACGTGCCGGAGAGCCATTTATCCCATTTTCCGAGTACTCTATCCGCGACATTATTCACCTGCCACAAGACAAGGCCACCGGATGGGTTGAAAATAAGCTTCGTGAAGGAAGGCCGTTTGTTATACGTGGTTTTACTGAGTTGAAAGAATGGGATAGATCTATCTTGAACAATGAGAGCTTCAGCGCCCTTTCATCCTCGGCAGGTAAGTCCGTAACAACCAAAGAAAACAGAAGGCAATTCTATTGATACCTCCTCCCGCGCTAGCGATTCCAGTGAGGAACTGCCATACCGGCCGAGATGCCAAAATGCGGCTTCGAGATTTACTTTCGCAGACGGACTTTTCCCGCACCGGCGATATCCGAGAATTGTAGGTTAGATTCCGAGCGCCGACCCATATAACTAATGACATGCCAGCCTGTACGCAAAAGATCTTCAGTGTCCAAAAAAATGGGTCACGGCATTGGAGGCATTTCTTCCTTCAGCCATGAGGCATCTTGGGTCTCTTGATTTGTTCCGAACGTTGCCAAAGGAGGTTACCCCGGAGGTGCTGATGGCTTATGTCGGGACTCGGAAGTCTTCGTAAGTATGCGATCAAGCCCTTCCACGTCACGACCTTGCTAACTTGGAATGTGATAGTTCAGGATTTCATAGATGCTTCAGTGGGACGGTTGCCCTAAACCTACTGATTGAATCCGATGGTGAATCCCCGACGAAAACACTCGAGACCCTCGACAAACATTCTGATAGTGCGGCTAGGTACTGGGCCTGGTTCTCTTTGCTTTGGGACCGACAAATTCTCACAGGCCCTATACGATACGTATATGGAGGGATTGGGAAAATCCCCTCACACAGACTGGACCAACGTCTCTATAACCCAACTCAAGTCTGCCAATTTTCCGATCTATGTCACACACCAGAAGCCTGGAGACTTGGTGATATTCCCTTCCGCTACCGCCCATCAAATCTGGAACATCAGCCCTATGGTCACAAAGGTGGTCTGGAACATCATGCATTGCTCCTCCTTGGTCTCATTCTTCGACTACATCCAGCCTATTTACCAGCGACAATGCCATGCAGACACTGGCCGAGTACCCTTAATACCGCTACACGCCTTGATCAAGAGCTCCCCCGAGCCAGGAGACGAAGCACTTCTACTAGAGATCTTTGAACAACTCCTTGAAGATGAAGCCATGGAGACCGAGCCAGATGTTGCGATAAAGTCTGTCGATACCCAAGGGGCTGTAGTCGAGTGTAACTTTTGCGGCTTGACAATCTGGAACAGACATATGCACTGCGAGCAGTGCGGGGACTTTGACTTATGCCTGACATGCTTCATTTCCGGACGCAGCTGTAAACATGTTGCCGATTATACCTGGGCTGAATTAATCCCACGTGGATACTGCAAGGATGTCATCCAGACGACTCGAAACAGACTACATGATCGACTGCCCTCAAGGCGCAGAAGTCCACCGTGAGTCCCCGCTTCCTCAAGCATTCAACTCCAGCAGTTCTATCTTCGTATCTCTCTGCCCTATATCAAGTGTATGGTTGTGAGTGAGTTTCTTATTCCGCTTTTCTAGACAGAAGACTCTGGGCGCCCTGGCTGTCGCTGCGGCAGATGCACGGAAGCAATCAATGGTATGGAATGATTATAATACTTCTTTTTGATATTTTGGATAATCAGAATCTAATTGATACTAGGAACGGCTTTGTCACCTGTGCCGTGACAGCCATCCGACCTGGAAGGGGGTAAACTGCACTCAGTGCTCTGCTTTCTTTTGCTTCCGGGGGCTCTATCGGCACTTCGACGTGCATTTGATCCCATTCCTTAGGAAAAGTGATCCTTGGGTCTGCCCAAAGTGCTCCCAATGCTGCAATTGTCGGTGCTGTCACTTTGCCCGTCCCTACTCTAGCGAAGACAAGCCTGTGCGGGCTCGTGTCAAGCCGATTGACCCTCGAGGCCGCGTCATGGGGTTTACCGACAACGTGTTTGATCAGAAACGAGGGAAACGAGCTAGCATGGCTGCTCACAGTGCATCACCCCAGCCTGAGATACTCCCCCGTGGACCAAAACGGCTGAGAACGCAGGTCAACGATGGAAACATTGAACCACAACAACAGCAGGGAGACCATAGTACCTTCACTAACTTTGGTGTGGCTCATACAAGAAGATCAGATGAGAACGTCGACTCTTATCGCCATCCCTATGCCAGTTCCTCGCGGAGTTTAGGCCCGAAGGGGCAGCTTCGAATCAGTGATCTGCTCGAGGAGCATAGCCCTGCTGATGCTGGACCGCCCTTTCAGGCCCTGTTTCGGCAGAGTTCTCCTCCAGCTTCCCTGACGCCAGAAGAGAGCGCATTCCGACGACCTACCGATGAGGCGAGCGTTCCGTCCTTGAGAGACGAAGCTAGCATTGTTGTTCTTGAGAAAAGACTGGAGGCGCTTCGGCGATACGCAGATGACCTTTTGGATCTTTCTTTGGTGGAATCGCATGCCAAGCTCCTGGAGGAGGCAAGTCAGCTGCAGGCTCAGATTGAAGAGCGCAAACGACGGAAAGCGGAGACGCTCTTCGACAACCTCAATCGGGATTTCCCCGAACTGGCTACTTTTGCCAGAGAGGAAGCACGGCGCCGAGGATTATAGCTGTAGCTTTAGCGACTTCGGAGAATAGCAGGTGTGACGGAGGGAGTGAAGATAAACTTTAGGTTCGCCGGTCAAAAGGAACAAAGGGACCTGCCTGAGTTGTAGAATTGTAGGTAGAAGGTTGCGAAGCCAGACAGGTCCTGGACAATGACGATGATTTACCTCTACCATAACAGGAAGACCCAGCATATCGCAGCCGTGGACCAATGGATGGCGCGCACATCGGATTTTGTGCTGCGTGAGGAAGTTCCCCTGGGAGGGGGGCCCTGGAGTGAGCCTAGAGGCGCCCGACAACGGGCAGAGCAGCGGAAGCGATCCAGGGAAGCAGGCGGAGTTCCAGCCGGCGTCGATCGTCGCCTCCACTTCCCTCTGTCTCTCTCTTCCTCCCACCACTCCGGAACCTCCCTTTCTTTCATCCCTCCTCCGGTCCACTCTTCACCCCCATATCTCGATCGGCTGGAGATTTCCCCTTGACAGCTCTCACTGCATAAATCACCTCTCAACAAGCTGTTGCGTTTGCCTCCCCGCCGCTGAACCCACGCCTGGTATGTTTCATGTTTGCTAGCTAGTCTATTGTTGGCGCCCTCTAGGAACGTTTCCCCCCTCACTTCGCGCAACTGACGGCCCTGCCTGGGTTTTGCACAGAAGAAGGGCCCCGTCGATCGATTTCCTCATCGGACTTGTCGCCTGTTCTGAATTGACCATCCTCTAGCTCTCGCCCACCGCCGTGAGCCGGTATTCCCAGCCCGACGAGGGCCGTCGGTAGCAGTCCAAACACACTACGAATCCTGACCGCCTCCACCTCCCACAACTAGCTCTCCTCCGGACGATTCCACACACCCTCGCCCTTCATCTCTTGCCCCTCCCTTCCCTCATTTTCAGCTTGGTGTGACGCTAGCTCTGAATCTTTCACGAACCACGTCTAACGCCGGAATCCGCCCCTCTGCCCCGCCATGCCCTGTTTCAAGGGTCTCGCCGTGAGCATACACACTCCGGACGGCCCCATCTCCGAATATTCGATCCAGCGTCAGTCTCGTGCCTCTCGCATTGCTTGTTACATCCCCGTGCCGCCGCCCAAGATTCCCGAATCCGGATCCGGACGCCCTGAACAATCAACCTTCGCCATCTCTATCACCCTCCTCAACCCCGGTCAAGATGTACCATACTCCGCGCCGAAACCGACCCCCGACAACCCCGCACCCAAACCGAAGGTAGTTGGTGGGCTGCCTGGATCAACCGAAGAGCGTGGTCAGTACAGCAGCGCAGTAGCTCCATACCAGGCTTTGACCAATTCGCCAAACGAAACGGTCGCCGCTTATATATACTTTGATGGCCGGACAAAGGAGGAGGTGGCCACCCTGCTACGGAGAGGAGAGGAGACATGGGTTAACTCTCGTTGGGTCAGTGTGCCGGAGTCGGAGGGTGGGGGTCTCGCTGAACGGGAGTTTCTCTTCCGTGAAGTCGGACTAGAGAGATGGCTGAACGGCTTGGATCTGGAAGGGAAGGACGCAGCAGCCCAGATTGAGCGCCGACGGCAGAAGATGGAAAAGCGGCGGATGAAGCGTGACGCTACTGGCGACCTGGATATGGATCCCAAGTCGGGCAGAGGGGTCATGCGCTACGGCAACGATGCAAAGTCTCCGCTGGAAGATGTTTCCGACGATGACATGTCGTTCTCCGACTCAGATGATGATCCGATTCCTGAGTCCGCGGGTCAGATCAAGGTAGCCCTGTTCCGCGTCCTAGCCTCGGGAGAGGTCAAGCGCGGAGAGTATTCTCCGCAGTTTGATGCCCACGACGACGACGACGAAGCCCAGGGTGGGAACGGTAACAACGGTGCAGCTGATGCGGACATTGATCATACAACAAGTTTTGCAAAGCCAAAGACACTCGATCCCAAGACAATTAGTACGCAGACGGTGACCGGCATCGATCCGTCCGATAAACCTTATGCCATTTTTACATTCATGTACCGTGGCGGGCGTAAGTTCAACCCCCTTTGGGGTTTTGCGGGTTCAGAGACTAACTTGAATGCAGGGCAATTGCAAAAGATGGGGATTCTGAGGGATTCCAAGGCACAGGAAACTCCAGGATCCGCAAAGCGCCGGTCTTTACAACCAGACTTTTCCAACCTCGGACCACTGAAGCCTGGCGGTACGGTTGGGTTCTTGAACTTCCGTGACAACGCGGACAACCAGCGCAAGAGCAAGAAAGACAAGAAGACTGGTGAGGACGATGAAATGGATAGTGAAGACGATGAAGACAACTCAATTCTCGGTAAAGCCGATGCAGAAGAGGGCAAAGACGATGATCTGCATCTGTCTCCAGACGATATCCGACAGCAAGGGGAGCTTGCGGAGAGTATACGGAAGATCAAGGTATGTGTCGATTTAGTATACAGCTCAGGTTTCACTCACTAACTCTGGAATACAGCTCAAGCGGCAGCATTCGTCTGCATCATTGGCTACGGATACGCCCCCGGATGAGACTGCAAGCCCCGGTGCAGCCGGGGAGACACCCAACCTGTCTACCACACCACCGGCCGTGGCTGCTACCACGGCCACTCCCGAGGCCCCCAAGCCGGCCGCCAACACACTGAATGGAGGATTCGTAGGCAGTCCGTTGAAGAAGCAACGGGCAAGCGTCTCGCAATCGGATGAAGACTCCATGCGCCGGCGGATCGAGTCGGGCCTTTCCAATGAAATCACCAATGTCGGCCCGGAGGATAACTCCAGCGCAGCCAATCCTCTGGGGGCACACCTGCAAAAACCGCAAGAAACCGAGGACGAGGAACTATAAGCGGTTTGATTGCTCTAGACCGATACTACCCTTGTCTATGTCCAGACAGATGGTCTATCTCCCAGGCCTCTTCCAAAAAACCCCCTCTATCTTCTTTCTCCTCCACCTTACATGGTGTGATGGGCTGGCGTTTAGAAAGCGCGCGAGCCCGCTGTGTCAAACGCAGCACCATCTTCATTTTGAATTATTTACCATTCTTCTTCTTTTTTACCTTCTGTCTTCTGATGACATCTACGGTTTGGATACGGTCAACCTCACGGATTTATCATGACTGAATCGCCATTATTTTGTCCACTTTATTCCAGCTGCCGCAGTTCCGGCAGCTGGGCGTTTGGTTCTCTAGTTAGAACGGGGGGGCGGGCGGAGGTAATCGACATAGACGCAATGAGTTACGCAAGTTGCATGTTAGCATTTACTTTATTCCATTGAAGTCCGGCCACTGTAGATGGACGTAGATACTCCGTACAGGTACCTAGGACAAACATCATGTAGGTACGTAGAACTCCACTCTCCCGTACGCCATTTCATTCCAAGCGACTCCCAACAACTGAAGAAAGCCCCATGTCTCTCTTCAATATGTAACAACATCAAGTAGGGGCTCACAATCCTCCCATCAGGTATCACAAGTAGCAACGTATTATCTCAACATAACGTCATAGGTACCTACTTTGCGGAGCAATTGATTTGCGGACCGCCTTCCCTCCGCCCGCTCCGCTCCGCACCGCACCGACTACTATACACTACAGTAGCACAGTGAAAAGAATTCTTCCGACTACGTTGAAGTAGGCTATATAATCCGGACAAGAGGCTCTAGATTTTCTTTTTTGAAATTGTGAATATAGTATCCATCTACTTTGCTTTCTTTCAAATCTTTATTGAAGAAATATATCTATTACATACTCGATCCCTACTATACAACATATATACAAGTCTTCCCTGAAGCATCAGCCATGCCGACTGAATCAAGTACTCTCAGTTTCCACTGTGCGCTGGTCACCGGCGGAGGCGGAGGTATAGGCAAAGCGATTGCCAAGTACTTCATTTCCCAGGGCAAAAAGGTTATCATTGCTGGGCGGACTGAATCAACGCTCCGCGAGACGGCGAAGGAGATCGGAGCGGCGGATTACTATGTTCTTGATACGGGAGTCGTGGGGACATTCCCGGACTTTGTATCACGGATTACGAGCGAGCATCCGGAGCTGGACTGTTTGGTGAATAATGCCGGGGTACAGAGGCCGTTGGATCTGGTGGATGAGGACAAGGTGGAGGATGTGTTGGGGAGGGCGGATCAGGAGATTGATATCAATGTGCGGGGGGTGATGCATCTGACTTTGGGGCTGTTGGGGCATTTTAAGAAAAAGGAGGGAGGGGCGGTGGTGATGAATGTGTCGTCGGTGTTGGGGTTCGTGCCGTTTGCGGTGGTGAATCCGGTGTATTGTGGGACGAAGGCGTGGGTGCATTTTTGGACGATGAATTTGAGGACGCAGTTGAGGAAGGCTGGGTTGGGGCGGATTCGTGTGGTGGAGATTGCGCCGCCGACGGTGGAGACCGATTTGCATCGTGAGAGGGAGGATCCGGATGATAATAAGAAGGAGAAGAATCCGAGTGCGTTGTCGTTGGAGGAGTTTATGCAGGAGGTGGCAGGAATGTTGGAACGGGGAGAGGAGGTTATTGCCCCTGGAATGAGTGGGGAGTTGGTCCGCGGTTGGTATGAGCAGTTTGGAGGCGTTTATGATAAGATAACTGCTTAGGGTACGCAGTAGTAGGATGGTTGGGTCGGCACTAGGCGGAGACATTTGGGAGGATATTGACTACTGGAAGAGAGAGGTCATGCATCCAAATCCCAATACTCAAACATGTTCATCGAGACGAGTCGGTCAAGATCCCACGGAAAGTCCGGGGCAGTAGGGGGCACAGGTTTAGCTGTCGGTGATGCTGGCTCAGCAGAAGGAATAGGATAATCATTCAAGAAAGGGTCCTGGAGGTCCCCCCACTGAAGCATATACTCCTCCGCCTTCCTGAGCAGCTTGATATCATCCTGCTTCTGCTGCGACTGAATACATAACAGCGAGCAAGCGCTGGCAAGAGTCTCCTTCACGGAATCGGTGTAGTATTCCCGGGATATCATCCGTAAGGTGCTCAGGGTTTGAGACACACGCTCCAGCGATTCTCGTGTATCCAGAGCTAGCAAAACGCAGAGTGCTTGGAACGGGACATTCAAAATGTGCCACCATGGCTTTATTTCGGCAGCTAGCTCCTCCACGAGATCATGGCTCTCATCAACCAAGCCCAGGACCTTATTCACCGTAGCGTCGGAGACGGAGCAGCCAGCTAATCGGAGTCGGCGGTAGATGCACAGCCCAATATTGCAACGCTTCAACTGCAGCACGGTGTGTGGCAGCTGAAGCTCCACGGTCTGGTGGAGCAGCTGCTCCAACGTCGCGGGATCAAGTGGTCTATCGGGATCCAAGGAATCGGATATCTGCCAGACGGCGATCTGATCTGATGTCCATGACTCCTTGGGAAGGGAACAAGTCGCCCCGCGGAGCTCCATGGGAGGGCGCCCGTAATCGTACGAGATCCACATGTGAAACAGTCGAGCTACGCCATAGATGCGTCTTCTAAGCTCGGGATCATACTCGTTGCCGCAAGTGGAGGATTGGATCTGACTGGATGGCTCTATATGTAATCTGGTTGTCTCGATGAAATGCATTAGCGTACAGCTGGCCAGCCAAGTTGCTTGCGGCGAACCCGTCAGTCGCAGGTAGATAACGCGGAGCAGCCATGAGACTACATGATCCACCGTCGGAAATTCCAGGGTGGTGGAATACTCAAGAGCAATCCTGGAATTGTTGTCAAGGCTCTCACGATCTTCGTCTTGGCCCATGAAAAAACCCCCCAAGGCACAAATGTTCAAGAGCAACAGTGCTTGGGATGACACAGCGAGGGTCTCTCGGACATCACATAGTCAACGGCACGGGTTACCATTTCGGGATCGAGGAAGTCATACACAGGGTGTATGTCCTTGAAGTACGTATCCACCATGGCACGGAAATCCCCATTCGTCAAGAACTCCGTGATGAAAGACGGTGCAGAAACTAGCTTGATAGAGGTATCCTCAAGATCCGGGCCTCTATATATGGGCGACAGCCCCAGATTCCACGAGCAGAGGCGCACGGGGAAGGGAACAATCGCAGCCCCGGCAAGTTTACTTGCCAATACGACCCCCGAATTGATAGCTGCCGGTCCTTCGGGGGACGAGCTTTCGCGCAAATCGGCTGGGTTCGAAGATCCTCCATTGGGACGCCGGCGCTTGCGCGGATTCAGGACGTAGATGCAGTCGTGGCCGGATTTGACGCAATTGCTACACGGCTGGTGGCCATTGCACTTCCGTTTTTTCTCTCGGCAGGAGTTGCAGGCCGTTTTGGCCCTGTCTGGCGGCATCGTCGGGAGTTGGGAGTCGTAGAGTGAGTCGAAGAAGCAAGAGAACTCGCCTGCCGTGCTCTCTCCACTTGCTCTCTCCGCCACCTCAAAACTTCCTCTTCCGCGTCTCTTTCCGCAGACTCCCATCCGACTCCCGCCCGTTTTTCTACCTAGTGATTCTTGCTGGTTGCCTGAAAGAATACCCAGGATAGTTTTATTTGCTCACTTCAAGCTCCCAGCATGCCATTGACCCGCTCCTCCGATCCCCTCGTGTGGATCGACTGCGAGGTGCGGCATTCCTCTGCTCTGCCCCTCTCCAGCCGCGACTGATCCATCGGGCTTGTAGATGACCGGCCTCGACCCGGACACCGATCAAATCCTGCAGATCTGCTGCTTCATCACTGATGCCGACCTCAATCTCCTCGACCCCCAGGGATTCGAGACCGTCATCCACCACCCGACCTCGACCCTGGAGAGCATGAACGAATGGTGCATCGAGACCCACGGTCGCACAGGGCTGACCGCGGCGGTGCAGGCCTCGCCCACCACCCCGGACGAGGCCGCAACCGCCCTCCTAGCGTATATCCAGAGATATGTGCCACAGCCTCGGCGGGGGTTGCTGGCGGGGAACAGTGTGCACGCCGACAAGGCGTTTCTGGCCAAGGGCCCATACCAGGCGGTGCTGGAGTGGCTACACTATCGGATTGTGGATGTGAGTGCGCTCAAGGAAATGGTCCGTCGGTGGGGGTCGGAGGAGCTGCTGGGAGCTGTGCCAGACAAGAGGGAGGTTCATCTGGCGCGGGACGATATCCTGGAGAGCATCGAGGAGATGCGATTCTACCGGGGGCGACTGTTCGGATAGCTGAGGTGTCGCAATGTCTGAGCGTGCAGGCCGACCGCAGAGTTCGCAATCTACGGGAGGGGTAGACCACTACTACATAGATACACTATAGCTGGATGGATGCCCAATGGGCCAGGGAGTGCAGCCGATGACAGGGTTTTTGGCAAGTGTCTGCAGCTCGACTGCCGTAGTGTCTCGGAGGATCCTCGAATGAAGCTCTGGCCTGAGGTCATGCTGGCGTGGACCCCTCCAAGTGGGGGTCTGGCGATGGCGGCGTTGGGCGTAACTGAAACTAATCGCTGCTAGTCTATATTTACTTGCTCCCCGCTCGTGTCTCGCCTGCTTCTCTTCCTCTTCTTCCCCTTTCTCTGTCTCCTATTTCCCTTCAACCCTTTTCTTCGCCTCAATTAGTGGTCGGTGAGCTTCTCTCTCGGCTACTTTATATACCCCATCCAGACCCCTTCGTCTCCCTCCCTTGTCCGTATCTCCATCCCACCCCTCCACCCCTCCATCATGTCCGTCCAGACCGTCTCCCTTACCCCCTTCACCGACCAGAAGCCGGGCACGTAAGTCCCCCTATTTATTGCTTCCATTCTTCCATCGAATGACTCTCTGACGAACCCCAGCTCTGGTCTTCGCAAGAAGGTCAAGGTCTTCCAGGAACCCCACTACTCTGAATCCTTCGTCACCAGCATCCTCCTCTCCATCCCCGAGGGCGTTGAGGGCTCCTTCCTCGTCATCGGTGGTGACGGCCGCTACTACAACACTGAGGTCATCCAGAAGATTGCCAAGATTGGTGCTGCCTACGGTGTCAAGAAGCTGCTGGTCGGCCAGAATGGCATTCTCTCCACCCCCGCTGCCAGCAACCTCATCCGCAAGCGCCAGGCTACTGGTGGTATCCTCCTGACTGCCAGTCACAACCCCGGTGGTAGGTATCCATCTCTTCGTATCAGATCCTGCAACTCACAGCTCTCTTCCCCTAGGCCCCAACGCCGACTTTGGCATCAAGTACAACCTGGCCAATGGCGCCCCCGCCCCCGAGTCCGTCACCAACAAGATCTACGAAACCTCCAAGTCCCTCACTTCCTACAAGTACATCGACATCCCCGATGTCGACACCACCACCATTGGCTCTAAGACCTACGGCCCCATTGAGGTCGAGGTTGTCCACTCCACCACCGACTACGTCACCATGCTGAAGGAGATCTTCGACTTTGACCTGATCCGCGAGTTCCTCAGCACCCACAAGGACTTCAAGGTCCTCTTTGACGGTATGCACGGTGTCACCGGCCCCTACGGCGTCGACATCTTCGTCAACGAGTTGGGCCTGCCCGCTAGCAGCACCATGAACTGCGAGCCCAAGGTCGACTTCGGCGGTGGCCACCCCGACCCCAATCTGGTCTACGCCCACGAGCTCGTCGAGCGTGTCGACAAGAACGGCGTCCACTTTGGTGCCGCTAGTGACGGTGATGGTGACCGTAACATGATCTACGGCGCCAACACCTTCGTCTCCCCCGGTGACAGTTTGGCCATCATTGCCCACCACGCCAAGCTCATTCCCTACTTCCAGAAGCAGGGCGTCTACGGCCTGGCTCGCTCCATGCCCACCTCGGGCGCCGTCGACCGTGTGGCCAAGGCCCAGGGTCTGCAGAGCTACGAGGTGCCCACGGGCTGGAAGTTCTTCTGCAACCTGTTCGACAACCAGAAGATCTCCATCTGTGGTGAGGAGAGTTTCGGTACCGGCAGCAACCACATCCGCGAGAAGGACGGCGTCTGGGCCATCGTGGCGTGGCTGAACATCATCGCTGGCGTGGCCAAGCAGAAGCCCGGCGAGACCCCCAGCATCGCCTCGATCCAGAAGGAGTTCTGGCAGACCTACGGTCGTACCTTCTTCACCCGGTACGACTACGAGAATGTTGACAGCGACGGTGCCAACAAGGTCATCGCCACGCTGTCGGAGAAGCTCAACAACAAGGACACCTTCGTGGGCTCAACCGTGTCGGGCCGCAAGGTTGTCGACGTGGGCAACTTCTCCTACACCGACCTGGACGGCAGCGTGTCCAAGAACCAGGGTCTGTACGTCAAGTTCGACGATGGCAGCCGCATCGTCGTCCGTTTGTCCGGCACGGGCAGCAGCGGTGCCACCATCCGTCTGTACATCGAGAAGTACGAGAGCGACGCCAGCAAGTTCGACCTCGCCACGGATGAGTACCTGAAGGACAACGTGGCTCTCTCTCTGGAGCTGCTCAAGTTCAAGGAGTTCATTGGCCGCGAGGAGCCTGACGTCCGCACATAGATGGCGCATCATGTTCATAGCCACAGTATCGAGTATTTAATAAGCGTCCATAATCATTTCATTCATCTTCACTGTCCATTACCCTGTAGGTGTAAACCACCTCTATTCCCGACATTAGAACATTATGATATCCCTTCCTGCTTCAAACAAGCCTATTGAATTCACATAGCCAAATCATACCCGTCATAACATCAAAACCGATCCTCACCACATACCCGCTCACGCGCTCCAACTACAACAACTCCCCCATCTTCTCCCCCCACCACTCCCTCCACTTGACGACCTTCTCCTCCCTCCTCGCCTCCTCCGCCGCAAACACAACCGCGTGACTTCTCACCGCCTCCTCCAAATCACATCCCACAAACCGTCTCTGCGCCTCCCGCACCCCAACCCCCTTATTCACCACCGCATCCACCGCATCCACGAAACTCCTCGCCAGACCATAATCCCCACCACCGTGCGCCTTCTCCTCCTCTGGGGGGCGCTTCGGCACCGTAATGGTCGTGGTTTCTCGCGTCTGGAACGAGTAGATGGTGATGGTGCGGCTGTCGTAGGAGATCTCGCCGAGGGTGCCGTAGATGCGGCCGCGGCGTTCACATTGTTTCTCGGTGGGGGCGATCATGTGGAAGAGGGCGGTTTTGGGCGCTTCGCCGTCCCAGGTGATGGTTACGGTTTGGTCGTCGCAGACGTTGTTGTCGGATTCGTAGACGCAGCGACCGTACCAGGGGCGGGAGTGGATGGTTTCGGGGTCGGTAGTAGCTGTGGTGGTGGTGTAGTTTTCGCCGAGGCGAGTGAGGAGGTGGGATTGTGCGAGTTGGATGGATTCTTGAGTCATGGGAGTATCTTTGCTGTTTCGTGGTGGGGTGATGATGTCTTCGATGTCCTCGCAGACGATGTTCACTGGCCAGTCGATGTCGCCTTTCGCGACGTGCATGTCGTTGTAGATCCGGACGGCGCTGTAGACGCAGTCGCGTTCTGCGGGGCAGGACAGACAGTTGGTGGCGTCCCCTGCCGCGGGGGGTTTGCGGGTTTTGCGGAATTGGGTAAGGGAGCCTGAGGAGGTGATTGTTCGCGGGTGATGGGGTGTGGTTTTTGTGTCTGTATCTGTGGGAGGACTGGAGAGTAACCACATGATGAAGTCGATGTCATGGCATGATTTGGTCAATAAGGACCCGTCCCCGTTGGGGGTCTCACGGCGCCAGTTGCCGCGCACATAGCTGTGCGAGAAGTGCCAAAAGCCGACGGGTTCGGTGTGTTCGAGGGAGACGATGTCGCCGATCACGCGGTCGAGAAGGAGGAGTTTGCGGAGGAGAATATTGTGTGGGCTGTAGCGGAGGACATGGCCGATGGAGAAGATGTTGGTGGAGAGGTTGGGGCTGAGGGCGCGGTAGACGGAGAGACAGTCGTTCAGGGACAGGGCGAGGGGCTTCTCGCAGAGGATGTGGAGACGGAGGGGGGCGATGGCGTGGAGGATCTCGACGTGAGTGGAGTCGAGCGTGCAGATGAAGACCCCGTCGACGCCGACTCGAGGATCATTGTTGGATTCGCGGCGCTGTAGCTCCCATTGCAGCCAGGAGCGCCAGTCGGGGAATTCCTGGCCGTCTTGGGGAGTGCCGTGCTCGCCCCAGATGTAGGAACGGCCGAGGTGTCGGCGCTTGAAGGGGTGGGGTTCAGCGACGGCGTAGATCGTGCCTTGGGTCGCGGTGGTCACGGCTCGGGCATAGGCAGTGCCACGCGATCCAGCGCCGATAATGAGGAAGCGGAGGGGTCTGGGGGAGGGTGATGAAGTGAGAGAAACTGTAGGAAGGGCGGGTTCTTTCATGGTGAGGTGATTGAGAGGTGTAAAGAAGAGGGGAGGAGGGGATCCTATACTCTCTGGTAGGGAGGATCGCCGGTTCCGGATGATAAAGTTGTGTCGCTGATTGGCTGATCAGCAGCTTATGCCACCAACTAAAAGCAAAGTGAGATTGAGTTTGTCAACAGTAATACAGTTCTCCAACGAAAGGCAAGGTGGTCGAGTGGTTAAGACGTAAGACTTGAATCCTAACCGGATGTTATCTTATCCCTTCGGGGTCGCGCGTTCAAATCGCGTCCTTGTCGTTTCTTTTTTTCCGATGTTTTTCTTATTCCTGCAAAGCGAAGGACATCGCCTGTCTACTATTATTGGCACAGTTGCAATTGGAACAGGCGCAATGCCAGACTCGGAAACTTTAAAGACTTGCTGAATACACGGCTGACACAACAGGCAGAATTGGAAAGTAGACTACGCAGTAGGCCATTCCCCAAGGGAAGCAAGGACAACACGCACAGTAGACATTATTCACATTGGTATATTATCGCTAGACTATATGAGAAAACGACCCACACGAACAGAACATGGAAAGAAATGAATTGGGGTATCCATAAGAAACAGGCTAGCAAGTAGTACAGAATCCAGACGTGATCACCATGGCCAGTCCGGGACACCACCCGGAAGCCATATTTATAACTCCTCCACATATGTACAAAGCTCCAAGTATATACCCACTTCCCCAGAACCTCTCATATACTCTCCGTGAATCGACTCCCGCGGCTGCCATCGAAGCTCGGATGGCTTCGGCCGAGCGCATCTGGTCGCTTGGGCATCGTTGGAGATAGAGCTCCCGGTACGATGACCTGGGAGACAATTCGCGGCGCACCAGGTTCGTTGGATAGACTGGCGCTGGCGGACCCGGTCACTGGCGTCCGGGCTGGCGATGGTCGAAACACCACCGTCCCCCCTGATTCCTCCGCTTCTCGGGTATAGCTGGCATCCAACGGCATGCCATACGGGGTCGTAAGAGGCGGTTGCGTCGCTGGTGACCGTGGCTGAACAGGCGAGCTTGGAGAAAAGATTGTACTAGGCTCAGATGCCGTAGGCGATCCCGGCTCAAAGCCACCGCCGTACCCGTCCCCTCCTGACTGCAGCACTGAGGGGATTTTCCGACCGGAGATCTTCTGGAAGCCGCGCTCGCTGGGTTCAGAGCTGAGGGTACTATCATCGGTGCGCGTCGTCATGTGCGATTGGCGCCATCGTTTCATGAACGCGGGAGCAAAGTAGGAGGCAGTAAACAGGGGGTCATTGCTGGACCGCCGCGATGCCATCTCCGCTGAGCGTGGGACAGATCCTTCGGCAGTTCCAGTCGTGTCCGGCTCAGGAAGTGCATCCCCGGACGGGGGTAGGATGTTCTTCCTGCGGCGCCGGAGCAACCAGACGACAAACACAAACACAAACATAGCGGCAGCCACACCACCGACTACGCCACCGGCGATCTTGCCTTTGGTCTGAGTGCTAAGGGACCCAGACCCGGACCCGGATCCGGAGCTAGAGCTGGAGTTGGAGCTGGACCCTGAGCTCCCCGAAGAGAATGAAGTTTCCGAGGCAGCTTGTCCAGTAGCTGTTCCCCCTAGTCCTCCGGCCCCACCGTTTGAGGCTGTACCCCAGGTGCCATAGTACGGGTCAGTTGAAGTAGATTCGGACGAGAAGACGGATGTCGTTGTGGAGCTTGTCTGAGACACAGATGACGTCGCCGTAGTTTCAGAGCCGTAGCCAAATACAGCACCGGAGCTAGAGGATGTCACTTGGCTGGCGTTCTGTGTAGCACTCGTATTGGAGTCGGACGACGCGCTTGACGGTTTGATAGATGTTGAGGAAGGGAGAGGTGTTGCGGTAAAGCCGAACAACGGAGTCGACGTCTTCGATGAAGTGGGGGCGGACGAGGGCGGGGCGGACGATGGTTCAGGTGTACTTGTCACTGCTGGTGTATCCGCGGTGGGAGAGGAATACGCAGGAGAAGCAGTCAGGGGTACCTCAACCGAGATCGTAGCGGAAAGTGACAGGCTGAAGGAGTCTAACTCGGATGACAGGCCAGTTGTTGCGGGCACGGTCGACTCGTCAGATATCGTGGTCGGGGCGGTTGCCGATGTACCGGAGCTAGTCTGCGAATTGTCATCGACCACGTTGATCACAGTCGCAGACACCGTGGTCTGATCCCCAGTAGCGGTGTCGGATTGCTGTCGCTTTTCGAGCAATTCTTGGCTGTCATGCACCTCTTGCTTTTGCAACTTCGGGTCCAGAATCTGCTCGTTCTTCAACCCAGCTACGACCGTTTCGAGGGACATGGTTGCCGGAGTATCATGGTTATTGTCGCGGATCTGCCCGGTTTCGCTATAGTATGTTGAGTCCAGTTGATATTTCCTCCGCATCACCCTATTAAACCGAGTGTGTCCTGTGCCATGATGGGCCATCCTGGTAACATCCACGCCTGGTCGTTTGAAGCGCTTTCTGCTGGATATTGGCGAAATAAGCGCGGCGATTGTGAATCGCAACTTGCCGATAATCAAAGAATGATCTGTGAGCAAATGTCTCGAAAGTAGAGCGGTAGACTGTGAAGTGAAGGAAAGGTGTCTGCCTGCACGACACGAATGCTGACTGCAAAGGAGGGTGGTAATTAAGTCGTTCAATGGAGACTGGATAGTAAAAACGGACTCAATGAGCGTAAAGAAAGAGACGATAGTCGACTTCTAAAAGATGATGAAAGAGCGACGCCGAGGGCGAATGAATTAAACGAGTGTCGAAAGAGCGACTGCGGTAGAGTTGAGCTGATAAGGGCTTCCACTTCTATCAGAAGCCTCAAAATCGTAGCGAATACCAAGGAGCGGACGTCAGCTGGAAAACACAGCCGACAAAAGTCAAGTAACTAGTAGTAATAAGAGAAGAAGAAGAAGAAAGACCGAAAGGCATAGACAGAAATCTATTCACGAGGGCAAGACACCCGTCAGCATCGAAGCAACCTGCAGCGCACCCACCACCTAACTCGCAAAATCGCAATTGCCATTACATACCTGCAAAGAAAAGGACAAAAGAAGAAGAAAGGACAGCGACACAATTTTTTTTTCTCTCTTTCTATATCGAACTATCCGTTTTCGGGCCGCGCAGGTAGATAAAATCTCAAAGCCTCTGGGTCTCTAATCCATACTTGCCGAACAAACAAGTGAAGTGAGCGAGAAATGCGCGCCGGTCGAAGGAATTAATATCACCACCCTTTCCCTTCAGGGTCCGTCAGGTACCAGGTGGTGATGACTGGATGGATTTGTATGCCGTTTCCACAGTTGACCCTCCCACCGGGACAAGGATCCACGCTTAGACCAAGGTTCCGGCCCCGGGACTGGTACCGTTCTTGATGGCTCTGCTTGGTCCGCCCAGAATTCGTTTGCGTGGTTCGGTTGGGTCCGTTACGGCATCAATTCGCTCCAGACGGGTTTTTCCGCTCGCTCACGGGGTTGGTGGGTGTTGGATAAATGGCGGACGTGGTCAAAAGATTCCCCGTCAACAGGATCCCGTCTGCTGCCTGCGTGCTACCTCCGGGGGACAATTGAGGGGGGAAGAAGAGAAAGGGGGGAAGGGGAAAGGAAGGTGGGGAGAGGGCAAAGAGGGCAGGAGGGGAAGAGAAGAGCAAAAGAGTAGATTAGGGTAAAAAGGTGGTGATCGAGGGCGATGAGGGGAGGGGGAAGATGGGCAGGTCGAAGGAAGTGAGAAACAGAAAGGGTAGGGAAGGAAAGCAAGCGAGCAAGAGAGACAGACGGTCGAGACAAGCTAGACTAGTCGGTCCGTCAAGTCAGTCGTAGTGGTAAATGACCCGCGTGGGCAGCATCGATCAGGCCAGGCCTAAGAATAACAACCGCCGGGTCTTAGACCTGCAGCGTCACTAAGGCACGGTGGGTGCCGTACCGTCCCATCCCGGTCTTGTATCACACCAATACGGACTCGGCTGCCAACGCGCCTTTCTCACTTGATTCATGACTGCGATCACGTAAGTAGGAAAGATGATAATGAGATGATTCCTGCTTCCGCTTACCTGGGCTGATCGAGATTTTGCGACGGGAAAAACGGGAATTATACCCGACCGCGAAAATGCCATGATTCGCCCGTCGAGCTGCAGCTCCCATGTACCCCGTCCGGAGATGGTAGCAGCCGCAGCTCTCATCCTTGTACTGGGTACGTGATAGTCCTCTCTACGTACATGCATATACACCATGTACATAAATTGACCATTGCTTTTGCTCTGGTTGGTGCCACCAGTTCTCGCTGGCCGACATGCATGCAGGTGTCCATACGCATTCTCGTATGACCGGTACAGTACGATAGACCCGACCCGAATTGGGGCATCGAATTATCGTCATTGGCCCGGCGCCCTGCCCGAAAGGGGGGTAGCCAAGCCTGAGTTTATTAAAACGCCGGACGCTAAGTTTCATTAGATGTTTGTTTACGCTGGACAGACAATCTAACTAGACCACGCCCGTTAATTAGAGACCCGGCTGCAATATCATCCCAGTGCCTATCATATCTCACCAACCACGGTTCCGTCCCGTGTGACTCGTGTGAGGGCCGTCTGGCCACTCCTCCAACAGGACCTGGGGGTGTGGACGACTACTAATGTCCATACCGAGCCATCGTGCATGCAGGTAACCCTGCAGACAGGGACAAAGACCACCATTAGTCCATTGCAATCCTGTCTATTGCTGATGCTGCATGCGCTAGCCACGAACCCAACAAGGCTCATTGCCTAGTGCCCAGGGCCTACGTATGCCGTACTGAATATGTAGATAAGCCCGAAATTCGACCCCAACGACAGCAACACCACAAATGATTAGGAACAGCACAACATCCACACGGCACATGCATCATCTAATCGAGAACACAGGTGATTTAATCTGCTCCACGCAAAGTCGGCCTGGAGTCTAGACACAAGACACCCACAACGGCCTGTTCCCGAAGTTCTGCCCAGTTCCCAGTTCCCAGTTCCCACGCAAGGGACCTCGTCTCCCGTAACCACTACTACGGACTAGCCGCCGCAATGTCACCACCACCACCCACTCTGCAAGGTACGCCCCATCTGAATTAACGTCCTCCATTCATGCGTACTCCGTAGGAACTAATTAGCTACGCGATGCACCACGATGTACTCCATAAGCTCACTCTCACTGTATCATCCCGAAAAAAGTAATCCCACACCCAAGTCAGCTTATGCCCCTCCCACCACCACCACCACCACCACCAAAGGGGGAAAGGGTCAAAAAAAGGAAGAAAAATATTGGTGGCTGCCGGAATCAGGCCAACAAGACCCAACCGAGTACGGTGTGGTGTGAATGAATGAATACACGTACGTACGTATGTCTCTTTTCCGTGTCTCAGAACCCCACCCGAACCCGCTATTTATATCGCAGGCCGCCCGGCTCCTGTCATGTTCATCTCCCGTCCGCCCATCGAGAACGGTCGTGGAAGCTTCGAGGAATGTTCACTACTATTGCCACTTATCGTGATCTATCTACGGAGTATCTAGGGGGTATCTCCGATTGTCAATGTCGACTGTCAGGCTGTCAGCGTCACTCAAGACACGATCAGGTGACCGATCGGGAGGTTACATACATATTGTCAGATTATCGACCTCGCTGTCAATTCGACACACAGGTGGATGATTGCCGTAAATGTTGTCTTGGATTCTGACATTATTTTCATATAAATGCCGGTCAAATGGCACGAAGTAGAAATTCTCGAACCCCAATGGAAGTCCGACTGGATCCGACTGCTAACCGGGCCGGATTCGGCCGACAGTGTCATCACATACAACAAAAGATCTCAATATCGTCAATAGTTGTGTGTCGCACGAACCGTTCTGCCTGGGAGAGTGTAACTATATACTTATTTATTTCCATATCCTTTGTCCCCGATTACTCCTTTTCGCCCTCCCCTCTCCCAAAATAGATCCCCCAATCCCCTAATTGCACGGAATGAGTCGCCTCGAATATCATGTCTCAGAACACAGCAATAATGATTCAGTTGGTCAGGAAGGAAGAGTATTGTTCTATCTATAGCCGTACAGACTTCATCGAGTAGTATCTTGTTAGGAGGGAGCTATTCTGTAGTAGCGAATATTAAGTCCAACTACAGTTCAAGCCCGAGGGCAGAGAATCACATCCTCACTGCCATCGTTCTAATATAATCGTACTAGAATCCGCAGTAAACATTACTACCACTCTGTTCGAGCAGGGAAGAGAGCTACCGAGCTTATATATAATAAGCAAGTTGTTGGGTACAAAGTTTATCTTCTTCCCTCTTTTCCTTTACATCTTCACATGAGGTGTAAGTTAGGAAACATGAGCATATTGGAAAAAAAAAAAAAAAAAATACAAGAATGTCCAGGCAGCACTTTATTGTTTCAGTAAGGTCTCCGAGTCTTTCGATCTGGACCTACAACTTCCGCTGCTTGTCCTTATTTCTGTGTCGATGGGCCATCAAGGATCAATTCTCATATCTGCGATCTCGTTTTTCACTAATATAGAGCATGCCGACATGGTCTGAAGCGAGTTGGAACTGTGTAGCCAGGCCAGATCGCATTTACACGGCGTACGGAGTACCGAAGGCTCAAGAGAGCGTAGGCTATACCGTACGCAGCATCAGTCTACCCCACTCAACACTACTTGGCGATCACTCCGGCGCGGAGAAGATAGGGGTAGATCGATCACCGGCTTGCCGAACAAGAGACAATCTGCTCAAGCGGATCTCAAAGCACAGAATATACATGTTCTGGCATGCACTCGGATCTCAACCTATTCTTGGGTGGTGAGATCCTGTCTATTAGTACCAACGCATACTAGGGGATGAAAACACTTCCAGCTACCTATCAAGACAGGAAGGAAATGAGCTTTCTGTCACAACTATACAAAGGGCCTGCGTATCGACAATCACCCTTCTGGCTTTTCACCCGGCAACTCCCCCTCACCCTACTTGCATGTCGGACCAACGGTCTAAACGGAAGGAAAACTAGTTAAAGACATAGATGTCGTAAGACGACTGGAGAACGCTTGTGCTACACATGAAGGGGTATTAATAATGGACCAACATTGTTATGAACTTAGAAGGTCTCCAGTTCATCCGCGGCTCCCTCCGCTTCGGGAATCTCGAATCCCTCCTGCAAGGTAAGTTAGCAACAGACTCGAAACGAGCAGTTTCCCTTGTGTGCAACCAAGCACGTCTCTAGTGCAGAATCATACCTCCGTCGAGTACAGAATGCCCTGAATGTGCTTCACCAGGGAGTCTTCGTCCTTCTCCATCTCCGGATCGGCCTCAATGGCGCTCTGCAGCAGCAGCTCAATGTCACGCAACTTGGCGAAGTAGAAGTCCCTCTCCTTCTCCAAACCAGCAATGGCCTCCTTCTGCGTAGCAATCTCCTGCTGGAGGGCAGACACGTTGGCGGCGCTTGCACCAGCGACACGGGGACGGCCAGCGCCGCCAATGGTGGGCGTGGTTCCACGGCGCGCGGCACCCGCGGAGCTTGCACCGGCACGAGAAGCACTCGCGGCAGCAGCGGGGGCGCCAGAGGCCTTGCGACGAGCGACCGCATCGTATTCACCGCCCGGGTAGTGCTGGTCCCAGTACTTCTTCGTCCATTGGAGGAACTCAAGGTTGTCCTGCATACGGCATTTCGTAAGAGATTCCACCGGAATTGGCTTGTCCACCTGGTGCTTCGCGAAGACGTCTAGGGCAGGCCTGCGTTAACAGAAACAGGATCCCCACCACAACTGGTCAGGAGGGCGTACTTTGGAGGACTTTGAAGTTCTGGAGGTAAGCGTATTCGGTGTTGACGCTGAACTTGACGCGAGACATGGGGACGTCCACTAGAAGAGAGACCAGTAAGCCACATGCGCAGGCGGAGAAAAAAGGGGCTTGCCACGCCAACTCACTGAATATCGAATCGAAGATCTGGCACAGAGCGGCACTATAGAATCAGTTTTATCAGTATCTAGCCTCGAATGCATTGCATTGTTCATTGAAGGCGTAGTCAAGGCATCTGTTGCAAGCAGATTTACACCTTTGTCAGGGAGGTTCCTACCCAGTACCGCACTGCTCAACCTTGGTCATGTTCAACTGCAGCAGGTTGTTGATCCATGCTAGCAGCTCTTGTCTATTACCCAGGGATGTTAGCCATCGGTGCACGAAAATAAAACAAGGCCTCCTATACAGAGGCAGAGAATGCCCAACGAACCTGGATTCGGACATGGTGGGGTAGAGTAGGGAAGGGCTGAACTTCGGGAAAGTTGGAATGCAGGATTCCGCAGAGGTGTGCAGAGATCGAAGAGGGATAAGATAGGGGAAAGTAACAAAGGGAATCTCCCTGGAGCGCTGGATCACTCTTGTTTATCTCGAGGGAAAACAAAGGCCAAGTCCAGCGAGGGGATGTTTTGTTGCTGTCGACAAAACCCACGGGACTGCAGACGCTAAGCCCCTTTCGGCCAATCGCAACGGTAGCCTCCCCGATCTATCGATACCTCAGGCCTAAAAATTGGGACTGTTGCAAATGGCGAACGCCTGACCCGACCTCAGGATCTTGGCTACCCGAAGTAGGCTATTTTAAGCAAATCTTCATCCCAAGGGGAACAAATGTATTAGAGCAAGTGTATGTAAATCTCTATCGCTAGCCAAATGTATGTCCCTGATAATTAACCCAAGAAAAGAACCCAAATATCCAAAAACTCCTCCGCAGCCAAGAACACTTTTCCATGCAAACAGAACAGATAATAGCAAGGTCTAACCAGACGATTTACTCTTGTAGCAAGTCTATGCCATCTAACCCGTATCCAAAATCCATTATAACAGCGCGAGAATCTTGGCTGGTAGCCACAATGCGCCGATAATCGGACTTGACGCTGAGCATCCAGCTCGTCGTCCAGCCCGGAAGATCAATGGATAGCTCTCCGCTCTGAGCGTCAAACACCTTGACACTCATGTCGTAGCTACCACTGACAATTCGCTGGTTCATACTGTCCAGGTGCAGCGACCGAACCAGGCTCTCATGACCCTTCAGTTCTTTGACCATCTCACCGGTGTTGGCGTCGAACTGATAAATTACTTGATCGTTGCCGCCAGTCAGGATGGTTCGAGCATCGTCGCTAAACTCGACACACGCCAATCCACGGTCCTTGCTTGGAAACTCCTTGACACACAGTCCGGACGTGATGTTCCAGAGCTTGGCGACGCCGTCTCCACTAGCAGACACGACGAGATCGCCGCGCAGCTGGACAGCATTCACCGGTCCTCGGTGGCCAAGGAGCTTCTTGACAAGGGCTCCGGTGTGGCGATCCCAGACACAAATAGTAGTATCCTTGGAGCAGGACACAATGTACCGGTCATCAAAGCAGACATCCAGCACCCCCGCCTGGTGGCCCACCAGGCGACGAATCGGCTTGTAATCATTTTTGATATCCCACACAATGCAGGTAAAATCAGACGATCCAGTGACCATAATATCTTCGTCAAACTGGAGGCAGAGGATAGAGGCGCTGTGGTAGTCCGCGCTTTGTTCAGCTGGAGCCATGATCCCCGCAGAGCGCGTGGGAGGGGGATAGATTGTAAGAAAAGGCGGCTTTCCGGCTGATTGCTGCGCCGAGTTGTTGACCGGGCCAATGCCGGAGACATCCCCGGGGGGAGGGCCTATGATCTTCCGGCATGGCCAAGGGTAGTGGGCGTCCCACACGCGGATGGTCCGATCACGAGAGCCGGTGATGATTTTGTCCCTGGGATGTTATTAGAAAACAATCATGCATACAAGACATTATCAGGGAGAAACATACTCATCAAACTGAGCACAGTATACACTGTCCTTGTGCCCGTGAAGATAGATGGCGGCAGCCTTGCCTTCCTTCCACCGATGCTCCAAGGCACGTCGAACAAGGAACATCCTCTTCCAGTCCTGGTTAGGGTGGGCCTTACCCACACCCGCAGACTGTCTCTTCTTGTGTGGACGTCCGCTAAGGTGGTGTCCGTAGGCATGGCGGAATACATGCCGCCAAATGTGTCTGGAGGAGGCCTGCTCACTCCAAGCATGAGAAACAAGTTCAGACTGCATGAGAGACTCGGGGTCAAGGTAAGAGAACACCTGCGACATGACCTCAGGAGGAAGGTAGGCGACTGGATCAATACGCAGAATAGCCAGGGCTGGATCAGACAGCTCCGACCGATCGCGCAAATCGATACCAATGCCACTTTCCGAGTCCTGGGTCAGCTTCGCATCGGACAGCTTGATACCATCCCGCAAAGCCCTTGCCTGGTCATTTTGAGCTGCAGCTGCAGCGCGAGCTGCCGCTCCCGCATAGATGTCGTTCGGGAAGACGGGTGGCTCCAGGCCATAGCCGGGGACGGCGGCAGCGGTGTGAGCATAGAAATCATGGAGCCCCGAGACACCGTTGAGGGACGACCGACGATCGATGCTTGTTTCGTTACACCAGGAATTCCTCGTAGTCCCATGTTGTGGTTGCACTGAATGTCTAGACGATTTGCTGCGGAGCGTCACCGAGAGGCGACGGCCCAAGGCGCGCAGGCCATCCACAGGATGGCGTAAGCTAGAGAAGCTCTTGGCCCCGCGGCGCTTAGGAACAGGTTCGGGGAAATGGTTCATGTCCTCCAGTACCTGGCCATCATCATCATCATCTCCGGAATCTACGACCGACAGCCCGTGCCATATATCATGTTCTGCTTCGGTCGTTTGAACGGTCGATACTGTAGCAGTCCGGGGCCGAGTGCGGAGGGAGAGGGAGGGGCGTCGTCTAGAAGGAAGCGTGCTGGGATCTCGTGGAGCCATGACGGCGATCGATGTCACAGTGGCAATCGCAATTAAGGAGAGCCACGCGGGGGGCAGCTAGGACAGAGCGTCCTCGGTAGATTGATATAGTATGGGAACGGAGTAAATCCCCTTCCCGCGGCTGAGACACACCCTCAGGGGCCAGACGCAAGGGTATGGCGCTGGTCAAGGAAGAAATGTGCGGTGCGTCAATAGGGGATATAGGCCGGTATTGAGAGGCTGAACGGCGTAGGTAAGGAGAAAATTCGACAGGACAGCAGCCTGGGCGATCAGGAAAAGGACCGATCCGATCAACAAAAAACTCCTGATAAGGGACACCGACAGATAGTAGATAGACGATAGTAAGCCCAAAAAACGAGTGCGGGAGGGGGTGAGAGTTCGGGTGAGAAAAGGAAAGAAGGAAGGAAGAAAGGAAAGTCGACTGAATCAGATGTATAAGAAGCACCCAAAAGAATTACCCCCCAAGACCTAACGACTGCATGAAAAAGAAAAACAACACTACTGCCAGCAAAGATGGGATTAATGAATGGGGATCGAGCGAGGAAAAGGGAGGCCCGCCGGCCGGGCGGTGAGCGCCATTTGCCCCCCAGCCCGATCAGCCCCGACCCGGTCCAGGCCCTTGATTGGCCCGCCTCCCACTGGCTGGTGGCGGGCTTCAATTTCTGCTGAGACTTATTTTTTTCTTTTTCTCTGGTTTGATGATCGCATGCTTAGTCGCTGCTGTGGATATTTTTCCTTTGTGACTGCCATTGTTGCCCCCCCTTGTCAATTAGGGCATCCGTAAGGCCTGCATGGAATGGATGGTGGGCGGGGATTATACTTCCTTCAGGGGGTCTGGCATCGACCTGGATGCCTGATGAGAGGATTGTCTCGAGCTCCTACATACCACAATTGTATCAGCGGGGGTGTTTGATCCAGGTAAACACATATGTGATGAGGGCATAGTCACCCTTAGTCTGAATACCAACCCACTATTTTGAGGCCTCCTTTCATGTCTACATATTCATCCCCCGTCCGTGCATGCCGGAAATTGAAAATGCAACCCTTTGTCTTCGAGCCCCCGATTCAGGGATCGACTCCATCCCATCTCCTTCCCGCCCCCGTGGGGTTGTCAATCCTTCACGGTCTGGCCCACTCTGCCAGTTGGCCGGGCAGGAGGGAGTGCTGTCAACCACCATCATGACTTGTGTGATTGACATTCGTTCATTAGACGTAAGATAATTGAAAGTTTTTTAATTTACCTACCTACAATGGTTGTCTCGACTCCCCCCGTCAAATTAGTGCTTATATGTCTGTGCGACCTTCTAGGGCATAGCCTCAATAACTGCCGCCTGAACAAAGATTCCACGGACTGGGGTAATGAACCCCTCGATTTGGACGTCCCATCCATGGGTCCCCCTATCTTATCCACAAAGGCTAAGGGGCGAACGCCACTGCAACTTTAAGGTTCTGGTGAACTGTTGACGCAGACCTGCATGTTCACCGCAATAGATTGACCGGAATCAATGACATTCATACAGGCATGCATAACCATGCAAATACATACAGGTCTCTATAATAAGGTATCTACTTCAGCTCCCACTTCCCATCCTCAGACACAATCTCGACCGAGCGCTTCTCATCCAGCGAGATGCGTCCCGCATGCAGGATAGCTGTCGTGGCAACTGTGTTTTGCAGGGTCGGGATGGGTCTCGCATCCAGTTGGTCGAGCGTCAACCGGCCCTCATTGACAGCCGTGACGGCGTCAATGAACTTTTCGAAACTGATGTATCCGTAACCAGTCTGGCCACCGAAGTTGCCCTCCTCATCGGGGGCATACTTCATGTAGAACCTACGCACCAGTTAGTCAGTACAAGTCCAATCCCTCTCTGTAAAAGAAAACGTACGGGTTAATCCAAGACAGTCCAGACTCATCCTCTGTGACATCATAGCCACGCTTAGCCTGGTTAACACGGATTTCGCCCTTCGACCCCATATCTGTGTCTGTCAGCACAATCCCCAATAATCCCCAGGGAATGCGAAGGCGAATAAAATGGAAATAACATACAATGGAAGTACTGGTTCGAGTGTACGCCTGCCCTCTGCGGCGCCGTCCAACTGGCCGTATAGATACCCGTGGCCGTCCTCGACCCATCCTTCTTCTTCCATTCCACAAGCAAGGTAATTGTATCCTCCGTCTCATTGACACAGCCCAACTCGACCGCCGTTCCCGTAGCCGCACTGGCCGTTACCTTAATGGGGACATAGTCTGGCACCATACTCTCACAAACATCCACATGGTGGCTGTTCAAGTAGTAAGAGATATCGGAATCCTTGCCAGCCCACGCCTTGAAAGTCTCCAGCTGACTCTTCGGCTGACTCATGTAGCTGTAGAAGTAGTTGAAGTCTCCAAGCTTGGAGGCCTTGGCACGGGCATCACTGTAGGCCGGGTCGAAGCGCTTGTGGTGCTCGATGTAGACAACGACATTGTGTTTGCGGGATTCGGTGAGAAGGTCAAGGTGGTCGCGGAGGAGTTGGGTGGCGGGCTTGGTGATCAAGACGTGAATCTTGCGCTGAATGGCGTACAAAGCAATGGGGTAGTGAGTTGGGTCGGGGGTGAAGATGGTGATTGCGGAGCCTGCGGGGAGAGCGTCAATAGCGGCTTTGTAGGCTTCTGGGTCGCTGGTGTTATCGGCGGGGAAGGAGGAGAAGGAGACGTCGAGGTTGTTGTAGACTTCGGAGATGTTTTTCTGGAGGTGTGCGCCTGAATTTCTTCTGATTAGTTTTGAAGCGGCAATTGAGTGGTAGAGGCTTCAGGAGGATGTCTTACGGATTCCGGGAAACTTGGATCCAGATACGCCCACCATGCTCAGATTGCCCACTTTTCCGCGACGACGCAGGTCAAAGAGTGTCAGACCCACGACACCCACTTTCTTGTCGGAGGTCGAGGCAGCACCGCCGACGTAGCCGGTCGTGTACTCGCCTGTTCCTACCTGTGTTCCTGGTTAGTGGGCAAATTGGGGGGAAATAGAGAGAAGGGCGTACCATCAACACATCAGGGGGAGCCATTGTGATTGCTGCTGTGTGAAGCTACCCGAGGAAAAGGTTTACGGGGGTTGAGAAGATGACGGAAGAAGAGAAACCTGCTGGTTTAGTGGGCTGGCGGTCTTATAAGAGAACCTGCTGGACCGGGTTTCTGCGGGGTCATTAGCCGATGGCTGGTCGTGCTATACGAAGGGATTGCATCAATGGTGGAAGATATACACGATGCGACAATCCCTTGGATGGCTATGGGGTCGAACAGTATCTTACGGAGGACCATGACTCGAGTATTCTGTACTCAGGAAACCCCCGATTTCTATGCCTGGCATGCTGCTGTACTGGTACTTTCCCACTGCATGACAGCTGCTGTCGGCGTTTGATACCGACCAAAGAGGCCAGTCTGCTACCGTGCGCCTCTGATTGGTGGAGAAATTCATCCGAGACGGTGGGGACGTGGGATGATACCAAAACGGTACGGCAAGGCACGCGGGGTAAACATGAGGGGGGGTTCTTCTATATAAATCATCGCAGGATGGACAGTGCCAACCACTGCCTCCCAACACATCCATCCCATCAATTGATTATATCTCCCGATATACTCATATATAATCAATCAAGTACATACACCACTCAACTCCCAAACCGATACCAAACTAACAGCAAAGCAACAGAATGTCTCCCACCCCGCTCCGCCCCGGAGTTTACGCTCCAACCATGACCTTCTTCGACCCCTCGACCGAAGACCTGGACGTCCCCACCATCCGCCACCATGCCGTCCGCCTCGCCAAAGCTGGTCTCGTCGGACTGGTCTGCATGGGCTCGAACGGTGAAGCCGTGCACCTCACCCGCGCCGAGCGCAAGACCGTGATCAGCGAAACCCGCACCGCGCTCGTGGAAGCCGGATTCTCCAACGTCCCCGTCATCGCCGGTGCCAGCGAACAATCCATCCGAGGCACCATTGACCTCTGCAAGGAGTCCGCCGAAGCCGGTGCCGAATACGCCCTGATTGTTCCCCCCAGCTACTACCGCTACGCCACGGGCAATGACGAGACCCTCTACGAGTTTTTCACCGCCGTGGCAGACGGATCTCCCATCCCTCTCATCCTCTACAACTACCCCGGCGCGGTGGCAGGCATTGACATGGACTCGGACCTCATCATCCGTATCTCGCAGCACCCGAACATCGTCGGCACGAAGTTCACCTGCGCCAACACAGGAAAGCTGACCCGTGTTGCGTCCGCCTTGCATGCCATTACACCTCCCTCGCCTTTGGCTCCGGCGGAGCGCAAGGTGCCCAACACCAAGACGGTGGCGAACCACCCATATGTTGCGTTTGGTGGTATTGCGGATTTCTCGCTGCAGACGTTGGCGTCTGGAGGATCGGCGATCTTGGCTGGCGGCGCGAATGTCATCCCTAAGTTGTGTGTGCAGATCTTTAACCTCTGGAGCGCGGGTCGCTTTACGGAGGCTATGGAGACCCAGGAGTTGTTGAGCAAGGCCGATTGGGTTCTTACCAAGGCGGCTATCCCCGGCACGAAGAGTGCTATCCAGAGTTACTACGGATACGGTGGATTCCCGCGCCGGCCGCTGGGTCGGTTGACTACCGAGCAGGCGGAGGCCGTGGCGGAGAAGATCAAGGATGCCCTGGAGGTTGAGAAGTCGTTGCCGGATATTGCTTAGTTGAATGTATCATATAGATTGTCATTGTGAATACAGCGGTTTCCGAGATGTATGAGATGTGCATTTTTGCGATAGCGTAGGTGTGTCTGAGTAGAGTCGGCGTTCGGAACGAACGCCGAGTTAGGTGGGCTGCAGGGATGGTACCCCCACGCTATAAGCTGGTTAAGGGTATGCTGGTTGGTGGACAAACCGGTCGGTCTTGAGGGTCAAGGTGGAGATAATTGGTGAAAGTCGGAGTCTATCAGCGTGGAAGAATCTATTCGACTCGACGCGCCCAGGCCGGCTAAAGGATGAGCCAGCTGAGCGATGCGCGAGCACGTGAATGAACTGCGCAGAAGAGCTTTAGTTGTTAGGCAGATTCAGGAGATTGTCGAGCTGCGTAAGAACAGTTGCGGAGGAGTGAAATATACCGAACTCAAGAGGACAACGGGGCGATCATGGTTGCCTACTTAGAAAGTATACTGGCATGTACAATAAGAAAGAAACTGGTGGACAAGCGAGACGACTGCCTCAAGCTGGTATACACCGAATGACACCCAACACCATCCATCAATCATTTCGCCACGCTGCGAATCAAGATAACGAACTATGAGAACAAAATTGAGCCCTGTGCATAAAATGGGCCATGCTGCCAATCGTGGTCTCGTCACATATACACCACAAAGTCACTCCCCGAAATATGGCCAGCCACAACGGCGTACCTTCATCTCCGTGGATTATTCTTCACAATTCCATCCGCACCCTTGTTGAATTTGACACGACAGTCTGGACAGTACCACTTTGCCGTGCGACTCGGGACCTCTGACAGGCCGACGCAGTCGAGATGGAACCATTCGCGGTCACACTAGTCACGTTAGCTACACCAGGTCAAGTAGAAAAGGCAGAAGGCATACTTCTTGGTTCTCACAGCAGATCATCGTCCCGAAACTCACGTCTCCGCACAGGCAATACCGCGGTTCATTCGGATCAATTTCCTCGAGTACCCCGTCCTCGTCAATTCGAATATCCTCGCGTGCCAAGGTTCCGTCTTTAAGCCCAACCTCACGCGTTCCGATCCGTTTCTTCCCAGGCTTTGCTTTGCGGCGACCATAGCTAACCGCGGCGCCGCCATCTTGGCCTGAAGACACAGGACCCGGTGCTGGACGTTTCCGCTTGCGATTGGGAGCACTCACACTGGTGGCTCGGGCGGTTTCCGGAACTGGGGTCCTTCGGGCGGGTGTCGCGCTCTTTTGGCGAAGTTCGCGTTTAGTGGTAGTTGCAACGACGCTAGCATTGGCCGTTGGTTCTAGTGACAAAGCGGCCGAGCGGCGAGAGGGAGGTCGAGTGACCGGCGGCGTGGGCGTAGCTGCTTTTGCGGCTGCAGCCACGGCTGCGGGTTGCGGGATAGAGCGTTTGGATCCAGTTGGAGACAAAGGTAAGGAAGGTTTCTGTGACTCGGAAGTTTCCGCAACCGGAATAGGGGGGGCTGCAGTTGTAGATACTTCGGGGATGGTAGTATCTGTGTCAACGGGAGTGAGGGATTCTTTGCTAGTTCGGCGGCGTTTGGTCGCACTTCGGAGCGAAGAACGGGGTTCAGCTTCCGCAGGCGCAACAGCAGCAGCAGTGGTAGCGGGGACAAGCGGAGCAGGGGAAACAGTAGATTCAGGAGAAATAGCTGGAGCAGCGGGAGCAGCAGGAGGAGCGGGCGTTAGAGCAGGAATAGGGGGGGCAGGTGCAGAAGGACCGGCAGACGAGAAGGTTACAATTGAGGTAGTAGGATCACCAGAAGGAGAGGGTGCAGCGGACACTGAGGGAGGGACAGACACTGAGGTAGTAACGGACGTGGAGGGAGCAGTAGAAGCCGAAGGGGCAGACGAGGCTGAGGGAGAAGGAGCAGGAGGAGCAATGGGTGCCTCTGGGGGTATCACCTCTTCGAGTTTTCTTTTCTTCGTTGTACGACTGGGCTTGCTCACGGCTGAAGCATCCTGGGCACTAGAAGTAGAGATCTCTTTGGGTATGACCTCTTTGGGCGGGGCCTCTTTGGATGGGTTCTCCTTCGGTGAAATTTCTTTGGGTGAGATCTCTTTGGGTACCACTTCTGACTGGCCTGCATCTTTGGCTGTTTGTTCTTGTGCTGCGGCGGCGGCGGCAGCAGCAGCAGCAGCGGCCTGCTCCCGGGCCTGGTTCTCCCGCTTGAGCTTCTTGGCCTCGTTGAGTTTCATGCCGCGATTGCTAAGTTTGGTCTCAAACGTGACCTCAGTGTCGCCGGTTGCCTCGCTGCGTTTGGTCAGCTTGCCAGGAACGTACGTGTTCATGATATCGTCACAGTCCAAGAATTCAGTACCCGCGGCCTCGGCCTGTGCTTTTGCCGCCCGGTAAGCTTCCCAGCCGCGGCCACGCAAGGCTAGTTCACGATGAATCATGACCTCGCTGGGTTGCCAGACAGCGTTTTTCTTCATCTTCTTGCGCAACTTGGTCATTTCCCATTCAGTCAGGCGCAGCCATGGCATGTCCTCACTTCCAGGTTTAGCATCTTCTGGAGGTGGCTTGAGCATCGCCAACGCATTGCTGGTCGATATGGCTGGAGCCGTAGGCCCCTGGGCACCGGCTTGGGCCAGCCCGGAGACCCGCGATCGCCGATTGGCTTTCTCTTTCTTGGTCGGTGCAGCTGCCGGCTCTGCAGGCGACTCCGAGGGCGCCACTTTGGTATCCGCTTCCACATCGGAATGCTCCGTGCTGGCTATGGGCGAATCGGGATGCAAGTCGGCCAGATGCTCGGCAGAGATGAGGGATCGGCGTGTGCGCGATTTGGGCGCGGTCGTCGCGCGAGAGGTATCGTGGCTATCTAGACGCAAGGTGATGCGCGTAGTGGTGGGTGGGCCGGCAGCCTCGTCGGCCTTTTTAGTCGATCGGCTTCGTTTGGTGGTTGCGAGGGGTTGTGGTGGAGGGGTGGGTTCGCGCGACGCGGGTTTGGGGAGAGCTTCGAGCTTCTGTTTGATGCTGTCCAATCGGTTGAAATGGCGATCAATCACATCGTAGAGACGACAGGCCTCTGCATAGGCCGATTCACGCGCGTTTATGGCGCGATCGAGCTGGGCGGAGATATCCTTGCGCAGGGTACGCGCATCGGGGCGCACGTCGGGGGGGAGGTTCGGCAGCTGGCCATAGGCCTTGGTGAGATCATGGACGGTCTGGGTAGCTTCCAGATAGCGTTCGTCAAGGCCGCGGATGAGTGTCAGGGAACGAATCAGGTCAGCGGGAAGGTATTCGGTGTAGTCAATGTAGTCGGTGACGGTGGCCTGGGCGTCGGGATCAAAGGGGCCGTCGAGGATTAGGCCGCCGGCGTCGTGGTAGTCCGCCATGCCATCCAACAAGTAGACAGATAATGTATAAGAATGCGAAGTGGTGATGGAGGGAGCGATGGAGGGAGCGACGGAGGCAGCGTTGAAGGAACGGGCGGAGAGATGGTCAGAGGTGGCCGGACGGCACCATGGAGAAGGGTGCGGCCAGGAAGAGGGACTGGTCCGCACTTTTACATGGGGGGAGCTTGACAGACCAGGGCCTGCAAGCTGAGGCAAAATATGGAGCAGAAGTAAGAAGAAGGGAGAATGAAACAAAAGGAAATAGAGCCACAGAAGGGCGGGGGGTGAAAAGCAAGGTAATTAGATAGATAGATGGATGCGATGTGAATGATCATGAATGGATGGGTCCGGCTGAGTTGCTGGCCAGTTGCAGCCGGAATTTGGAACCACCGCGGATACCGGAGCCCGGCGAATTGTTGTTCCGGAGGGTGACAGGTCACTGCACAACATGGATATACCTCTCTTTTTTACTTTAATTCCCGCCGGCAACGCTGCATTGTTGAACTGTGGTTACTAAATTACGCCTGTTGATGTTGAGAGGATGCTCCAGTCAGCCAGGGTACCGAGTGGGACGAGAGTAGACACCCCCGTAGTATCTTGTTTACATCGGGTGAACAAAGTATATCAGAGTAGCTCCACCTAACGAATAGTAACCTCTATGTATTTTCACGCGACACTCCTCCCTATGCCCATTATTCACCATGCATCTATCCGCTAAAACAAAAAAAAAAAAAAAAAGGGAATGTCAAGATCTAACCTACTTATTTCTAATTGTCTTCCCATATGATTGGTTCATTGACCAGTGAATATGAATTTGGGGGGACTTTGCACTACCGTCTGCACCACCACCGTTTGTCAACCAACGCCCAGTTCCTTCTCCTTTCTCCTTTCCCTGCTCTTCTCTTTCCTTACTTACCTAACCCTTCTTTTTCACCGTTCTGACAATCGATCTCAGTACTGCGTTCTCAAATCGTTCCATCAATTCCAATGAGTCCAGAAGAACGGTTGGGACTGCTCTTTGCGCAGGATGAGGCCCTTCTCAAGATAGATACTGGCCGACGTCCTGTGTCTGACTCGCCCGACCGGCCCACGGCACCTGAGACAGACTACTCCAAGCATACAGGAGAGGAAACCAAACCCTCGGTTCCCACTAGCCAGGAGGCAGCTCAGATCATTCAAGAGCCCCCCCTAGAGGGCCATCATTCCTCACCAGGATTGCCTTCTTCACTTCAAGAAGAGAAGCCTAATCTTGAAACCCTGCCTATTAGACCCTCTAACGGTCAATTCAGTCCCCTGCTGGCCATCGCCAGGTATCCTTACAAGAATATCAAAGGGGACCTGAGCAAACAGGTGTCCAACCGCTTCTTTGACGCAGGTAAATTCTGGAACCGTCCATGGGACATGTAAGTGACTGCCATAGCTACTTTCATCTCTGAACTGACAAGCGGAAGATATTACATCCACGCGCCTCCTTCCCTCGGATCTAAATGCGTACTGCTCACTCCCACTAGTGAAGTCAATAATTTCTTCCAGGAGATCAACCGTGAAATGAAGTGCGGATTGTCTCTTTCAACCGACGTGTCAGCCGGGTTCATCCTGACCTTCAAAGATGAATACCCCCAGCCTATCTATGCTGGTCACAGTACTTCACGTGAGACCAAGGACCGTCTTGAGGGGCGGATTTCTGCGCCAACGGAGCACAGCTACTCCGCCGAGGGAGATATGAACGAGGAATATGCCGCGTTTGAAACAATGATGGAGCATGCCATTGACGCTATCCGAAACAAGAAGAAAAGCTCTAAGCAGAAACAGATGATGCGTGCGATGCACGAGTACAACACGCAGAATATGATTCGCCGAATGCAGCGCTACTTCGGCCTGCATCCAGTGGAAGACGCCGATGAGGAAGCAGAGATGCTCATCTGGGATTCGCCAGGCGCGGTCCCCACGGTACAGACGCTAGATGTCACCAAGGCGGCACCACACCCGTTTTGGAGAGAGCCTGTATTCATCAGCATCGACATAGAGTCGAATGAGCGTTGTCATGCGCAGATAACAGAGGTTGGAGTGTCGACGCTGGACATGCTGAGTCTGGTGGGGATCCCGCCGGATGAGAAGGGCAAGGAGTGGCGGTCCCGCATTCAATCCCGGCATCTACGTGTAAAGGAATACGGCCATATTGTGAACCATGACTTTGTGGCGGGTTGTCCCGCTATGTTCCAGTTTGGAGAGAGTGAGTGGGTGTTGCAACGGGATTTGGGGGATGTGGTGCGATCATTCCTACGGTTGGGCGATGCAATGAGTCGTCGTCTCGTGCTAGTGGGGCACAGCCTATCCCAGGATGTCAAGTATCTCAAACAAATTGGGGTGGACGTGGAAGGATTTCGCGACCGAGTGGACACGGCGGAGGTGTTCCGGATGCTTCGAGGGGAGACGTCGGTGCGGTCCTTGGGAGGCGTGCTGGCGGAGCTGGACATGATGGGCTGGTACTTGCATAATGCGGGGAATGATGCACGGTATACGATGGAGGTCCTTGTCGCTAGTCTGCTTGGGGTGAAGAAGGAGTAGACTTGCTAGCTTAGCACTGTTTTTCTCCGAAGGTTGAGTTCTCTAGTATGTTTACAGAATACCGGCCCATCTCCTGCTTTGCAATAGTATTGATAATCATCTCTATACTGATCACTGTACAAGTTAGTGTATATGTAAGGTCGTCAGGTTGGCAGGCCAAAGATACTTCATCTGATCAGTACTTTGTAGATGGTGGCTGCCATAGAACTTGTTTGTGAGCTGCTATAAGATTTTCTGTCAAGTTGATCGAACCTGATGCTTGTGAGGTTTTGCAGCATCTTCAGTTTTCTGATATAGAATTACTACACATGTTTTCATCTATCTATGACCGTCTTTGTTGTCCTGGATTCTCTCCAGCGTCACCAAAGCCGGCATAGGTGAAGGCTTCCTGAACTTCTGCACTGATCAACATCAGTTAATCCGACAAGAACCTTAATCAAAAAAATATCATACGCAGCCTCAATCAATTGGATGAAGAACCATTCATTGCTCAGGGATTGAGTATATCATGTCTTGCATTGTACGTTTTGTCCTCTGACATTCTGTGATAAGCCCTTGGATTTCTGTCTCGTAGTATGCCCTATCGAGCGGAGTTTGCACCACTCACTTAAACTAAATAGAGTATCCGCAATATTCGTTCTCAAGAAATTCAAAATTAGTCATAGAGTTGTTAGAAATCAGGTTGAGGTCACTTTCACGAAGAAGCTTTGCGATTTTATCTTTGCTGGACAAGTCACGGGCGCCTCGAGAAACGATCTCGTAGAAGATGTCGACTGGAAACGCCTGATCTTTAGTTGTATCGGTTTTTGCTCGTGCAAAAGGACAAGGAATGAAGTTAGGAGGAGAAATGAAGGGAGTGCTACTGGGTACTAGGTATGACTTAAGTAACAAGCAGGAATGCCCGGATGAGGATGGGGGATGCCATGCCTAACAAGTACTAAACGAACACCCCTGCTTCATATAAGAATCCGGTCGATCATTCGTTGGGACGGCCACTACCAAGTAGCCAATCGGTAGTAGTAGTCAGTTACCCGGCAGGGCTGTTGATGGGAGGGGTCAAAGCACAGTAGGATCGCGCCAATCTCATACTACTAGCGCGATGCGCAACCCACGATTGGGAAGGGTATTCTTGCTAACAGAAGCAAATCGAATTGTTGTAGAAGGCATTTACAATCATCAACAGGTGGTTCTAATTACTGCATGGGATCTGATGCCTCATGCACAATCCTAATTTAGTAGTCATTGTCGCCGATCTTCTCCACAATCCCCATTGTGCCCCACCACATCATCACCTTTGCTTCAACCCCTCACAAATAACTTACTACTGACACCACTACCATTACCATCACCATCACCATCACCGTCACCACCGTCGGGTCAACACAAGCGGAATGGACGCCTTAACAACCCATCTCCTTGCCCTCACCCCCTCCAACCTTCACACCTCAACCACCCACCCCTTCCTCCACGCCGCCGGCACCTCCACTCTCTCCAAAGGCACACTCTCAGCCTGGCTCTCTCAGGACCGTCTCTACGCACAATCCTACATCCGTTTCATCGGCCTGTTACTCTCAAAAATCCGTCTTCCGTATACCGCACCCACCACCGGCACCTCAGATTCCTCTTCCGAACCTCTCGAATCCCGGATCCTCTCGCTCCTCACTTCCGCCCTTCTGAACATCCGCCGCGAACTCACCTTCTTCGAGACCGTCGCTACTCAATACAATCTCAATCTGACCGTCCCACCACCCGGCGAAACGACCTTCGGCCCGAGCGAAGCGACACATGCCTATGCGGATTTGTTCCTCTCCGCGGGGTCGAGTGGAGTGACCCTGTTGGAAGGGTTGGTGGTGTTGTGGGCCACGGAAGTGTGCTATTTCAAGGCCTGGTGTTTTGCGCGAGGGGTCATGGAGAAGAATATGGCCAATGCTGAGAAGCGTGGGGATGAGGATGGGGGTGCGTTGAGAGAGATGTTTATTCCCAATTGGACGAGCGAGGAATTCAAGGATTTTGTGGATGAGATTGGTGAGCTGGTTGATGAGCTTGCGAGGGGAAGTGAAGGTGGTGACAGGAGTAAGGAGATGCTGGGGCGATGTGAACGGTGGTGGAGGCAGGTTGTTTGGTTAGAGGGGATGTTTTGGCCAGAGGTTTGAGGTGATAAATGGTATATTGCTCTCTAAATTGATAATCCAGAGGACTGATCTCTGCATACAGTAATAGTGGCCTCTATTTTGTTTCTTGTATGGTTGATAAACACTTGCACTTGTTGGCGAGCCAGGCAGAACCACGAAAAATTTACTACTATTCTTGATTCATCTATTTGCCTGATAGCCTTAGTACGCACAGCGAAATAACTGGAGGTTGATTGTCAGATAATCATTTACATGACGATTTTGCAACTCCTGAGATACCAGGAGCCATCACCAAGGGAAAGCGATACATTGGGCCAGATTTTGCCCGCATAACAAGGATTTTTAACCAAAGTACCGCCTAGGTACCGACTACCAGTATCTTGGAGCCTTCATAAGGCTGCTCAGTTACGGGTGCCTGATAAGGTAACGAAAGTACCAACAGTGAAAGAGTTGCCGACCTCGAGGCCGTGTTGTAGTGACTGCATCATGAATGCGGCAAGGTGCAGACGAGGATGGAATGATTGGATCTGGAACAACACAGGCAACCTAGAGGCACAGCCTACTGCATCCTTTTCACCCCAACACCTGCGGGCCCAATGGAGCCTTATCGGATCCCTCCTGCCATCAAACTCATCGGTCACATCATAATATGGGAACCCCGCCCCCTCTTTCCGGGACCTACACTGACCTCTCATTGTTCTTTCTTCTTGTTCTGCTACCCCATCAAATATCGATTTTCGAGTCCCCCTCAGTGTACCAATTATTTACCTGCCATGACTCAACCACGCTCTGCCAGACTTACAAAGTTTTTCTATCTTGTTGTATCGGGAAAACGTCCCGTGTCTAATATCGATGATTTCAAGAAATTTCTGGAGGCTATTCTCCATGAAGAGGATCATGCCGCATGCGTTGAGCGAATAATAGCCAGCTCTCCAGCACGTAGCGCGATACACTCGGGGCTGCGCTTTGATACATCTCCTGAATTTATCAATGCACATACATCGCACTTTCTCCTCTATTTAGCGACTCCAGCTATCAAGAATTTATGCAACGGTCGTTTCTTGCGGGAGCTACTTATGCTCACCATGGAACCACGAACAGTACAGGATGCATTTATGCAGGCCTTTAACTCACGCCGGTTGAATGAGGACTCTGTTCGTGCACTTGCCTGGGTCATCGAGGAGGTCCTATCCCTGCCTACCTCCAGTGACATCCAGCTGGACATAACCGACGACGCTCAGAAGGTTGTGGCCGATGGATCACTTTTCGAATCTCCATCGAGAGAGATCAGGACTCATGCTTACAAGATAAAACACTTACTTCAAATGAAGACGGTCAAGTTAACATCCTCAGCAGATCCCGACTTCTGTGCCGGTGGCCGTCATGACAACGACTTCGCCGATTACCGTAAAATTGCCATATACCCGACCTCCGACGAGTTCTTGTCGACGACGAAACCCTTTTATCGAAGGGCACAAGAAATCGCAGAAGTGGCAGTTGAAACACGCCTCACAGCCCATTTGGATAACCAGTTCCGATTGCTGCGCGAGGACATGCTTTCCGATATCCGAGATGGATTTCAAATTGCCAGGGGCCAGAAAAAAGGTCGCCAGGCTATTCCTCTGCTACGCGAACTTACCTTGACCCAGATTCGGTATGGAGATGGAAGACGGCTTCGACCTTGCACATTGATCGTTTCATGTGCGTCAGGACTGGGAACCCTTACAAAGCGAAGCCCTCAGGAACGTAAAGAGTTCCTCAAAGAACATCGAAATTACCTTCGTCACCAAGCGTTTGGATGCCTGATGCGACAAGGGGAAATTATCTCGTTCTGCACGTTGGACCGCGATGTTGAACTACTTTCCCGGTCACCTGCCCAGATCACCCTGCGAATAATTGGACAGAATGCACTATCAAAAACACTTCTCTACTTTAAGCTTTTTCGTGACATTGAGTATCTTTTGGTCGATGCATCCGTCTTTGCCTATGAGCCGATTCTGTTGTGTCTTCAGGATAAACTAGAAGTATCTCTGGCCAAGGAGCTTCTAGAATTCAGAAAGGGTGACCCGGTCTCAATGGCTGATGTTGTTTCCCCTTCCGTGATTGAGGACTTCCGACAGACCGGGAACAATAATGGCAACATTCAGAGTAAACTGAAGACCGAAAAAGAAATTCGTCTTGATTCTGCGCAGTTGGAATCCTTCCTTTCTGGATTGTCACAGAGTGTCAGCCTTATACAAGGGCCTCCCGGTGAGTGCCACTCCAGTAGTATTATCTATGAAACGAACTAAATCGACTTATAATATAGGAACCGGGAAGTCATTTGTTGGGGCACTTCTAGCGAAAGCAATCTACACGTACAGCAAAGAGAAGATACTCGTCATGTGTTACACAAATCACGCCCTGGACCAATTTTTGGAGGATCTTCTTGATATCGGAATTGACCAGTCAGAAATCGTGCGTCTTGGATCAAAGTCCACCAACAGGACATCTCAGCTTAATATACACGAACTGAAATCCGACTACAGAAGAAGCCAGAATAGCTGGGGCGTCATAAACAAACTGAATGCCGACGCAGACGAGCTGAAAGCTGCGGTGCCTTCTGCGTTCCAAAAATATCAGGAATTTCGTTTATCTCCTGGCGTCATTGACGAGTTTCTTGAATTCGAGCACCCAGACTTTTATGAAGCTTTTAGACCTCCTGAAGACGGGAATGAAATGACTATGGTGGGAAAGAAAGGAAGGGACGTCACCTGGGGGTATCTGTTTGAGCAGTGGTCATCCGGCAGGGACCACGGATTGCCATCTTTGGATCACCTATGTCAGGCCGCCCGTGATGTATGGGAAATGGTCCCTATAACGCGCCAGTCTCATATTCAAAAATGGACCAAGGCCCTCATCGAGGAACAGGTCACGGTTCTCCAAAGATTGATGTGCCGCCTGGACAATTGCCGAGACCCGCTTGATGATGTTTGGAATGATAGGACGCGCACAATAATTTCTTCCAAGCGGATAATTGGGTGTACGACTACTGCGGCTTCAATGAATACTGCGGCGTTAGGTCTTGCGTCGCCAGGGGTCATTCTCCTGGAAGAGGCTGGCGAGATTCTTGAGCCACATGTTCTTGCAGCGATGGGGCCTCATACCAAGCAACTGATTCTCATCGGCGATCATCAGCAGCTCCGTCCCAAGATCAATAACTATGGACTTTCTGTAGAAAACGGAGCGGGTTATGATCTTAACCGTTCTTTATTTGAACGTCTAGTAGGATCTGGACACCCACACTCTACCTTGGCTATCCAACATCGCATGTGTCCGGAAATTTCCTCACTAGTTCAAGCTCTCACCTACCCAGGTCTGTTGAATGATCCCAAGACACTCAATCGTCCGGGTCCTCGTGGGCTACAGGACCGAGTCATCTTTATCAACCACAATAATCCGGAGAAACGGTTCGAAGACATTGCAGACCGTCGTGATGAAGGTGCCAAAGTGAGCAAGCGAAATATTTTTGAGGCTGAAATGGTTTTGAAGATCGTCAGATATCTTGGTCAACAAGGATACGGGACTGACAAAATAGTTGTCCTCACTCCATACCTGGGCCAACTTCATCTCCTCCGCGACTATCTACGTAAAGATAATGACCCAGTACTGAACGACCTAGACTCACACGACCTTGTGCGTGCAGGGCTTCTATCTCAGGCTAGTGCACGGCATACGAAACGACCCATTCGGCTATCAACGATTGGTAAGGCGCGCGATAACAACCCCATTGCAAGACCCTGCATGCTAAATAGGAGTATAGACAACTACCAAGGAGAAGAGAGTGATATCGTTGTCGCAACACTTACCAGGAGCAACGACGAGGGTGACATCGGGTTTATGGCAGCCCAGCAGCGCTTGAACGTGTTGCTATCGCGTGCTCGGAATATTCTGATCATGATCGGCAATGCTAGAACTTTCACGTCCAGCAGAAAGGGAAAGAACGTTTGGGGACCGTTTATTGATCAGCTTCATGCCAAACACCACTTGTACGACGGGTTGCCAATCAAATGCGAACAGCACCCGCAGCATACAACAGTTATTTATAGGCCGCAAGACTTTGATACCGAGTCTCCTGACGGAGGATGTCGGCTGCCTTGGTATGATTGTGCCCTTGATAAGTCACTAATGATCACATGCTCATAAATGTAAGTAGTGGTGCGAAGCTCAACTGCGGGATACACGACTGCCCATATATGTGCCACCAGTTGTCAGACCATTCCAAGATGAAGTGTTTGAAGATCGTTGAATGGCGTTGCCCACGGAATCATCGCATCACTCGACCATGCTCGCAGCTTCAGAATACATGCCAAATGTGCAATGCAGAAGACAAGGCTAAAGAGCGACGACGGGAGCAAGAAATGGACTTGGAAATCAAACGAGAGCGAATGCAGACCGAGTACTTGCGTCAGCTGACTGAAATCCAGGAGGAAATTGCCCATGAAAGACGTGCTAGGAAAGATAAGTCCGATGCGGAGGAGAAGCAGCGTGTCCTCCAACAGCATAAGGACGAACTTGAGAGACTGAGGAGCAACACCAGTAAAACCCACGTGCCAGCGCCAGACAACGACCGACAGAGTGTCAACGGAGCGGACTGCTCTCATAGTGGACCCTCCGACCATTGTCTTGTGGACCGTCATGTTGATAAAGCTCCAATCAAGTGTGCAGATGAGAGGGAAATGCACGACAACATCCCATCCGCCGCAGCGGATTGGAAACAGCAGAAGGAATTTGAAGGGGCTCAGAGCCCAGAGATAGATGCCTTGATGGAAATGATAGGACTGGAAAGTGTGAAGGAGCAATTCCTTGACATAAAAGCCCAAGTGGACACAGCATCGAGGCAAAACATCGACCTTCAGGGAGAGCGCTTTGGGTCCGTGTTACTAGGTAATCCGGGAACAGGTTCGTGTGCTCTCTTAATTTATATATCATATATTCTTACATGTGGCCCAGGCAAAACGACCGTCGCTGGCTTGTATGCCAAGTTCCTGACCTCAATGGGTGTTATTCCGGGAAGCTTCGTCGTTGAAACGACCGGATCACGACTGGCGAATGACGGAGTAACGGGCTGCGAAAAACAGATAAATAATATCATCAGTAATGGAGGTGGAGTACTCTTCATCGATGAAGCGTACCAGCTATCACAAGGGCACGGATCTGGGTCACAGGTGATAGACTTCCTTGTCGGAGAAGTCGAGAAGCTTTCTGGAAAGTCGTTGTTGTCCTCGCGGGCTATCGAACCCATATGGAGAAGTTCTTCGCGCATAATCCTGGCTTGCCAAGTCGCTTCCCACGTGAGTTTTCCTTTGAGGACTATGACGACGATGAGTTGCGTCGAATTCTCGAACACCGAATTCGAAAGAAGTACAGCGGCAGAATGACGGTGGAGGGGGGAATGGATGGGTTGTACTGTCGCATTGTCGCACGGCGTCTTGGTCGACAGCGCGGAAAGGAAGGGTTTGCAAATGCCCGTGCCGTTGCAAATGCCTGTTCCAGGATATTCGAGCGCCAGGCTCGTCGTCTGAAGAGGGAGAGGAGACGCAAGACGTCTGTTGATGATCTCTACTTGACCAGGGAGGATTTGATCGGTCCCGAACCCTCCAATGCACTCCAGAACTGTTTTGCGTGGCAAAAGCTGCAGTCCATGATTGGGCTTAAAAGTGTGAAAGAGGACGTACAGGCATTGTTAGACAGCATCCAATCCAATTACAACCGGGAGCTGAGCGAACAGCCTTTGGTGGAGTTTACGTTGAACCGAGTGCTTCTGGGGTCGCCAGGGACGGGAAAAACTACCGTTGCAAAGCTCTATGGACAGATACTTGTGGACATTGGATACTTGTCCAATGGGCAAGGTCAGTTGTGATGCGTTTGCTCATTGCAGGTGATGAATCTAACGGGCTCTCCTTCTAGTCATCGTGAAAAATCCGTCAGATTTCGTTGGCAGTGTCTTGGGTGAGTCGGAAAGGAACACCAAAGGAATATTAGCATCAACTATTGGCAAAGTGTTGGTGATCGACGAAGCATACGGTCTCTATGGGGGTCACGTAACCGATATCTTCAAGACCGCTGTCATTGACACAATCGTCGCAGAGGTCCAAAGTACACCCGGCGACGACCGTTGCGTCTTGCTTCTTGGATACCAGGACCAGATGACCACCATGTTCCAGAAAGTTAACCCAGGGTTGTCCCGACGGTTCCCTCTGGACGCTGCCTTTGTGTTCGAAGATTTTACTGACCACGAACTTGGCCTAATCCTGGACTTGACGTTGAAACAACAGGGCTTTGAGACTACACCAACAGGCAGGAAGGTGGCCCTAGAGGTTCTGGCGCGCGCACGCAACCACCCACACTTTGGTAATGCTGGTGAAATCGATATCTTGCTTAATACTGCGAAAATAAACCATCAACGGCGGCTGGCTACGGTGTCTGAGCCAGCTAATAGCTCCCGCCTGGAATCCGAAGACTTTGACAAAGATTTCGATCGTGCCGATCGCTCTGAGACTGATATACCGAAGTTGTTCTCGGGGGTCGTGGGCTGTGAGAAGATTGTCCAGCAATTGGAAGGATATCGACAGACCGTCAAAAACATGCGAGAGTTGGAAATGGAACCGCGAGATCAAGTGCCATTCAATTTCCTGTTTAAAGGCCCACCCGGTATGACACTAAGGTATCAAAGAAGACATCAGTCAAGTTGCTGACTATTATCTGCAGGGACCGGTAAGACATCGACGGCGAGAAGAATGGGTGAAGTGTACTACAACATGGGTCTTCTCAGTTCTGCAGAAGTCATTGAAAGCTCCGCAACGGACCTCATAGGCCAATACATTGGCCACACGGGTCCCAAAACCCAGTCCTTGCTCGAGAAAGCACTAGGCAAAGTACTGCTCATCGACGAAGCATACAGACTCGCCGAGGGGCACTTCGCGAAAGAGGCCATGGACGAAATCGTGGACTGCATCACGAAACCGAAGTTTTTCCGAAAGCTCATCATTATCCTCGCAGGTTACGATACAGACATCAACCGACTAATGGCCATCAACCCGGGACTAACAAGCCGCTTCCCCGAGTCTGTTGAATTCAACGGACTCAGCCCGGACAGCTGCATGCAGTTATTGACCAATCTCCTCCAAACGCGGAAGAACGCACTAGCATCCAAGCTCACAGAATTCGACATGACCTCGATCGAGTCTCCAAGTAGCTCCTTCCAAGGACTATGCAAGAACCGCTTTGCCCGACTCTCCAAAATCTCGAACTGGGCCAACGCAAGAGACGTACAGACCCTAGCCAACCGGATATTCCAAAAGGCCGTCCAGAATATCCAAGGTCGGAAGCTCCTCATAGAGGAAGCCCTTGTCATTACGGAGATGGACCATATGATTCAAGAACGAACCAACCGGGAAAGCGCGCAGTCTGTTTGCAGAGACCCACTTGCCTATTTACAGACCCAAGCGATGTCTACCGATCTGACCGGTCCTCCGACAAACACAACCACTACTACTGCTACTACTAGTAGTACTACCCCCAAGACACCAATCGATTCAAAAACCCCACCCCAATCACCCCAACCAAGCCAAGACCCCAATACCCGAGACCCAGGCGTCCCGGACGCCATATGGACCCAACTCCAAAAGGACAAGCTCGCCTCCGAAGCCCGCGAGAAGGAACACCAGAAACTCATCTCAGACCAAACCCATCTTCAGAACCTCCTAGACGCACTCAAGAAACAACAACAACAACTACCCCCGCTTACCCAAACCGGCAACGACGACAATGATGGTAATGATGAAGGCGAGGCCAAAAAGCGCCACGAGCAAGCGCGCCTTCAACACGAACTCGAGCGCAGAGCCAGAGAAGATGAACTAGAAACACTGCGCAAAAAACGCGAGGCTGCGGAGCAGGAACGTAAGAAAGAACAGCAAGCTCAGAAAAGGCTCCGGCAGATGGGGGTCTGTTGTATGGGGTTTCGGTGGATACGGCAGGCAAGTGGGTATCGGTGTGCGGGGGGGGTCGCATTTTGTGGGGAATGAGCAGTTGGGTGTGTAGATTGATTCATCGTGTTATGTTGTGTTGTGTTGGAGTAGGTGATGGGAGTGTTTGGTCTGTGGGTTGGTTGATGAAGGAGGGAGATTGATTAATATTCTGGTAATCTAGAATGTCATATTCATGTTTTAGATACTGGTCACAATCAACAAGAAGCATACATGCATTTACATGCTTGTGATTCATCACGGTAGAGCGTGAGAACCTTTGATATGTATCTCTTCGGTCGATCTAGACTACTAGCTAACCTCCAAAAAAAGTCCCTTCGTCAGTATATCTACCGAGGCAATAGATTGTTTCATGATTATTCACATTCAATTCTTGACATTTTGCAATCGCACCTCTTCTAATATTTGCCTCGCATCTTGTCGACGTGTCCTTTCTTGCTCCCTCTTGATGACCTCTTGATGCTGAGGACTGCGGACAGTAAACATAATCGTGCTTGCTGCCGGTTCAGATGCAGCCTGTGTCTTCCGATCAATGTTATATGCCCATAAAATCCGAGAAATCACGATGAAGAAGCTCGCTTTGGCGAGATGGTATCCCGGACATGCTCTCCGACCAAACCCGAACCCGGATAGATGGCGTTCAGGGTTTTCTAAATATCTCTCTGGATTGAAGATCTCAGGCGAATCGAACACTGCTTCATCCATGTTGATTCCCCACTGGTTGGCGATGACGGTGGCGTCTCGAGGGATGTGGAAGCCCATGTACTCATCGTCTTGAATCACGGCGTGAGGAACGCCTATGGGGGAGATTGGGCGCCAGCGCACTAGTTCCGAGATGAAGGCCGAGATGTACGGAAGGCGGTCCATGTCGTCGAATGCTGGGAGCCTTTCCGTGCCGATTACTGAGTCAAGCTCATCCTGGGCCTTGCGGACCACATCTGCGTGGTCGGTGCAGGTTGTTACGAAGGTCTCCAGGACCATTTTTGTGGTGTAGATGCCGGCGACATATAGCTCTCCCAAAGAGTAGCATACGTCTTCCCAGGGCAAGTCCTTGGATTCCGGTCGGTCGTGTATTTCCCGGATCCAATTCCAGCAGTCACCCTGTAGCGCGGCATTGCCGCACTCGACGTACACCTGCCGTGTCAGGTCGTGTAGTTGCTCTGCCTGTTGACGCCATTTCATAAACACCATCGGTAGCTTATCTAGCAGCGGGAAGAGATAAAGTACGATCGTGCGGAATGAGGCCTTTTGGAGGATGAATGTGGCCATGTCGTTGATCTGTTGTAGTCTATGGTGGTCTGCATCATCGATATTCCCCCCTTTGCCATAGACAAGTTTCAGCATCACGCTTGACGTATATCGGTAGAAAAGCTGCGGAAAGTCGTTGGTGGAGAGAAGTTCGTGGAGCAACTCTGTGCTTCCGATGTCCTGGAGTCGGCGGTAGGCATACGACTCCCGTACATTCAGCAGGGTCGAGTATAATCGGCGATGCAACCGCCATGTGGACCCGTATGGCATGAATGCTGGATTGAGGCCCTTGTTCAAGTACCGGTCCATGAAGATCGACGATGGTCGGGAACTGTAGATGTTGCCCCGTCTCTCTAGGAGGTCATGTGCTGCTTGTCGCGTGCCCAGGATAATAATGGTCCGGGTCCCTATTTTAACGCTCACCACCGGTCCGTAAGCTTTACACCATGAGTGGAACGTTTTGGCGATGTCGTTCTCTGGCCATGATGCGGATAGTAGGGTCGGGCCGGGCGGCAGAGGGAGTCTCGACGGGGGAGGTAGGAGCGCCCACCAGATGAGAGAGATTGTTATGAGAGAGAAGCCTATAATGTAAAGCATGATGTAAAAGCATGATGAGTCTCTACACGGTCATTTGGGGAATTGAGAGTCCGAGGGCTCTGGCGTTCGTGAGTATGCTGGAGGTACCCCCTAGAGGATCCAGCGTTTCAGAATGCACGAGCACATAGAAAGTTAAAGTTTGTCTGGATTCTGGAAGACATTTGTTTGCAGGCCACTGCGAACTGGACGGGGTCAAGGGCGGAAGAAGCAAGGGTTGAGAATGGGCCTGCTTGACATGCACTGCATGTCTAGGTGTCGATGAAGTCAAATTTGAGAGAGATTCTCCAAGTATCTAGCTCAATTAGCGTCAGTTTACGTTACAAATATCTCCTCTTTCCTGTGATTATGTAGCACAGGTGTGCTGTGGGATGCCATCATAGAAGTAGAACAAGGTCATAGACCAAAACACAGGGAGTACTCCTATCGCGTAACGACGAGTCATAGTATTTTGGGCTCAAAAGTGTAACTTGGCTCTTCTTCGTCAAGATCAGCATAGACTGGAGCCAAACAGGTTCTATCAACGTCATAGAATCGATGGTTCTCCGTCGATTCGCAATGGGGAGCTCGTTGTGGAGTCCGGAATAGATCCAGGGCGGTGGGTCACCGCCCACCCCAACTGCCGATGATTTCCACTCCGATCCTCACCGCATCCCAGATCTACAGCTGTACAGAACCACGCTTCTCCGCTTTCAATTCCACCAACTCCAAGTCCTCTAGCTCAGCATGCCTCCCAAAGCGCCAAAGGGCGAATATATCGAAACAGTACGTTCCACTCCCACCTCCTCTCCCACTCCAAATCTCCAATCTCTCACTGAACCGCATTAACACCCGCCGCAGGACACAGGCAACAAAATCTCCCGCCGGTCGTTAATCCACGGAACCCAACACATCATTCTCGGCGGCAAGACCGTCATCCAAGCCGATGCCGTGATCCGCGGCGACCTCTACCGTTCCTCCTCCTCCGCCTCCTCGACAGACCCCCAACAAGCGGCCGCCGCAACCCCAAACAGCCCCTCCGTGGCCATCACCGTCGGCCGATACAGTTACATCTCGCGACAGGCGATTCTGCGACCCCCGTCGCGGTTACATCGGGGAGTCTACTCGTTCTATCCGCTCAAAATCGGAGATCATGTGTTTGTAGGCGAGCGGGCGGTGGTGGAGGCCGCGACGGTGGGGAATCATGTGCATATCGGGAAGGATGCGGTGGTGGGGAGTATGGCCATCTTGAAGGACTTTGCGTATGTGTTGGATGGGGCGGTGGTTGCGCCGGGGATGGTGGTTCCAAGTTGGTGTGTGGTGGGCGGAGCGCCGGCGAGGATTGTGGGTGAGGTTGGGGAAGGGTATGGGGTTGAGGGAGCCGAGGGGGGCATGGCTAGGGAGAGGTATAGGTTGGTTGGGAGATAGGGGTTCCGGGTTGGGTTTGATGATTGATGATCATGTTCATGCTTCTGTTGTTTTTGGTACTGTATGTGTCTTATTCTCAGTATACCCCAGGTTTAGTTTATGTCTCATTTAGGGATCGTGCGTGCAGTATCTATCCAAAGAAATCCAGATACACAATTCATAACGATGCTTCTGCGAGGCTCAATGATTGGCCTGCTTACAGTGAGATTCGCCTCAGCCGGCTCTCCTTGTTGGAATACTCCTGGCCGGCTTCCGTGCGCGCCATGTCATTAATCCATTGTTTGTTCGGCTTGACCTCTTCTTTCTTGGAGAGCTTCGATGCGAGATACAACCAGTTTAGGGCATTGCCAACCGTGCTGACCTCGTCACATACGTTCTCGAGGGCGAATTTCTTGGTGCGCTGATACAGATCCTCGTCGGTGCATAGATCGAACAAATGTTGCGCCACCGCATCCGTGTCTCCAACCTCCACCAGGAAACCGTTTTTCTTATCTGCCACCTGCAGTGGAATGCCACCGGCCTTGGTTGCAATGACCGGAGTTCCCTTATGGATGGCCTCGGACACCTTGACTTCGAACCCTTCCCGCGTGGAGAGCTGCAAAGCGACCTTTGCCTTGGAAAGAAGCGCATTGAGAACCTGGTCTGAAGGTCCAAGCCGGACAACGCAAATTTTGTCAGCTATGTCTGAAAGGTCTTCCTCGACATAGCTGAGCACTGAGTCGTAGATCACAGCACCGTCCGGGTCGTCAACAGAGCCATGCCCGCAGATCAGCAGCTTTGGCGGTGTTCTGTCAGGTAAGGCGGCCGTGAATCGGCGATAGAACTTGTTGTACGACTCTACGACGTCCATTATGCCCTTTGAGGGGTCAAACCGGGCGATTTGGACAATGTACTCGTCTATCAAGTTGTTAGCAACAAATACTTAACTAGTCTTTGGCATAAGCTTGGAACAAGAACGCTCTAACCTTGTGGGTAGTTAATGGTCATCGTCCCCGAGTTCCTACAAACGGAGTTGAAGACACGGCCGTAGAAGGCAACATCCCATTCGCGCATGTTCTTGTTTAGGCCATCCAGCCTAGCTTTAATGTCAGCTAGGATGCGATGGGGTAGGCTGTAATACTAACCAGTCCGTTGAAGCAGGCATATAGCCCACCTTTTCGGAAGGGACACTGTTCGGCACGAATATGCTCACTGGGTGACTGATGAATAGATCTGCTTGTTGCACCTGTTTCCAGATCCACGACCATGCTTCTTCCTGTGGGGAACCCGGCTGATCTATCAAATCACTGCGGATCTGGATATGGCTTCGGAAAATAACGGGTCTGTCTGGTGCCAAGTGCTTCGCGATGGAAATCAGTGCAGGCATCTGTGGATCATCAATGATAATGACATCGGCGCCACCCTCGGAAGGCGGCCGCAGAGGACCACCAGGGGAGAGCCAGTATCGCTTCGCATTTTCATTGATCCAATCGATGACCTTCTCCCAGTCCTCGTTGCTCAAGCGCTCACCCGGGGGGGCAACGCCTTGAAGGATATTGTGATTGTTCTTCGTTATGCGAAAAACGCCGGGTCGTGGCTTCGGGACGTACCTGATTCATGACAGCTATCAGATAATTGATACCTTTCAAGATATATGTGAAGCACCTACCACTTGATATCAGTTCCCAGGGAGTAGGAGAACCTTGCAAGAGCGTGTCTCATCAGGGCTACGCCTCCACCTTGAGGGGTGGCACTGAAGAAGGCAATCTTAGTGCCTCTTTTCTTGAGGTCATCGGCATAATATTGAACCGAATCCCACGTTTTCTGGGTGACAGTTTTCCGAAAGTCCTCCAGGTTTGTAAGGCGCACATGGAAGGCAGTGTCAACCTCCACTAATCCCAGGAACCCGACTTGCAGCAAGGGGATGTTTTCTGGACCAAACAGCCTGAACTGCCCTTAGCACCCACGACATGGTTCAGACTGGGGAAGCATACCTGACACATTTACGCCCCATGGACTCTGCCTGTTCGTCGATACTTTTGAGTTCCCAGCCTGTTGACTTCCGGACGGGGTGGTCGACGTAGTGATCGACTCCGATGTTACTCTCCTCGGGCAGAACCAAGGGAATCACATCCAGCTCCGACCAAAGACGTGAACAGAGGCTAGGGCATTTCCGAGCCACTGAAGTTGGCATTGCCAGCCCGATGAACTTCTCAAGATGATCGTCGCTGTAGTCTCGCAACTGGTTGAGCACATAGTCGGTAATCTCCGCACAGATTGTCCGGCCTCCTTGTGCGACAAGGTCCTCCTGGTGGAAGTCGAGAAGATAGGTCGTATCGCGGATTGCCAGGGCGACGGTCACCCCATCTTCATCGAACAAGGCTGAAAGGCCAGCATAGATAGTCTGAAAGAGAAGACGTTAGCCAGAGACATCAAGGGACGGATGGAAACAAGGAGCAAGCTTGCCTTTGACGGAGGTGCCTCCCAGGAGTTCTTGTCAAACTGATGAGAGACCTGCAGCTGATGGAAGGAGGAGCGGCGCTGGAACGGCTGGGGAGCGTCTCCTGCCATGTTGCTGGCGATGACCGAGGATTGGAGACGGGATACGGCGTCCAGGACAGTTTGATATACTGATCAACGGCAGCCAGCGGGGATGGGGAAATGTTGTCCGTAAAAGTCCGGATGAGAAACACCCAGGATCGTTCCGATCCAGTGTTTGTAAGACCATGGGTGGTGGTGGGATGACTTCACTGGTGTGCTACCTACCATGACGTATTGCATACACCATACGACACCTCTGGCGGCTTTCATCGTGTCTGATGGAGAGTAATTGGCCATTGGGAGTTGGGAGTGGGCCAGAATGCGCGGGTGGCTTGTCAGTCCCTTTGTCTCCCTTGTCGAAACAAGGTACCGCGAGGTACTTCAGATATTCATCACCACGCCTGATGGATGCAGCAGGGTATGCCTGGATGGTGTTTATCGACGGGAGCGGGGACTTCCGATAGGTACTACTACTACTATCTACGGAGGGCTAGACAGATAGCGACCGCGCTAGTCTGCAGAATCCAATTCTTGGCTGTGGCACCATACTTGAAGGAATGGATTGCACAGGGGAACTGGCCAAGCCTATGCGTCGAACAAAGGTTCATCACTCGATAGGGCTACTAGTCCCCCACGGTGAAGATCTCCGGGGCATACTCTTCGGCAAGATGGTTTATCTTTATCCGGTGAAGACTGGGTCCTGGGCCTGAGACTGGGTCCAATCTGGAGTACATGGAGTCCATGGACTCGCTAGGAAGGGTGCCTGAGGAAGCGGGCGGCGCTGAAACCGCCGAATGCTTGGCGCGGGGCGCTTAGTCATGGACAGCCCCTTTTACGGAGTCCGAAGCGGTGCTCGAGCAGCAAAAGGCGAGCGAGCGAGAGGCAGAGGCGCTCCTCGTGTGGATCGTGAACCCTGAAATTCTTATTGCTGCTCCTCGATCAATCACTGTCCAAATTGACTTTCGCCCCTGTTGGAACGACAGATTCTCTCCTTTGCTTCAACGTGCGTCGTTATCGCCCCTGCTTTACATAAGGTGAGTCCCATATGTCTTGTTTACCTTGCGTCCGCGAGCGCATGGTCCATTATGGAGACGTCGCCCTGTTGACGCGGACCGCTAGCACGGGGTAGTTAGTTGACCTTACGTTTAGATTTCGCTGTCCTCTTCCTCCCACACGCCCCCCTACTCGACCAATCGGTCCACCAACTAGAACCCGACTTCTCACAGCAATCGCAATTCATCGGAGACGCTTTTTGGCGCTCGTTGAATCACCACAAGTTCTGTCCCTCCTTTATATCGTGAACCGTCGGCGACCGTCAGGAGTCGCCTGCCGCTTGTCATAATGGGTGGTCAAGTGTCCAAGATAATGGGGAAGATTTTCGGCACCAAGGAGATGCGGATTCTGATGTTGGGTTTGGATGCTGCTGGAAAGACCAGTGAGTTTGTCCTTCCCCTCTGTGTGGTCCTGGTACAAAGGCCGTGAGAGAACTAACATGCTGTGTTAGCAATCCTCTACAAATTGAAGCTCACAAATCAGGACGTCACCACTATCCCTACCGTCGGATTCAACGTCGAAAGTGTGACTTATAAGAACGTCAAGTTCAATGTCTGGGACGTCGGTGGCCAGGACAAGATCAGACCCCTCTGGAGACACTACTATTCTGGTACAGTTTCTCTTTTCGCAAGTATACGGCCATGCGTGGGGCAATTGGCTGACGCTGCGTGACCCCTCCAGGTACCCAAGGATTGATCTTTGTCGTGGATTCCAGCGATACAGCTCGCCTGGAAGAGGCTCGCTCTGAGCTTCATAAGATTATCAACGATCGCGAAATGAAAGATGCGCTCTTGCTTGTGTTTGCAAACAAGCAGGATGTTCAAGGCCGTATGTGTCCGCATTGACATGGTTGAGGACAGCCTGGCGACTGACCACATTTTCACTGCAGACATGAGTCCCGAGGAGGTTACCCAAGCACTACAACTCACCAAGTTGAAGGATAAGCTGTGGTACGTTGCTCCAAGTGTCGCAACGGAGGGTACTGGTATCTTTGAGGGCCTGGTAAGTTTCGTGCCCCCTGATGTCGATGCCCCAACACCTAACAATTGAATGTCGCAGGCGTGGCTCTCCAACAACGTCAAGACGCAACCCGCGAAATAAAAGCAACAGCCGCCGGACGACACCTGAGCCGCGAATTGAAGGCCCTCGGCACGGCCACTCGTGTACAACAGTTTCCTTTGTACCCACTGAACCATCAGACACCTCTCGTTTCACGTTCGATTTGATGACAGAAGACGCAGCATTTGGATCCTGTGTTTGCAATTCCTTTCACGCGCATGCCGTTCCGCTTTTTTCCTTTATCTCCTTATTTCATGATATCCCCACTGTTCCGATGCGGGTCATTTCGAATACCCTCTCTTAATAATACATCCCTTTCCTTTCTCTGTTGTCTCCTTTCTCTGCTTCCATTCGTCACCTCCTCCTCGTGTGTAGAAACATTCAAAATAGAAGGAACTTGGACCAGCACATACCTGCATACATATACTGCTTTTAATCACTCCCTTTTCTCTCCATTTCATTTTCCGGGTCGGTTGTTGATACTCCTAGATAGTACTACTAAAAAAATTGCACGACGATACTAATAGAAAGAAACATGTGTGTTCAACGCGTCATTGACGTGCTCATGACCCACGCACCTTCTGTACCACGAACTCAACCCCTCCTTAAGCTTCGAAACTCACTGTCACAACATGGGACGGAAGGATCGTCCCACCACTCACCTCCACAGCCCCGTCGGATATATCATGAACCGCAATTCTACCTCTCAGAGCTATATACAATAAGCTCTAAGCACATGCCTCCGCCACTCCCTCTTTCCCATGGATTCCACCTCCTCGTCTAATAGCATCAATCTGACACCATTGGCACTAGAGAAACTGTAACTGGGAAGCATAAATAGATGGCTTAGTAGATATCAGTAGGCCAAATCTCTCTTCCCTTGTCTTGATACCCAAGTCACCTAAATCTTCTATGTAATACTCCACTATACACTGCAAATCACCCCCAACCAAACAAACAACCACCCAAACCCTCGCAAAAATGCCCGACTACGCAACAGGCGACACAGTCCGCTACAAGCCCATCGGCGGTGCGTTCCCCCATCCCCTTCTCCTCCCCACCCCCCCTCATCCTCCCTGTACATACAAATCCACCAATCCATCATCACTTGAAACCAACAATCTCACACCACCCAGGCCCCGACTCCAAAACCGCCGAAGCAATCGGAACCATCCGCGAAGTCCGCACGCAACCGGGTACAATGACGGGGCGGAACGTGGAAGCATCGGATGAGATGCCGCGGTATGAGGTGCGTACATTCTGATGCTATATATCATATAGATTGGATAGGGGGTATTTGGATGAGGGATGGGTGTTGATGTGGAGGTAGATCGAGAATGCTCATACGCATAAACGGTCGGCGATTAAGGAGAGTAGTATTCTTGGTCCGGCGGAGTGATTAGGGGGAAGGGCATGGTTGTGTTGATGGGTATGGGGGTTGGAGGGGAGGGGGTGTACGTTGGTTGGGAATGGATTGGTTATGTGTGTGTTGGGTGTTTATTGTTCTGTCTATGGAGGAATCTATAACGTTTTTTGGTATGGGTGATCTGCCTTCAGTGGCTGATCGGGTGGGACTTTGTGGTTGATGTCCAAGGTGTAGGACTCCAAGGTACTCGTTAGGATGAACTATATAATGACCTCGGCACCCATGGTCTATGATTTTCAATTATATAACTTGAAATTTCTATCATTATACATCCGACCCATATGTTAAATAACTGGTATTCTAATCGCAAAATTCGTCACATTCGTTCATCCTCCCACGCGTTGTTGAATCGGCAGGGTTAAGGTCGCGGCCATCACGACGGGTATCTTACAACTGGCCCGGCCAGATATCGTTGGCGATCTCACGCACAAGCTTCAGCTTGGCAATCATGCCATCGCGGTCAATGGCATTGCCCTCTCTGTGACTGGCAAAGCCACACTGGGGGCTGACACCGACCTGGTTAAGGGCTTGCTCGAGAGAGATGTTGTTACCCTCGGCGATGAACTTGGCAGCGTCGTAGACACGCTTCTTCATCTCCTCCTTGTCCTCGAGCTTGGCGAACTTGCTGGTCACAACGCCCAGAATCACATTCTTGTTCGTGGGGAGCTCCTTGAGGGGCTCGAACCCACCAGCACGAGGGGTATCATACTCAAGGTAGTAGGTGTCGACGTTAAGCTCCTTGAAGAGCTTGGTGGCGATACGATCATAACCACCCTCGGAGAAGTGACGGCTACCGACAAAGTTACCACGGCAAAGGTGCACACCAACGTGCATATCGGCAGGGCGCTTGGAGATGCTGTCGTTGTACAGCTTGATGTACTGCTCGAAGGTCTCATCGGCGGAGCGCACGTTCAGAGGATCCTCCTTCCAGCCAGCAAGCATCTTTTCGGAGCAGAAGTCTGTCGATTGCAGTCAGACTACATGGACTTGTAGGAATGATTACCTGTGAACTGGCAGACTTACAAGCAAGGTTGGGGTCATCAAACTGGACGTTCCTGCAGCCAACGTCATACAGCTCCTGCAACTCGGCCTGGACTGCCTTGGCAATGTCACCAAAGTACTCCTCGTCGGAGCTGTACACGTCCTTCGGGTAGGCGTTGCCCTCCTTGTACCGCAAGTGGTACCAGTTAGGAGCAGCAAGGGTGATCTTAAGGTTCTTGACCTCTTCTGGGGGAACAACGCTGGCCAAGTATTTGAACTCGTTGACATAGGTACTGCCAACGTGCTTGATCTTGCCGGTGCAGATGACGGTCTCACCAGGCTTGTGGCCTGCCTCGAGGAAAGCCGCAATATCGGGGGCGTAGGGGCGGAAGACATCGGCGTCGACCTCGCGCACCTCTTTGAACCCCTCAAGTCCGGGGAAGAAGGTACCCCAGAACACTGTTGCAGACGACAAGGTCAGCACTGAATAGCTAGTATCATGCGTGAGGGCTCAGCTTACTGTGTCGGCGGTACTCTCCATCCGAGATAGCGGCATAGCCCAGCTTCTTCTGGGTCTCTGCAACCTCCTTCACATCCTTGTTCTCGATAGCAAGGAGATCGGACTCGGAAACTTCGCCCTTCTCGAAGCCAGTCTTGGCCTTCAGGAGCTCCTCCGTCCGGAGGAGAGAGCCCAGGTGCTCAGCACGGAAAGGGGGGTTACGGTGGAGTTGAGGGGCCATGACGACAGAATATGCTTTAGGTCCTATACAGGAATGCGATTGAGAGTTAGGTTGCATTCGATTTCTCGTCTGTTGCATGAAAAGACGTACCTAATTCGGAGGCTGGGTAGAGGAAGATGACAAGGAGAGACTCGGGTTTGTTAAGAAGAAGGGAGAGATGGGGGCAAGCGACTCCCTCGGTTCTCAACAAGCGAAATGCCCGGATCTTGTCCATCCTGCTCTCCGGTCTGTCTTTGCCCCACCGCTCTCCAAGTCTCTCCACATCCTGGGACCGATTTCGCAGACCCGAACATTGGCTACTAGGTCCTTGAACATCAGGCCTAGTGGTCTTGTGTGTTACATGATCCGTCAAGGCTACCCGTCCCCATTGATGCGGCCATCACTTGAAAGGCCAGTGACCCTTGTACAGTATAAATCAACCCTCAACGAACAATAATGAGCCATGGGCGCATGCAGGAAGGCGGAAGCATTGATCGGCAAGAAAGTTGCCGGTGGGGCGGCCTGTTTGAACGTTGGATGTATAAGTCCTGACTCATCCTCCAATCCGCTTTGGGGTTTAGGGATTTGGTGGCACAGAGCAAGCGTACTGTGTAAAGTCTAGCAGGGAACTAGTAGTTGATCTACCCAACAATGGTTTTCTTATCTACTCGGTAGTGAGTAACAGATGGCTGGCGATGTGGCTGCTGCTAGCCTGCTGCTGCTGTCAAATTCCTAATCAAGGCCAATGCAGAAGTAGTTGCGGGGGGAGACTAAGGCAGCTCCACATCTTCCAGGCCTGGATCTATACCTTCGAGTCCTGTCAAAAAGTGACCTGAGTCGGGGCATACATACACGAGCACCTGATGGCATCTCATGCGATCGAAACGTGAGGTATTGACTGCCAGTCTCCCATCACCTAGGCAATAATTGCTATCGCATTTTGGCTTGTCAGACCATCCAGTCACAGTTTCCCCTCTTTATGGATCCCTGGTCTCCCCAGTCGTTGTCACGTGAGTCAAGGTGGGGGGGCCCCGGCACTTGACAACGAAACCTCTTCCCGAAGGTCACCACGCCATCACAGTTCACACCCCCTGGTACGGAGAACGGAGTAAGTACATCGCTAGAGATTGGCATTGAGGCTTCAATCAATTGGCTTATCATGCATATTATGACTTTTGCGGTCTCCGCAATATGGAAAATTGGAACACAATCTCGCTCCTAGCCCACTTGAACAATGTCCTTGAACACCCTCCCGGCTGAGCTTCTGGATCAGATCATCTCCGATCTCTCGTCTTTACCTCCTTCTCTGGCCAAGGTCCACCGAACCCCTTGTACGCGTCTCACCGCGTCCAGAAGTAGGGATCTAAAGAGTCTCTCGCGCACCTCTTGGCGACTTCTGGAGCTAGTGAGGCCGCAGCTCTTTGCTCACGCATGCTTCAATATCAAGGATGTTGCGGGTTTTCTCTCGTTCATCTCAAGGTTAAACCTTGGTCGCTATGTAATGTCCATCGTGGCTAAGGGGATGGATTCCGCCGATAATCGAGAGGATCCTTTCTGGTGGCGCCAGGTCCTCAATTGTCTCGATCCGCTGCGGATCACTGTGATTGCACCCCCTCCGTTCCTGGCTGCGATGCTGGAGACGCCGATTCTGGAAGAACACAGTTGGGCATTCGAGGTGCCCTTCCAGATTCTACAGTTAGAACAGGCATCGCGCGTCTGTGATCCTCCTTTAGCCTTAACCAAGCAATCGGCCGGTCTGCTGGACGCTCGGGCATGGTCCTCCTTGGACTTCAACGAGTCCTCCTCACTCAAAGCGTACCATCACTATGAGTATTTCCTTTTTCAGATCCCCTCCCTGTTCACTATGTGGGGGACCGTGGCTGCCAGGCGGACATTCTCAGATACTATACCTTTTCTCCGCTCGTTTATGTCTTTGACGTCGCTCAGATATACGGCAGTATTTCCAACCTATAATCATGTCCAGCAAGTATTGGATGCCCTTGAAATGATGACGAACTTAAGGTCATTCAGCATTCAGCTTGCCCCTTCTCCAACTGATAAGACCACGGAGCTGGAGCAAAGAGGCTCTATGGACCCCAGCGATCCGTGGATGGAGATCACTACAGGTTATTCACTTGTTGCGCACGCTGTCAAAGACCTGGGGGACAGAGCCAGTCTCGTCGAGTTCCATACGTCTGATTATGACTCGGAAGCTCTGCGCTCAGAATTGTCCCCTGTCCTAGGCGATGTATTGAACAACAGTGGATGGGTCCATGATGGACACTGCGCCTGGACCAAGACATTGACAAGTGAAGATGCTCAAAGGGCTATCTCACGACGAACAATGTACGATTATCTCTAGTAAGCTTCTATACTATTGTCACGAGTGTGACTAAAGTGGAAGCCTAAATGTCTGTAGACAGCATGTACATAATTTCCTCTTCAGTGCTATTCCGAGATCTCGTTCACCAGAACTTTGTTCGCCCAAATTATTCCAAAACTCTCAGGCTTGGGGCGACTGTCATTACACTAGTAAAGACATCAAATGACATCATAGTCACGTGATAATATCAGACCATCAATAAGAACTTTGCCAATTCTTGCCTTGGATTGTCTTACTTCCAAAATCGTAGATGAATACGATAGATAACTTTTCGTTAACCTCAGAACAGTTTTCAAAACCTTTACATGATGAAAACGGTTAGAAACGGCGGGTTGGGTTGTCAACCGGCCTCTGCCGTTCATGTCACATTGACTTCTCCACACTTTGTATACATTCCACCACAACCAGACTTTGATCCAGGATAACTTATCCGGTCATAATGTACACCAACTTAACTGAACCTTGACTGACTATAGTGAGCAAGTCACTGGGCGAACTTTCCATTTATCTTTGATTGACGTTACAAGCAGGTGCAGGTGGAACAGACACGCTCCCGAGCCACGCGTTTTCTTGACTTCAGGATCTATGCAGTGCACCGCAACATGCCTCTTCCTCCTTATACAGAAGTAGCTGAGCCTGCTGTTCCAATCCTAGCTCACACCTTGCTATCTCATGGTCCTTCAGCAGCCGAGAGTCCAGGACTTGAACAAAATCAGTCACACACTGTGACGCGAGACTGGAACCTCTTAGATGATGTGAGAAATGGCCTCCAGGATAATCCAGCGGGGGTATTCAGAAGCGGTACTGTGATTGGGTTCTCTCGGCTCAGAGACATACAAAAGGAGGACTGCGAGGACGACGAGTACATCGGCCAGGTAAGCAGCTGCTTTCTCCGCTTCTCTCACCACCGTCGTGCGGCGTAGCATCCACGAGTCCCGGATACGCCCAGATGTCAAACCAAACACAATTAGCAGCAGACCCTACCCCATCCCCCCCTTCTCCCTCAAACATCATCCCTCACACCAGTACAATACTAACCAAGCACCCCAGCTCCCCCGACACCTCCTCACCACCCATCTCCGCCACTGCCACTCAACAAACACCCCCACCAAAACATACATAATCCACCCGATCACCTTCAACGCCTTTGCCCCAAAACGCCTCCTCGCATCTCTACTCAACGCCTCCCACCACCCCACCCTCTCCCGAGACGAGGCAATCTCACAACTCGACTCCGTCGAAATCTTCCCCGTCTACGACTTCCAAGCCGCCGCAGGCGCAATCAACCTGATCTCCGACTCCATAGGCCCCACCCCATCCCCATCCCCATCATCACCATCACATCCAACCCTCATCATCATCGCAGGCCTCGACACCCTCGCCGAGGGCGTCATCCGGGCGTCCAACGCCGTCAGAGGAGCAGCAATGCTCACATCCGTATTACGGACCTTGACACAGCTGACTCGAATGCACCTTTCAAGATTCTCAGTCATGTTAGTGAATACTAGTGGTTTGGGAACTCTGACGGCCCAGTCTACTACACCCGGAAGGTATACCGGGTCGCTGGCGCAGATTGCGCAAGGCGATGGGATTTATTCTGCGTTTCGGGGACATGGGGGTGATGTATCGTTGTTTCCGAGTCTGTTGATGAGAACGTTGGATCAGGGGGTTGATACCCATCTTTTGATATCGAGTGTGGGACGGGTTTCGGTCGTGGAGGTGATTAAGAATCGGGTGGGTGGGCATGTTGGGAGGTGGTGTGTTTTGGAAGGGATGCGGTGAATACTGGGGTTACTTTATGGGGTGTGGTGATTGATCTCAGTATACTCAGTCCGGTATTCGCAGATTAAATCTTGAATTCTACTAAAACATCGAGAATTGAATGCAAACACAAACCCTCTCAAGTTGAAGACACCCGTCTATCATGCAATCATGCACCCACCCCATTCCAACTTTTTGCAGACACCAAAAACCGCCGCCATATCGGCTAACTAACTCCAGTTCAGAATCCTGCTTTTTCCGGATAAATAACAATTGGGTATCAACCAAGTCAAGCTCAAGTCAATTGTTCACAGGGCGTAAAGAAATCACAAGTAGGCATGGGGATATGTATGTATGTATGTATGGGTGGGGCCAAAGGTTGAAAAAAAAAGACTGTTTGCGCGGGTTGAGACTTTCCTTCATCCTTTCTTCTCTTTATTTTTGGGGGGGGTTGAGGATGTTACTGGCCACCGATCTGCGCGTTGTCGGATTCAGCCCACATTCTGAGAACGGCTCGCTCGACCACCGTTTGCGCCTCTTTCTCGCATTTGCTGAGATCCAGGGCGAGTGTGTTCTCCTCGAAATGAGCGTCTTGTTGTTGGACTTTGAGCCATTGCTTGTGTCTCTCGCAGCGTTTCTTCATGCAGACGCCTCGGGATAGGGTCTCAAGTTCGTCTTTCGTGTCATCCATCGCGGTGTCGCCGTCGGCGTCCATCGCGTCGGGATAGCTGGATGCTAGGGCTTCGGGTGAGCCGTCTTCTAGCGCTTTGGCGCCGGCTTCGGATAAGCGCCATTCGTCGAATTCCTCGTCAGACCAGGAGAGGCGGGTGTCGAAACCGCAGATGTCTTTCCATCCGCCCTTGGGATCGGTCTGTTTGAGATGTTCCAGGATGGCCTTGGATCGCTGGCGAACGAGGGTCATGAATGTGTTCCTGGCTCGGAGCATCTCTTTGCGGTGAAGCAGGTCATCGCGTTGTTTGCGTATCTTTTCTATCTTGGAGGCTTCGTCGGGCGTGTATGTGAGCCATTCCACGTCGAAGTCCAGGCCAAGCTTCTTGCCGCTCTTCGTTTTCGCGTCGGTGTTTGTGTTGTCCTCTTCGGTAGGAATGGAAATAATGCTTTCGCCTAGTTTGCGGAATTCTCTGGCAGAGCTGACACCCATGACCACGGCTTTCAGATCGCCTGCTGTTAGGACACCACCTCGGCTGCCAAGATCGTCGGGCTCTTGTCTATCCGGAGTTGCAGTCCCATCGCCATGCACGGGGCTATTTCCTTCGCTGGAATGGATGCCATTGGTTAATCGGCCGGCTGAAGTTCCCTTCTGGCCTTTCAGTCCAGTGCCCAGAAGATGCCTGGTTCGTTGGAGCATGAACTCCCTGCCATGTTCGTCAGAACAATATTTGCTAGGGTTGCTCAGGTTGACTCTGGCGGGTTTTCGGCATTCATTTAGCCGGCACATCGGTTTCCACGTTGTCCATCCCTTCCCTTCCTCTTTACAGTTCGGGCCTGGACAGTGTTAGTGCATGGAAATACCAAGGAGTGTAAAAGACTCACAGATATACTTGTCAATGAGATCGGCATCTCTCGGGTCGATGTTAACACACTTCCCATGGAACCAATCCTCGCATCCTCCATCACATCCGATCATCCATGTATGGTTATCAGGCTTGCGGCAGATGCAGAACACCTCATTGCTGTCTGATTCGTCTTCTTCTTCCTCCTCTTCCTCCTCCTCGACGTCCTCCACTTCGGTGTTCTTACTACTCTTCCTTCTGTTATCCGGGCCTGGCGAGTTTGCCACGGACGCAGAATTTCGCTTTTTATTCCCGGCGGCCTTGCTAGCGCGACCCGAAGCTGGAGTGTTCGAGCGACGGCCATATACAACCTCACTGTCGAGGTCATTTATTTTTCGCTTCTTGGCTGTTGACTTTCTCCCAGTGCCTTTCTTGGTTGCAGCAGTGGCCGATTTTCTGACCGCACCCGGCTTCGTGGATGTAGCAGGAGAGGAGCGATCAGACGACGACGCTCTTGAGGACCCTCTGTTCTTGAGACTAGCAACATTTTTGAGGGTAGGATGATCTCCAGTTGGGCCGTCAAGTTGGGAGAGTGCAGGCTTGGATTCCTCTTCATCGAGAGGAACCTTATCCAGATTCGGGTTGGAAGGTTCGGTCTTGACTCGGGGGACTGGAGTGTCTTGCTTTTCTGCAGACCCGTCCTCATCCACAACATCCAGACCCTCATAGAGGTCAGACCACGCTCGTAGATCGGTGGACTTGTCTCCATGGATTGCGGATGCCACTAGTATCCTAAAGCGTCGATGTATCTCGTCGGCTCGTTCAAATCCGAAGTACCCGCTTTGTCTCCAACCAGTGATCCCGAGTACCTTATCATCGCTCACAATAACGTTTGACGGCACCAAATTATTGTGGACCAGACAAATCTTTTCGTCCACCTTCCTTTCGCGGAACAGTATGTTCTTCTCCGGTTCTAGGGCATCGGGTGACGATTGTGCGTTAAGCCCACTGCAAACGTAGGAAGGGTGGTCAGGAGGAGTGTCGATGACCCCCAGGCGCTGCGATATGCGACGACACTGCTGTTTGAACTTGTCAATCTGCTCATTAGTGAGGTATCTCCAGGCTACCTCTAGAGTGACCCCAGGGATTCTAGACTCCACAGTGACGTTCTTCCCATCTATTGTCCCACAGAAGTATATGACCGGCACAGCGATGCTCATTTCCTTGAGTGTATCCTCTGCCTTCCTGGCAGCACTCAATTCATTCGCATTAGCACACGAGTACTTTTCGGCTGCTGCACCGACTGCTGGTTCACGATCAACCCGGATGATTACGCTGCCAGCAGCGAAAACCTCCCTATTCCCGGAGACATTCAGAGAATTTTCTGCCGTACACAATTCTTTCACAATGCCTTCCCAATACGAGGTCACCTCAGGATCTGGCTCGCACCAATGATCGTAGCGAGGCTTGAAGTCGGTATCACGAGGCGCATAGCGGCCGTAACTCACACTCCGGGCGAGGAAAAGGTCATCATTTGGCAGGAGGTCGGGGTCTGTTTCGTACGGGTTTACTGGCCCTTGATTGTCAACGCGGCCATTCGCCCGGCTCTGGTCAGCAGACACCTGCGTATTCCCAGCCATCACAGGGACACTTCCGGCGACCTTCTAAGGCCCCAATGCACCTCTTTAGTGGAAAACCCACGTAATCCCTCCTGATCGTGTTCAAGCACAAAAATTCGGCGTGTATTGATATTCGTCCGCGATCCGAATAGGAGCGCCTCGCGAGGCCGGCAACTTAAATGATGGAAATCGTTTCGGTCACGTATAAGATCATATTATAGGCCCCAGAGCTTGGAAAAATAAAGTGCCTCAAGCCAAAGCGTGACTAGGCGACCGTGGGGAATATTCCCTTTGTTGATGATCGAGCTGTTGTAAAAGTCGCGATTGCGGCGGAGTTCGGAGAAAGAAGCGAAACGGTCGGTCGGCTGAATCGACTGCGTGTTCCTGTAGGCAGCGGTGTCGCGCTACCGTGGAAAGCGCAGAGTAAAGTGGTTACCAGTTATTGGAAGATAACTTCTCAATAGATGAATATCTCCATAAATAGACACGTGTCTGAGACTCAAAGCTGGCGGAAGCGCGCTTGGTGACGCGGAGATGGAATTCTGGAGAGGATTTGGCAGCTTCTGCGTCGGACTTACCATGAAGGCGGTGTGTCTTATCTCCGTCGGTCCCTGCCGCAAGCTTTCCAATAAGTTATCTTACCTCCCCTGCAAATGGGTCTTGAGGTTGATGAATGCTCTAAGAAAGGCAGTTTGCTGCCATATGTAGATAGTGTCCTTATACAACTTACCGATGCAGTCTCTATTCTCTATAGTATTTAAGCTATCCTCCTTTCAAGGGTGACAATATATATCTGCGTGACTAGTACTCCGTAGTAGTATGGGTATCAGTGACCTCGAAACGTTTCCTTAAGTACCACTTATACCTAGGATTTGGATGGCGTTGTTCTTCGTAGTACTCCGTAGTCCCGAGATTTTTTCAATACTTCGATGACGTAGCTGGTCGAGACAATAAGGGATCTCAACTGAAAGTAGGAATACTGGTCCGACTAAAGTCCAACGAAAAAATGGGGGTGAAGATATCGAAAATGCATCAACTTGAAAACTAGGAAAGTAGCATGTGACTCGTCTCAATAGCCACGAATCCATGGCCAAGTATACATCATAGAGCTTTTGGGAAGGCTTTCAGGCAGCCAAGGCTCCCATCACAAGTTCTGGTTAGCTGCTGACACCCCTCTTGCTTCATCTTCAACAACAACTTTCCTGTATTTCCATATCCTCTCATTCGCACCCGGATTCTCCGCCAATGGATTCTCCACCCTTTCCGGGGACGTACGCTAAAAGCAACATGTCTCATTCACTGCCTAGATAGCAATAGGACAAGGTCCAGTAAGAGTGAGTCTTTTCATAGTATATCAAAAAGTCCACAAATAACCATGGGCATTGTTGATCGTTACAGCTCGCTTGTCTTGCATTTAGGCACGAAGTGCAACTACAATGAAGTGATGACTTCGTCAGGGTGCAGTGCCGGGTGGGATCGTCCGGATATCGTGCAAATCACCTCCGACGATAAGCCGCGCTAGCAGCCGCCCACGAGCCCGGTTAAAGGATTAGGAAAATAGCAGGGGAAACAACTTTCGTCCCAGTAAGCAAGTCAAAGCCAATCTTCACCCTCATTGATCGTGAGCCAACTCCGCACGCCATTGTTATTGTTCATTTAAGTCGGAAAGGCTGAGTTGATTGAACTACTCCGTACTCCGTACGCGATCATCCGTTGCCGCAAGGCTGCAGCATTGCCGTCTTTCTGCATTGCGGCCCCCATTTCCCTGCATTGGGGTTTCACAGTTGGGGGTAAAACAGGCGACCTGGTGGGGACACGGGACACACTTCATGGGCTTCCAATTGAGGCCCCGATTTCCTGATCCAAGGTTCCGACCACAAAGGTGCTTCTGATTAGGTGATTAAGTTCAGTGGAGCAGCGCAGGCTCAATTCCGATTCAGGGAACCTGAAGCTCTGCTTTCAGGGCTACACGTCCTTGATGCTAGATTTATCTTCAGACGCCCCGCGGTCCGCATGGCTTAGAGCACAATCCTCTTCGTCTACTCCGTACACACAACCAACACTATTGGCTCATGAACACCCCTATAATTCTATATTATTCCCCCCTCTTCTTATCGTGAGTTATTTTTAGAACATTGTGCTGAACCTTATCAATCTAGTTCAGACACTTTTGTCATCAAGCTAACCGTCGGATAGTTAATCTGCAGGCAGGCTGTATATTGTTCTGCATATCACCAGCCACCATTTTGTGTCTCCATTTGACACAGGCATTTTGTGTCGATCGCTGGGTTTCCAAATTAAGAAAAACGTCTTGTCGGATAACGCTAGATCCCTTCACCGCACCATCACCAGAGTAGCGCGCAATCAATCCATTTGCTATCTGCTCATGCGTCTGTATCCCTCACCAACTGAGTCGCTGCCAAATTTGATTTTCCAAGATCAGAAGCTCGATAGAATGGGCCTTTGACTAATCGGAGAGAAGCCTCGGATATTTTGACAGTGACAACCTCATCATTCTGCCATCCCACCTGGTGAATGGGAAGCTTAAGCCATCATTACCCCATACCATAATAGGTACCGCCTATTGCCCCACCGACCGGAGATCTTTCGTCGAAGCAACGTCTCTTTCTCTTTACGTCCCAGTCATCTCAACCGAAGTCGTAACAATGCCAGATGAACCGAGCAATGCAGATGGAAAGAAGTCCACGGAAGGGTCATCGCAAACACAGTGGCAATTCATCGACGCTTCTGACAACAGTCGGAGTACTTTGACAAAAGTAAAGCGTCATGTTATGCAGGAATATATGCGTCAAAAGCGTCACGCCGCAGGACAGTCCGGTGCTGAAACTGGAGAAAGCGCATCGCAAAGCCGGGGTCTAGAACAAAGGCCAGGGCCGCCAAAAAAGGGTATTGATAAGGCCAAGTATACAAATGTAACTCGACAGATGGACTTTCGCGATAGTGATAAATCGCGTGCATTCGGGGCCCACGTGCAACGACACAATGCTGAGTACCCTCCAGACTACTTACAAGAGCAACCGGAGCTGAAGAAGACCGTGGATACTCCTGCAATAGAGGACAAGGTCCTTCCAGTATCTGATCCTGTCTTTCAGTTGACACACGGAGAAACACCGTTCCGAAGTCAGGTATTCTATTCGTCTTCAAATCCTTCAATGGCCTATTCCCTGTCTCAGAGCAGCAACTCAGACACCAGTGCTCTGACACCATCGTCGTCTGCTCCGACATCACCAGGCGCTATGATGCTATCACCCAAATCGATTCTAAGCGCCGCACGTACCGATCCCTTCAACAGCCTGCCACTCGAGCTGGACCTTGAAGGCCAGAGACTCTTTGACTTCTATGTCAACGAAATGCCTGCTTGCTCGTATGGTACTCATTTTCGGTCACCTAAGGCGCACAACTGGTATACGGCAGTCTTTGTCCCCGAAGGCATGAAAGGTCCGGTGGCGTTTCAGAATACAATTCTTGTCCACGCTGCCAACACCTGGGTGTGGGTTCGCGATGAGGAGCCCGATGAAACCGCTCTGGTTCATCGTGATCGCGCAATTACCATGCTTAGGGAGCATAGGGAACGGAACCCAGGTGATGTTTCCGATGAAGCAATTATAGCCTGTCTCAGCGCTGCAGGGCTTGAAGACTTCGACCCTCGTCCGGGCCACAAGCAAATTAGCTGGCTTCATATGCGAGCTGCAAGAGAGATGATTCGCGTCCGTGGAGGCCCATCTGCCTTTGAGAACACACGACTAGGAATGCTGATCAATTGGCAAGATTACATTCTCTCGGGCTATGAAACTGAGGGACCTAGCTTTTTCTTCGAATATGACCCTCCAGCCACATCGCAAAGAACGGCGCCTTATGCCGAACGGATCGATCCGTACCCGGTGTCTGCTCCAGGGATTGTGCCGTATACTACATCCTTTACCGACCGTCATCCACTCTCCCCGTTGGAAGAAATCCAAGATCAGTGCAACGAATTTATTGACTTCCTTAAACGTTGTGAGCAGCTCGCTATCCACCAGCTCAAAGACCTTGACTTGGCTACGGCGCCAGTGCGCCTAACCGCCTTCCGACAGAAATCCTTGTTATATCAGATACTCGCATCGCCTCCGGGACTGCGCTTCACAGCATCAGGAAACCGCAAGCAATTTGTTGCACGGTTGGTTGCGTTAATCATGCTTAATGCTGGCTTGTGGGATTACCGGGGCTCCGTTCTGTGTAGCGAGGCCTTTCTCAGGGGCTTGGAGCAGGCTGTCTTGGATAGCGAAGTGAAAATGAGCGGTTCAGTTGAGGCATTGCTGCAGATAATGCTCGAGTGTGATGATGCATCGATTAAGATCCCTGACACGATACGCTATTCACTGCTTCATAGTGGCTCGCCCGACTTTACGCAATATTCCCCGACCGCACAGACACCTTACGGTCGGCCGTGGTTCGCAGGACGAATGCTCAAAGTAGCCAAACGGCTCAGCTTCGATAGCTGGATGAATGTGAACTACTTTCTTTTTTCCTGCTTGACATTAGACCCCAGCATACCCTCCGTTTCGCTTTGGGAGGGTGACTTGCGGCAAGAGATACTAAGTGCGCCTCTCACTAATTATGTGATGCCCTCCCTGCATGGTCAATGAGCCTGATTACCTGGATTTGCTCTCTATTCGTTTGCTCTTGGGAAGAAGTCCCGTCATGCATAATACTGCAGCCTTCGTACTCAAAGATCTTCTTGTTCTCTTATCTTGATTCACACGTTTTCCCGTCCCCTTTCTGCACGCGTGTTCAAGACCCTACGAGCAACTACTGTGTAACAGCATTGTTAAACTCATGCTTTCCCTTTTGCCATCAGCTTCATGTTATTCTCCCAATATACCCCTGATGAGACATGACAAGACTACCTGTCCTTCATTATCAATCTTTCGTGGCTTACGGTTGTCCAGTTTCCTCTCCATGGATGGACAAGGGAATGTATCGTTTTTCGTGATATGAGAATATTCGGTTATATATTATGATAAATCTTTCTCACGGGCCGGTTAAGGCAATATTGGCCCTCCACTCAAATTTCTGAAGCATAACTGCTATCTGGTGTGCTAATGACCATCAAGGTACCCTTGGCATCGGCGCTCGGCAGCGTCGGTTGATGGTGATCTGCGTCATGAGCAGACTCCAGAAGATCTTTGGTGAAAATACCTTCAATTTCCTCGAGTGACTTGCCGGCAGTCTCTGGGTACACCGCCCAGACAATGATTGCTGCAGCCCAGTTGAACGCCGCAAAACAATAGAAATATCTGAATTGCATTTGTGACTGTGCAATCGGCGTACACTGAGCGAATATCAAATTTAGGCTCCAATTGGTGGCAGTCGCCACAGAGGAGCCTCGGGCGCGGATAGCAGTGGGGAAAATCTCGGATTGATAGATCCAGGAGATGAGTCCCAGACTGGTATAAAAGAGCGAAAAAACGAAAAACATGGCAATGGCGGCGCGGACAGCATGGTGGTTCGATGAGTCCGCGCCCTCAAAATTACTGTACACCTGCCCCAAGATGGCTTCCACGCACATCGTGGCGCCCATGCCTAGCAACGACGGAATGAGAAGCTTGCGACGGTCAACGCGGTCGATGAAGAGGATGAAGACGGTGTTCCAAAACTGGGCCAATGCCCCCCAGATGCCCTGTATGATAAGCGAGGTTGACTGCGACAAGCCCAAGGATTGGTACAAGCCTGGATTATAGTTCTGAAGCACATTTGTGCCTGAGCACTGCGTGAAGGCTTGCATGCCACAGGCAAGCAGCACACGATGACGCCAACTGGGCTGTGTGAACAAAAGCTGACGCCAGGAGTGAATGGCCAGACGCTGTTCCTCGGCAATACTGTCGCAGATCTGCGTGAACTCGGAGTCGACTAGTTGAGCATTAGTCTGTCCTGGGACTTGGTGTAGGCGATCTAAGACAGCCCGGCCAGCACCTGGATCGCCCTTTTCAATGAGCCAGCGAGGGGATTCGGGTAGAAACCAGACGCCACAGCTAAGCATGATGGCGGGAACTGCTTGGAATGCCAAGGGGAAACTCCAGGTGAAGTTCCCTGTACGAAGAGAGCAACCATATCCCACCCATTGCTAAAGGCACCCGGTCAGTGACCAGGAGCGAGCTACTTGGATTGGGTTTCACCTACAGCGACAACAACTCCGAGACCGATCATCCATTGCTGCATTGAGCCCAAGAAGCCACGGATACGGGGAGGGGACAGCTCACTCTTGAATAACGGTCAGAGTCGGCTGCAGTCGATGGATCTAATGAGGTGTGCTATAGGGATACATACACAGTAGACCGGGATGATCGCTGACATCAATCCAACAGCAAGACCAGCGACTAAACGGCCCGCAATGAGCATGGCCACGTTGACAGCGCCAGCTTGCAGCGCGGCCCCTAAGCTAGCGAGCAGACCGCCGGTGAAGAGAACAGGCCTCCTCCCCCACGGATCGGAGAGGTAGGAGACGAAGACCGAGCCTAAGATGGCACCCCCTGCAGAAGTCAAATCATGTCAGACGGAGTGGTTAATCCAAGCGATCTAGCCGTCGGGATTGTCCGAACCATTATACGATGCAACAATGCCCCCTGTCGCTGCATCGGAAGGATTGTGGAAACGATGCTTGAATGAGGCCTGGTCGATAACGGAGGAGATAACTCCGGAGTCGTAACCAAATAGAAAGGAGCCTAGAGTGGCGAACAGGCAACAGAGAGTGACGAGAAGATAGGGCATCGTTCAACTCTGCAGTGAGGTGCTGAAGTGGAGATGGAGAGGATGCGACGGCTCCTTCACCTATATCTAGTAGATATCGATTGCTACATATAAAGGTATCTGAGCATCTATCTATCCTTGGTGGGGAATTTGCGGCGCCGTGCGATACGGTTGCGTGCTATAGGCGAGGCATAACCCTATCTCGACCTGCAGCCCAGTCCGGATCGATGAGGATCGAGATGGCTTGGCCAACACCCCGATGGAACGAACGTGCGAAGCAAAATAAGGGATGACAGAACGAGGAAGCTTACTGATGAGATAGCCAGACTCAAACGAGAGACAGGAGTGGATTCAGGGGGCGCAGAGAGCAGAAAACCATGCGCCTGTTGGATTGGGTCGCTGAATCAGTCACCAGCGCAGGCCAGGACCAAGGCCGGTTTAGGGTCATCGGGCTCGTCCAATCCGTCGCCGAACATGCGATCCCCACCGGGGATGCTATTTAACTTATTGTTGCCCGTCGATATTGCAGCCAGTTCCATGGGTCGGGGCCTCCGCCGGGCACTCTCGAATCAGCGGAAATACCGTGGGCAGTGATGCTTGTTTCCTGCAACCGAGGCAGCGATCGGCCTGGTCGGCCTTGTCGCCGAACTGCTGGCCGTTTTTCTAGCTAGTCCAGCGGTCGCGAGAGAAAATTTTCTGTGTGTCGGAGGTCCGAAACAGCGGCATCGAGGCCTTGAGTTGCGCTTCCAGCCGCTTGTCACTACCGGCTGGATCCAGATCAGCCCTATTGTGAGCGATTTTTCTGTCGCTGCGCCGTGCCTTCAGGATGCTGGCCAGACAGCAACTAGTAGTAGTTCTAATTTGATCCTTAGGGTGTTCCCGTGCGTACCTCGCGGTCATTTTTTTTTTTTTTCCCTTCTCGCGGGTTTCTGGATTTTCCCCCATCCATCACTCCGTCATCCACCTAGTCTGAGTATCCTCAGCTTGGCCTGCCCTGGTGCCTTCGCGCTCCCCCAATCGGAAACAGGGTCTGGGCCACACCAGCATTGGATCCTTCGCATCGGTGGATCTGCCCGTCTTGTCCGTCTTCGTCTCCATCCATTCATTCTTCCTCTTTCCTCCATCATCATCATCAGCATCAGCATCAGCATCGTCGTCGTTGTCTGCCATCCATCGCTGCTCGTTAATTTGCGCCTACTAAGGTTGTCTTTTTCTCCGACCTGCGGGTGTCCAATGTAATTTCCCCCGTTCCTCGTCACCCTCTCTGCCTTTGGTCTGCCCCCAAAATCCTCCTCCCCCAATCACCCCCCATTCCGCCCACTTCCCCTCTTCCCCTCGTACTTTGGCCGCACGGAGCAAAAGAGCCTGAACAGCCATCCCCGGTTCTTACGACTCCGGTGGTTAGGCCTGCTGCAGTGCATTAGCGATCTTTATTCCTACCCGTCCTGGTTACTATTTCCGTGCTCTGGGAAGGGAACTATCGCCATTTGACTCATTGGGTTCCTGCAACGCCATTCTGACTAATTCGGGCTTACTCCATTCTCCAGAACTCTTCCTCCGTCATCTCCAACGCCCCGATCAAGGAACCCCCCAAAACTAAACAGAGAAAAAGGAAACAAGATTTACACATACAAAAAAGAAACGGAAAGGAAACACGAAGGAATAGCACGATCCTCTTCGATCATCTCTGCCTAGAATTCCGATTGATCCACCCCGATCAATCCTGTTTTTGCTAACCACGCCTCGTTGAGCCTTCCATGAACCTGTGAGAAGCGTCAATTCCACCCTCGTGGAGATTGCGATAACGGTCGGATCGCCACGCGGGCTATTTCTCCTTGCTGATCGGATTAGTCTCCTGTCAACTCTCGTTCATCTTCCTATCAATCAGTTCCACATCCTGCTCATACCCCCTTGCATGTCTTTGCGCCGACCGCCTTGAGATCGATCGTCTGCTCTCCTTCCGCTCCCTCATGGCATCCGCTCCCAGTCCGGCGCATGCCGACAATGCGAACGAGGACGACCCCTCGGCCGCCTCCGATTCCTTCTTCTATCCCCACGAAGACCACGACGCTTCCCCCGGCCATGATCCGTTGGAGAAGGATGATGGGCTGGCCGACCCCAAGCCGGTGAAGGATCCTCTTCCGATGCAGAAGAGGCGTCGGGTGACGCGCGCTTGTGATGAATGTCGTCGCAAAAAGATCAAGTGCGACGGAAAGCAGCCGTGCACCCATTGCACTGTCTACAGCTATGGTAAGCCGCGACCGTCCATCTTGGCGATGATCATGTGAGATTTTTGCTCATTGAAGCGCCTCCACAGAATGCACGTATGATCAACCGTCAAATCGTCGTCGCAACCCCGCCCCTCAATATGTCGAGGCTCTTGAGAACCGTTTGCACAAGGCGGAAGCGCTTCTGCGCGTGGTGCTCCCTGATCTGAACCTTGACGACCCACAATTCGATGTGCACGCCACAGAGCAAATGTTGGCGGCCATCAAGCGAGAAAAACAGCAGCAACAGCAACAACCGTCCACGACATCGCTCCCAGCCCCCAGCGATCGGCGTCGAAGTTCCGTGGCCATTGCGGGCTCTGCCGACGCTACTGCGGATGGAAATTGCGGGGACGAGTCGCTCCTCGAGTCGATGGTCGATAATTCTGGCTATTTAGATCTGGACGACCAGGGTCATTGGGATTACCACGGCCACAGCTCGGGCATGACCTTCATCCGCCGATTGCGCAAGCAGCTAGGCGCTTCCGACATACAGCCGCCGACGATCCGATCGCGACCGGTCAGTCAGTCCAAGTTTGACAGCCCGAAAGCCGTATCGGAGTCGCCGCAGGATGCGTCCTTGCCCCCTACCCACGACCTGCCGCCGCGGGATGTTGCACGGCGGTTGTGTCACAATGCATTCGATGACGGCTGCTCGCTGATGCGCTTCGTGCACGAACCCTCGTTCTACGCCATGTTTGATCGGATTTACGATACGCCGCCGGATCAGTTCACCAACGAAGAAAACTCGTTCTTGCCGTTGCTTTACATTGTCATTGCGGTCGGTTGTCTATTTTCGGATGGAGGAATGAGTGCGATTGATGTCGCTGGATACGAGGGTGCCATTGGCCAAGGGTAACTTCATCGTGTCCCCTCTCGCCTATGGCGGTTGACGAACCCAGAAATACTAATGTGACATAGGTTCCAATACTTCAAGGCTGGTCAACAGCTTTTGGAGATTACCGATTGTCGCGACTTGACCTCCCTACAGGCGATTTGTTTCATGGTCCTCTTCCTTCAAGCATCCGCTAAACTGAGTACCTGCTATTCGTACGTGGGCATTGCCCTGCGTTCCGCCCTGCGACTGGGCTTGCACCGCAAAGTGACGGCGCATTTTACACCCCTCGAGCAGGAGCTGCGGAAACGCATCTTCTGGGTGATACGTAAGATGGACGTCTACGTGAGCACGATGCTGGGTCTCCCCTTGATGCTGAGCGACGACGACATTGACCAAGAGTACCCGTCTTCGGTCGATTCGGAATTCATTACCAAGGATGGCATTCTGCCCATGCCGGCGGATCACATACCTCTTATGGCTGGGGCTAATGCGCATACCCGGCTATCCAGCATCATCCTTAAGGTTGTGAAATATATCTACCCGGTGAAGCATGCTCAACATCGGGCTGGGTCGGACCAACGCTACGTCGTGAGCCATTCCAAGATCCGAGAGATCGAACGGGATCTCCAGGCTTGGATGGAGGAACTGCCGGCGGCACTGCGTCCGGGGACGGAAGTCTCCCCACAACTTGAGCGGTAGGTCGACCCCATCAGTTCTGGCTGTAATCTTCTCTAACTGTTCTTTTCAGGATCCGGCAACTGCTGCGGATTAGCTACGCCCATGTTCAGGTGATGTTGTACCGCCCTTTCCTGCACTACGTGTCCAGCGGCTCGCAGGCTCGCGGGGTGGACCGTCGTTCCTACGCCTGTGCGGCGGCGTGTGTCAGTGTCTCCCGGAACATCGTTCACATCACCACGGGCATGCATAAGAGGGGATTGTTGAATGGCTCTTTCTGGTTCACCATGTACACGACCTATTTTGCCATTCTGTCGCTGCTGTTCTTTGTTCTTGAGAACCCGGATTCGCCCACTGCCAAGGACGGTGTCCTCAAAGACGCCATGGAAGGCAAAACCACCCTCGCGGGGCTGGCCAAGAAGAGCATGGCTGCGGACCGTTGCTCCCAGAGTCTCGTCTGTCTGTTCAAGAATCTGCCCGAGCTGCTTAAGAACCGACAGAGCGCTACCGCTCGTGCCAACCTCAAGCGTCCAGCACCGTCTAGTGGCGGCCGGGCGACGGCCAACAAAATCCCGGCCACCGGGATGCCGCCACCGCAGCGGGCCAGCACCTTTCCAAACCAACTGCTGCACCGATCGACCAAGTCGGAGTCCAGCAACACGCTCAAGAGCCTGGACGACAGCGTTACAACAGCACGCAATGGCACACCCAACCCCCGTCATAGTCAGCCTCCGACGTGGTTCCCGTCCACCCCAGAGCCGCCCGCAGAAACCGTGTCGACGCCTTCAGAGACAGCAACTACCAATCCGTCGGCCCGAGCATCGCCTGTATCGGCATCATTGCCCACGGGAGACCCCTCCACTGCGAACCCGTTCAATGCACAGGCGTTCGCGAACCACTACAACTTCCCCGACCTCATGCCTATCATGTTCCCCTCGGACGATCCGTTTGCCTATCCAACGCAACCGATGTCGACACTGGAAAATGATCATTTCCAAGATGTGACGGGCGCGCCAGTCACTGGTCAGTTTGCACCAGGTATGGCGTCAACCGCCGACGCCAACGGGGTAAGCGCGCTCGCGGCGGCCACACCGACAGTGGACGGCTTCGGAAACTTCCCTCTCTTCGCGGGCGGAACCCGCAGCGGTCTGGGCCCCAGCATCTCGAACCGTCTGGCTAACCAACCGCCAATGAACGCCTCCCGGCTGCAGTCGCCCGGCTCACACGCCTCAACGCCCGGCACCAACGGCGAGGTCGTCAACAGCCCGGACCTCGTCTCTCTGCCGAACCAGAACTTCATGTGGCAGGGCTACAACTTCCAGCCGCCGAACTTCCCCGCGGAAGCGACCGTGCCCACGACCGCCTCGAATCTCGGACAATTCGGTCTGAGCGTGGACGACACCACCAACCCGACGGGCTTAGGGATGGGACTGGACCTGGGGCTTCCACTGGACGATATCTTCGGGAACGGCGATGCGTGCCGACCGGGCGCACTGGGGGATGATTGGACTCAATGGATGAATGTGGGCGGCTAAATGTGAAGGTCAGGGCGGTTATATATACCCATGTGTATGCGTTTGGTTTGATTATGAGGACATGCGATGAGAAACGGAGTACCGATGGCGTTGGAGGGGTATGTATCTGTTATATTACGTTCTGCTATGTAGTAATGTTAACCAATCAATCAATCTGACTATAGTATTGTCTATCTCCGTACTACTACATACCTATCTGCTAACCTACCTGCTATATCGTTCATAATACTCCGTACACAGATATCGTACACATGTTATACAAAAAACACCCAACCCCCCCTCCCCCCCAAAACAGAAAAAGAATTCATCTCCTCCTCGGCGGCTGATACCAACTCCAAATATTCAACCCGACCTTCAACCCCCGCGTGACGGGAAACGCAGCATGCCAGGTCTCCGGATACCCGGTCCCATCCGCCCTAAGATTCTCCCAAAAGATCGCATTCCCCTTGACAGGCTTAAACGTAATCCCCGTAACATTCTCATTCTCATTCTTGGCCAATTCACAATCCAAAAACCGACACCACTGGTCTCCGCGGGGCATTTTGAGACGTGGGAAATTGGTGCCTCCGCCGTGGCAGTCATCGCTGAGGTAGACCATGAAGGTGCTGAGACGGTCGCCGCCGCGGGCGACGGAGCCGGCCCAGTCGAAGTGGTGTTTGTAGTGGCCCGAGATGTTGTAGCGTTGCGCCCACATGCGTTCGATGTAGAGGTGGGGTTTCCAGCCTTGGAAGGATGAGGCGCGGGCTTCGAGGCACCGGACGGTGTTGTCGCGGGGGAGGAGGGCGCGGTCGGAGAGTCGGGTGGTGGGGTCGATTTGGGTGGTTTGGCCGTTGTAGATTATGGAGGGGGTGTAGTTGGGTTCGCTTGGGGGAGGGGGGGGGATGGTTAGGTTGGAGTTGATTGGTGGTGTGAGGTGGGATTGAGAGGGGGGGGTGTATGGGGGGTACCTGATCTTCACGAGGTGGTCGGCTTCTTCAGCGGAGAGGAAATCTTCAATGTAGATGATTAGTGGGTCCTTGGAGAGGAGGTGTACCCGGTAGGTGTCTTCGGGGCATGTTGGGATGATTCCGTCCGGGAGACTGAGGATTTCGGGGTCGAGGGTGATGTCGGTTTCGGCGTCGGGAGGGTCGGCGTCCGGGTCGAAGATGTTGGTGGTTACGGGGAAGAGTTGGCGGAGGAGAGGGGCAATGACGAAGAGGTACAGGGGGAGGAGGTAGAAGAGGGAGGTGAGAAGGGTGGAGAGGGAGAGTTTGGGCATTTTAGTTGGTCGGAGGCATTGGATGTGGTGGTGGTTGTGCGACTTGAGCGACGTAGGGTGTAGGGAAGATTGATATGATGGAGTCGCTGCGATCGGATCGGCTGGGGTTGTGCAGGTTAGTCAGCTATGCGCATGCAGTCCGGCATTGCATAAAGTCATGTTTGGTATGACAGGGAGCGGGTATTGGACTGAGTGGGTTGGATATCTCATTCTCCGGGATGCGGGGGATTGTTGGCCCCTGGTCAGCCTGGGGTTTGTCAGCAGTCGCGGTAATCTAAATAGTTAGTATCTACTCCGTAGTAAACGACTAGTCCGTTGTCAGTCGGTTCAACACTGGTCTGTGTCTCTTTGCTGGTAGGCTATTGACGACGATCTGGACACGCACTGCCCAACGTTAGACGTCAGGTATGGCGTCATCGTCGATGCTGTCTCCAGGATCGTCCCTCCAGCATCATCATGAGGCGCGGCTCACGACCATATATGAAGCAGATGCGGAGACTCCGCACTTGAGCTTCCAGAAGACGCGGAGTATCGTTCTTGAGCCTGGCTTGCAGTAGTCCTGGGAACTAAACATAAAGCCAGCCGTGTAAAGAGACAGCCGGTCAGCTGACGGCCATGCCTGTAGTGGCTAGCGGGATGTCTAAACCCGAGCCGGCCTAGTGTCGGGGCTCGTGACCGGACATCGTGTGGATTGCCCAGGCAGGTTAGCGTCCTACGTACTACTGTGTAGTGGTGTGGCCGCCTCGCCGTCGCCTCGCGGCCCGTCAATGAATGAATGGCTTTCCGGTGCATATCAGATATGCACGCCGCCCCAATCCCAATCCCCATCCCCGGTGACCCGGGGTAAAACTTTCCAGCTGGCCCTAGGCTGCTAGGCTTCCTCTACCCGTTCCTTTGACTCCGATCTACGGCGGACCTAGCCTAGATCGGTACCACTCGCTGCACCTCTCGGCTATCGTCCGGTCCTCTGCTCCACCAGCAATGGGGTTAAGGCCTCATCCAGCCCCTTGACTGGCCCCTCGTGACTCACGGGTCTAAATAGCGTTGGGACAAATGCCGGCTAAATCCCCTCGGGTACCAGAGCCTTCTTTCCTCTTCGCTTAAGCTTGTGGGGCCTGGAAACCGATTTCCCTGGCTCCGACCTGACTCACTCTTCTCTCTGGTTCGTCCGGGAGCCGACCTGTGGCGGGAGAAAGAATGTGTGCTGACTGCTGTTCCTTGCGGCGGCCAGGGCGCCTGTCCAGTTACCCATATCCCTCCCTCCCACTTCCAAGCTTTTGCCCCTCCAAATCCAACACCCGTCAGAGTTTGCTGGTGCTTGGGTTTTGACTTGTCCCACCGGCAAAGTCTTCACTCTTCATACCCTACTCGGCACGGGGTAAACACAGGCGCTGACGGGCTTTAGGTCGTGGAGCTCGTGGGGATGTCCTTCTCCCCCCATCCCACTGGGACATAGATTCTCTTCTTATACACACACTGGCTCGGATAAACGCCTTAGCTCGCCTGGGGAACGACGTCCTTATATACTTCCCACGTTTTGGCCCCTGATCTGCGGCTGAATGTTTCCTGGCGAGACCTTCTCCGCGCCGGCTAAGCGAGAGACAACATCTGGGGAAAACACTCCCCCGACCCGTTCCTCCCACATCACGGGGGCAAAATTGTGGGAATCGGCCTGCATAGTCCGAAGAATAAGCACCTCTAGCTGCCTTTTCAGCGTATCACCGTCTGGCTTTTCAACCTCCAGCATGGTCCTCCCCGGATGGGGTTTGGCCACGACGTAAATTGTGGAGAGGGTTCGAGGCAGGGGAGGAATCCAGTATCCACACACCTCTGGCTGCTCCGTAGAACTCGTAGGAAACCGAGATAGTACTTATGGCCCGGCCCGTCTCTGTCCTCCCTCTCTTCTTCTTACCATCCGTCTTTCCTGTTGACAGGACATCCCCCCCCTTTCCTCTCTCCCTCGCCCTGGTCCTTGTCCTCCCTTCTCTTGATACCCTTTGGCCAGCAGAGTTTTCCTCCTTTTTTTTGCGTCTTTTCCGCCACCCTTTTTCCCATACAATGGGTGGAATCCTTCACCTCGTCGAGGACCGACCAACCCCCTCCAATGTCTACAATTGGCGAGTCTATGTGCTCGCCCTGATAGCCTCATGTGGTTCCAACATGATCGGGTATACCAGTGGGTTCATCGGGACGACGATCACCCTGGATTCCTTTGAACGGGAGTTCGGCCTGGACAAAATGAGCACTGCCCATGTGAACCTGATCAGTGAAAATATTGTCTCGCTTTTCATTGCGGGTGCGTTTTTCGGAGCCCTACTCACGTACGGGCTGTCGAATTACTTGGGACGCAAGTGGAGTCTGACCGTGTCTTCGGCCGTCTTCATTCTCGGCGCCGGGCTGCAGATGGGGGCCAACGGCTCTCGAGGGCTCGGCATTCTGTACGCTGGCCGTGTCTTGTCCGGTCTCGGCACCGGCGTGGCCTCCAACATCGTCCCGATCTACTTGTCCGAACTCGCCCCTCCCGCCATTCGAGGTCGCCTGGTCGGCTTCTATGAACTGGGCTGGCAGGTTGGTGGCATGGTTGGTTTCTGGATCAACGTGAGTCATCCTCTCCATTCTTCTCCTTTTCTACCGTTGCCGTCGTCGCCATGCTAACTCTTTTCTCATCAGTATGGTGTGGAACAAACTATGCCCTCGGACCACAAGCAGTGGGTCATTCCGTTTGCCATCCAACTGATCCCCTCGGGCATGCTCTTCGTCGGCTCCCTGTGGATGAGAGAATCCCCTCGTTGGCTCTTCCTCAAGGGTCGTCGCGAGGAAGCCATGAAGAACCTCTGTTGGATCCGTCAACTCGATGAGCATGACATCTACATCACCGAGGAGGTCGCCACCGTTGACCAAGCCATCGAGGAACAGATCGCCACTGTTGGCTTGGGCTTCTGGAAGCCATTCAAGGCTGTCTCTCAGTCGACTAGCCTGATGTACCGTCTCTTCCTGGGTTGCATGCTGTTCTTCTGGCAGAATGCGTCCGGTATCAACGCCATCAACTACTACAGCCCTACCATCTTCGAAAGTCTCGGTGTTACCGGCAACACGAAGGGTATTCTCAACGGCATCTTCGGTGTCGTCAAGGCGGTCTTCACCGTCATCTGGTTGCTCTTCCTGGTTGACCAGTTTGGACGCCGGAAGCTCCTCCTCTGCGGTGCCGTCTGCGGATCAGCCTGCATGTATGCGATTGGCGCTTATATCTATATCGTTGAGCCGACCAAGCACCCCCGCGACCACCTCAACGGTGGGGGTATTGCTGCCATCTTCTTCTTCTACCTGTGGACCGCCGTCTATACCCCCACCTGGAACGGTACCCCTTGGGTCATCAACTCCGTAAGTTGTCCTCTTCCACGGAAGTCTCTCGCGAACCCCCGCTGACTCGTGATGAACAGGAATTCTTTGATGCCAACATTCGGCCGCTATCGCAGGCGTGCACCACCGCCAGCAACTGGCTCTTCAACTTCCTTGTCTCTCGGTTCACCGAGCAGATGTTCGCTAAAATGGGCTATGGCGTGTACTTCTTCTTCGCGTCGCTGTCCTTCCTTGCCTGGTTCTTCGCTTTCTTCCTCATCCCTGAGACCAGCGGTATCCCGCTGGAAGCGACCGACCAGCTGTTCAAGATCAAGCCCATCTGGCGCGCGAACGAACAGCTGAAGGCCCAGCTGAAGGAAGAGGAGGAGCGCTTCCGCCAGGAGGTCAAGGACGGGGCGTTCGAGAAGAACGACCCGCAGGAGCACGTCGAGAGCGCATAATTAATTGGTTTCGTTGGTTTTGTAACGACATAGACATTGTACATAGATTTAGCGCTTGAGTATATATATCGATCAGGCTTGACCTGCTGGCAGAAACGAATTCGTCTTTTTGGCGCATGTGACCTGAGTTCAGTGTAACGTAAATGCCTAGTCTTCGCCGATCTTGCCGCCCTGAACACCGCAGGGCTGCTTTGCTAGTACCAGTCGTCGCCCTTAAAGTTTCTAGGCCAGTTTGATCACCCGTCGAGCACGGAGATCTATGACCAAATATGTAACCGCATCCTGATCATCAGCACCCTGCCGCAGGCCACCGTTTCTGCAGCGCGTCACCAGCTGATCTCTGTGTGACCTGTGTGACCGGTGCAACCCAGTTGGATCCCTGCACGGCACACGCACATGCATAACCCGTCGCATCAATTGCATCTTACAAACCTAACAGTCATGGGTGGGAAGAAATATATATGTTTGGTCTTCACAGCATCGATGCATTTTCCAGAAGAAAATAAGCCCCGTGGCAGACTCGTGGGGGTTTGCTGGCTCTTGGCGCTTACAGGAAGCAGTTTCCCCGAAGTTGCAACGATTCCAACACCTCCGAACCTTGGGAAAGTGTGTCTGACAGGGGGGGGGGGGATATTGTTTCCCACCGTCATCGGACACGCTGCAGCCCGCGCCAGAACGACCCGAGGGATTCCGTCTTACATGCCAAGGGAGGGGGCCATCTGACTAAGAGGAAGTCTGAGCGAGCCAGCCATCGTACCACGGCCACCGTGGCCTCCCAAGACTTCATCCACGGAGCGGGAAGCGCGCCAAGAGGGACTGGCAAGAGAACGTAAAAAGAGGCGGGTGGAGGAAACCACTGACAGTTTGGCAGTTTCCCCGAGGTGCCTTTTTCTGGACCACATGGCCCAACTGATTCGTGCCGGAAGCCTGAAAACGACGGTGAGACATTGTGCCTTCCTAATTAGTTAGTACTAGAGGAAATTCCGATGACTAACAAAGGAAGCCAAAAATTCCCAAAATGCAGCATCCGGCGCGGGGTTGCTGGTTGGTGGGTGACAGACAGACCAGACAGGGGAGCTGTATTGTTGTGTCCGGTGTACTCCGTATGGTACGGTATTGGGATGGACCCCGAACTAGCCCAGCGCATTATTTGGCAGCCTGGCGTGCACTAGATGGACTAGTCACCCGGAGGGTTGAGGAGAACCCTTTCCGTGCAGGGGGTACTTTTGAGGATGGGTCAAGACAGCCCTCGACGAGTCGACAGGATGAAGAAGGATCCGATCCGTGAATGAGCATTGGGGACGCTTCTCCATGGTGGACTTGGTACTCCGTAGTTCTAGTCCACTTTCTACTCTTACTGCTGCCTGGCTAACCACTCTGAGAGGGCGACCGTTGACCAATCCAGCGGCCACGCCACTTGCCCCGCACGGCTCTTGGCCCGGCCGGCGCCCAGGCCTCCCAGGCTTCCCAGCTTGTTGCGTCTTGTCATCCTGGCCAGTCTTGTCCCCGTCTTCCGCCCGGCTGTGCAAGCGGCCTTTTCTAGGCAAGGCTCGGCTCTGAACCCAAGCCTCCCCCTCTCGGCCCAAGACTTCCTCCCTTCCCTTTCTCCCCCCCCCCCTAATTCTCTCCATTCCTCTTCCTCTGGCCCGTCAAGTCAATCTGGGTAATTTCCCTTATTACTTTCGTCTTCCCCTCTGTTCTGCCCGTATCTGTCCATTTTTGTTATCTTACCCTCCCTCTTTCTTTCCTACCCGTCCAATTCTTACCCTCTCTCTCCATCGCCGGTGTCGGTGCACGTATCCTTATTAACTAGTAGCCCGCCACTTCCTCACCGCGTCATCTTGTCGCAGCCTATTTTCTTGTCCACCATTTATTACCACCAAGAGTCTTGGTTTCCCCTGATCGTATCCTCCCTTGCACCCTTGAGGCGGACTCGTGCTGAGTCGCTTGTCTACTTCCGCTGCTCCCAAGAAAGGGACAAGAAAGATTTTTCTTGGCAATGTCGGAACCCCAAGACACCACCACGGCCCCTTCGACGACGGCCGCTCCCATGCCTGCCTCGACCTCCCAGGACTCTCCCTCCACCCAGCAACCTGCCCAGGTATCCTCAGCGACGGCGGCTTCTGCGGCCGCGACCGCGGCAGCTGCCTCGGCTGCCGTGGCAAATCCCCCCATGAACGGCACGACGACTCGTCCCTCTGAGGAGTTGTCCTGTCTCTGGCAGGGCTGCACTGAGAAGTGCCCGTCTCCTGAAGCCCTCTATGTGAGTTACACACTGCTGCTTTGTGGGATTACATGGTCGACTAGCATTGGGCTACGTGTCGGCTTGACTCATCACATACTGGCTTGGATGGGTGGCTGACCGCCTCGGCTTAGGAACATGTGTGTGAGCGTCACGTCGGTCGCAAGAGCACCAACAACCTCAACCTGACCTGCCAATGGGGCAGCTGTCGCACCACTACCGTCAAGCGCGACCACATCACCTCTCATATTCGTGTGCATGTTCCGCTTAAGCCACACAAGTGTGATTTCTGCGGGAAAGCGTTCAAGCGTCCCCAGGATCTGAAGAAACACGTCAAGACCCATGCTGACGATTCGGTCCTGGTCCGGTCGCCGGAGCCCGGCGCCCGGAATCCGGACATGATGTTTGGGGGAGGTGCCAAGGGTAAGTGTTTTCCAGGCTGACTGTTGTGCATTGCCGGCTGACATCAGATGTAGGCTATGCGACCGCGACGCACTACTTTGAGCCCGCGTTGAACCCTGTCCCCAGCCAGGGTTATGCCCATGGCGCTCCCCAGTATTACCAGTCTCACGCCCCCCCACAGCCGGCGAACCCGTCCTACGGCAATGTCTACTACGCCCTGAACCATGGCCCAGAGGCCACCCACGCATCATATGAGTCGAAGAAGCGCGGCTACGACGCCCTGAACGAATTCTTTGGCGACCTGAAACGGCGCCAGTTCGATCCCAACTCCTATGCCGCCGTGGGGCAGCGCCTGATCGGCTTGCAGAGTCTATCACTTCCCGTGTTGAGCAGTGGTCCTCTGCCTGAATACCAGCCGATGCCTGCGCCGGTGGCCGTGGGTGGTGGCGGATACAGCCCCGGAGGTGCTCCCTCCGCACCCGCCTATCACCTGCCGCCCATGAGTAACGTGCGGACCAAGAACGATCTGATCAATATCGACCAGTTCCTGCAGCAGATGCAGGACACCATCTACGAGAATGACGACAATGTGGCGGCTGCCGGTGTCGCCCAGCCTGGGGCCCATTATGTCCACGGCGGCATGAGCTACCGCACCACCCACTCGCCTCCCACCCAGCTACCCCCCAGTCATGCGACAGCCACTACGTCTGGAGCGTCGATGATGCCCAACCCGGCCACCCACTCTCCCTCTACAGGCACTCCGGCGCTCACGCCGCCCTCAAGTGCCCAGTCGTACACGTCTGGTCGCTCACCCATCTCCCTGCCTTCGGCGGCGCGGGTCTCGCCGCCTCACCATGAAGGAGGCAGCATGTACCCGCGTCTTCCATCCGCTACCATGGCCGACAGCATGGCGTCCGTGTACCCGCCCGCCTCGAGTGCTGCACCGCCCTCGACTCTTGGCGGCATCTTCGACCACGACGATCGTCGCCGCTACACGGGTGGCACGCTGCAGCGCGCTCGTCCGGAGACCCGTCAGTTGAGTGAGGAGATGGATCTATCTCAGGATGGCAAGGCCGACGGCGAGCGGACTCCTACGGCCAAGGAGCATTCGACGTCGACCTCACCTGATCGCATCTCCGCCAGCTTGATTGACCCTGCTCTGTCGGGCACTGCAGCGGAAGCGGAGGCGACTCTGCGGACCGCCCAGGCGGCGACGGAGGTGGCGGAGCGGGCGGATGTGCAGTGGGTGGAGAAGGTGCGGCTGATCGAGTACTTGCGGAACTACATTGCATCCCGGCTGGAACGGGGCGAGTTCGAGAACGAGCTGGGCGGGGGCAGCAGCAGCAGCAGCAGCAGCAACAGCGGCGAGCGCACTCCGGAGGCTAACACAGATACCCCCATGGAAGGGGTAGAAAGTGAGACGCCGGACAAGACGGAGGAGCCGGCCGTGAAGCCGGAGGCGGGTGATGTGGTGATGTACCCGACGCTGCGGGCGGTGGATGAAGACGGTGATTCGAAAATGCCTTGACTGGTCCGGCTGGATTCTTTCCCTTCTCCTCTCTAAGCTTGTCTTTAATTTCTTTTGTGCAAGATCTTCTGGCTTGCTACGAACTGTCTGGGCGCTTGTTCTATTCCCTGTCCACGTGCACGTGGAATCGCACTGTACTTGCTGTTGACGGCCATGGGTCGTATATATGATGACCCAGCCCTGGAGGGTTTTCCTTTGCTTCATGTTTCCTATCTCCGCTTCCTTTGCTTTGATTGAACGGTGTTGTGTTTAGGGTGTATATGTCTGGATGGCGCCGCGGAATGCATGGGACGCGGCTCCGAATCCACCTGGAGTCCCATCTGGTCAGTTGATTGAACGACAACCTATAGCTATACCTATACTTGTTCGTCTCGAGTTCTTTCCCTGTAATCGTAGCCCAACACCTGGCGTGGCCACGGCCAGCCAGGCACTGTTTTGGCGAGGCCAATGGAACGGGGCATGGAGGGAGTGGGCGGAGAGGCGGGCATTCCGATGGCGAGCCACTAAACTGCACGCGGCGGGCCATGACGCAAACAGGGCAGCGGAGAGTTTGATGGATCAAGTGCAGGGGCAGCGATAGCCTCGAGGAGATACGTTGATCCGCGCATCCCAGACATGGATCAGCAGGGTTTGAACGTGCCCGATGCTTCCACCTTGCCTGATCCGGTGGGGGGGTTCTTTTTCCCCAATGGGGAGGAATGGAAATGGAACCCTATCAGGATGCCGGCTGGCAAGCGGGCGAGCCAGGTTCTTGGTGCTGGCGCTGCGGTGACTACAGTATGAGAGTCGTTGTCCCAAACAATGGCGTTCCGCGGACTCCGTGGCTGGCTGGGGGACGGGGGGGGGGGGGTTATTTAGTTGGGTCACTCTGGTGATGAAGTCATGTTGGCTATTCATTCAGTGTCAGTGTCCTCCGTACTTCGTAAACAAGTCATCTAGATAGAGCATGGATTTAGAATGAAGGCGACAAAGAGAACAGAGGACATTGACAGCACAGAACGCACCCGGAGACTTGGATCGCACCCTTTAATGGTTGTCCTTGCATGGACTTGTTGTGAGAGTGCTGCTCCACTGCCTGTTTACGGCGGTGCGCAGCCTCCACCTGCAGGCGGATTGGATGCAGCGCGTGCATTAAACGGGGTCGGAGGGAAAGGAAGGAAGGAGGAAGGCAGGAATGATTTAGATCGGGGGGACGATCAACCTTAATTGTAAGGGTCTTTGACATGGAGAGAGGGAGGAATGAAGGACTCTACTACATAGTAGTGGTACATCGTGAGTATCGACTGAGTCCGGCGTCCCAAACGACGCGGTAATTACGGATTTCCCCACACGGAAGCGGTCAGCCAACCCGCGGCGCGTTACTTTTGCGAGCATTGATTTGATTGTCTGCTCGCGCTGCTGCTGCTGCTGCTGCTTGCTGCTTCTTTTGCTGGAGCGTCATCGTTGAGTCGTCGTCTTCTTCCTCTTCCTCTTTCTCTTTTCCTTCTCACTTTCTCGCTTTCCTCTCTTCCCACCACCACCTCCTCCATCGAATTTCCCTCCCCCAACACAATCCCTTTGTCGTCGCACCAACCCCCTCGGCGATCTACATCCACATCCATCCATCACCACCACCACCACCACCACTACTCGCGACCGCCTCTCCCCGCGGTGGCTGGCCCTCGACGCTGCATCAGTCAGCCACTCCAATTCGCGTCCGTCGAGCGCGGTGGCAAACGTTCCCTTGGGTCTTTCTACCTGGACCTGCCATCCCGGTTTGTCCTCCATTTTCGCCTTCCCTTTTTCGGTCGTCCGTCGCTCTCGCCGATTATTCGTCTGTGATTTTCTGCCCGGCTGAGCTCATCACCACCGTCCGTCTGGCTTCGCCGCGGAAATCCTGCGACTCGACGTCAACACCACCACCACCGTCCTAGATTAGATCCGTTAGACCACCACCCTGGCGACAAGACCTTGGAGTTCCCGAATAGACGACCTTCAGCGCTGATCTCGCTCTCGCGACCGCTCGACTAGCCACCATCATGCCGCTCTCCAACCGCCGTCGCGCGCGGCGCAAGGAAATTCAGCTGCAGGAAACTTCGGACGCGGAGGCGCCGGATTCATCCCCGACGCGGCCGTCGAACAAGAAGCGCAAGGTGGGTTACATATGGGATACCAGGCGTGTGCGAGCCCAGCCGTTAACTTATTTAGATGGACCACCGTGCCTCCCCCCATCCTCGCTCCATCAAACCCGAATCTGCCGACGAAGCAGATGATTCATCCCCGGAACAGGAACTGTCGGAAAACCAGGACTTGGTGGATATGGTGATCTCGTACCTGGAGCCCGCTCGGGAAGAGGTACGCGTGCTGCGCGACCACTCCAACGCGAAAACCGAGAACAACCAGAGCATCCGCGCCTACGCCAAGATCGCCGGCCGCAACTGGACCTACTACGTGAAAACCCTCCATGTCAACATCGGTCGCGAGCCCGACCGCGAACAGAAGTTAGATGAACAGTCGAGCCCCGTAACGATCGCCGCCCGCGCCCTACCCGAGGTCAATGTGGATTTGGGACCGAGCAAGTTTGTGTCGCGCCTGCACGCCGAGATCTTTTACGACGGCGAGGAGACAGCGTCTTGGCACATCCGCGTCAACGGGCGCAACGGCGTACGTCTGAACAATGTGATCCTCAAGCGCGGCACCGATGCAATTCTTTCATGTGGTGATATTATCGAGATTGCCAATACCCAGATGATGTTCGTCACACCCGGAGATAAGGCCAATATTCATCCCAGCTTTATAGAGCGCGCCCAGCGTCTCGCCAACGGGGATGAGGATCCAGGTACCTGGGATGCCTCCCAGCACGCTCATCCCCAGCCCTCCTCGACGGCTGACACAGCCCCGGCCACGGCCGGCCCCCCATCGCTGGCACCCGCACCGCAGTTCCTCAAGCGCCAGGTGACGCCACCGCCGCGGTCGCCCGACACGGTAGGCGCGCGTACGGCCAAGCAGTCGCCGCTGTATAACCGCGGTATGATGATGGAAAGTACGGAAGAGATTGATTACAGCAAGGACGCCGCCAAGGACTTGAAGCCGCCCTACAGTTATGCGACGCTGATTGCCCAGGCCATCTTCTCGAGCGAGGAGGAGAAGCTTACGCTGAACAGCATCTACAACTGGATCATGGACAAATACGCCTTCTACCGCCATTCCCAGAGCGGCTGGCAGGTAGGCTTTACCTCTTTCTCACTCTTGTCGTAACTTGGCTGACCAGTCCCCCCTTGCAGAATTCCATCCGTCACAATCTTTCCTTGAACAAAGCATTCCAAAAGGTCCCCCGGCGGACGGACGAACCTGGCAAAGGCATGAAATGGCAGATCGCCCCGGAGTATCGCGAGGAGTACTGGAAGAAGCAGCTGCGCAAGGGTACGCAGTCATCCGCGCCGTCGTCACCGGCCACCAGGGATCCGGCCACGCGGGGAGCCAATGGCATGGAGGCAGTGTTCTCGGCCACCAAGAAGTCCCCGCCCGTATCTTCACCAGGATTCAGCTCATTCCCCGTGGCGCCCGTGGAGGCATACACCCCGGAACGAGGGTCCCGTGCCACCCGAAATGGTGCCGTAGGTGCCCCGCTGCGACCTCCACACACGCGCGACTACGAGGAGCCATCTCCGCTCCCCACCCGGTCGGCGACGAAGAATACCAGCAACGGCACCAGTTTGAGCCGGGCCTACGGACTATCCGACAACGCAGCAGGGTCACCCCCTGTGCTGTCATCGTCGTACTACGATGACGGACCGTCGTCAATGATCACTCCGGCGCCGCAGCGTCAGCAGCCGCGCCTGCCACCGCCCAGCACGGCGCAAATTCCGTCCAAGTTCATGCCGATGAGTTCGCCGGCACAGTTCTGGAAGTTCGCGGACATTGGCAGCACGCCTGCGCGGCCCGTGCCCGACATGAGTCCGCTGAAGGGCGACCCCGGCGACGGGCTGGGCAGTATCCCCAGCAGCAGTCCGCCGCCACCGAACCTGGCGAGTCCCAGCAAGCCCGGAACGGCCAACGGGCTGACGACGGGACGGTTGCCGCCCCGCCGAGAGCCAGAGACGACCGAGCGAGCGGACGACGAGGAGGACGACGAGGGGAGTGGATTTGACCTGGCGAGGTGGGTACCTTCCGTGCCATTTCACTCTCGGGGACCCAGATACTAACCGCAGCAGGGGCTTCCAAACGATTGGCTCGTATCACCGGCAGCTGAGCAACGCGGCGCGCACGAGTGCGGCGACGTCGTGAGCCGCTGCTTTGCTATTTCTTTGCTTTTGCTCCAGAGCATGAGACTGACGCCAGCCACGATATATATGTATGTATGCATGTCTGTACGTTAATGTATGTACTATGACCGATTAGAGCGTATACTTTGTTTGCTTGAGACGGTGGATCTATGCCACGCTGATGTTATACTCTTATTCTTAGATCTATTCTTAGAATAATGAGATTTGCATGATACCACACTTCCCCGTACACAATCACTCACCTTCCACTCGTAGTTGAGATACAGCGATCGACAGACGGATCTTATTCTGGCCACTGGCAATCTAAAACTTGCGTTCCGCTATGGCTATGACAATTGACTCCCTCACATACGCAGCCTAAATGAGATGACTAGCATACTGGGCCTCTACGAGGCATGTCACCTTTCGATATCAATTAACCTTCTCCCTCACCTCTCCAATTCTGTCCCATCTTAATCTCCCGATTCCATTCCAACAACGAATCCTCATTGGAATACTCACCATTCCTAACCCTGAACAAGAGATGCCTGGAATCAAACACGTTGTCTTGCTGCATGTATTAAGTGAAGCTTGTGAAGTTCCTGGAAAAACATTCAAATGCAAATAGAAGAACACAGACAAAAAAGGAGTTGACAAATCGCCATATAACATCATTGGTTCTTTTTTTCTCATGTTTAGTCTGCATTAGGTAGGCATGTCTCGTCACTAAATTGTAATATACTATGTACACAGTGTATGGCTTGTATGGAGCAACATCTTCGAATTTTACAACTAGGACCGGTTGGTTGATTTCCTATTAGCCCGGGAGGACTCCGGAGTAGGTAGGTAGGTAGTAACTAGATAAGACTCAGGTAGGATTATAGGAGAGAAATGGATAAGTGCGTCTAATATCAGGCGAGTAGCCAATTAGAAACAGGGGTAGAGACATTAAGAGTATGTAGTCATTTGAGTACTGATCAAGAGGGTAGATCGTTGTTTGCTTTGAGGAAATTGGTAATATGCGGGCTGACGATTGTAGGGGCTGGATTATGTAGGTGATGTGATGTGGTGTGATGGATGTGGTGTGATGGGATTGATGTGATGGGAATTTTGGTCGATCTTTATACTCCACTCCGTAGTGCTTTGAGCATAATTCGTCTTAAATAGGATACTGGTAGCAGACTGGTAAATTAGTTGGATCGTTTAGGAGGGAAATGGCCAGAGAGATGTAAGACATGAGGGTTATTGGTAGTGGCCTCAGTATGAGATAAATGGCTAGGTCGATGTCGTCGGTTAGTTTGCTACTGTGTTGTTTTTGTTGTTATTGTGGAGAATTCGGTTGTGTTTGACTGGACAGTGCTGGATCAGGGTCCTTTATAGGGTTGGAGAGGGTTGGATATGCGGAGGTGGGGAGGTATTGCTGTGCTGTCGCTTGTGGGGCTTATGGGAGGGTTCAGGCATTGGTGTGGTACAAGAAGGCTGGGCAGGGAAATATGTGGGTATGGCTCGTGTTGAAAGGACGAATTATACTGATGTTGAATGTGTTCTCCAGGGTCCGGAGATTGAAGCTGAGGCGGGAAAGGGACTACATTGGACATCGTGGAAGCCCACACGAATGTGATCCCGCGTGGGGGCTGTAACATCAATCGTGGTGTCATAACTGAGACACGAGTCCTAGTCAGTGCTATGATTATCCCATCTCCAATGCCCAGCCAACTGCCAAGGGTCTATCGGTGATCGACAGCCACTGCCTGAGTGCCTAGAGTGGACCCTGTCAGCAAAGGAATACTCAGCCACAGCCCTAAGGACTGCTTTGTTTCGCCTTGTCTTACTTACTTGGCAGACCTAAATTTCATTTATGATGGCAGACATCCATCGTCAGGCCTTCTTCCATCACGCAATGATCGCTCCTGTACCATTATGAGTCCTAAACGGGTCAGAAATCCCGTTCTGGGATGCTTGTCCACCCGTCGTTTTGCCGTTATTGCTCTGGTAGCGTTCATCTGGCTGCTTCATGGCCGTTTCTTCGGGTTTCCAACTCAACATCACCACGCGGATACGCAAACATCAAGACACCGAGATGAAGATGCACCGAGATTCCTCTACCAATCGCCTTCTCGGGAGAACCCCGATGTGGAGTATGAGAGATATCTATCAGATGCCCTCAAGGAGATCGAGCAAGCAGCAGGAGGGGAGGACGTGGCGGAAGAAAGGATCTGGCAGATTGCCAGAGACGAACAACACCGGGGATCGGAATCAACCTTATTCGAGGAGTCGAACAGCGAATGGCAATACACGTTAATGACCGACGAGAAAGCCGCAGCATTTGTGATCGATGAGTTATCGGCCGTCCCAGAAATCGCAACAATATACAATTCTTACCCTTATGATGTCCTCCGAGCGGACCTCCTTCGATACCTCCTTCTTTGGTATTATGGAGGCTTCTATGCTGACATGGACGTTTTCCCTGCTCGCCCTATCAGCAAGTGTTCCGCTATGCAGCGGGTATTTCCGCAGCGATCCGACCACCCTGCCAATGTGTCCCTGGTAGTAGGGATCGAGCTCGATGAGCCCTATGCCTCACCCCGTCGTATGCGCGAGTGGCACTGGACCAGAACCTATGGACTGATTCAGTACACGATATACGCACCGCGACGGTTTAGCCCAGTACTCCGAGAGATTATTGTCCGGGCCTTAGCATATACCAGAAAATACCAGAGTCATCACAACAGACTCTTTGGGTATAGCCAGGAGGATATCCTAAGGCTGACAGGGCCGGATGTTTTCACGGATACGATTCTGGATATGCTGTCATCATCTCTCCCGTCCAGTCATCCGCTCATCCAACGATCGGTGGATGCAGACGAGACTATAGGTGATCTAGACAGACGGAGACGTGTAACATGGGCTCCGTTTCATGATCTCCATGAAACCGTTTGCATCGAGGCTGATGAAGCTGTTTCGGAGGCACCCATGGGAGGAATCTGCGTGCTGCCAGTTAATGTATGGGGGAACGGACAAAGACACAGTCAGGCGGAAGGCTTCAGTAGTCCACAGGCTTGTATCAATCATCTTTTCAGGGGGTCTTGGAAGAAAGGTTGGACAAAGCATATATTTGGGTGAAGAAACAAACTTATTACTCGATTTAAATGTGCTGGACACCGTTCAATTTTCACAATGTAGTAGACAGGCCTCTGCTTGACTAGAATTAGTGTATCAGCACTCGCTCAATGCGACCTTTGCTTCTGAGGATATCACCACATATTGATCTATAAGCATCCAACTTATGTAAGGGCTACAGACTCGAATCACATATAACATGGTTGGTTACATGTTTAGCCCGTCAAGTCATTCTGGATATGCATGAAGTACAGAAAGCATAGATAATGTCGTTCGCTTCTCGTTTGTCTCCTTTGTATTTATTAGGTCACTGAGGAAGGCGTCAGGTACGCCCTAGGCGCCAGGTTTCCAGCACTTGACGTGGCAATTTGATATTAACCCAAGAGTGTCTGAAAGGAGAACAGCAAGGAGAGAATGCAGAGCCTACGGGGGGAGAGAAGACGAGGTGTCTCAATCACCTGACCTGCGTGAATTCCACACCTTCCCTGCTCGGACTGCCCACCGGGAGTGGCATCTCACCATCCCATCTCACAATTTCGTCTCACACTACTATCGACTTCCGTGTTTCATATGGAATAACATACTCATTAAGAGAAGTCCTAATGTCTAATAAACTGCAGAGCTCTGAAGCCGCCGACATATGGCTATATGGTATCTTCTGGTCTGTAATCTAAGTATAACCCCCCCCCCCCCCCCCTTGGCCCTAACGCAGACACATTGAGGAGGGTTCTAAATCAAGAAAACCCGAACAGATTAAAGATTAAATGCAAAGGAAAGGGGAAAAAAGAAGAAGTGAAACACAGAAAAGATATCAGTCCGAGTGCATCGCTGGTTTCTTCTCAGATGGATTCTGAATCTGAATTGTGATGGTGGCAAAAGCTTTGGTGTCACCGATGGCCTTCATCGATACACACCGTCAAGTTCTTCCTCCGCACATACACTTCGCGCACAATGTCGCCACCGTAGCTCTTGAGCTCCCATTCCCCGATCCCATACCTTGCTGGCGCTCGTTTGACTCCACGCCCGCCCCCGCCAATGATCAAGTTACCAGGTCGGTATTCCGGATTGGCCTGCATGCGACGAATTGCGGAGACATGGATTTGAGCATCGTCGGGGATATCGCGTACCTCTCCGCAGGGGAGCGGCCAGCGAATCGGCTTCCATGAGCCATCCTTTTGCAGGTCCATCCGTCGGAAGGGAAGGTATTCCATCAAACGCCATGTGAGAACAGAAAATGCTGACAATCCATTGTTAAACTCCAGGCAGTCGTGAAGTAAGCCCTCAGTGCTGGAAGCGAGAAGGGCCTCTCGGAAGCTGCAGCTTGATTGGGAAGCATCCTTTTTCTTCACATCGCCAGCCAATCTGAGTGGGATATGGCCATCGCCCGCGTGACCGTGCGTAGGATCGCGACAGAAGTCACGATGATGGTTGCAGCGGGGATGTTCATTGATTGGGGTGTAGTCTCCGTCGAACTCTTCGTCACACTCGAACTGCTTCAACTTCTTAGGCTCAAACTGAAGCCCGGCCTTCTTTGCCTCTTGGACCATCCACACCAAGGGGGCATGACTCAAAGGCCAATCCTCCTTTTCTCCAAGTTTCCACCCTCCTCCAATGTCTGCATGACCGCCAGGAAACCATACTTCTTGGATGTCCTGTGTTTCCTCGTCTTCCTCCGTGAGGTAACCGACTGTTCCTGGTACGCGAAGCGATAGTTGTCCTGACTGTCCACTTCTGATCGAGCTCACGTCCTCTGTGGACTCGTTCGACATGGGTACGGCAAGGCTAATCCTCCCGACAGGCACCATGAGGTTAGGTGCACGGTACCGGTGACCAGTATGGAGATCCTCACGAGAGGCATTGGTGCTGCGGTAGACCGACGCGGTCTCCTCACCCTTGTGCTTGCTGGAATGTACCCCTTGGGCCTCATCATTACCAACATTATCACTGTTGATCCTAAGGACAGGCACATTTCCATTCCCGCGGGCTTCCATTGGGTGACGGAGTTGGTGCAGATACTGCCTCCGCCGCCCCTGGATGTTCGGCTTCTTCTCATGCCATGGCTTTGCCTCGGAAATCAAATCCTGGCGGAACTTAGCCCGCCGCTCGTCAATACCCACTGCATGTCGAATGACCCTAGCCGAGCTTCGAGCGGTGTAGGGAAATTTATTTCTCTGCATCCACGCGGACTCGAACTTGGGAACGCTGTTGACTGTGTCGAATAGGCCCATGAACTTGATCCTGCTAATCGGCCGGCTGAAAGTTTCTCGGAAGGCTTTCATGTATTTGAACAATCTTTTCTTCTCATCGCGCTCCTTGTCATTATCATCACGTCGCTGCTGCCATTTGGCAAATGTTTTCCAAGCAAATCGGATCAACTCTTCATTCCCGGCTCCGAGTAAACCTATATAATCAAGCATCTCGGCCAGAAAACGTGCAATATATGCGCCTCGGCTGAAACCGATAAAGTATATATCGTCTCCGGGTTGGTAGTACCTCATCAGGAACTTATACCCGCCCATTACATGCTCGTCAAATGAAGAACCCACGGCGGAGTCTTTGGCTTTTAGGTATGCCGATTTGATCTTCTGGATGCGCCCATGGCTAGAAAGGGAAGTGCTGGTTATATAGGTTCCGATCCCTGGCTGGTAGTAGTGGAATTGGTGGCTCTTGCTCCGATCGAGCATCTTGAAATGTCGAGGACATTATGTGAGCGGAGCATCAGAACCCTCATGGAGCACCTACTCACCCGAAAGATCTTCAGAACATTGCTGTCCGACCCATCCCCACAGAACTTGTTTCCTGTGCCATCAAAGCACAGAACAAACTGCTTTGGCGCCTGTGTAGGGCCATACAGCGTTGGTGCGCCTTCCATGTTTCAGTGGGCTGTGCGAAGGCGCCTGACTCGGCAGGTCTTTATGCACGCACAAAGAAGAGGGGTCTGGCTAATTAATTTAGGTAGCAGGCTAGGTGCTGAGCAACGTGGGGGTACGCATACTGTATATAGATACAGGGGCACTGGAGCAGGACAGTCACCTTATGCATGAAAGATCAAGACCTGTCGTCCTATGCCGTGGACCATCAGCCAAAAAGGATGGATGCTGACACCGACTCCCCTGATGCATGGATTTGAGTTCCTGCAGCCTTGAATTTTTGCCCGGTCAGCATCGCTGAGTGGAGCAGGAGAAAAGTGGTTGGTGGAAGACATTGAATCAACCGACAGATTCCTGCTCTGCACCTGTAGGAAGCCGGTCACCATCCCGCCATTTGCTTTTACCCGTCATCCAGTCACTTTTTTCCTGGGTCGGACGTTCCCCACAGGCCTCAATAGCCTTGCTGGGTGTCAGCTGCGGCCCCAGCGGCCAAGACTGATAATGCATGCCTAGTTAGCATCACGAGCAGCTGAACCCGGCCGAGTCAGCCCACCAGACATGATGAACAGCCGCTACGGAGGCGACTACAGGGGTCCTGCGCAAGTAACGTTCCAGACGTGTGGATGCCATGCTCGTAGGGCGATCAGCCCCTTCCTCCACAGGTAACATTATCTGACTGTCTGACATGCTCTGCAACTTCAGCTGGGTTGACACCCCTGGCTAGAGCCCGTACCCTAGGTGGGTTTGAGTGCCAGGAGATTGCACTTGGATGGCGGGAAGCGAAGATCGCAGCACGGCAGCGCACATTCCGGCTTCAGACTTCCAGAGATCAATCATGTCAAGTGGTGTGAGACCCATAACACGAGGAGACGATCTTTCCCGATTTTTCCACAAGTGGAGACGGTTTGACCGTCGAATGAGACGACTGACATGACTAGAGTTTCCCTCATCATTGGTAAGTGGGGGATCTGTCGGCATAGCTATGCTACCGAGTCTTCTTCAAAATTCTCCATGCCTTTGGAGCTCAAGGATCCCCTGACTTCTGTGTATATATGCACATAGCTAACTGCGAGTGTCATCTTTAGACTACAAAGTACTACGAATGACGAGACAGTAAAACAATGGGAAGCAAGGGGTGAATAGAGGGGTGGCTGGTGGAGACGGGTTGATAGATTTGCTCCACCGGCATGGCAGCAGGGGGAGAGGACGCCGTACCAGGTGGGGAAACAGACCGAGACGGGGGGACGAGGGATAAGAAGGGGCAATCAAACAAGCGAGAGCAAGAGATGTGGAGGCACCAAGCGGCAAGTGCTGCTAAGAAACAACTCCGTACGCTCCGCCCGATCCAGGAGACTCGAGTTTCCTCGGATGAACTGACCACCTCCAGCAGATCAGACGTCAACTTTTAGGGAGTTGTGGATCTTCGTCTCTGGGCCGAGGGCGGCCTAAGCGCCTGAGGTGTCTCCTAGGCGTGGGGCCTGGACGGCCTGGAGCCGCCACGAACCATTCGGATGCTCCCGATCGCCTCCCATGGAAAGAAACTCTCTCCTCCTCTCTTCTCTCGGTCTCTCCTGGCAATGATCACTGCTTGTTTGCTACGCCCCCGTCTTTACTCCACCCAATCACCCACATGAGTATATCACCATTCAAGCCATGATTTACGCAGGATGTATTTGGAAGATGACTGGCTTGCTGCTCAGCGTATGGCATCTGCCTTCGCTTCAAACTGGTCCTGGCCAGCCCAAACAGACCGGCTGTCAGCCAGCCAGCCACAAGACTCCGTATTCGGAGGTCTTCGCTAATCGCTAACGAGCGACTGGCTTAGGTTAGAGATCAGCGAATCAGACACCCATCCGATCGATCGGGAGGCCTAGATATTGAGTGACGAACACCATCCTCGGTGTGGATCCTCCACCCACGAAGATCCTCTCTCATCCAGCTCGCTGTGCGACCACGGAAGGAGCCCAAATACGTAGACTGCGAAAATAGTCTGTTGTACCCGTGATGCAGCAGTCGTGCCTGTTAGTCTTGGGACGTTTCTGACTATGTTTTCGCGGCTATCGCTGACGATTCGTATTTTCCGACAAAAGCAATCATGATCGGTATCCAGGGATGGGGACAGGTCTAATGCCCAGACTGCCCTGATAGATACGTATGGAAGATTGCCAGCACCAACACCGCGGCCAAATCCACGAATTCCACGGAAAGTTTAATGAGGATGATCCCGTGTCGCGAACGCGTGGGTACCCTACTGCTGGCCCGTCCCCGATTGGACCCCGCTGAAATCTGTGTTGGGATCTTGGCCTTTGGCGAAGGACTCCTCACTTGGGAGGGTATCCCGCCAATGAACGAGGCCCCTACCGTCCTGGCTACGTACTATGTACTTGCTCATGCGTTCTGGCCGCGATGAGTGTAACCCACCATCGCTCGATCGGTCTCTCCCACCTATGCGGTGTGGTCCTTGCTTCCAAGGTCACAATATGTTGCTGCTTGGTAGGGTGATCCTGCAGCCTGCAACAGGCAATGATCGGTGAGCCGTGCTAGCGGGAGAGGGTCCCCAGAGTGGGCCCTCAGCTCAGACGTCAGGCTCTCTAGACTGGACACCATTGGCCTGCCGCGGCGAGCGCGAGTCAACCTCATATAGGATCATTGCTATTGAGTTCTGCAGTTCCACTACGTCTGTTTGCGCTCGGGTGGACGTAGGAACATCACCCATAGTTCGGCACAGTCCGGTGTTTTGCTCTCAGCTCTGCCATGAAATGGTGTTCTGCAATTGGTATTTTGGAGCCGAAGTGGAGACGGACCCTTCCCAGCTCCAGCGCCATGGCCTCGTTTCCGTCCTGAAGGTGGTGCTCATTGCCGTGCTTTCTCTGTGGCTGGCGAGAGTGGAATCACGTCACCCTATTGATTGGCACCACCCAATCGACATGATCCTCTTTTTGTCCGAACGCGTTCCGTACAATGGCCTTTTCCTTCCGCCCCCCTCCATTTTCATTCGACCGAAGACAAGCAAAGTGGCTGCCGCTTGCCTAGCTACCGCTGCCCTTGCTAGCCAGTTACCCCCAAGTCAGCCAGCTTCAGGCGTCTTCTTGCATGTAGGAGGGTAGATCCTGCATGTACCGCCGCAAAAATTCGTGTTATGTACTCCGTTCTTCGGCCGCAGTTCAAGGCCACCTTGCACAGCGGAACCACGTTTGTTTCCACATGCCCCTTTACCCAGCACTCGGTCGACCCGACGATCCCCACTCTTCCCGGGGCAAAGGGTCAGCCAAACTCAAGGGCCGTGGTGCTAGTACCCGCGGGGCTTGATCGATAGATCAGCAGCATCTGGATACGGTACACATGCTAGTGGCGGTCCGCCTTAATCGGGCAATTACTATTGTGGTGATGGGGATTCGATGGCTGGTTCCACAAATTGGCTGGCACAGTTGATAATTTGATACTGGCCTAAAGCATGTCGACCCCATGCGTTGTTGCTTTAAAACCTATTCTTCCGACGGATCAGTTCAATGTCTTGTTATTGCTGATTTCTTCATTTTGCCCTTTGCACGCTCTGTTTTGCTCCATCTTTGGTTCTGGATTTTGTTATCTTGCCCTCGTTCCCTCTTGACGTATTGCGAGTTACATAATCATAATGTTGCGCCGATTTTCATCGACCTTTAAAAAGTCGTCGAAAGGCGATCGGGAGGCGAAGCCGAATGGAACCCAGGTAAACGGGCAGAAGCGTCAGTCGAAAGTGCCGACGGCGGGGGACTCATCCACGGAAGAGAGTCGCAGCGATCGCAGCGACAAGAGTGACGATGGCCTGCCGGCATTCGAAAAGTATGCCCAGGTCTTACACGCTTCTCGGCGCCCTTTGCCAACCCAGAATGGCGATGGCACCTACCTGGAGCACGAGCACTCGAGCAGCTTGTTCCAGGATCTGCGATCCCTGGGTATTAATGACGCCGGGACGCTGAAGGATCTCATCAAGACCAAAGCGAAGGGAGAATACATCAACGATAAGACAATGCTTATGGAGCGAATTATCAAAGTAAGTCGATATTATTCTGAGTGTGCTCGGTTGCTAATGGGTGCTCCTTCAACAGCTCGTCAGCAGCCTCCCAGGAAACTCGAAGACCCGCGCCGACCTCACAAATGCCTTTTTGGACGAACTCTGGGGTTCCTTGCCTCACCCACCTCTGTCGTAAGTCGAGGCTTAGTGTTTAGATCAGGGCGCTCGCCCTAATACGCTGCAGGTACATGGGAGAGGAATATGCCTACCGTTCAGCCGATGGTTCCAACAACAACCCGACTCTTCCCTGGCTAGGCGCCGCCGATACCGCCTATGCGCGTTCGATCGCGCCTTTAACGATCCAGCCCGGTGGGTTGCCAGATGCCGGTCTGGTTTTCGATTGTCTATTTGCGCGCGAGAAATTCACCCCTCATCCGAACAAAGTGTCGAGTCTGTTCTTCGACTGGGCGTCGCTTGTCATCCACGGTTTGTTAGCCCCCTGATGTGGTCACAACATGGCGCTGATACTAGGAGTAGATATCTTCCAGACGGATTACAGAAACCCTAATGTCAACAAGACGTCTGCCTATCTCGATCTCTCCATCCTGTACGGGGATAACCAGGAAGACCAGGACTTGGTGCGGACATTCAAGGATGGAAAGCTGAAGCCCGATACTTTCTCGGAACAGCGACTCCAGGCGTTCCCACCAGCCTGCTCCGTGTTGATGGTTATGCTTAGCAGGTTTGTACTGTTCTTCTGGACCGGGAAAGGTTCTAACTGGGTCTGTCCAACAGATTTCATAATTGGGTCGTAGGGGAGCTGGCAGCTATTAACGAAAATGGCCGCTTCAACAAGCCCAAGGCTGATCCCGACGAGGAGAAAACGAGAAAGGCTTGGGCCAAATACGACAACGATCTTTTCCAGACCGGACGACTGTATGACATTCCACACATCGCTGTGACTGATGCGAAGGTCTGACCATTCATAGGATTACATGCGGCCTTTTCATCAATATCACTCTCTACGATTATCTACGCACCATTGTCAATTTGAACCGGAGCAATTCCACTTGGTGCTTGGTAAGTGGACATTCAACCGGTGGTTTGTGCTGAGACTGACCAACAACAGGATCCCAGAGCGCAGATGGAGGGCAGCAAGAGTACCCCATCTGGGCTTGGTAACCAGTGCTCCGTGGAGTTCAACCTCGCATATCGCTGGCACTCGGCTATCAGCGCCAATGATGAAAAGTGGACTGAGGAGGTCTACGAAGAACTCATGGGGAAGCCTGCCGCGGAGGTCTCGATGCACGAGCTTCTCCAGGGGCTTGGCAAATACGAGCGAGAGATCCCCAAGGACCCATCCAAACGCACGTTTGCCAACCTCAAGCGCCAGGAAGATGGAACGTTCAAAGACGAGGAACTTGTGAACATCCTAGTCAATGCCATCGAGGATGTTGCCGGTAAGTTGAGATATGACAACCAAGAAGAACAGTCAGCTTACCATTGTAGGCTCCTTCGGCGCACGGAATGTGCCCAAGGTCTTAAAATCCGTGGAGATCCTGGGCATTGAACAAGGCCGCAGATGGAATGTCGGCTCTCTGAACGAATTCCGCAAGTTCTTCGATTTGAAGCCATACGAGAGGTTTGAAGACATTAACTCCAACCAAGAAGTCGCCGACGCGCTTCGTCATCTGTACGAGCATCCGGATTATGTGGAACTCTACCCTGGTATTGTAGCTGAAGAGGCCAAGGAGCCCATGATTCCTGGTGTTGGCATTGCTCCTACGTACACGATTTCTCGTGCAGTTCTCTCCGATGCCGTGGCACTTGTGCGCGGTGACAGATACTATACCGTGAGTATCCACCAGCCTTGTAAGGCCCTCGGCTAACCATGCTTCAGATTGACTACAACCCACGCAATCTTACCAACTGGGGATACAATGAGGTCCGGTATGATCTGAACATCAACCAGGGATGCGTGTTCTACAAACTCGCGCTGCGGGCCTTCCCGAAGTTCTTCAAGTCTGATTCTATCTACGCACACTACCCCATGACCATCCCCAGCGAAAATAGGAACATCATGAAGGACCTTAGCCGCGAGTCTCATTATTCTTATGACCGGCCTCGCTACACTGAGGCTGCTCCGACCCTGCTGTCCTACCCCAACGCCAAACTCGTCCTGAACAGCCCGAACGACTTTCATGTGCTCTGGGGGGGACTTAGCTCGCTCCATGCTGGAAAGGGAGGTATTGACTTCTGGAGTAAGTCCTACGACAACGATCAATGGCGGAAGAACATCCGAGACTTTTACGAGGACGCCACCTTGAAGTTACTCGGCGAGAAATCTTGCAAGCTGGCTGGGATCAAGCAGGTGGACATCACCCGGGATGTCGGAAATCTGGTGCCCGTCCATTTCGTCTCCAAGATCTTTTCGTTGCCGCTGAAGACGAAGAGCAATCCCCGGGGCATCTTCACTGAGCATGAGATGTTCATGATCATGGCGGTGGCCTTCACTTCCACGTTCTTCGATGTTGACCCTACCAAGTCATTTGCGCTGCACCATGCAGCCCGCGCTGTCTCGCAGGAGCTGGGTCGGGTGGTGGAAGGTCACGTCAAGTCCATCAACTCTCCCGGATTCCTTCACAGTATCATCGACAGCTTCCGCGATGACCACAATGCCCTGAAGGACTACGGCGATCAGCTGATCAAGCGTCTTTTGGAGAGCGGCCTGGGAGTGTCCGAAGTGACCTGGGGCCAGATCCTGCCGGCCGCCGTTGAGATAGTTCACACCCAGGCTCAGATGTTCACCCAGATCATCAACTTCTACCTCACGCAGGGCAAGGCATATCTTCCGGAGATCAACCGCCTGGCCCGGGAGGAGACCGAGGATGCGAATGACAAGCTTGCCCGGTACTGTCTGGAGGCTGTCCGTCTGAATGGCAACCTGGGCACCTACCGCCAGTCTCAGACGCATCTCACCGTGTCTGATGAGAGCGGCCAATACACCATCAAGCCAGGCGAGAAGGTGTTTATCGGCTCGGTATGTGATCCCACTGATACCCTTCTACTGGACTAATGTTCGATAGGAGAGAGCGAACCGTGACCCCAGAGCTTTCCCATCGCCCAACGAAGTGCGTCTTGACCGGCCTCTAGAGTCCTACCTGCGCTTTGGCACTGGCCCGGAGAGTGGACTGGGCACGGATGCCACCCTGATCGCGGTCACTGCCATGGTGCGGATTGTCGCTCGTCTGGACAACCTCCGGCCTGCTCCTGGGGCTCAGGGGCAACTGAAGAAGATTCCTCAGGCGGCTGGATTCTCGGTATACCTGCGGGAGGACCACGGCAGTTATTCCCCGTTCCCGACCAGTAAGTCTGTTCTGTTCTTGCTCTTTGCGTTCAACTTGCTGATGCGAATTATTTTAGCCTACAAAGTGCACTATAACGGGGATGTGCCCGCTCCTAAGCGACAGGTGACGACTGTTTGAGTGGTGACTCGCTTTGGTATCATGTGTTTTACGTTTGAGATATCCTTGTGTTAATCAAAATGCTGTTTCTTCCGTGCTTTATGTGATTCATTATACATCCGCGTAATCGTATAAGCAGTCAAGGTCCCGAGGCTGTCCTCGCACTCGCATGTAGACCAACTTGCTAATTGCAATCGCGCGGCGCCTATCCGACTGCCTCTTTCTAGTCGCATGCAGCCCGACCTACTGAATCACACTAGACCATCCCCACCCAATCCAATCATGACATTAAGCGCCGAGGTCAAGCACTGAAGCGGACACGTCCGCGAGATGCAGACCCACTTGAATCCTGAGTCCAGGGTATTAGAAGACCCTTCTGACCCTGTCCTTACCAATGCAGCCAGACATTGGAGAATCCGGGTGGCGGCTTACCCCGTGGTGAATGGAGTTGGGATGGCGCCTAATGGGCCGTCGTGACTCGGTGGCTTGCTCTGAACGTCACCGGACCAGCGGCAGGGTCAGCCCTACTCTGACTCCGCGTCCACCAGGTTCCCTCAGCATTGCATCTTCCGGTTGATCTCGCCAACCGCTCGGTTGCTTCCAGCCATCGTATCTAGCATAGGTAACCTCCATCCTACCTATCTACCTCATCCGTGCACTGAACCATACTTATGAACTATATCCCACAGACAGACACAGTGACCGTGACGACTCCTCTATCATCATTCAATTAACCACCTAGACACCCATCCAATAACCACCCCCCGACCCGCCACGGGGAACCGACCGCGCCCGACAACGGTTCAGGGGCACGGGCTGCCAGCCCCGCGCTAACGGATCTAACCTAGCGCTGGTTACTCCGTAGTGGTTAGTGGTTTGATGAGCCCGTCGTCCGCGGATCGTCTCAGCCGGTTAGCATCCTGGTCGGTCCTGTTCACTAGGACTAGGACTAGGCTGTGTCGTATCCTGGTTGCTCTGTCTGACGGACTTATTTATCGCGGGTGCCGTCCACCCAGCATACTATTATTGACAAGCTTCTTACTCTACTTGATATCTACCATCGGCTGGTGAGTTATTTCCTTCGTTATGTTTATGGTGGTATGGATAATGTTGAATAGGTGCTGATGATTTACAGATCTCATCTAATCCTACTTCTACTCAGCAACACCCACCACCCAACCAAACAATAAACCATGCCCGTCCTCACCCCCCACGACCGACCCAAAACCGACTACGAGCGGTGGCTCGAATCCCAACCCGACAGTTCTAGTTCCAGTTCCAATTCCCTGACCAGTGGCAACCAAGTACAATACCACCCGCCGAATCCCGATCTCGAGACGGACGACACCTCGTCTAATGACGCCGGGAATAGACATGGACACGCGCACGGGATGTTTCTGCATCATACGTATCATCGCCAGGGCGCGGTGGGGCATGGGTATGGTGTTCGGGTGGATGGATCGTATACGTTCGTGCCGGGGGATTATGGGGTGCTGGTGGTGAAGGTCGTGGTGTTGGTGTTGTTGGTGGTGGGGGTTCTACGGGTGGGGAGGGTGCTGAGAGGAAGGCGTGGATGGGATCGGCAGGTACAGATTTAGAGTCTTGGTCGGGTCTGAGTTAGGGACAGGGTCTGGGCTTGGGTTTGGGGACACCGCGGGTCGGGTCTCGGGTGGATTATGGGCGGAAGAAGGGTTTGGTTGAGAAGAACGCTGGTCGGGTGAGGATCTGGGTGGTTGGTTTGGTATGGAGTTGGCGTTGTTTCAGCTGGTCATGTACACAAGTTTGTACTATTGTTTGTTAGTTGGTTTGATATCCATGCTTGGTTTGGTTATGTAGCCGCGCGGTAAGATTGTATCTAAGTAGAATGAGAGTCGTTTATTGGTTTCGGTATACGGAGTATCCATTGACCTTCTATTCATAGCCTGCTGCTGCTGCGGCTGCACATGTCGGAGAAACCACCTCCAGCAGCACTACCGATCCAAACCCATAAATCCACAAATGGGACGAAATCCCCCTTACTCCACCCACCGCTGCTAAGTTCGCGACGGCGCTTAGACTCCCCTCGCAGTGTCTATCTATCTAATACCTATTAGCCATCGCTCAACCTTCCCAGTGGGGATAGAACGAGACGACGATCCGTCGCCCCACGCAATATCACCACGTTGGTCCGATTGGACGCCGAAGCGCTGTCCTGGGGAGGGGAATAGATAAGTGTAATTTCCTGGGCAGATAAATAGGACTAGGGACGGTGCTGGGAGCTGAATCAGGAGGTTTGGCTACTGCGGGGCTAATGCTGGGACTTAATTTTAGGGTGTTGTATTCCACCAAGGTAACTTTCTTTGTTTGGGGATAAAAATTAGTGGGTGAGGGGTTAGCGAGTAGTTGGATATAAGTGAGAGGATTGTTTGGTTTATTTACTATGTAAGATATTGATTGCTATGTCGACTCTATGTACATACTGTGATGGTGATGGCGATGGAATCCTTCGGGTACCGGCTGGGGAATGTGATGGGTATGGGTGGGGCGAGCAATGGCCCAGGGGAATCCTACCTACACTACTCCGTACACTACGGAGGATGGAGGATGGATCAGCACTGCCAAGCTTGCTTCGGTTCACTCGCTATCTAAATTATTGGATGACCAGTTACGGCATGCTTTGACACGGACTAGGATCATGAAGCACGTCGGTATGGACCCTAGCAGTTGGTGGTCAGGCGCCTAATGTTGTTACAGAGTCCCAACTCGCCATACACCCTCACCCAACTTGACACTATCGTGAACCTACCCAATCTCCAATCTCACACTGCAAATACTTCATCCGGTTCTTCCCTTCTCGCTTTCTTCCGAGCCGTCATATCGCGAGCCATTGGTCCAACAAAACCCGGGCGCTTACAGACCTCCAGATACCCAACATCCACCCTATACAAAGAACCCTCACATTAGCCGCCGAGCAGCGTCAGAGACAACCATGCACTTAAAGCAAGCCATCTCCATCTCCAGGATGAATCTCATCGCCGTGCGACCCGTCAAACATCCAGCGCCACGGGCTATCTGCCACCTATCCTACTGAGTCACCTTCCAAGATAACCCCCTCTACATCCTCCACCATCTTGAAAGAACAAATGTCCAACGACCTAGCCCCTCCATTCGGCTACCCCCTCCGCCGCAACGGGTCCTGCTACGACACCGAAAACGACTGCGGCACGACCTGGGGTCCCTACCACGAATGCTGTCCCAAGGGCGCCACCTGCGCCCCGGGAAACTGCTGCCACTCGGCCGCCGCCTGTGGCAACATTCTCAAACTGAACCCGCATTGCGGGAATACTTCGGCGGTGCTGTACTACGAGAATGATTACTTTTGTTGCGCGAATGGGACGGATGCGTTCGCCTGGGTGTCGGATGGGTTTGTGGGGTGTACGAATGATGTTGCGACTTTGGGGTCCGAGTTTAGTTTGTTGTCGCCGGTGTCGACGACGCAGAGTTCGGCGAGTTCTAGTATGTGCATGTGTCTGCCTTGCGTTGAGTGATGGGATAGTGCTAATGTGTATAGCTCCGACTGCGTCGACAACATCACACCCCCTCATAACTACCGCTACGGGTTCGGCTACAGCAACACGACAAACAACAACATCCCCACCCACCGCATCCTCCACCCCTCTCTCATCCTCAAAAACCAACATCCCCGCCATCGTAGGCGGGATCGTCGGCGGCGTCGCAGCTCTCGGTCTAATCATCTGTCTCGTCTGGTTTCTGCTCTTCCGTCGAGCGAGAGCCGTGCGTAGACACCAACATCAACAACATCAACAACATCAACCAAATCAACCAATGTCCTTCCTCGGTCCACGAGCAAAGAACCACCATCCAACCGAGTTGCAGGCTGATCCCAACCCCCCGGTTCCGGAACTAGCGCCCAATCCGCCCGTCTATGAATTGACCTCCCGACCACCGGTGTATGAATTGGCATCGAGACCGCCAATCTATGAGTTGGGGTCGCGACCCCAAGTGTATGAGTTGCCTGTGGGGTCGTTCGGGGAGGGGGGAAGAATATGATTCTACCTTTGGGGGGTAGCTGGGTAGCTGGGGAAGATAGTATCTACCTGCGTGGTTTTGTTCAGGGATGAACTTTTCTCTCTGGATTGTATATATCCGTTGTGAATTGTCTATACAAGATATACAAGATATCTCGCGTGCCTAGTGAAAAATAGCCTGTAATGTTTCTTTCGTGCCTGTTCCTCTGATATCAGTCATTTCCCCGAGAGAGAGAGAGAGAGAGAGAGGTTGTTGGGGGGGGGGGGGGGAGAAAGGGAGCGAAGGGCTCTTGTTGTGGGCCAAACCAACCTGTGCAGGCACTCTACCCTGGCTCGAGCATTGGCGAAGTAGTATATCATCGTCGTTGTGAGTTCCTTGACATCAAGTGGATAGATTAACTGAGTTTGGCGTTGGAGTAGCCAGCATCTCCAGCTTGAGAGGATGTGTGAGATTGGGTATATACTATTGTGTACTTCTCAATGGATCTATACTAGGGACGGCAACTGCGGTGCTTTTGTCTACGGATTAGATTTGGCCGCTGGTTGAGATGTAGAAGGTTGAGAATAAGATTGAGTTAATTAGCTAGAGTGGACAAGGAATTGGTGGTTGTGGCAATATAGATAGAGCACTGGTTTTGATACGGTAGGTATTAGAGAATGCTTATATCAAATGTAGAATACAGAGTATATAGCAAAGGACTGAGGAACTGCATCTTGATATTGTCAATGTAACTGACGAGGCATAGCAGAAGATGCAGGGGTTGAGACAAGATAAAGGCATCAGTCATAGATTACTTGATTATTACGGGGGATCAGGTACATAGCACTGATATACTACAACTGACACGTGCTCTCGGTTATGAAGCATGGCAAACCACTGTACAGATCTGCTAGTTATGCCACTAAGATCAAGCCTGAAATGGGGCATATCAGCCAGGTTTGTAGGTTAATCGTGCTCGGTTGATCTCGTGTTGAAAGATTTGTGCTTTGTTGACTACCAGTAACTAAGGCTGAGCTGGTCATTGTCCTGGAGTACCTCCTCGACAGAATTATATCCTGGTTCTAGAAACACATGTCTTAGTCAGTAGTCTTGCAAAACCTAGTTCAATACCTATGGTCGGTTGCTCCTGTTAAAAGACATCCGATCATGCAGCGTGATGAAGATATGCTCGGTCACCAAGATGCCAAACAGACACGTTGCAAGGTCGGATGCGCCTCTATCTTTCAAGTAGGATCGCAGACGAGCAACTGATATATTATCATGTTGAACCAAAGCGTGTAAGGCCTGTCGCCAACTTCCGTCAGTTTATCCAGAGCTGGAGTCAGGGTCGGAATGACAACGGTTGGAAACGTCCCCGTAGAGTTGGGCGGGTGAGGGTGCAAGTCACCAACGCCTTGATCTCTGGTACTTCGTAATCCAAGCCTGCAATACGAAGGATCGATTGACAAACACTTGCTCGGATGGGACGGAGAGTTGATGAATAGCAAGTGGCTGAGCATATCCAATGCCCGTCAATAGATATGCAGCTGCATGACATTAGTGTGGTGTGGTTCTGGAAGCGTGCGGCATGTCTAGGCCGGCCCAGACTTCGAGTCCAGTTTGCTCGCTCGGGGTTTCTTCTTGCGCTTTCGCCGATCCAGAAAGGCGACGCGTACGGAGTAGTATATTCTCATTCTGATGACAGACCGTCACTGATCGGGGTTGGATGGGTGTTCGCGCTGCGGATGGCCGCCGGAGATGCCGAAGCTGAGGCGATGCGCCGTCAGCAGTAACTCGTGAATGACAGCCAATATGGCTATGAATTCCCGATGATGATCATCATCATGTGAGAGAGGCTGAAGAGAACATCATCGAAGGATGAGTGGACGTGGAGGAACGAGACGACAGGAGCGAAGGTCAGAGGAAGAAAAGCAAGTCAGGTGGCGGCGGGAGGGCCTGAGCTTCCCCTCGTGTGTTTTCCGATCGATTCTCCAGCGCTTCCCTTCCCATCCATCCTTCTGCCCGTCTGGACTTGAACTCTTGACCTCACCACTCAACTTTCCCTGGTCTCTTGCGACCTCCCCTTATCTCTTCTGCCCCCACGTTCTCGCTGGGGCTTCCAGGTCCACCCCCCTGGGAACTCCATCTCCATTAGCGCCAGGCCAAATCATCCTTGTGGCCCTCCCCGGCGCAGTTTTTGTGTTCCACCCCCCTGAGCTGCGACCTCCGTTTGCCTCTCCACTCCTACCGCCCCCAGCCCGAATCCGAATCCAAATCCAAATCCAACTTGGATACGGAACGGTACCACTTTCTGGTTCGGCTCGCCTGTGGTTACCGCTGAATCTTTGCCGGTGGTTCCCCCAGCATGAGGCCCGTTTAACTCAACTTCCTGGTTGCAGAGAGATATGGAAGCGTCACATCCGCCCCCCGAGGGGATTATGCTTCCCCCCAGCCCGGTTGGTTCGACCGATTCACTCGACTCGACCTCGTCCGGCTCTCCCACAGAGCTCTCCAGAGAGGCGAAATGCGGCGATAACGTCATGATCACTCTGTCCCTCACACCTGATCCCCCCGTGCAAACTCCTACTCGTCTCCCTTTTACGCGTTCCCATTTCCGGTCACGATCGATGGTCGAGGTCCCCGGCCTCCCCCCCATGACCCGCGCCCATTCGTCGCCAGGGCTAGACTCACGGGGAAGATATATATTTGGCACCAATCGCGGGTCTCCGGCGAACGTGGGGGATGCTGCGCAGCGCTATCTGCCCTTGCAGGTCACCACTGGAGACGGCCTAGAGTCCAGAATGGTACCCCTGAACATATCGGAGACCATCTCAGAACATGCGGAGCTGGATACCAGCCTGGTCTCCTCTCCCTCCCAACTCGACTACCACCCGACCTCGCCGGTTTTCTCGCATACGCTGCCTCGTGTCGGCCGTCGCCGACCCTCGTCCCCTCTTCACTTCCAAAGCCCAACCTCGTCCGCCCAGGCGATGGGCAGTCCCTCCGGTCATTCCTCCCCCGTGATCCTGGGGATGAGATATAATGAGTCCTACCCGGGGTATTCGGCATCTGCGACATCCTCTGTACCCTCGACCCCGACGAGCCTTCGATCCCGCAGTCCGAGCATCTCCTCGTTGGAGACGATCCCCGATATCCCAGACGCCGAAGCTGCAGCCATCGAGGCGGACAGGATCGCGGCATTGAAAGCTGCAGCCGATAAGGCGGATGAGGCAGAAGCGGCGAGCAACGGTAATCGACGGCGTGGGGCATCCGACGCTTCGGGGCCATCCAGCAGTCTGACGATGCGGGGCGGATCGGTGGGCTACGGTGCGCGGGCAGATAAACGCAAACGTTGGAGTGTGTGTGGAGCCGAGCGTCGACAGGATTTAGACTTGGAAACGATCTGGGAAGACTGAGCGCGATGCAGACATCGATCTCACCATCCGTCAGCGTACTCGGCATACCTATGTCGCTCAGTGACAATTGGACACCCGTTCAATGTTATGTTTCTGCCGGGTTGTCATATCAGATACCCAACTCGACAACCCGTACACCACCATCCATCATATTGGGAATGAATCCTATCACTTTAGGAGACAACACAGTTCAAACGTCTTTGCTTGTTGCTTCTCGCTGTGTATCAGGCGCCAATACGGAAATCCTCAACTGCCACTGACTGTTTCCGCCTTCATCCTCAACAATCATCATTAGCTCTTGCACAGGAAGGCCGCGGCTGAGAATCGCGCAGGTTCGTCGATGCTCTGCCAGTCGAGTTTGTTTATCTTATCTGGTTCTCTTTCCAGCATGGCGCATGGTACTTTCTTCATGCCATTGGGGGCGTATTGCGTATTGCTTTCTGCTCTCTTCCTTTACCGTGCTCATTGCATTGTTCGTTTTCTTTCTTCTCGGGTGAACTGGATTGATTGATTGATTGACAGCAATATGTGGTTGTGATTCCCCTGTGATTGTCCTTGTTGTCTATTGTTCTCTATAGCACTTATGGGTCGGCCTTGTGTATTCCTTTTCCTGTACTATGGACATGCGTGTGTTCTGGCTGGTGAGTGTGCGTGCGGGTGTGTAAATACTGGTAGTTTGCGATACTGCAATCATACATATTTAGCTGTACACCAACAGAGTGCCTATATACACGAGTGTAGATATAGTATATATCGATCCAAAAAGAACCAAAGAATCTCCAAAGCAAGAAAAACAAAAAATAAACAAAAAAAAAGAAAAAAAAAAAAAGCTATATACCAACCCAAACCCCCAACCAACACAAGCCTACTATCCCCCACCTACAAAAGCCCCTTCGCCCTCGCCGACGGCAACGAATCATCCCTCTCCAACCCAATGCCCACCCTCCCCAAGCCATACAAATTACAAATCTGGCCTGCCGCGCGCTCCCCACTCCAATACGCCCCCGTGGTGGTCCCCAACGCCACAAACGGCGCCGTATGTTCACCCGCGAACCACACCGCCCGATCCACACCCAGCCCCGCTCTCAGGACCTCAATATCCCGATCTCCCTGCGTGAGCCCGACTTGGAAATTGCAGTAGGATCCGTTGCCGGCGTAGGGGTCGTTTTGCCATTGGGTGGCGGTGAAGGCGAGCGGGGTGCAGTCTGGGGAAGAGGCGGAGTAGCCGTGGAGACGGGAGTAGAAGGGGTGGAGGAAGGTGTTGAGGAGGTTGTAGGATTCGTCATCGCTGGAGGAGGAGGAGGTGGTGGTGGTGGTGGAGGAGGGGATGGTTGCGAGTTTGGAGACGATGTAGGTGGAGCAGGGGCCGAAGGTGTAGAAGAGGAGGGTGGGGTGGGCGCAGGATGGGGGGAGAGCGGCGAGGGAGATGCATTCTTGGTTCCAGATGATATTTTTGGGGGGGCTGGTGTATGTTGGGTTGAGGAATTGGGCGAAGGTGGGGTTGGTGAAGTTGGTGTATTTTGGGCTGGTTTCGGTGGTGGTGGTGGTGGTGTCGGCGTGCCAGAAGGCGCGGGGAAAGGTCACGTATACTTTTTCTAAGCGGCCGTAGGAGATGCTGTCGATGGCTTGGGTGAGGCGAGGGGGGAGTTCGGGGGTGAAGGCTTGTTTGTTGCGTTTCAGCCAGCCCAGTGGGCAGGTGACTACTACTTCGTCGAATTGGAAGGTTTCGCCAGATGCGGTGGTGAGAGTCACCTTGCCGGGGGATCTGAGGTCTTGTCGGGGTTCGGATTCGATCTTGACGATTGGCTGGTTGAAACGGATGTCGGCGCGCTGGAGGGCTGCTTGGGAGACATGCTTGAGGATGTTCTTATACGTCGATGCCACGAAGAAGTTATCTGGTGCCGGGTTAGTTGGGGTCGTGGTTGACTGGAGATAGGTACGTACTCCCATCTATGCACTCTTCGAGACAGAAGAACTTTAAACTCTGCCGTTCAATCGGGTCACCGACATATGCTCCCCATAGTCTGGAAGACTCGATGCACAGGTCCTTTTCGGTTGTGGTGAGGTCGGTTTCCTCGACCTTTTCCCGGATAAAGTCAAGCAGGCTTCGATCCGGTGGAATGGTGTCTTTATGGATGTTGCTATACTCAAAGGCGTTTTCGATAGTTGTCCACAAAACCTCTGATATCCTGGAGGCTGTATCATCATCGATAGCCTTTCCGTCTGGGGAAATTAACGCCTGGTTTCCTTCGAAGTCTTCAAGCACTGTCCCCGTGGCTTCTGCAATTGCGGCAATCGGGTTCTTTCCAGTGCCATGGATCCAATTGGGGCCCCTGAAACGAGTCAATTGGATGCAAAACCCGTTGAGGACCGGGGGTGGTATACATGTCTATCAGATGTGTATGGATCTTCGTTTGGTGTACCTGCTTCGGATCAGTGGATTGCTTGGTCAGGATAGGTGCATTATACGCACCCTGCCTCCAACCCTGTTCCTTGCTTCGAAGAGAGTCACGCGAGCGCCATTCTGGATTAAAATGTCGGTACATCTCAAGCCTGAGAGGCCGGCTCCGATAACCGCCACGTTGGGCCTTTTGCCCATGGCGATGGTCTTGTGAAAAAGAAAGAGATCTTCCCGAGATTGCAGCAATGAGTGGACGTCCCTGGTATTGACCGTATGCAGTCTGCGCCTGTTGTGCTACTCGATGTTAGTCCCCGGCCAAATCTCTAAGATCACGGTAAACGGCGCAAGTTGCAGCCGCTGAATATGCTTCCGAGCCACGACACGACAGCCACACCCAGACTTGAACAGGCCACAAAGAGACAGAACCAGCTGGACGGACCTACCCGGGGATGCAAACAATTACGTCTCCTGCTACGACACACAAGGGAGACACCCAGGAGCATCAGCTAGGAGGGGCGAGCGAGAGCCTTCTAGTTCTCTCAAGACGGGCAAAGTCCGGCGGTTATAAGTCAGCGGCCAGCCACGTGCCCGAGGCCCCAACTATACGGGGCCTGGCCAGTGGCCAGTGGCCACTCATCTCTCCGACTGCATATCACCCATCACCCCACCTCCCCTGGTACTCCACTTTATCAGGCGGCTACCTATCTATCAAACAGCTATCTTATCATCGCTTCACATTGTTTTGTTGTATTAGGCTATTCGGCTGTAATAGCATTGGGATATCATCTATGGCGTGCCACAGGGTTTCGTCATCAATCAGGATCCATGGTTGCAACTGCCTGGAGCGACCTGGAGCAGCCCACCGAGGAGAACGTAAAGCAATCATCTCACAAATCATACACACAATCACCCGCTTGCTGGCCTTGAACCTCCAATATTGAACTTTACAAAGGAAAGAAGGGATATGAAACAAAGGGGGAATGAAGAAGGGGAAAGAGACAAAGGAAAGGTCGATCATCAACCGGGCACTAGGAGGACTCGCTCTCATCTCCAGGCCCCTTGGCTCAGAGACAACAAGCCTTGGATGCAGTCCAGATCTTCTTCCTGGCTGGCACCTCCCCCGCCATTCATGAAGGCGGATACCTCGGCGTCCACCTCTGGTGCATCCTTGCCCATTACCCCGCTCGCGCGGTGGTGCGAGTGAGACACCCGTGAGTACCTTCCGGCGGATGCCACATCCCTGTTGGTTTTCCCATCCCGGCTGCTGGCCTCCCGGAGGATGGGACGCCGGGAGTGATGATGGGAAGTGGCTCGTCGGCGCATGTGGGAGACTCGGGTCCCCGGTATCCAGTTCTCCTTATCAGAGTCGCCCCATTGCAGCTCCAGATCGTCCTCTTTTGTCGAGAGCATTTTCGCGTTGGATAATTTATCGCCGAGGGTCGCCCGGCCAGTCTCCAGCCGACCCAGCGAAGAGACCGTGCGAGAAATCTTTCGCCTCTTCTCGCCAGTCGGTTTAGGAACAGGTGTGTTGAGATAGTCGGAATAGTTCAAGGCACTATGTCTTGCTGACATACTCCTCGTTAGCGAACGCTGACCGCGTGCACGAAAGAAGGCGGGGGAGCCAGCATTCGGTGCACTCTGGGAGCTGGTCGGGGTCGACAGCGCACTCCGCGCATCAGTGTCGAAGAAGGATTCCCAGTTGCGAGGATCTCGGGATCTCCCGAACATTCTTTCAGTCTCCATGGTGCCACCTCGCGGCGTACTAAAGGCCACGGCACTGTTGCTCCTCCGAAGTCCTGCAAATCTAGGCTTACGCGCCGAGAACATGGAAATACGGTTTTTGGACGGGGACGGCTCGCCATCGGCGCGGATCACGGCTTTTCCATCAGAGGACATGGCGATCCGCAGGGCATTCCGTCCTTTGGGAGGAGACGGAGTCAGCTCGCCTTCCTTGCGCACCATAGCCTCTCCATCAAACGAGAGCGATATCCGCAACGAGGGCGGCGATTTCATATCCTGGAACATCCCTGGTGTTGAAGATCCCTGCACAAATGGTCGGCTACCGCGGATGTCAGAGAACGATCGCTTCCTCTTGGCGGAATTCTGGTGGGATTCGTCGAGGGGTTCATCATGTGTCTGAGCTGGTTCTGGATCCGGAATGGCTTCGTCTGGGGCTTGCTGTGAATCCTCCACAGCTTCGGTGGCCAAGCTCGTTTGAGAGCTCAACCCCGCCGGGTCCAATTCGTTCTTATCCTCCACTACTTCAGATTCAAAAGACGTGTTATCGGATGGCTGCGTGTCTGGATTCCTGTCCTGGCAATTGTCTTCCGAATGCTCCGTCCCACTTGAAGATCCGGGTTCTATCGGTAGGTTGTCATCCGTCGCAGTTGGTTTTGACGCGTCAGGCACGTCCGACCGGGGCGCGAGGAGCTCATGAGGTTGCAGTGGCTTCGATTTCCGGCGATCATTCTGACGGCGGTTTTGGAACCAAATCTGAGTTCCCAGGCAAGAAAGGTTAGAATGCATGTGAGGTGGGCGTGGGTGGCCGTCGGAAACATACTTGGACTTCCTTCTCGCCCAGCGAGACGCGACTGACTATACTGGCTCTGGCGGTCTTGTCTGGTTTTGGGTTCCGTTGATACTCGGACTCGAGGATCGCGTGGTCTTCAGGACTATACGTGGAGGGTTGACGTGTCAGCGATATACTGGCTGAAAGCCATTGGACCGGGAAGTGGAATTGGTTTCCGTGCATACCTCGTCCGACGCCGTTTTTGGCGGGCCAGCAATTTATTGTCGACGCGTGGAGGAAGGTTCTGAGTAAGGGTTTTCTGAGAGTGGACTAGGAAGGCGTAATTAAGAGCAGCAGACTCGGATGGCTGGGCTGGGGGTGGCGAAGAGGCACATGCAGCAGCAGCAGCAGCAGCAGCAGCAGCAGAAGGCTCCGGATCAGACATGGTGGATAGCGGTAAATAGAGCGACACGCATGGGAGGACGGGGAGGACCAAGCAGTAAGGAAGGAAAGAAAGTAAAGAAAGACGGGGCCGCGGCCAAAGTAGAACGGCGAGGTGAGGTGAGCAGGAAATCCGGTGTGGGCACGAATCCCCAACCCGAAGGAGGAAAAAGACGCTTCATCTAATCGCGTCGCGATGTGGACGCGGGCGGGCGCCGCGGATTGTATGTAACTGCTCGTACGGAGTACTGTATGGTTCTCCGACCTCCGCTCTGCTGCCGAGGCCGATTCCGCCACGAGCTGTCCCTTGATTTACTCTATTCCTATAAACATTCAATCAATTCCCTTTTATCCTACCTACCCTATTCACTACTTTACTCCTTACGGACTACAATTATACTCATCAATGCAATCCTCCCCTGCCGTCATTCTAACATACTCCGTACCTATGTCCGAAGAAAGAGACCGAGGACCTTGAGTGTAACGTCCGTTCCAAGGTCCAGCGGAATAGCACCGCCGCGCGTAGTTTCTTCTGCCTGCCTGATCGCTGCCTTTTTCCCTGCTTAGCTCATACCTTACAGGCTGAAGTAACCAAGTCCGGTTCAGGCTCGCGCCTCGTGCGTGATCTTTGGATTTCGTTGTTATTGGTTGGTCCCTGGACATGGGGTGCCAATGTTCACCTACATTCTATTTAGTAGTCTAGAGGACGCTATGTTTCGTAGGTTATGAGTGGTTTGTTCAAAGGGGATTTGATATTTTCTAGTAATAATGTAGCCCCTAACCCCAGTTCCAATCATTTAGTAGTAATCTAGATATTATAAAGATCCCCCCCGCCCCCACCCACAAAGACAATTATAGCTCAGTCTGACTCATATGACTCGGAATATTCCACGGATCATAATCAATATGCACAAACGCCCGATCGACCGTCGGCACACTCTCGACCATATACTGCAAACTCTCGCCCACATCATGACTATCCTGGAGTCTGGTCTTTGGATCGAGAACAATATCTACTTCGACGTTGAGCCGATCACCCGCGTAATAGGCTTTCAAGTCTTGGATTTTGAGAATCGCTTTGGAGAAGCGCATGGTCATGTACAGTAGCAGGCTGTGGTCTTCGGGACTGGCTGCTGCGCCGGTCAGGTGCCCGATGTGTTCGCTGGCCGTGCGGCTCCAGTTGTAGATGATGTAGAGGGAGAGGAGGAGGCCGCCGAGGGGGTCGGTGGGCCAGGTTTGGGTGAGGGAGCCGACTGGGTTGGTTAGTTGGGTGGGTAGTGGGTTGGGAGGGGGGAAGGGAGAGATGGGGGAGGTACTTAGGGGGAAGAGGATGCTGAAGAGGTTGAAGATGACGTCGGTCATGGCGTCTTGGGCGAGGGCTTGGACGCTCGAGTTCTTGATGAGTCGGCACCAGAACCAGCAGGCGAGTTTGATGAGGACGGTGCTGGCCATTACGGCGGTGGAGGGGATGGAGAGTTCGACGACGGAGTGGTCGGGCGAGAGGAGTCGGGTGACGGAGGTGATGGCCACTTGGATGAAGGAGGTTACCATTACGACGGCGAAGACGAGGACGCTGAGGGGTTCGAGTCGTCGACGGCTGATGGGGTATCGGGACCGGTCTTGTCGGCGGATGAGGGTGGTTGTGGTCCAGACGATGGCGGTGCTGAGGAAATCTAGAGCACCGTCGACTAAGCTGGCGAGTACGGAGAGGGAGTTTGTCATGGTCATGGCGATGATCTTTGCAACTAGTAGGAAGACGTTGGCGACGAAGTTGATGTAGATGGCGACGGTGACGATGCGGTCGCTGCTGTCGATGAATTCGTGGTCTGTCGGCATAATCTCTGGCGGAGATGGTGCCCGTTCTTCGATTGTCGGGGGCAAGAGGGGAGAGCTCTCGCTTGGGATGCGATAGAGATTCCGCGGGGTTCTTTTGATTTTAGCTGGCGGTTGGCCATTTCCAGTGCCGTACGAGGCTATGTCATTTTGACCGTTTGGCGGGACTGGATTGTTGTGATAATCCACAATCAAGCGATGGGGAAGAGAAGAATCCAGGAGTCGATCGATGTATACGTATTGTGATATTAAATTATTGTTGCGCTCGTAGTACTCACGTCTGATGTCTGTGAGTATACTAGATGGTGTGAAGCGTGGTTGAGCACATACATAGGCTTTGGCAAAACTTTCAGCCTGGCTGGGTCTTGATAGTACCGCTGCCTGCAGCTGGTGAGTAAACGGATGCAGTGCAGACAAAACACGTACCAATGATAAATGGGACTGTTGTCGCCGATGAGCCGTCTGGCGCGTTCGAAGACCAGTGGCCTCTCTTCGCGATCGTGAGGGTAGGGATCTTCGGGATCAATCTCGCCAAAGACATCGGTGCTCTGGACACTGAGCGAGCGACGACGGATTAAGCCTCCAAGGCGTTGACCACGTGTGGATAGAATGTCGCGATCCACGTCGAGGCTAGGCTCTCGCGGGCGAATGAAGGAATCTGACCGCGGGAAGGAGGATGATAGATGCGGTGGCACAGTACTGGACCGATTTGCCGAAGACATCTTGATGCAGCGCAGCCACCAAGTTTGAGAGTTTGATTCAGAGCCGTCAGGAGATGCGGCATGACGCTGGTGGAACCGCACGGCTGGGCCGCGGGCTGGCCCGGCATCGGCCCAGTTTGGGGTTGACGTAGGCGGGCAGAACTTTCCAGCCCAGCAGACCTAATTGATCCCATTCACTGCTGCCGGCTGCAATACCGCAATGGCATTCTCAAAGGAAGCCGCCTCGTGGCTCTCGCCGTCTCCCGTACAGCTGTCTCCGGTTCCCCAACCCGGACAGCAGGCTCCATCTTGTGCACAGCTGCCCCTCCCAGCCAACAACAGCAAGCCAACTATCATAGCCTTCCTCCGGCACTGCGGATGTCCTAGTGAGTGGCCTTGAATACATCGAGTTCTATCCCCTGACTTTGTCTGAATCCCAGTTGCGGAGGCAACGTTCCTGGATCTCCGCACTGCCGCCGAGAAACACCCCGATATCAACTTCGTCGCTGTATCGCACAGTGACCAGCCTTCGACAGACAGGTGGCTGGAATCAGTGGGTGGCGCAGGCAGCCCCGAAGTTAATCCAGTGGTAGTTGTCGTCGATGCTGAGCGCCAGATCTACGCGCAATGGGGCCTGGGCATCACCTCTTGGAGCCATGTCCTGAGTCCAGGTGGACTCCTGTCCATCTGGAAATTGGGGCGGGAGAAGGGTATTTGGAACCGGCCGACGGAAAGTGGCAGTCGATGGCAGTTGAGTGGCAACTGGGCGGTTGATGCCGACAGCATTGTGCGCTGGGGGCGGCCTGTGAAGAGGGTAGATGAGCTGATGGATATTGAGCAGGCGATTGAAGCCATCAAAAAGCCTTAGTCTATGTATCCTTGACGGTGACTAGCAGGCCTTCTACCGTGTTGTTGGAGATTGAGTGGTGCCAATCCTCCTGGCGTCGAAGAGCCCATTAACGGGGTTCACACCTTCAGTCGGACCATGTATTATCTCACGCCACGCAATCCTATGTTTGATGCAATTTAGAAAATAATATCCGGCTGATATAGACACACGCATTCCCCTCAGGTAGTGTTCCTGTCGGTGTATCTCCACGGTGTCAGGTCGGGCATGCATCACCATCGGATTGGTGCGAATGGTTGCTAAAGGCTGCGATCCTTTGGGCTTGGCTGCCCCGATTCCGTCAATGGAGAGGTGCAATCCATCCCTGTGATAGATTAACACGGCACGTTTGCCTCGGCGTCGACGCACTAACCTTATGGACATGGATGTGGTCGGCTAATCTTCCTTGCCCAGAAGGGTATCCCTGCATGTCAGTTTGCTTGCGGCGAATCTTCGTTTGCTAGGCCGATGGTGTTGCGGTTACCCCGCAGCCAATGCTGTGGCTCCTGTTGCACGGGATTCTTCCAGAAGGTGGAAAGAAGAAAAGGGGAATGGGAGACTTTCCTGTGGGGGATCATGTGCCCGCCATGGAGACAAGTCACGTAGCCTCCCGAACTTGAACTTGGCTTCATCCTCCAACTTGCCATCTCCGCGCTCAGATCCACCCCCAGCATGTCAGGCTTAGCCCGATGCCTAGACTAGCCTAGACCGCTGCTAAGTCCTAGTTTGCCCTCGATCGATGCACGGTCTGCCTCGGTAATCTGGGCCGCTACCCCGGACGAGCGTTGGCCTGGTTGGGTATTCACCCATCCCCAAGCCTGGAAACCCAGACTCAAATACCCTATTGGCTTATCATAAGCTCGGGGTAAACGGGAAACCACCAAAGCCACACAACTGGCCGCAATTAAGGCAGAATCCTTCTCCGGCTGGCTGCCAGTCAAGTGGGCTGCCCAGCGCACAGACTGAGCGTCCGGCGCCTCTTTTGTTGGGGAACAAGCGCCAATCAAGGCGACGCGGGCGAGCCCGGCCACCCCGGATTTTCGTGCCTTTCTGCACTCCCCGGCGCCGCCATCTGCCTTTTTGTCCACCGGTCAGCCTATCCAGACTGGCTCGCGGTCAAAGCATGCTTGCCGCCATCCTCGTGGTTTCGGTCCAGGATCAGGTTCAGCATAGGGTTGGTCTATATAGACGATGTCGCCTACTCCTCTCTCCGTTTGGCGCCCTTTTCTGCGCTCCTGTTATACCCCTGTTTGCTCCCGTTACTCCTTAACTTCTCACCTTCATGGAATAGAACCCTATGCAGCAGCCTCCTTGAGCATCTCACAATGGGTCGACTTTTTACCATCTCGCTGGCTGCGTTTGCAGCTACAGGGTCATTCCTGTTCGGGTACGACAGCGGTGTGATGACCGATGTAATCGAGTCGAAGAACTTCTTGGCTTTCTTCAATACCACCCAAACGTCATCCATCATCGGGGCTATCAACAGTACATTTTCGGGGGGAGGTGAGATCACTGGCAGCGAGAGCCTTTCTGCTCCCTCCCACTCCTATGCCGCTAGCTAACATGACCATAGCCTGCATTGGCTCCCTCCAGGGAGGTCTAACGATGGATCGCTTCGGACGAAAGTTCACGATCCAGATGGGGGCGCTCATATGCCTGGTCGGCGCCATTCTTCAATCTTCAGCGAAAAACCTGGCCATGATTCTGGTTGGCCGTATCCTGGCCGGCTGGGCCGTGGGTCTCATGTCTATGTCCGTCCCGGTCTATCAAGCAGAGGTCGCTCATCCTCGTTCCCGTGGGTTCATCATCGGTCTATCCCAACAGATGATCGGCGTTGGGTTTATTGTTAGCACGTATGTATCCCCTCCCTCAGCCGAAGTGCATTCCTACGTCCAAGACTAGCACTAACCTGAGCTCAGCTGGGTCGGCTACGGATCCCTCCATGCGCCAGACACCAGCGAGTTTCAATGGCGGTTTCCGCTTGCATTTCAAGCTGTCCCTGCGCTTCTTCTAGTGATAGGCATGTTCTTCATGCCCGAGTCGCCTCGATACTTGATCGAAAAGGAGCGCTACGATGAGGCCATGCAGATTCTTCGAAAACTACATTTTGACGGCACCAACGAAGATTGGATTCAAACCGAATATAACGAGATCAGATCCACCATTGAGGCCGAGAAAGCCGTCACAGCGCCCGGATGGCTCATCATGTTCCGTGTCCCTCAATGGCGAACCCGACTATTGTGCGTTCCTTGTCCTTCCCAACCTACTAGTCCACTTGACTGACCCCTCAAAAGCCACGGCATCGCCGTTCAGGTCTTCACTCAGATGACCGGCGTCAACGTCGTCAACTACTATCAAACAATCATGTACAACGCCCTCGGCATCACCGGCAACCGCAACACCCTCGTCGCTGGGATCTACAACTGCGTAGGCCCCATCACCAACTTCATCTTCATCTTCTTCCTACTGGACCGCGTCGGACGCCGAAAGCCCATGATGTTCGGGACGATCGCCATCTCCATTGCCCTGATCTGCGAAGCAGCCCTCTACTCGCAGAACCTGGATGGCACCCGAAAGGGCTACAGTATCGGGGGCGTCTTTTTCATCTTCACCATTACGGTCTTTTTCTCTTTGTCATTTGGGCCGTGTAGTTGGTCAGTATACCCCCCTACCTTCAAACCATTTCTTAAATTCCCGACCCGACTGAGTCAACTTACTTATGACATGATAGGGTCTACATGGCCGAAGTCATGCCCATGCAAATCCGCGGCCGCGGAAATGCCTTCGCCACGGCGACAGGTAACTGGGCCGTCAGCACCCTCTGGAACCAGGTATCTCCGATCGCGCTGGACAAGATCCAATGGAAGTTTTATTTTGTTTTTGCTGCGTGGAGTAAGTATCCCTCCTATACTCCTTAATCTCTTCCCCTCCCTACCAATGCCTATTCATTGCCATCTTAGCGCGTATGTGTTATGTGCACTAACTATCAGAATAGATATTTGTATCACCCTCCCAACGGTCTATTTTCTCTTCAAAGAGACCAATCAAAAGTCTCTTGAAGAGATCGATCTCCTCTTCGGGGGTCGAGCGTTAGGCACACTCCCGGAGGATGTTAGGAAGGAAGCTACGGGGACGGAGAAGGCAGAGGAGACGGGCGTGTCAGTGGTGAATGTGGAGCATACGGTGTAATTCGATGTTTAGATCGGTTTGTGATGGGGGTATCATGGATGTGTGTATTCCACACATTCTGGTTTCGGTTGGAGTTATTTGTTTTATATTGAGAGGCTCAGGTTTAAGGTTGTCTTGTTGAAGCATATCTAGCTATCTATCTATCTATCTATCTACTACGCTACATAAGTACTCTACGATATCAACAATCTACACTCTACCATCCATCCCTTCTCCCCACAAAGAGAGACAAAGACACGGGGAGGATGGGTAGAAATACTCAAACATCCAACTTCAAAAACGCCCTCGCATTCCGAAACGCAATCCCATTCACCTCCTCCTCCGACAGCTTCCCACTCTCCCTCAATCGATCCAAAAACTCCTTCCCGGTAACATTATCCTCAAACGGATAATCCACACCATACATGACCCGTTCGACCTTGGTCACCTGCAACACCATCATCAACGTCTCGACACTAAAGATCCCACTCGTGGTAACCCAGATATTCTGATCCCAGACATCCAGAATCCCCTTGGACCGGGTAGCCGCCAACTCCTGAAAGAAGCGCAATCGAGCGATACGATGTAACATGATCGGGAGGAGTTCGCCCATGTGTCCGATGACGATCTTGAGATTGGGAAACCGCTCGAAGACCCCGGCGGCGTAGAGTTTCAGGACGTGCAGGCCGACGTTCTCGTGCCAGCCCCAGGCGCCGGTGGCGAGGCCCAGTTCGGCCGGGAGGGGGTAGTTGCCGGCGAAACGGGAGTGGATGGTTTCCGGGGAGGGTGGGGAGGGGTGTAGGTAGATGGGGACGTCGAGGGATTCGGCGGCGGCGAAGACGGGCCAGAAGCGTTCGGCGTCGTAGTGGGTGATACCGTCCGGGAGGTGGTTGTCGATGAGGGCGCCGTGGAAGCCGAGGTCGCGGACGGCGCGGTGTAGTTCGGTGGCGGCTTCGAGGGGGTGCGCCATGGGGAGGGCGGCGAAGCCGCCGAATCGGTCTGGGTGTTGTTGGATGGCGGCGGCCATTTCGTCGTTGCCTGCGCGGCAGCGTGCGGGGTCGGTGACGGCGATGCCGCCGGGGAGGTGGGAGAGGATTTGGAAGGTGACGTTTCCGGCGTCCATGTTGGCGAGTCGGGAGGTGGAGGAATCTTGGGCGAGTTTCAGGCGCTCGGGGAAGATCTTCCAGATGTTGTCGTAGAAGGGGTTGCTGCTGTCTAGGGCGGGAAATGCAACATGCTCTTCGAGGGTGATGGCTTGCATTGGGGAATCCATGATGGCGATGTGTCGAGGTAAACTGTGGATGAAGATAATTCATGAAGCTCGAGTCATAGGCATATTTATATGCAGTTTCTGTATTATCTCCTCGGCGGAAATGGTGAGATTGTAGTTATCTCCATTAGTATGCGGAGTTAAATGTCGCTAAGTCCGAATTGTGCCATGGTGGTGGCCTGAATTCATTCTGCGTAAGAAACCCATCAAAAGGTGGTTAGTGGCTTTAGCAGTGCAGGGCAGCGCCGTTCAACATTGCGACAAGTCATCTTGTTAGATTGGGTGGCTGGCATTGCGGGGAAATAAGCGTGCACGGAGAACAGCACCCCTGCACTCCATGCCAAACACTCCCCAAAGTCAAAGCACGCCGATGCCGTCTGCGGTGCGCGATGTGTTGTCTTGGAATGGCCATGGCGTCGGGCGATCTGGAGGTTCAATGTTTATACGGAGTAGACACGGGCAGATGGCGTCATAGGCAGCGATTGAAGGCTGCATATCCGGGGATCTCGGTGGATCAACCGCCGTGGCATGACCTGGCACAACATGGCGTGACCAGCTGGCCTGCTGGCTAGTGCGACCGCCACCCAGGTCATGCTCAGCCGACCGTCCATGCGAAAGGCTGAAAGCCCCCTTGCACCACGCCAAGGAAGTTAGTCTGGGGCGGATGGGAAGGAATGAATTGATGCTTGCAGCGATCGCCCGACGGTCACTGCCGTAAGGTTGGCAGCATGGCTGAGCCTAGGCGGTAACCTGCACTAGTTGACGAAGCTGCCGGATGACCTGGGGGAAAAGCCCTTGGAATGCAGGCAGCCAGATGCCTCCGTCGGGGGCTTCGCGAGGGAATAAAGCTTGGGAGTGGCACATAGTCGGAGGCCAGACAAAGGCCCGTTTTTGTTGTCATGGTGATGGTGACTGTTCCTTCAAGATCCGGGGGCTTCACCCCTCATTCCGTGGATGGCATCGCCTGTCGCCGGCGACCGTGGGAAATGCAGCGTCTCACGAGCATCTGCTGATTGATGGCTTCGGGATGGCCTGATAAAGCATGGTTGGCGCATACCCCGCCAGGTGACGACGATCAGAGGCACAACGTTTAGTGCTCGCGCCCTTTATTAGCGGCCAGACTCCCTAGACCGTCCAACAGGCTTTTGGAAGGGCAAAGTGAAAACAAGACCTACAAGACCTTTTCGGCCTCGGTTGCAGCTGCGCTCGTCCCAATCCGCCCACCCGAGTCCCTGCGACGAGACATGGGGACGTCGGAAAGCAACTCCCCTCAGGTGAATCACCACATGGCCATTGTCTTGGGTATCGGACTCGGAGTTGCGACCTTAATTATCATGTGTTTGCTGTGAGTTACTCTAGCCCGCCCCTTAATGGCCGAATTATGATTATGGCATGGGCGCTGACACCCCATCCAATAGTCTGACTCTTTTCGTCAATCGCCGCGAGCGCCATCCGGTCCTCAAAAGCAAAGGCAGCTCCAACGACAAACTGCGCCGGCTGGATGCCGTCTCCCCGACGCGGACTCTGGAAGACTGGTGGTCGCGAGCCAAAGGGCCGCTGCTCCCCTCCGAAGGTGTGGAAGGCGACTTTATATGGTACGTTTGTTGCCGCCATCCGCCAGCCGCCACGCTAGTTGGTTTGCCCACTAACACCGCCATCTATGATCAGCGTGGTTTGCCTGGAATCCGTCCTGCGCTGCCAGGAGATCCGAGAACTCAAATGTCTGCACGTGTTCCATAGAGAGTGTCTAGAGAAGTGGTATTTGCAAGACCATTTCAATTGCCCACTCTGCCATCGAGCTTATTACGTGCAAGAGACGCATCCTAGCAATGAGTTTGTGTGGATGGTGTGAATGGTGATCACCCCCTGCCACCGACTTTTTCTTGCAACTCTCAAGGCATTCGTCTTACTCCATTCCGATAATGTCGGCCAGAACCGCAGCACCGTCTGCTTCTTGTCTGGTTCTTATATGTGGGCCCTCCTGGATGGACCCGGTCGATAGATTTGGATCATGTTCTCATGACTTATGACTGCGATGATCAAATGCGATACCCTTATGTTTACACACCCAGCACGTCCTCACAGAAGTCCATTTTGCGATGGTAGATACTCGGAAGTGAAGTCCCAGTTGTTGAGGTTGTCCCAGTCCAGGAGACTATACAGGCCAGAGGTGGCATCGTTGAAAGCAAAGTCTTCAATGGGTTGAGGGTCGAGAACCTGGTCGAGAATGTGAGACAGCTTGCTCTCCGCCTCCTTGCACGTGTGGTAATTGCCGTGGCCAGGTCGCGCTACCCAGGACAGGCATGATACAAAAACACTCAGGTTCCGAATAATCTCCGCGCGAGGGAGCGCAGTAGAGTATGACCTGATGCCTTGGTTTTGGTGGAGAAGCTCGAGGATGAGCACACTGGCACTGGGGAGACCGTAGTAGAGAAGCTGCACCATGTTAGCTTCAACAGGGCAGGTTGTAGGGAAGCAGTCCGGCGTACAATCCAAGCACGATGTCTGCTCATGTCAAGAACAGTGTCCCTCTCAGCATGGCCTTTGACGATATTGGACAGAATAACTCTGGAGGTCTCAAAGAGAGCTTCCTGCCCGGTGTTCGTACGCTTGACAATAGTCCTTTGGAGGAGGAAAATCGTGTATAGATAGTCAAGGTAAATATGAAGCAAGGTGAAAGACTGGGAAGATGTCTTCAATCCATCCCCTTGCCCAGGCGCATCGTACCGCAGTCGAGCAGGACATGCTCCCCATGACTCTCGCGCATTCTCGATGATTTCGCTGTTGAGGCTTAGCGACGGAGCCACTCCTACTAGGATGAGATGACTCACCTGGCCTTTTGCACCAACTCCACGTCCTCACTGGTTCCCAAGGCTATCTCAAGAGCGCGGTCCCTAAACACGGCGGACGTAAATCGGAGACGTAGCACACTCACTCGGTCGTTCTCATCCTTAGCTGCCCATCCAGAGCTATCTAGCTTTGAGATTGCCCTGGCGAGGTCATCTCCGCCAGTGATCAGCAGGCTCTCGCTGAGATCCAGCGGGGGCGTTAGTGTACAATAGCGAGAATTAATGGACGGTGGTCTCCCCACGAACGTGGCCTGGTTCTTGTCCACTGAGAATGCGGCGGAAAAGCACCATCGTCTCCATTGTCGAAGAAAAAAGGGGCAGTCATCGGTCTGAGGGCTCTCCTGGTGCAGTCCAGCTGCATATATCGTAGCAGATAATTCACCACGGCGACGCCAAGCTTGATAGCCTATTTCCTTATTTTAGCCAACGTTTTACTCTATTTGAAGGAGAATAGAAGAACGCGGGTCTGTACTTACTCGAGTCACCGTAGTAGTGAGTGAGAAGAGCCATATCATTGTGTTGATAAAACCCCAACAACTCACTAACAGAAGACATCTGATCACATAAACCGAGGCAGGTGCCGCTGGCTTCAACAAGCTGAGCACGAAGTCTATCGCGGGCTGGACTGTCCGCCGCCACTTGAACAAGATCTGGATCGTTTTCCGGGGTAGACGAGAGCGCTATGCCGGAAGTGGCAAACACAATGCCAATGGCCTCCCAGCGCAAGTTTTCATCCGTAAAGGTTGCGCAATATTGCTCCACTGTCATCGAGCCATGGGTCGATAACGGTCGGGATGTATTCTGCGTTATTCTACAAACCAGGTCTTGGACCTGACTATCCACATCTCCGCGGTAATCTAGGCTCTCAAGCACATTTCGGGTAGAGCGTAGAATGGACATAATAAGTGTCTCTGGGATGACAGCAACAAGAACACGGGCATAGTAGTTCCGAATCAAGATATCGCAGATCGTGAGAGTATGAAGTAGTTTCACTAATCGCATTCCAGTCTGAAGGCGTTCAGGGTCGATTGGTCGGGGAAATGCGCCAGACACAGAGCTACTCTCGAGGTTGAGAGAAAAGTCAGGACGGTGCTCAGCAAGGACAGCCGAGTAGCTCGTCGAACCCAAGTAACCAGGAGACGCAGAGGGTGATTCGAGAGTGGTACGAAGTCGATGGATGCTCTCCAGGGCTGGCCCTGGGCTTGAGACACTAAATCAATGTCAAAACTTTCCGTACACCGGTTTTCTTCGAGACCGTGGGCTAGAATGACTAGGTTCTCACCTTGAACCTGGCTGACTCGGTGACTGTCGAGAAGGCCTGACCAGCCCTGCGGCTGCTCGTTTTGTCATGGGTGCAGGATGATAAAAGCATCTCGCGGCTATGTTTTTCGTCGCACATCTACCACATACAGGTCTGCCATGGTCGCATCGCAATTTGGCTTTGCGACATGGCTCGCAGGACTGTAAGAACCCATTTCGACGGACCGCAGGTGATCGAGTCTCGCGCCCGTGCGAATTGGGATCCGGCATGTTAGATAGTCCCTGCACTCGAAACGAAGCAATGGCTATCGGAATTGTATTGATGGCATTGGTTCTTAAGAGTATTCCCACAATCTGGTAAAATATGCTGTAGAAACATAGGCGTGAGACAGATAGAGTATGAAGCAAGGGGAATTTTAAGAAGCAAATCCGATCTATCGGAGTGACGGCCGGGTTATCGGGACCTAAGGCCTGATTGGCGGATTGCAGGCAGCTTTTCCGGGACTGCCACTAACCTAGTCCGGTATCGCTCCAAAATATAGATGTTGATATGACGAGCCCAATTCTCATTCATTCATGAACAGAGATCGAAAATAAAAGACGCCTTTATGCCAACTCGAAGTATTCTTTATACATCCTTCCCACGACCTTTCGCCCCTCATTATCACCTTGGATCCACTCCTCAGGCGGAAACAGATCAAACATGCCAACTTTCTTCAACAATGGGATCGCGGCTCTGAGGGCGGTGCGAAGAGCTTCCATCTTTGCCTGATCTCCGTCTGCATGGGCTTCATTATACGCCCTGATATTGATTAACATCGCTCTATGTTCATTAGTGCAAGTGCTTGGCATAGACCCAATAGAATACTTACCCAACTGTTCCTGTCTGCACTTTGCTGCCATCCGGTAAAGTCACTTCCGGCATGGCTGTGCCAAGCGTTGACGAGTTGACAGCAACGAGATTGGCACTTGGGTTGGACATGGTGTTGGTTGGCAATTAATGTTGGAATCTTGAAAAGGTTGATGAGTTATGAAGTTATGGGGGAGGTGGGAAGGCCGTCTCTTATAGTTGAGACGGAGGGCTTTTCCGTGCATGGACGGACTTTCCGCGGAGCTGTCAGGATCTCCGGTTCCAGTTTCGGAGCTTTAGCTTAATGCTAGATTTGTATCAGAATGATGTCCACTTTGGCTTATATGGTCAATAATTCTGAATTTCGCTATATATTAGTTCTTTGCCACAGTTTCTTGATGCAATGGCTCTGCTAGATATCCTGAACTTGGTAGAATATACTCAGATCAAGTGGCATAAAGCTGTGTCATACTATCTAATCGATAGTGTGTACACCAAATACTACTATAGTGACTCGTATTTATACTATGCGAGACTACTACAAGAAAATGCAATAGCAAGATCGCTTCCAGATTGCAGAGGTCATCACAAAACAGCTTCGGAACATCCAACCATCGCAGTCTGCAAGTCACAGCCTGGAACAAGTCAATCGGTAAATACTTTTCCTGCCTCAATAGCTCCAAAAGCACTCATTGTATGCTCCCAGACCCTCTGCCGCATCTCATCCTTATCAATCTTCTGGTAAGCCTTGTTGTTGTAATTGGTCTCACCCTTCTGACTAAGAGAGTAGACACCACTCCCATGCGTACCGTCTGTCCCCACAGCAGCCTCCTCCTGGGTCTCCGAAAAGTTAACTGCTCGTGGTGGATAGCGCGGCGATGCAAGGCTCAACATCCTGTCACCGCACTCCGTCGGTGGCACCGTAACAAATGGCGCTAAGACGGGGACAAAAATCCAACGCCACAGCAGCTTGAACCAGGGAGGCATATCTTGCTTATCGAAGCCAGGTCCCAATACGAGGCCGGGGAAAATGTGTATGAGACTGAGCTTCCCTCGATGCTGCTCAGCCAAAGTCTCCATGAACAACGTGTGCATATATATCATATGTGACCGAGCTTGTGAGTAGCTGTAATGTGACAAATCACGAAGTGAGAGATCGTCTAGGTAGAGCTTGTCCTCAAGTCCCGCCGCATAGACTGAAACCACTTTAGCGGGAAGAGTAGATTTTAGTAACAGTGGCAGTAGCTTCATGATGGCTCTCATGCGAGAATAGTACATCAAGGACATGGTGACATCGATGCCTTCTTTGGTGTCTGCAGGACTGTTAGAAGTTCCGGTACATCTGTTGCTTCAAACATACCTTTCCGTGGGAGAAAGATAGGTCCTCCCTGTGACAGCATCAAGTAATCGATTCTGGGGTCCTGGTTCTGCTCTTCTTCAAGCTGGATAATTTCTGCGCAGACTTGATCGACTTCCTGGATCAAAGAGATGTCATCTGTCTGGACGAATTTGATCTGGCCTTGCGGGTAGATGCCATGACATTCTGCGATGATCTCTTCGGCTGCTTTGGCATTTCTACCCACGATGTATGCCCGAAACCCTTTGCCATTCGTAGCTTCAGCGGTCGCTAAGGCACGCAGAGTGTAGTGACCAATGCCTGAGGTACCGCCGAAGAAGACAGCAACTAAAGGCTGGCTTTGGACTAAGGCGGTGTTCGAGGCTTGTACAACATCCATTCCGACCATAACGGAAGAGGTAGTAAGAAGTGAGAGGTTGGTAGCAGACAGGAAATAGCACAACAGAGTCTTTGAACAAGTTTATGTACGGAGATGGGAGACCCGTGGCATATTCGATGGAGCCTTCGGCGATAGGAGAAGTAACTCCACTATATCCGATGCTTAGACTCAACGTCCGTCCCGAGAACTACTATAGACCGTACATCGTACAAAATGCCGAAAGAGGACTAGCGTGTGCACGCCTCCTTCGTGCCGGCTCTCCACCTCACGATCGATCCTTTCATAAGGCTGCTGGTCATCGGTCGTATTGGCTATTTGGCTGGTAAAGCCAGCTTAACTCCAGGCTAGGCCCCCCATGAGGTCATCATCGACACTGCCGTTGCAGTACTTCCTCAAGGCTGCGAGTACCCCGTCATCATCCAACCTCGGCCGAGTTAGCTAAGGTTTCCTTGGACAGCTTTGACCATAACCATTGGGCTGGCCAAACTATGCTCTGATCCATGCCCCAAAGACGGTTCTACAATAAGAGACGTCACGGCTGCATGCAATGCAAGAAGAATCGCACGAAGGTGAGTTACACTACTTCCTTATACATGTTCCGTGCTACCGTATCCTTTTCCGTCGGTAGACCTCCCAGGCGAGATAGAGGATATGCTTGGTACGATCCTCCGTCGCCTTCCGACACCAGCGTTCACAGCCACTCGCATCGAAATATATCAGCTGGTCATCAAAGCTTTGATAGTCTTGCAATGGCAATAATGTATTGAGGGACCAAAATGACTTTTGGGCAATGGTACGCACGTCTGAGCCTCCATCGTTGGCAAATTTTTCCAATCATGTCGTCACCCTGCACTATTTGCCGATGCATGTTTGGATAGAAGATTGGAGAAAGGAGATTGTGGATGCTGTCCGTCAAGCGCAGCCGCTGGAATGGCACGACTGTATTGCTTGGGCTGTTCGAGAAACAAGTTGTCCCTCTCGAGCCGATGACTATGGGATCGAAGACAACTCTGCATCGACGTCGGCCTAAGCAAACCGGACATGACCTTGCCTTACGGATATCTAATTACTGGAATCTGTGCACAGGACGCTTGACCTGAGTTCATGGATACCTTCATAACCCCATGCACCCCTCTCACAAACTTCTCTGGTTCTTTTTTAGCTACTATACATCCCCCTTCCGCTCCACGCAAAGCGCTTCCCCATATGAACTGATATCATATCCATTCTCTTCCAGGTATGCCTTGAACTTCGCATCCTCGGTTTCCAGCTCACGCGACATATCGGGGATCAGGAACCACGCTATCAACGCACCGACGATGGTAAAGGCTGAACCGATCAGAAAGACAGCCTGCTGGCCTTTTTCGGTCGACGAGAACGAATTCTGAATCGGCGTGAATACTTCCGTTCCTATCGAAGCACCCGCCTTGCCTACTGCCGCAGCTAGGCCAAGGAAGTGGCCACGAAGAGGGGTAGGGAATGATTCTGCCGCACAAAGGAAAGTTGAGACTCCGGGGCCCATCTCTCCCAGGGCATTGAAAATGCCGTACATGACGACAAACAATGGAAATACTGTCTGAATCGGGCGCAGAGCCCCACCAAGGATAAAGCCCCATACACCCCAAAGCACGAAGCCGAGCGTCATATTCTGCTTTCTGCCAACCTTGTCCATGAGAAGTCCTCCTAGCAGGCAGCCAGGCAAGTAGAAACAATTAATAACAGTCTGTGGGAAACGTCAGCATGATTACGATGGGACTGGTATTCCACGCACCCCATATCCAATGTTCTGCACGGTCGTATTGTTCGGACTAAGTTGTGCGATGATGGTGGAAGAGAAGAGTCCGAATGGATACGTGACAAAGTCATAGCAGAACCAAGCAAGGGCTAACATGTCAATGCTGATGCGATAGAAGGATTCTGGAGAAAGAACTTACAGGTTCCTAATATCGGTTTCCAATATCGTCGGAGGACAAGCCAATATGGATAACGCGACTTGATGGCGTGTTTGCGGTACTGCTTCGAGTTGAGCATTCGAATCCGGAAGAAACACATAACAACAGGAATCTATCACGTCGCTTAGTCCTGTACTATTGGAAGCTATGCATAGATGCATACCACGAGGCCAAGTCCAAAGCAAACTCTCCATACACCGCCTCGAACATCCTGGTGGAAACAAGCGAGGACAATGAGGGCCACAATGCCGGCCGCCACGAAGCCCTAAAGAATCGGTTGAGTGTCGCGCTTTTGGTCCCAATCATATGTAATACATACCAGATCCACAGCAAAGTCAGTCGTTGACGCAACTAGAAACCCTTTTTTCTTTCGAAGATTGGCAGTCTCGTCGGCTGCCTCGGTTGCACTTGTTGCGCAGACGGGATATTCGCCGCCAGCTCCGAAACCAGCAATGCCGCGAGCCACAACCATCATCCAGAACAACCTAGTACAGGTGTTAGTAAGATTCGACGATGCTGCTTCTGGATACTGCTTCTGGTACGGGGACTTCTCACCCCAGCTCCGAAGTTCCATGTGATGCTGCCGACAAAGCTATTCCGAGCACCAAGAACAAGGTGGTTGCCACCACACCTGTCCTCCGTCCCACTCGATCAATTAGGGCACCAAAGAAAAGCATGCCAAATATTTCTCCGATGAGAAACGAGTTTGACAGCCGGGTTTTAATTGCCGCAGACATCGTATCCTTGTACCTAATGGCGCAGGAAGCAAATTGGGGTCAGTTGGTGGCTCATTTCTGGAAAGCTTATGTTGAACGTACAAAACTGATAATAGAAGCTCCATGTAGCCGACTACATGAACTCAGCAGTTAGCGGGACATTGCCAAAGATGGCGTGAAACGGAGCACTCACTTATCTGTGCGTTATATCCATCGCTGAACAGTCCTAGTCCTGAAACGACAATGTTCAAGATACCTGATGAGCTCGAGTCGCTCTCGACATCGTTTTCAGTGTCATCATTCTGCCTTGACCGTTCGTCCAGCTGGCCGTGCTTCATGATGACTTCAACCCGTTCTGGCGCGGAGCAATTGGTTGAAGCAGCCATGATACAACAATTCTCGAGCATAAACCTCTATTTATCTGGTAGAAGACTGAAAGCATGGGCGATAGCCAGCCCTTATCGGACCCTGCATTGTTGGCATCTCCTTTGCTTCCGAACCGTGTACTACGCGGGAGATCGGATGGACTCTTCGATAACACGTTATACTATCCAATGGCAGCCTGCATAATTCACACGTGATAAATCTTACATTGATGCCAAAACATACCCCCGTTTCGATCTACGTGATGGGTTCCTTTAGGGCAGAAATGGATACAGTCTGGGCGGGGCTGGGCGGGACTCCCCGCTTCGCTTAGGGAGAAAGCCGTATCCTGGTGGGCCTTGATAAGACAGCCCCGCGCCCTTTCCGCGCACATGGACCCCAGGAAGAGTCCTCAATGGTCCTCTTCTTGCATACTCATTCAAAGGTCACCCTCGTGCCTGGGCTTTGTGAAACCCCTCGTTGAAAGTACTACCTTGTGCTCCTACATGCCCCGCTCAGAGGTCGGGCTTTCCACCGCATCGGCATGGTGATACAGGAGATCGGCAGTTGGAGTCGCATGAGCAAGGGTCGCGATAGAGGATTTATGAGTACGATGGCCCCAAACTATGTGAGGAAACAGAGCATATGCTGTCTGCAAATTCAGTGGAAAGGATAGATCCAATCCCAAGGTTGGCATCATGGACAACAGTTATTACGCATTGACCGAGGATCAACTCCGGTCCTATCAGGAAAAAGGTTTCTTGCTCGTCCGGGGCTTTTTCAACACTCGCGAAACCCAGCTCATACAACAATGGACGCAGGAAGTACACGATTTCCCGCGAACGCCGGACGCAACCTACATGCCCTATGAGGTAATGCTTAGAACAGCACCTCAATCGGCGGCCGAAAGCTGACAACAGCCTGCAGGAAGTCAATTCCGAAGGGAAAAGAGTTCTCTGTCGCACGGAGAACTACGCCAACTCTCATGCTGGCTTCGACAGCTTTCTGCGCGGCGAGCGCATATTGAGTGTTCTTCAGCAGCTCGCCACCGAGGATATGCTTCTTTTCAAGGAGAAAATTAATTATAAGTTGGCCGGCAGTGGTAAGAGCTAGCACCAGTTACACCTTGACAAGAAAGTAACAAACAATGCAGGTGGCTTTTCTCCCCATATCGACGCCAATGCGTACACCCACGTCAAGAACATCAAGCACCTGACCGTGCTGGCCGCCGTGGATGAGATGACCTCGGAGAATGGCGGACTGGACGTTGTCGATGGCAGCCATCTCATGGAGGTGCCTCTGGGGGAAGATCGCTGCATTGAGCCTGCCTGGGTCAAGAGCCAGACATGGACACCTTGTGATCTTCAACCAGGTAGTCCCTCGAATTCGAGCAACAAATGGTCACGCACTAACCAGAATTACTCAGGTGACATTCTCATTTTCAGTTCCTACCTTGCCCACAAGAGTGGCGCCAACACCAGCTCCAAAGACCGACGTGCAATCTATGCCACCTACAACCGCAAAGCCGAGGGTGATCTGCACGACCAGTATTATGAGGATCGTCGTAAGCTGTGGCCAGCAACACACATGCGGAAGGATGGCGAGACATACGAGGAGGGTAAAATGCGATATGGCTACGGCTCCCCGATGCTTACCGTTGAGGGTGAACAGCCGGTCCTAGCGTAGGTGGATAGCTGTTCGTTGGCTGTCTTTAGATGTGATAGAATTCCTGATTTAGTACTAAAAGGACACAATGAGGTGGATGTAGGTCTAAGGTGTATATAGTTGTGATCATATAGATCACACTAAGTCATAATCTTCATCCGATGAATAGTCCTCCGCATACAATCAGGCATTTATGCTATATTCCGACCAGCAAATAGTAAACCGAGAATCAATTCCAACATGAGCATGCTGATAAGAGCACGTGGGCCATTTCTGGAGCAGGTAATACATATATAACCCCTCTTTCCCGCAGTGTGTCCTCCATTACCTCCGCAAGCCACCCCCCATCCTTTACTTCCTCACTACCCCTCTCCCTTCAATCCACCCCAAACTAGAATCCCACCATGACCCCCCTCGAAAAAGCCACCTACCTCGTGACCTCCCTCGAGCAATACGGCCAAGGCGACTACATCGGCGAATCCATCAGCCAACTCGAGCACTGCCTACAAGCCGCCCATCAAGCCCAGAAAGCAGGTAGATCCCCTCCTCTCCCTATACGAGCTATGCCCCATCCCCAATCCCTTCAATCTCTCATCAAGAACATAATACTAAGAGATATGGCACTTTAGGCGCACAAGAAGACCTCATTCTCGCCGCCCTCCTCCACGATATCGGACAAATCACCCCCCTCGACTCGCCGAAAGAGATCCGCATGAATTTGAAAAATAGTGGTACGGGTACAGGTACAGAAACAGAGAATGTAGGTCGAATGGGCCATGAAACCATCGGAGCAGAATATCTTCGTTCATTGGGGTTCAGTGAGCGGGTTTGTCGCTTGGTGGAGAGTCATGTTCCGGCGAAGAGGTATGCCCTTTCTTTTTTTGTCGTTCGGTTTGCATAGCTATTTTGCACTTTACAGGGCATTTTCTAGTAGCAAAGGAGGAAGAAATAGAATATGAGGGAAGATACTAATGAGATATATGAGATACTAGATACCTCACCGCCACAAACACAGCCTACTACGAGACACTCTCGTCAGCGTCCAAAAAGTCACTCGAGTTCCAGGGTGGACCGTTCAGGGGTGCCGAATTGGCTGCGTTTGAGCGGGATCCGTTACGCGATGAGATGGTCGCATTGAGGCTGTGGGATGATGCGGCCAAGGTGCCTGGGATTGAGGCGCAGACGCCGCGAGCGGGGGAGTATCGGGATATGATTCGGGTGCATTTGGAGGGATGTGCTGTATAGCACATGAACTAGACAGGAGGATGATGTAAATAATAAGTTCTAACCAGGCACGTCTGCTAGCGTACAGCAAGTTGTATCGGCGAGACTTGCTAACTGGCTATAAAGTAGCCACTAAAGCCATCAACCCTCACGAAATCCGAATAACCTTCCTCTCATCAAACCTCCCCGATACCTTCGTACTCCAAGGCAACACATACCCCCGTTGATTACTCACAACCCTCACCCCTTTTTCCCTAAAATCCGTCGAATAATGCGTATGCCCAAACACCCAGACTTTCACACCATTTGGTATTTGTGGTAGGACATCAGTCCCAAAGGCAACACTCCAAGGGTTCTGGGCATGTTGCGGACTCGATGTCCCTTGAAGTAAAGGCGCATGGTGCGTCACCACAAGAGTCGATCTCTTCTCACTCTGCTTCTTAACCTCCTCATTTTCCAGGTTTATCGAATCAATCTCATTCACCAACCACGCAAGATCTGCCTCATGGCGGGTATTATGCTCCTCAACAGACCAGTCCTCAATTTTCTGAAAGTCTTTAACCTTCGACCGAACAAGATCTGTCAATTCACTCGGCACATTCGACCAAAGCGTACACCCTTGAATAGTCAGCCCACACCCCGGAATATCAAATCTCCTCTGATGAAGAACAATCAACCGTCCATTCAAGGCTGGTTCCTGTTCAAGTTGCCGAGCCTTATCCAGCCCTGTCGCGAAAGTCCCATTATAGAATTCATGATTCCCGAGTACGAGGAAAACTAGTTTGAATCTATCGGTCTGTTTTTGGAGAAAGTCGCGATAGGCTTCGTAGTCTGTCAACCGGCCAATATCACCCGCCAGGATGAGATATTCGGCGCAGACTGGAATGTCGTAAGATGCATATTGGTGGTTGATTTCGAGGTGAAGGTCGGAGAGGATTTGAAAGGATGGGGAAGAATGCTTGAAGAGAGAGTATACTTTTTGGAACATTTTGTTGCTCTAGTTGCAGGGAACGTGGTTGATGTGGGAGGGAACTAGGTGGGAGATTATACTACTCACGTGAAAACGCCGTGTAACCAAGCCACACCCAACCAACCTATCTCCTTGACTATATCTACAATTTTTCGTATATTGTGAAGTGTCAAAAAGAGAGAGGTATTGAGGTTTCCGAGGGAATGAAAAAATGCATTGTCGGGGAGTCGAACCCCGGCCACTCGCTTGGAAGGCGAGTATCATAACCGTTAGACTAACAATGCTAGTTATTATTTAGCACTCTACTCTTTGGTATACATAGCGCTGAATGGAGCATTTGTCCCTGTGGGTATTAGCAAGACGAACTGTCCTTGAATGTATATTGCAGAAGCTTCCGTTGGAAAGGGCAGATCGATCGAGGATCAGAGATTTGTATGTGCTTCATGTGGGATTTGGGTAGATGAAAGAATACGCTGCCGTCAAACTTGCCCAGAGGAGTAAATGAAGGAAACAACGGTTCTCAGACCATCCTTCGATGTGGAGGAAGATTTGTCAATTGCTGTTAAGCTTTTCATATGGATAACTCTAAGCAAGTAGCCCGTATCTAGGCTGCTGATGGGCTTCTTCGATTGCTGTGTCCATTGCTTCATATAATAGCTGTAATAGGTGCGATTGTTGTCTCATGCAGTGACTTTGAATGACATTCGATGTATGGCAACTTTGCAGGGACGACATCTATGCAAGTCCATTAGCTGGCAAGGAGTGAGTTGGGTCAAGATTATGAACAAGGAGGAGCAGTCAGAGAATAGGTGTAGGATTGGTTACTGTGGACAACCAGATCACACCATAGATAAAATACGTTGTGCTTCAAAAAACATTATCACTGAACAGAGGCGACTAAACCCATCTATTAAGGGTAAAAGAAGCCGAGTAAATGGCATGCAGCCCCGAGTGAACTACCAGCCAGGTAGGAATACAGTATACTTCGCTTACAATCTACCATAACACTCATAACCAATGGTCATATCGACGTAGATCATATACGTACAGAGAACGCGTTGGATCGACAACGGCCACGCAACACTCTTATAAACACAATGGTCAGTCAAGGACCCGATGTATTCCAGACAACTTCTAGATCATTCGACCATCAACTCTGCAACCAAACGCCGTCCCAGCCCCACGATTTTGCACCAGAACCCAACACCCGTAAACACACCGGATTGCCAAAAAGGAACAAGAAGAAAGGCCCAGGACTATGCACATATTATACCCCGGCGGTAACAAGAGGCAGAAATAGAGATGGCAAAAAGGATATCTGATAAAGCTCAAGAGAGCGGAAGAGAAGAAAAGAAGTGAACCTGCGCCGGTGAGGCGTTCATTTCACCCGCGTAGGACTTCCAGCGCTACCGACGCGGCCACTAGCCTTGCGAACACCCCGGGTCTCGCTCCGGCTATCTGTGACGCGCCTTGGGCTCGTCCGAACCTTGGTTACCGCGATCGCTCCATTACCACTCTTGGTGCTGACAGGAGTCTTCGGTGCTGCATAAGCAGCAGCATCCCCCCAGTTCTCTCGGTCATCGTCATTCAGGGTGTAGCTGGCAGTGACCGTAGCGGAGTAGCTAACAGACCGCTGGCTGGGAGATGCCACGGGAGACTTCGAGGAACGCTTGGCCAACATGCGGAGTTGGATTTCCTCTTCACTCTCACTGCTATCGTTGCTGAGGCGATGGTGTCTGTGGCTGGTATGTTCTCCATTCTTCGCTTCCTTGTCCACAATCAGGCTGCCAGATGTTGTACGTGCATAAGGATGGTGACGAGAGTCCTTGCGGTGAGATTTGCGAGGTTGTCCAGGAGTGGGTGCAGGGAGATTCTCCTCAGACTGCGTTCCAGCCCCTTCATTGTGATCAATTTCGCCAAGAGCGGCTCGCTTCGAGTGGCCGTTGTTCGGCGGCGTGGCGACGGGTCCATTGGCGCGCTGCCTGGTAGACGGCCGTCCGGGCGTGATGGGAGCCACCTGCATCTGAGCGAGCTTCTCTTTCATGGAATCTTCGAACCACCACTCGCGGAACGAGCCTTGGTTGAGGTGCAACCAGTGCTGCTGTGGACCCACTACCATACCAGGCCGCATGAATCTCATGAAGGCGATGATCTCATTTGCCGTGAAGCCGTATCGGTAGATCAAGTATGCGCCAATCAAGCATCCAGTGCGTCCCAGGCCGGCCTTGCAGTGAACAGCAATGCCCTTCTTCTTCACAGTGATCATTTCATGTGCCATCTTGATGAAGCGGCGGACAAGGGGCAAGGGAGGGCAGGTGCCGTCTTCGAAGATCATGTCCACGTGGGTGATACCCAGAGCCGTAAAGTAGGATGGCGAGTACAGCTCCGAGTTCAATCTTACAACCAGGCCTATGTTGCGGGATGAGAAGTGCGCCAGGACGTTTTTGAAAGAAAGAGGCAACTTGGAGGACATGACTTCAGAGATGGTTGATGGCAGTGCGTCAAATTCGGGGGTGTTTTGAGGGACTGGCTCGATCGGTTGGTGTTGCGGCGAAGCAAAGGCGAGGAACTTGGGAGTGATCCAATTGAAGTCACCCATATCGACACGCTCAAATTTCTCGTACCTAAGACTGGTCAGCCAAGTCAATGGGATCTACTGATACCATACGTACTCTTCAAGGCTGAAATCTCTTAGGCTACAGAGCGACTGCTCCTTGGCTTTCCACACTCCGTACACAACATCCTGGATGTTGAGAATGAAATCGGCCTGACTGTATCCAGCATCGCGGAAGGGCATGTACGGAGGATCGGCTTGCGCAATGGGAGCCAAGGCGAGGTGCGGGGGCCATGACTGGATAAGGACCATGTAGCAGGCGACCAAGCAGGCCGCATTGGCACGGGAACGCGCATCTGTCTTGGAGTAGAAGACCACTGCGCGATCACTGTTTGCAGGATCCCCAAGGATCTCGTGGAAATGAACCGCAAACCGGTACAGGTGACCAATGTGAAGCGGGCCAAAGTCCGCATGGAAGGAGTTGTAAAGCAAGGTATCATCTACCGTGAAATACACGGGGCTGCGCTTCTTACTGCAAGGCGTACTGGGCTGAACTCTCGCAGAGCGCTTGCTTGGTGATCTCGGCTGCTCGACGGGGTATGGGAACGGGGTTCGTGCATCGGGAGGGTTATCGTAAGAGGCGAGGTAAAGACGATCTATTATGGCGGAGGGTTAGCCGCGTCGGACAGCCATTGGGGGTGACAATGAAGGATTCCCGGGTGGTTCAAGGTCCAGAGGATCATTGACAACGGCGATAAACAAACGAACCTTGGATATACTCGATCACTTGGCCATAACCACTGTTGGTAGACATCTTGATTGCGGCAACCAAAACAATAGGTGCCAATAAACAATCACAGAATTGGGCGAAAAGAAAGACCTGACAAGACGTGTCTGTCGAGAGATGCTATACCGCTAGTTATGGTGTCACGCCTTTGTCAATAATGGAGAGATAAACAAAGCAACAGTCTGGACTAATGGGTCATGATCTGATCTGTTGATGCTCCAAACAAAAGGCGATGCAAATAAGACACGGGTGCGGACGGGGTAAGGATAGCACGAGGTGGCCCAGGGGGGAAGGAGGAAAATATACACGAGCCCTGGCAGGGTACGGTGGAGATTAAGGATGAGGAGTGAGGAGTGTGAGGGGAAGAAAGAGGAGGAAGTGAACGAAAAGTTGGCCGCACGAGAAGAGGATAGGCTCGAGGCCGATGAGTCTGGCTTTGGGGGGCAACTGCGATGCACGCTCACTGGCTGCTGTTATGTTGTGATTCCCCCAGTCGGGCTTAGCGGCCGCCGTTGACAGGACAACCCCTGATGCCTCAGGCTGTCGCGCCCTGATGGATCCCTGCTCATCACGGGATTGAGGACTTAGTCATTCGGCAATGGTTCCCCACGGGCAAACCAAGCAAACAAACGGGCCGCCACACTTATCTCCACCAGCCACAAACAGTGATGGGCCCGTGACTTTGTTTGTTTGTGGCCATTCCTTTTGTTGTCGGGATGGTTGTCGCATCAACTCACCCTCGTCAGGCTCACCCCTCATCAAGCTCACCCCTCATTTGAATTTGACTCATAGCGCCGTTAACTCCGTATACACCTTGTGACAAGGCTTGCTGTTCTTTACCATCTCTGTCGTCCACCTTGTCAAACCAACAGCCTAAGCCATTCTGGTTGAGGTTCCCTGTGTATATATATATCGGACCGGGTGTGTCTTCCATTCTCCATCAAGCAGTCCGCCAACGGCCGCAGAGCATGAGGATGGCTACAATACCCAAACACTGTAAAAAGGCATCCCAGATTGAAATAGGAAGCACTCATTGACAGCAGCTTGATTACTTATGTTCCCTGCCAAAGCAGCGGATATTGTTTCCCCTTTTGAGTTCGGATCACAGGTTGATCCTCCCACAATGCCTCACAGGCACAACCTCCTATACTCCCATCGCGTATCATCATCTTTCAGAGCCAAGGCCATCTCGTGGCGTCTGTCCTTCAATATCCGCGTTCTGACGTCATTCATCATGAACCCAGGGCCAAGCCGATCGTGGTCTGCCTAACTAGACAATAACAAGACGGAAGATTGACATGCAGCTGCAAGGTCAAAATTTACTGGACATCTCATTAGGGAAGACCTTTGGTCGCGATCAGGTACCGGGACTCTGTGCCGATTAGTCCTTCAACTCGATCTCGTCTGATGACTCAGGGTCTGATCAATAACTACCATGCATCTAGCGAACACGAACGATATAGGGCCAAGACGGTCTCAAAAATGATATTTAGTGGGGAAGACTCTACCTGGTTAGCGTCTGTGTGGACAGAGTCCCGTTGCGGTTGCAATCTTCGCCTTGTCGTCATGTTGATCGTCTGCCCAACAACGGTTCTCGAAAGATTAGCGGGTGGATCGGATCGACAGGGATGGCTTAGCAAGCAGACAGCGCCCAGCTTTTCTGCCAACCTAATCCATAGCATTTTCCATGGGTACAATTTCCAGCGCTGAGAGCCTGAGTGACTAAACGGGGTGTCCAGGAACAGTATCTCTGATTGCCCCCATTCCCAGCATCTGGTCAATGTTCACTCATCGATAATCCCGCCTATTGCACATTTAACTTGCCCAAGGAATGAGGACCAACCATCTGAGCTAACGGCTGACTATGATATTTTGAAACCCTGGGTCAATGGATCATCATGCTGAGCAGAACAGGATTATACAGAATAAGGTTCCGCGGGTTCCTGACGAGCCCCATGCTGTTCACGGAGGTTTAATGGGATACAGGCATTAAACCCCGCGTGCTGCCAACCTGACGGTCTTGCCCAGCATCGGCAATCGCGTATCGAGTGGAGCACCATTTAAGATTCCACTATTGACTGCCTATCCCTAGGTAGGAGAAAGAGGGACAAAGGTCAACGTACCCGCCCGCTCAAAGGACTATCGATTTATGTCCGAAAATTGGTCGATGGCAACATGGCAGACAACACCATTCAGTGAACCACATCGATTGTCTTCAATCGTATGCTCAGATGTATTGATGAATGCGCTCCGTCCGTGGTTACAACCATGATGCGCATATCAATGTTCTCTTTGCCATTATCCTGACTACAGAGAGAAAGTTGCATGTCATTGTCTCAGGTTTTGACACGATCAAGAGCTTGGATTAAGCTCATCGGTTGGCTGGTATTCTACCATCCCATTTGAAACGACGGAGTGGTGTCATTGGGTGCCAATGTCGATCCTCATCTTCTCAACTCCCTGGGCACTAGACTCACTGGATGTGGAAGTTGCTTCATAGTTAGCTTCCCCTGAATCAAACTTTTCAAGCATCATCTCCTCATGGCTTGCATGTATTTAACGGGGCCTCTGCCCTGCGTGTCTTCTTTTCTCTCATCAAGCACTTCACTCTCCAGTGTCAGTCGTTCTCTAAAGCCTCCAACCGAGCTTCCTTTCACTCCTTCCCCAAACGATAATACATTCCTTCTATCTCCTTATCCTATCTTTCAGAAATCCAAGACATCACCATGAAGTTCACTGGAATTGCTGCTTCTCTCGCTCTCGCTAGCACTGTCTCGGCCGCTGCCATCCCGGCTGTCGAGACCACTGTCCAGTCCACCCTCACTCAGCTGACGGGTGTTCTTGGAAAGGTCGACAACGTCGCTGATGGCCTTGTTAGCTGTGCCAGCACCGATCTCACTGGCCTGAAGAACGGTATGATACCTTCTTGATCATGGATATTGACTCAAGGACAGTCATTGATATGAATTCACAGAACTTTCCAGCATCGAGGACAAGCTCACCCAGCTGCTTCCTTCCAGCAAGCGCGACCTCACCAACACCGTCGGAGGCGTCACTACCCCTGTGGTTGGAATCGCTGGCGGAGCCGCCGGCACTGTTGGAGCTGCTGCTAGCGGAGCAGTGAACACCGTTGGAAATGTCGTTGGCGGAGCCGTCAACACTGTCAAGGGTGTCGCTTCGCCCGTGGTTGAAACCGCTGGTGACGCTGTCAACACTGTCGAGAATGCCGCCGCCCCCGTTGTCAACACTGTTGAGGGTGTCGCTTCTCCCGTTGTTGGCACCGTTGAAGGTGTCGCATCGCCCGTGGTCAACGCGGCTGGTGGAGCCGTCGGCACTGTCAAGGGCACAGTCGGAGGTGTTGTCAATGGCGCAGTTAGCGGTGGTGTTGGCACCAGTGGCGGTGTCGGTGCCAGTATGTGTTGCAGATCCTTACAGAATATATCCAAACTAACCGTGCTCCAGGTGTCGGCGTGAAGCGTGACGGCGATGACCTTGCCGGCCTTTCCCAGACTATCGTCGCCAGAATCCAGAGCGGTAGGTAACACATCCCTGTCCACTTGAGTGAGCGTACTGACCCTTTTAAGGTGACCTGACCGCCACCGGCCTTGACAACATCCTGGGCCTCCTCGTTCAGGACGGTGAGTTGCTTTGACACAACCAGAGAGGACATTGCTGACGATTACCTAGGTCTTTCCGGCCTTCAGTCCGTCCTTGCTCTTCTGTAAGAGATGATGCATTTTAACGCTTATACCCACAACATCTTGCTCAACGCCTAGAGACGTGTCATGGAAGCCTTCGACTGGGAAACCTTAACGAAGTCATGACTCGGTGGGAGGCCCATGCTGTTGTACATTCAAGGATCTCTTCTTTGGCCTAGGAGAGCAGCCTCGGGAAACCGTGTGCAGTATATAGTACTTTATACCAGATAATTGTAATGTCTTGGAACTACGAATACATGCTCCATTGTTTTAAGAATATACTTATGTAGCCTGAGGCCACCATGCTGACTCATGCCTTATCGCACATCCCACTTCCCCGCCTCAATATCAATCTTCTCCCAGTTGCGTTCTGCTATATAGACAATTGACCTACTGCTGCAATTCTTACTTCACACTCCTATACCGTCAATAAATTCGCCTGTTCAAAAATGGCCTCCAACAATGACTCCACCGAATTCCCTTATACTCTGTACGTCCAACCATGCGGCAGTCTTCAGAACCCCTCAGTCAAATAACCACTAACCAACAACCCAACAGGACCATCTCCCTCCCTCTCCCCACCAACCGTCTCGCATCCTCTGCCCTCCGTACCCTCGAAGTCGACGCCGAGCTCTCCCCCTTCGTGAAGCGAAGCTTCGCCCTAACCACCCCCACCAAAGAGCCCACCGCCTCCGAGGAAGCCAAAACCGTTCTGGAGACGACCTACCGTGCAACCACGAATCGCATGCTGCGTGTCGCCGTGAACGGCTTCATGGAGAACCTGGGTGTTGTCCTTGGCGTGATGGAGGAATTGGACGTGGATGTGTTTGACGCCGAGGACGAGAAATGAATGCAGAAAAGCTTGGTTTACCATACACAGGGGACCTGAAGGAATTTATTCTTGTGAGGATATCTACTATGCTACGAGACATCGTGTGGCCCGATCTGGTTGATTTGAGATATCCAGTTTTGGGGCGCTAGTCAGGTCCGGTCGGATGGATCCCGGATACCGGATGTTAAGTTCTCGTGGTAAAAACGAGACGAGCCGTGTCCGGAGCGTGGAAGGGGATGCGTGGATGCGTACCGTGGATGGGAGAGCCTACGTCGGCAGTGCAATGGGGCTCGGAAGGGGGTTCACATCAGTAGATCGGGTTGGTGATAAAATTGGGATAATTTGAGGTGGCTATTTGGTTATTAGGTTGTCGGCACTTGGCTGTGACCTGGGAGGGCCTAGAAAAGTATCACTAATCACTTGTGCAGTACGGAGTATAGGGTAGATACGAAATACGAAACAACATGCGATGGAAAAAAGCTCCAGCCAAGAAGGAAAAGCCAGGCACTAAATTCCAATAAATGCAATATAACAGACACCTCTTAATTTATTGTATCCACCACGTGTCTCAACCCTCCAGTATTTGGAATTCCTCTAATGAACCAGCCACTCAGCATTCAATGAATGATAGTAATTTGCATAACCCTGTGCACCAACCAACCAGCGCCCGATAACTCCCCCCCAACCCCAAAGCAGCAAAAGCGCCGGTGGCGCAACGTTCTGCACTTTCTTAACTGCTTAGTTCGTCGTATCGATCGACCCGCCCGCACCAGACGATGATGACATCCTCCACTGGGCCTCCTCGTTCGGGTGCCGGAATCTCTTGTTCCCGATCCTTCTCTCTCATGCGCCTGGAAATCGTTGGTACGCCCCCTCTCTTGCCGCCGAGGTTATGCGTGTGTCATCTATCGTCGCATTTCGTGATTTATCATCCTGCAGGTCGAGACTTGCGTCGCAAACTGCTTATCTAGTTGCGCATCCCTGGACGGTGCGATCTGTTAGTCCTGTTGGTCATCTTGCGACTTCATCGCGACAAAGACCCCGGAACCTTTTTCCTACTATCCTAAGGATTCATTCACTGCCATATTCGGCCTCAATCTCAACCATGTCTTCCGCGACTTCTTTCTACGACTTTGAGCCGGTCGATAGTACGTTCCCCATCCATCTTCATCACAACCTTCTATCTCCCCTCCCTACCTACCTAACTCCCCCGAAAACACCCAGCTAACCACACCCACCCCACCAACAGAAAAAGGCAACCCCTACCCCCTCACCTCCCTGCAAGGCAAAGTGGTGCTGGTCGTCAACACCGCCTCCAAGTGCGGCTTCACGCCGCAATTCCAAGGCCTCGAGAAACTTTACCAAGACCTGAAGGCCAAATACCCCGAGGATTTCCTGATCATCGGATTCCCCTGCAACCAGTTCGGCAGCCAAGATCCCGGCTCCAACGACGAAATCCAGTCCTTCTGCCAGATCAACTACGGCGTGACGTTCCCCGTGCTGGGCAAGTTGGACGTGAATGGTGATAAGGCGGCGCCGGTGTGGACGTGGATGAAGGAGCAGCAGCCCGGTCTGTTGGGATTGAAGCGCATTAAGTGGAACTTTGAGAAGTTTTTGATCTCGGCTGAGGGAAAGGTCGTCGGACGGTGGGCCAGCTTGACGAAGCCTGAGTCGTTGGAGGAGACGATTGTCAAGGAGATTGAGAAGGCTAAGAAGGAGGGGACCTTGGCTTCGGTGAAGAAGGCGGGCGAGGCCCAGGGTGAGGGTGCGGCCGAGGCAAAGCTTGCTTAGGGGAGGATTAATCTCATAGTGATGGAGAGGTGTTTGTGATACCATGTTGATGTTCTTGTATTGAGTACTGGTTGTTACAGTCTTTGACTGCCATGTGATGGACTCGTCATATCATATCAAGTCATACTAATTTACTGTATCGTCTTCTTTCCCCCTTCTGACTACGCCGCAGCACTACCCTTAGGGATCAAATTGCGCAACGACAAATCATACACAACATCCTCCACCTTCTTAACCTGTACCACACAATTAGCACCCATCTCCAAACAACAAGCGCAGAAAACCTACACTGTACTTAATCCCATCACTCCTCTTCCGCAGAATATCATTCTTCAAATTCAGCAACTGGAATCCGGCAAACAGATCCTTAATGAAGTTTCCGATCTGCACCGGCCGGGTATAATCACCCAGCGTGACCGAGTTAACCGCAAGACGGGCCTACACTCATCAGCCAAGCTCCTCAACCAACCAACCAACCCAATCAACCAAGCAACAGGAGAACTCACCAATTCCTCAACCATCGAAATCAACGCAAGCAAATACTCCTCAATCGTAAGATGAAACGCATCTTGCTCTTTAAGATTAACAGGCACTAAACAACCATTAGAACCATCCGTCCAACCCACCCCCCAACCCCAACCCCCAATCCAGACAGGATAAGATAAACGAAACATACCACCCAGAAACGTCCCCACCTCCTCAATGGTCAAAAACGACGCCGAGCTACTAGCTTTATACTCTTCCAGCCCGCCCAGCCACGCGCAGAGCTCAATCGACGAGACCTAGTAACATTAGCCATGCCAAATACTTAAATCCCCTACAACAGGACCGGAAACCCCCAAATATATAATGGAAAGGAAATTGAACTCACCAAATTCTGCAACTCGCGCGTCCACAACCCGTTATATTTATAAAATGGGTGTTTGTCCGCGACGGTCTTGAGACGGGAGACTTCGTCGCGTTGGGCAATGATTTCTTTTGTCGCGTCGTTGAGGATGGGTTTCACTGTTCTAGTTAGTTATCTATCCTTTGGCAAAGATATTGGGGGGGAATAGTGAAAAGCATGACATACATTGATCGGTAGGGGTCGAATGAGCCCGGGAGAGGATCGCTTGGGTTGAGCGGCCTATGCCGTATGCCGTATTAGCTAGTAGGTACTAGGAGAGATGAGTGATTAAATAAGGGATGAGTACCCTTCCTAGCTAAAGTCTGAACAATATCATGAAGTTCCTGGATCGAGATATGTTAATGCACCGCCGCTACTGGGCTGGGTTGGGTTGGGTGGGTGGTGGGCTTGGCACAGCGTCTTACATCGCGGACGGCGGCCTCGTCGTCGATTTTAGCTTGGAGGTCTTCGAAGATATGGTGGTCGATCATTTTGGATGCGGGGAGATGCGTGGGTTTGGTGGTGAGAGGGTTTGCGATGCGGCTGCAGTGTTGTTGGATGTTACGTCAGGGAAATCAAGCTGAGAAGAAATTGTGGGGCAGGGATGTGGTTTTCTGCCGCTTTTATTTGGGCGCTGCTGTTGTCGGTATAGGTTTATGTATGTTTTCTTAGGTATGTCTGGGAACTTGGGTAGTTTCTTAATATCAGTATTGAAGCTGTATATTTACTTATGAGTTGTAAAGACGCTATGGAAATGACATACGACGGATCATCTACATCTACAGACATATACTAGTAACTGAAGGATGGAGTAATCGCCTCACATTCATCTAACCAACCTAAACAATCCCTTGATCATAACTCATCATTAACCCAGACAACCCCCCCCTCAGTAGCGGTACCTCGTCGAGTAATCTACACCCATCATTAGCCACAACCCACCCAACACAACCAAAGCATATAGAAAAGAGGGGTTAAAACTCACCCTTAGGACTAACCACCAAACCACGACCCTTCTTCGCCCCCTTATAAATCGTCTCAATAATATCAATCATCTCCTGCTTATCCTCCAGCACCCAGTTCAATTTATTATTGTTACCGGTACCGAAATCACACATCATGTGTTTGTTGCGGTAGAAGAACATGATGGTCATTGGGTCGAAGAGTTCGTACATCGTGTTGAACTCGGGGACCTCGTCGATGTCGCAGAGGTAGATTACCGCGAAGTCTAAGTTCGTCAGTCTCCGATGTCAGGTTGATTGGGTGGTTGGGTAGGACGTACTCTTCACTCTTTCGGCGATCTTGAAGAGGACTTCATCTTGGCGCATGCCTGGGTTTTTGTTAGTTTTGGTTTCTGGATGGAGGAATGCATGGGCGTACAGTCGACATCGTGGTCGCGACCGAATCTGATGACCTGCACTCGGGTTAGGATGTTGCTAGGCTGATACACAGGATGTATACGCACCACAAGTCGATCCTCCTCGGATAAAATGGCCTGGTCGACGTGCCAGGCTGTGCGCAGGTGCGGCAGAACGACGGAACCCATGATGAGTGTTACTTTAGGCTGTGATGCTTCGAGTTGGTTGTATCAAGGAAGTCGTGTGATGCAGTGATGTAGTAGAATCACGTGGAGACAGGAACGGAAGTTGCTCTTCTCGAAGATTCGGGGTGATATCTAACCTTACATATGGCTACAAGATGTTGATGACAGCCATGCTATTGACTGATGCTACGCTGCAGTTCGCTTCTTCTCCAACCAGTCGGCATGCCGACCACATTGATGAAAAAGAGGTTCGCGTCGATCGGAGGTAGTGTAAGCCCGATGACACTGTGTGGCAAGACATGCGCAAGCACAGAGGTCCTGCCACGAGGTACAAAAATAAGATTAATCAATGTTGTGTTCCTTAGAACACTTTCAGAGATTAAACTGAAAAGAACAGATACTACACTTGATCTAAGCCAAAAGGCAAAGAGAGCTGGAGAAGAAAAAAAAAAATTCTAAAGATCGGGAGCGGCCAGACGTATATATACCATCTGCCCCGTGGCCCGTGCGCAGCCCTTGACTAGTGTCATTCCGGGTTCGAGAAGCGAGACGCAACGCCTGCTGTGATTGGCCCAGCCTATCACCCCATCAGATGACACGAGCCTGCCCTAATCAGCATCGCCCAACCCTATCCACATGTCCCGAAACGGATTAGTGACACGCACTTGACCGACTCCAGCGTCCCTCCATCGACTTTCGACGATTTTCTCTCTCCAAGCGCGCAGGATACTCACCTCTTTGCGACCAAATAATCCCTCTCTATCCTCCAAAAACACCCCCTTCCCCCCCCAACAGTCACAATGGCCCCCGTTGCTGTATGTTTCCTTTCCTCCAACTGCTTTGCTGTTCCCCCGTAAGGGATTCATCCATGAGCATGGTTTTCTCTACATTGAGTGACCATGTAAAAATATATTTTTTTTCATCATGGAATGAATATACCCTGGGGCTTCGACATTACGGAACAGTAGGCTAATCCCGGTTTTTTCCCCCATAATAGGCTCGTGGTCGCAAGGCCCAGAAGGTCACCAAGAAGGTATGTGCTTATCGCGATCGCAATCGCAAACCCCAACACTTTTTTCTTTCTTTGGGAGCTCGGATCACTAATCTATCTGGTGTATATAGTATGTCATCAACGCTTCTCAGCCCGTGAGCGACAAGATCTTCGACCTCTCTGCTTTCGAGAAGTTCCTCCACGACCGCATCAAGGTCGAGGGCCGTGTCGGTAACCTCGGTGACAAGGTCGTCATCTCCCAGGCTGGTGACGGCAAGGTCGAGGTTGTTGCTCACATCCCCTTCTCTGGCCGCTACCTCAAGTACCTGTACGTTTCTCCGATACTTGCAACGCTTTGGGTCATAAATCTAACAATAAACAGCACCAAGAAGTACCTCAAGAAGCAGCAGCTCCGTGACTGGCTCCGCGTTGTCTCCACCTCCAAGGGTGTCTACGAGCTCCGCTTCTACAACGTCGTCAACGACGAGGGCGAGGAGGATGAGGAGTAAACTACTCCTTTCCGGAACCATTGATACCAATTAAAAAAATCGGAAAAGTGATCGGACGACAGGTGGTCTCGCGTCAGGGGATATCTGAATTGAGGGTCGTCACTTGGAGTCGGGTTCAGGGATAGTTGCGCTCTACTGGGAGGGATTCCTATACCGTCTGGCGATGCCTGGTTTGGCTTGGATGTCTGTGCCTGAGAAGGTGGCAGTTCTGCAGCTGGGCTGGTTCGTCATGGCTACCTCTACTCATGACGTTATGACTGGTAGATACGATGAATAGAGCAATCTGTCACTCAACCCTACGTTGATTCGTTGTAAAATGTGTAGAAATATTGTACAATTTCCGGTGTATATACCGTGGGTATCACTGAACTATATCATATCCTACTTCATGTCATGCCTCATTCCCCAATGTCGCGCTTGTCCGCTTCTGGCCTGCTCCCAATCCAAGCTTACCATGTGCAGCTGCAGCGTCAGCGTCTGCTGTGCCTGGTGGAGGCACAAGCTGAGCATTGTGGATGCGCCATCCTTTAGATTTGAGGACCTTCCAAGTTTCTGCTGCCTTGACCCTCACCAAATCACCGGTAGCGATCGCGTCTTCCTTGGAATCGTGACCACGACTGCCTCCTGTTTGGATGTCTCGATCCAAATGTCTCTTACAGAGAACCTTCAAGCTCATGCGAAGGGGTAGGCCCCGTGGATGCGGGTAAAGAAAAACCGTATCAATGATCGTCGGATGGATGATGCGACAAGCATTGAGGTCGTTGTCAATCGCATGCCCGATCAATGGTGTATCTGGTTGTAAATATCTGAACAACAGCGCCCGGGCTGCGGCAGGCGACTCGACGACCTGCAGGGGAGGCGCTTCTACTTCCCCATCCTCCAGCACCGCTGCGCTCGTCTGGACAGAGCTACCGTATGGGATGGCTTTCGTGTAGTGTTCTGGAAAGACGCCAGAAAAACGTGAGTTCAAGTCCAAAACTTCACCTATGGGTCTGACAAGAACATCCAAGAGTGCTTCGCCTTTAGGCCAGCTAACAGCAGTGAGCCGAATCAGCTCGAGCCCTTGTGTTGTGTACCCCATTTCACAGTCGAAGGAAATTGGCGGCAGTGGCCCTTTGTCTGGCTGCGCTGGAGTCTTTTCGAATGGAAAGATTGATGCGAGTCGTTTGGTTTCCGACACCTTGAAGACGTGGGTGTTCCCCTTAGTGCACCCAGCCGAAGTTCCTACCGACTCGTTGCAGCAAGAAAAGTATGCCTCTCTATGCCCAGTGATGTGATCCGTCTTCTTTCTTGGCGGATAAAGAGGTTTCCCCGGGTGATATGTGCATTGCCCTCCAGTCGTCAATGTTCCATCCTCTCGACGACCAGGAAAGACCTGAAACCTCCCTCCACACCGATCGCATTTCTCCCACCCCTTGGATTCGATGACGCCCTTCCTGGCACTTTCCACCTCCGCATCTGTGGGGGCTTTAGTCACGTACCCGTGCTCCTCCAGACCTTGCAGGGGAGTGACCAGCTTGTTCGTCAAAGCTATTTCTTCTTTGGTGTTGAGCCCAGTGTCCAGAACCTTTGGTTTCGAGTGCTCGGGCTCGGGATCAAGCTTATAGTAGCGCTCATTCAGATGAACTTTCACTTCATTTGCCCAGTCGTCCTTGCTCATTTTCGAGAGTTTCACGATCCGGAGCTTGATGACATTAGAATATATGCCTGGATTATCTTTTGCCGTCTTCTCCTCTTCATCCAGGGCCATAGTGATAAGCTCATTGGGTGTGAGGACTAGATACTTGTCCTTGCTCTCGTTGTCTTTGCCCATTTTGTCATTTAGAGCAGACATTGCAGCATGTAGTTTGGTTATTATAGACAGTCGCACGCCATGGGGGGCAGGTGCTTTCGTCAGCATCCGAGGGTTTAGGCTCTCCCGTGGCGCTTGCCTCGGTGGGCGAGCTTTGTGCGAGGTGGATGCGCTCGACTTTGCTGGGGTCGAGCTTGCCTTTGCTGGCGGAGTGATCTCTCTGGACAATGACTGAAGCTTGACAGGGCTTTGACTATTGGGCTTAGGCCTTTTGATCGCTGCGGTTGTTGATGGTGGGATCTGACTGGCAACTTCTTTTCTGGGTATAGGCGAGGGTTTGCCATTCGACTTAGCTTTATCTTCACTCGTAGCTGGTGTTTTGGGTTTGACAGATCCCGATTGCCCTGAAGCTGTTGCTGCATCGTGCGGCGTTGCCTGTGATACATGTGCGCCCTGATGGGTCTCTCGAAGATCTGAGGGGGATCTGATATTCTTATGAGAGAACATGCAGGTCAAGAGCAAGCAGTTTTGTCCTTCCGGACAAGGTATGTCCTTGAATAGGCCGATAGGTGCGAACATCATGTTAGAAGAAGAAGCTTCCTCAGTAAGAAGCGTTGAGGCAGGTGTAGAAGAAATGACAATATATCAGGTCTGGAGAGACTTGGTTTATGTCTTGCATTGCTCGCAGCTTGCACTCAACATGGATGGAAGTGAGGGTCGAACTTGCTTCAGACTGCCAATGCGCCTGCTGCGGGCTCGGGACCCACTTGAGAGCGTTGATCACGCTGTTCAAATGAGTGTCCAGCACACTCGTCTTATCCAAACGTGGTGCCTGCCATGGACAAACCGCCAGCCACTGCAGTGAGAACAAATATCTACTAGCACACCCTATCAATCCAGAGCATTCCGAGTCTTTCAAAATTGTCTTATATAAGATGAGACATGCACTTGGTAATCTGCCATGGAGCAAGGAGGAAGGCCTCAAGACTTTGAAGAGGTACTGGACATGAAGTTGAAGTTGAAGCTGAAGCCGACGCTGCAGTTCGGGATGCTGCCGTGCAAACCATGCAAACAGGCGCATGTCTGCAGCTGCAGGAGGGCCAGCCACTTGTCCTCCCCTGTTCGGCCAATTCAATCGAGGCCGAGCCTTTCAGTCTACAGGCCTTATTCGATAGCAGCTATGCCACGCGATGGAGAGACTACACGGATTAGCTGGGTGGGGGCTCTCTCACAGGCGTCGTCCAGGCATCCTTCCGATGACGTCCCTTATCGGGGCTTAGTAAGGGGCCAATGGAGGCCAATCTGACAGCCACCAGAATAGATACACTGCCTCATCCTCGAAGAATATATTTTCGAGTTCAGCCGGCCATTCCAGAGAATGTTGAAGAAGCGGACAAAGTCTATTCAGTACAGCATCGCAGCACATTGACACCATCTCGATAAAGGATACCATGGAGCTTGATAGCGGCCGTACGCCGGCAGAGACGTCACGGAATGCCGACCACCTCTGTGTCTTGGTCCATGGGTGAGAGACAAGCCCCCTGAATATAATGCCGGACCAAATTCACTGACATATACGCCACGACTGACAGGCTCTGGGGTAACCCTTCCCATTTGGACTATATCACCTCATCGCTGAGGGACCGATACAGCGAGGATCGTCTCCATATCCTGGCCGCCAAGCGGAACTCCGGCAACTTTACCTACGATGGCATCGAGGTCGGTGGAGAGCGTGTGGCACATGAGGTTGAAGAAGCACTGGAGGAGCTGGCAGCAGCAGGGCATCACATCACAAAGCTGAGCATGGTCGGCTACTCTCTTGGGGGCCTTGTAGCTCGATATGCACTCGGGCTGTTGTATGCCCGGGGATGGCTCGATAAGCTTGAACCCGTCAACTTCACCACATTTGTGTCGCCGCATGTCGGCGTGCGACATCCTCTGAAGGGCACCTGGGGCTTCCTGTGGAATAACGTGGGGCCTCACACCATATCCATCTCAGGCAAACAACTGTTCATGATCGATTCGTTTCGAGACTCGGGCAAGCCGCTGCTCAGCGTGCTAGCCGACCAGGACAGCATCTTCATCAAAGCATTGAAAAAGTTCAGGCATCGCACCGTGTATGCGAATGTTGTCAACGACCGCTCAACGATATACTACACCACGGCTATCTCACCGATCAACCCGTTCCACGAGCCGGAAGACGTCCACATCAATTACGTGAAGGGCTATGAACCGGTTGTGATTGATCCTGACATGCATATAATACCGTCAGAGAAGAAACACGCAAAGCCATTACCCCTCCTTTCCCAAGCACAGCAACAGTTTACAAGTGTCTTGACCGATATTCCCTTCCAACTCCTCTTCACCACCATCCTATTCATCGGGTTCCCTATCTTCCTCGTCAACTCTGCCATCCAGACCTTCCGCAGCCAGCGACGAATCCGTCTCCACGAAGAAGGAACCTTGGGAACCGTCTTTGGACGCTATCGCGTCCCCGTCATGGTCCAAGGGGTCCAGCATGCCATCGAAGAGGCTTTCGAACACGCAGTCACCAGGCAAAACCCAGACTACCTCTCCATGGATATGACCGAGAACAAGGAGAAACCCAAACAAGCGGCATCCGCAAGGAAAGGCAGAAGAGCCGTGGAGAGCAAAGGCAATACACCCCTCCGCGACGCGAGCCCAGACAGTGCGTCTGAGCCCCTACTTCCCCATGAAGACTCCGAAACTCAAGAATTCCCAACCCTCGCCTTGACACCGGCCCAATTCTCCATCATCGAGTCCCTCAATTCCGTTGGTTTCCGAAGGCACCCAGTCTACATCCACAATCATCGACATAGCCACGCCGCGATTATCGTCCGGATACCCAAACCGGGTTTCGACGAGGGCAAGCTGGTCATCAAGCACTGGCTTGATCAAGTTTTCGAGATTTGAGCAGCCAGCAGCCACGACCAACAGCCAACAAGCACCAGTATATCACCACGAAGGGCGCCATATAGACTTTCTTCTCCACTCCATTGCACCATGACAATACAATACACACACTCTATAGACTAGACAAACCACCATACATCCAAACCAAGCCAAGCACAAGCACAAACCCTCAAACACAAAACGCAAAAACAAACCCAGATATCCGACTCTATCCGCCCCGTCTCAGAAATACACCCCCTACCCATCCCCATACCGCTCCACACCACACCAAGCCAGACCTGAACCCAACATCTTCACATGAACATAAGCACAACCATACATACAGGATATGACACACTCCACTCTACTACTCTACTCTTCTCCTTCTTCTCCTCTTCCACTGCACCCCACATTCATCGCCATGCATCCCCCTCCTCTCCTCCACCCTGCACCACACAAGCCTGCAGCCCACACTTAGTACTCCGTAGTACCTTCCACATCCACTCATTGACACACGCCCCATCCCATTCCACCACTTAAATCGCCCGGAAATCCTTCCTCCCCCGCGTTCTGACGTCTGCCGTGCGGGATGCTGAGGAGTCCGGCGTTGTCTACCTAACCTTAATCAGAAGCTATGGGGCGGGGCCCGGAGTTGCCTGTTTGGGTGTTCCCGTGGGCTTCTGGCTTCCGCTATTACCATAGTACTTACTTATTGCTATGCACGGAGTTTGTTTGGGTTGGGTTGGAGTGGATTGGTTCCGGTTGGAGCCATTGTGAATTTGGATTAGGTGTGGTGATTGGTGGATGGATAGAGCCGCTGGGTTTAGGGTGGGTTTGAGGGGGGCTGTGTGCTGCATGCTCTGTGCTCTGGGCAGTGGTGTTGGGTTGGAGTTGGATTAGGATTACTATGATCGGGGCTACTACTGTTTGGATAGAGACTGTTTAGTGTCAGACTGGTGAGGGGTTGTCGTGATGGTAGATTACGATCTAGATGCGGAAGTCATTTGGTATATCATCCAATATCATTAAAATCTCATTTCTATTATCACAAAAAGGTATCATATTCCAGCATCCCTATAGGTATCTGGACGTTTCTATCAATCTGTAACGGCATCCTGACTGGAACAGTGTGAGTACAATGCAAAGATCATATACCCGCCAGCCCTTCAGTATAGTCGACCAAGTGAAGGGATTCCTTGACAAGAGTAGACCAACGTAAAAGATAGAAATCTACTGTCACAACAGTTTAGCATGCCAACCAGCCTGGGTAGAATCAGTTGCGCAAAGCTGTCTCCGAGTCAATACCGGAATCGGCATCGTCCATAATGGCCGACTCTTTGTCGCCTTTGGACATCTCACGGTCAATGGCAAACTTGACCGCGTCCAGAATATTGTTGCAAATCTTCTTCGGTGGATAACGAGGGATGGTGCCCTCCTGGTAAACACCCGTCTTGACCAGGATTGAGTACCAGTGGGCGTCACTGATCTCGTTGAACTCGTTCGTACCCCTGATATCTGACTCCGGGGTGTCGCCCACGAAATATACAGTGCTGGGCGGCTTGTTGATGCCATGGGTGTTCTTCCGCCATTGTCGCAAGAGACGCATAGCGAATTGATATGTGCCCAGCTGGGGCTTGCCAAAGGCGATCGTGGTGAGCTCTTTGCCGGTAACAGCTTTGTATAGCGCTTCCAGAGACGCTCGGAGGGCCCCCATGCCGATTCGCGAATGTTCATGCGAGGTGGACCAGACCACGTCGTTGTGGGAGAAGAACAAGGGCGGCCCCTCGTCAAAAGTTTCGGACCGGGTGCCCAGGTGGCCGTCCTTCGTCATCAGACAATCCAGGATAATCTGCTGGTCGCCAGCCCAGTCTCGACTATCAGCAAATACGAAGATTGCCTCGATCCTAGTCTTATTGAAGTCTCGAACCCGCGAGTTCTTGTGCTCTTCTTCGGTCAATTTCCGGAACGGAGTGGTGTCGTGCCTTGTCTTGATGATGTCTCCGGGAGTAATGACATCCTTGAAGCCATAGCCTTCGGCTACAACACGGCATTTCTCACCCTCGCCGCCGACGACAAGAACCGTGTGATACCTCTCAGCCATTTCGCGCATTGGTGTATGGCCACAAATGAATTGACCTGGGGAGACTTCTAGCTCGAGCTGTCGACTGAGATCCAGACATCGTTCTTCCTCCGTCTTGCCTCCACCGTTCGTTACAAAAATATAGGGACTGGCGAAGGAACGTCAGTGCAAGTTTTCAATTAAGGGGGGAAAAAAAGAATTAAAAAAAAAAAAAAAAAAGGAAAGGGAGAGGGAAAGGGAGAGGAGAGAGCACAAGTATGAAGGCGAACGAAAAGAATTCAGATACGTACACTTTGACCCCGTACGGGTTCTCTCCATTGATATATTTCAGAGCAGCGCCGGCTTCCGGGATAGCCTCCCCACCCCTGATAAGCACCCCGTCAATGTCGAAGGCCAGGGCGAAATCATCAGCAGTGGTGAAAGGCATGTCCGCAATCGGGGAAGCAGCGCGGGGAGAGCCCTCCGTGGAGGAAACTTCGTCGTCGATATGTTGCTTGGCCATGTCCATTTCGATGGCAGTTTCATGGGATAAGGTGGAAGCCATCAAATGTTTAGGAGGGATGGCCACATTAGGACCCCCATAAAGGTCGGCCCGACAGGCGTCCAGGCTAGACAGCCGGCGCACCCTTGGGGTACCGAAGCCGTCGGTTGTTGTCATTGCGACAATGTAATTCGGGCGGAGTGGCGACAGTAGATGTGGACCTCCTGTGGACCCAGGATCAGAACAAGAAACGGCTGGAACAAGAAATGGCCAGTGCTGAGAAGATCGATCGACCACTACGTAAGAGGATCCCCAGGGGAGATTGTCTCAAACGCGCAATTTTCGGAAACAACAAGGAAAGCAAGATGATCAATGAATCCTGGCAGTGCTCCCAGTCGAGCTCGCGAGGATGCACTTAACAGACACAATGCTATACAGTACTCCGTGCAGTTCCTGGCAGGAATCGATGATGTGCAGCGAGGAACAGGGAAGTATGGAACACTGATGAGGGGTGTGAAGAGGAAGGACAAGGTGGGGTGGGAGCCAAAAAAGAGGGTCAACTCTGGATGACAATGGGATGCCAGAGCCATTAATATACGACCGAACAGTCAAGCGGTGGAGGGAGGCCTGGGAGATTCTCCCTTGGGCGATGCAGCCCGTGGCGCCGTCATCGACCGCGTCTGGACAGAGGCTTCAATCCTACTGGAGACTGGCAGTGTTGATTCTGTAGTCATTGCGAGGGTGGTTGACCAACCCCACTGTAACCAAAGTTTGTGGATCTGTCTTTGGTCGTAGTGTATCCGTAGTGGTATGCCTGAGGATTTAGTAGAAGTCAGTCAGCCATACATGCCAGACGCACCCTTGACAATGGACGATGATGGAGGAGGCTGGCGCTGTGATTCGTTCCAAGCAACGGGTCAAGGCGCCAACCGCGTCGGCAGTCTAAAGACGCCGAGGCTGCCAGGAGGGGTGGGGGAGAAGGAAAAGAGAGGATGAGACCAACTTACCGTACGAACCATTAATCAGGGAAATCGGGTCAAGTCAACCCACTCAAAATCCATGTTTGGGTGGGCAGGATGGTTGTTTTCGGGTCATCAATCGGGGCCGCGCGAGTTGCACGAAGCCATGAGGATGAGAGACGCAGAGGGCGGAGCGAAGTTGACATCAACCATCCACGGGTGCGTTACCATACCATCTGTCTCCATACACAGGGCTACCACGCCGTGCTACACCGTACTGCGCCGTACTGCGTCCTACATCGTCCTACAATACACGGACCACCAATGACACCCCAGCATCGCCAGGCTTTCTCCTACGCAAGCCATCGATATCATCCGCATCCTGGGCGATAACAGGCCGGGCGACGAGGAGGGGAACGGACCAGACTACCGAATGCACGCATCTACATTCCTAGGGCCCCCTCCTGAACGATTGGTTCTGTCAGCCACAATCAGAGCGAAGCATCGGAGCGGACGTTACATCCCAAGCCTCCCCCTTGCCAGCCGTTGTGCTTCTCCGAGTCGAATGAGGTAATAATAGTAGAGCGTAGTATTAGTGCTGCCTCACTGCCTCAGTCATCCGCCAGGGCGGATCGCCGCTCTGACGTCATGGCGGAACCGCGCCGGCTCTGGCCGTACCGTATCAGGTATTCGTATCAACAGCGTCATCCTCGACTAGTTCACATGGGAATTCCATGCGGTAAACCTGGAACCATAATTGCCTCATGGGGGGTGCGCGCCCTCGGTTACGGGAAGGTAGACCGGGAATTAGACTCCCCAGTTTTTTGCGTGATTTTCGGAATGATGACTGTAGCCGTATCTGACTCTCAGACCATTTCGAATACCTCATAGACTTTACGCCATTGCAATAGCTAGGCTGAGCCTTTTCAGATGACAGGCAGAGAGTGGGGCAAGGATGGAAGTCCATGGCCACCGTATCAGACCCTCAGCCAGCCTGTCCAAAGCCCGCATCCAAATCCATCCACGTCCAGGGCATATGTACAAGTCACAAGAACAAAAAAAGGGCAACGAAGCGTGGTGTCATGGAGAGAAAGAGGTCCACTTTCTCACCCCCAAAGAACAGAAAACCATATCATACAATGGAAATGAATATACCCGATTTATATACTGGACCATCCCGACGACAATGAAATGCTCTAACCCTCGCGCCCAAAAATAAATAGATGATGCAGCACTAGCTACTAGATTATGCGCATCCCGTTAATCCACGCGTAGTATCAGATCGGAGCCGCTGCGCGACGGGATGAGATTCCGCTCCGACGGCAACGGTTTCTTCTTAGGCATGTGGCCTCTCACGCTTTCGATGGAGCGAATAGAATCGGTCGACTGCCTGCGTCCGTGCGATTTTGCTCCGTATCCTGGACTATGACCAAGCCAGTAGTCATCAGGCGAATAGGGTGCGTTTGAACCCTCGGGATGTGGCTTGCGCCGAATTTGGACCCTCTTGATATCGTCCCGTCGCACGATCCGCGGTCTGGAAACGATCTCCTGACCGGCACTAACTGCCCCAGAGAACGGCATCCGAGGAAGGTCGAGGTGGTCACTTGAGGAAAATTCCCAGTTCCACTTGGGGGGTTCGTGTATCGGCGTCCTGACTTCCCGCACCGGCGTGAGTGGCCGAAGGCTCCCCGAACGCCGGGATTCGCGATGTATCCTGTTGGTCTTGCCGTTAATGTCAATGTCCTCGAACTTGTCGTCTAGACTATACAGCATGGTATTCTTCGCTTCCGCATCATGGTGCGAACGACTTGCAGCACTGTAGGGCGATGGTTGTCCGACAACTCGCGTATGACCAGCATCGCGATCTTGCCGGCTTCCATCGCTATACTCGCCGGTGTCCAAGAGAGGAGAGTGATATAGTAACCCGTTATAGGTGTCGGCTTGGTTTGGGGATTGAATCATTTCGCCAGTGTCTGCATCGACAGTCATGTTTCGGTAGTTAGGACCTTTCATGGCAAGCTTCCCACTCTGGTCTTCTCCAAAGCCATGAAGCATCGCACGAGGATTTGCAGGCAGCCCGGCCATGGGAGCTCGAGGATGGGGCCGACCTCCTTGAGATCGACTAGGTGAGGCTGATGGGTTCAGATTTCGGTACGATGCGCCTAGAAAGCTCCGTGGCCTTGTCACATCCTCTTCGAATAAAGTAGCATGGCTGTTCGGCCTCGGCTGTTTTTGGCGACTCCACCTCAATGGCTCTGGATAAAGCCCAAGTGATGGCTTATCTGGGAGTAGGTCCGAAAGCGTTCGTGGTGACGATTGGCTCAAAGAGGCCTCGACTTCAGAATTAGAGGATATCGCAAACCCAATCCTGTCGGCACTATATATCCCCAATGGATTACCACTGTGGTAATTTCCCGGGCCAGTAACGACAACTGCGGGAGTCTGAGCCCTTGGCTCAAACGGAGTTATCAGTCTCGAGGTTTCAGAGTCCCTATCTGTTGTGGTGGGCATGGGCCGGGGCCCAGTTGGCCGTCGTGGGGGAAATGCAAAATCCGGAGGCTCAGACATGACACCTCCAATCTCGAAGAAATCCTGGCTTTTGTTGAGCTGATTTCGGCGCCTTATTTTCCTACAGCAGAAATATATGATGACTCCGACGATGAAGAATCCAGAAATTCCAGAGGCAACGGAAACCCCAATCACAGCAGCAGGTTCCAGCCTACTGTCCGACGCACTTGCAGATGCCGATTGGCCGCTACTAGTGGTGTTTCCAGTACTCGTGGGAAGAGTTTGTGATGAAGTTACCGTCAAAGGGCTTTGGAAGGTTGCAGTAGTAACCGAAGCACGCTCAGTGTTGGTTGACGATCCCGGGTTCGTATTCGAGGTAGACAGGGACCTAGTGTCGGAGCTGGAGCTGGAGCTGGAGCTTGGATTAGAGAATCCTGTTCTTGTCGCTGTAGGCTCTGTCGCTGTCGTAGTCCCTAGCGTGTGCGTTGTTCCCGTTGGCATTATTGTAGCAGTGATCGTAGCATGGGTCCGCGGCAAGGCTCCGGGTACCGAGTCGCAGATGTTGTACAGGTCGGGGCTGAATACCGTTTCTATCGAACACAGAGAAAGGCTACATCGGAACGCCCCTTCCCCAAGTGTATAACCGCTCGTCGTATTCGTCCGACACAGACAATCGAGGTCCCACTCAGAGCATACATTGTTCGGGTAGTTGGTTATGATGAACTCTTTGACGCAGTCTGCCGCACAAGTCGGAATCAAAGCAGACAGCGATGTCGCAGACGCCGTAGGAGAAGTTGTCTGTGAACCGTAGGCGAGGCATGCGAAAATCGATAATGCTACCGTGAATGGCCGTCCAGCAGAAGAGAACATCTTGTGAACACATCTTTTCTCAGTTAGGAGACGGGTAACTCTGAATAGATGCAAGCCAAGGAATTGCGAGCAGGATAAAATTTCAGGGTCAGTCCAAACCTACATACATCAACAGTGACACTGCAGAGGAAGTCCTACCCCTGAAGTCATTGATAGTCATAGGATATCATCCTTAGGGAGCGAAAAGAGCAGAACGCTAGGTGTTCGAAGGGTTGATGCTTTCAAGTTGACTTAAGCATCAGACACAAGACAGAGCGGCTGCGATAAGGGGAGAAGGGGCAACTTCAGGGACCAGCACACTCCACCGCATACTGCCATCATGGGCGTCAACCCATGTTTTCTCATGGCGCTGAGTGGCTGCAAAGTGATAGAATCAAGGTTCGAGACCGGAATAAGGAGAACAAGCCCCCATAGGCGCCTGGATGAAACACGGCAACATCGTCCCAAACGCACTACACGTAGTCAACGGACGCAGTTCCTCAGGAGGGTTTTTGCTCGGCTTGATTGGACTTTGGATGGATGTTGGCGATGGAATACGCGCCGTGTTGGCGCCGACCCTGCAGACGGGGACGGGACATGATGTCAGGTCAGCTGATTTGGGAGCTTCCCAGCCAAAACAATCAAATTGGCCCTATTTGCTTAACCGCGCGCCTTCAGAGAGGTGTCGATCCAAAGATCCTTTGGAAGTGATTGGCCGAAGAACCAGCGAGGCTGAATTATCGAGATTCCAGTAAAATGCGGCGACCTGAGTTGAAGTCGTCAACTACAACTATATCTAGAACTGTGTAGATAGACCTATCACATGACAGCTTTAGCTTGAGCGCGAAGTCAAGGAATCGATCGGCACGCGGAGTTCCCCATACCCACTCCGGGGATTACTGCCTGCTTATGCCACAAGCAGTTACTATTCGGGCCCAGAATGCAATCAATTAATAAATTTGGTATTGTCATCAATCATTAAGCTGATCAGTGCCAACAACAAGAGAAAAACAAAAGCAAAGCCCAGTATCAAAGTGAGCTGGTATCATGCGATGTACAAAAAAAAAGTAAAAAATGACACAAGGGAAATAACACCACAAAAAGAAAAAGGAACAACCGAGACCCTATCGCCATCACACGTCGCACTGAGCATGCTGCACATCCGCCCAATGACCGTGCTTATTAGCGGGGTTGCATTAGGCTAGACTCGTCGGGAGTCCGCGGAACGGTCCTAAGATGCTGACAACATCACCTCGACCCGCTTGAATTCAAATGCTCGGTTTGGTGGGTTACAATCGTAGCACGAGGTGAACCCCAGTCGACAAGTTTTGAACCGAAGCGGGCGGCAGCAAGGATGACGAAGGGCGGTCTAGTATTTGAAAATTATGTAGCTAAATGCAAACGTTAGCGGCCATTTTCTGGGCAACCACCACTAGAGGGACCACGTACAAGGCGTGAATTACACCAGGAAGCCAACCCAGAATCGTCAAACAGATGTTGATCAGGAGGTCAGCGCCGCATCCTCGCTCGAGGAAGACGCCCAGTGGAGGCAGGATGATCGCAAAGATGATCTTGCAGATGTCCCTATATTCCCAGTGGTGTCAGCCAACCCATCAACTTTCCGTCCTCATCGTCAGGAGCTTCGATTTTCAAGCGACCGCAGAACAATCCGCCATATCCGGGACAAGGTATGTGCGCGACTGAACTGGTAGGCAGCTGAACGATGACGTCGAGGGACGGGGGACTTACGAGGCAGTGAAAGGCATTGTGAGTCGTGGGAGATGTAGATCTCTTCAAATGAACAGACTGATGGAGGTTAAAGGTAATAGCCGGAGTAGCTTATGACAAGATGAAGATGGTATAGGAAGCAACAAAAAATCAGGAGAGAGGGAGGGAGCGGGACCAAAGGGCTCTTTAAATGATGGGCGGCAAAATTAAGTAGCTGCCCTCCGCCGAGCACTCCTACGTAAAGCACGTCCTTGACTCGCTGATAATCGACGGGGACGCCTTTAGGTAATAAAAAAAAGACCAATAGCTGCTAGTGAGAATTATAATTAACGGAGACGGACGACGACAATAGTGAGGATGATCCCTTTCCGCCCTTCGGCCTGGCTACTTCTACGTCATACTTTCATTGCCAGCTGTGGCTGATGCCTTGGCTGTTCCACTGATTGGCCCCGAGCTACCCGATGGGCAGATCTCGGCGGTTGACTTTTGCGTCGTATCGACGTTGTGCCTCCCCAGCCCAGTGGCTAGTGGTCGACAAAATTGGACTTGGACGGTTGGACCATGTTGTCACCGGGCGGTGCACAGTTCCCGGCAAGGGGAATCGCTACCTGGTTTTGGCTTTTTTTGGCTTCGATTTTTACTCCTTCCTTTGTCATAGTGGTTATTCTGTTGCCTGAATCGAGCTTGGCGCTTCCGCCATATGACTGCCAGGCTGAAGCGCCGGTCGCCTCGACGCCAATCTTGACTAGGTTGTTTCTGCAGTTATGCTATGCGTTTGGACTCTTCTAGGTGGATCGTACCAACAGCCCAGCACATCGTACTCGGTATGTTGTTAGATACCTAGTGCTAGCATTGGACTAGGGGTGGCCCCCACGGAGCGTCCTCGAACGGGATAGGGGTATGACTCCGTGGAAGCTTCGGGGACGGAGTGCAGCAGGGATCTGGTGGGCCATCCAGCCCTACGGTAAACCCTGCGCGAATCACGATGCCTGAAGTTGACAGCGAAGTTTGGGCAAATGCCGGTTCCGTGTCATGGTTACTTTAGTACCTAGCGTGGGTTCGTTTCTTGGAGGCGCGAAGTGATATCATTTGACGCGCATCTGTCCGTCAAACACCCACGTTGGCTTGAACTCGTTCTCAGACGTCATGTGCTTGATACTTCAGAGATCTTATCAGCCGTAATATGTATATTCATCATTGCGAAGTCTACCTTGATCATGATCACCAGCTATAATGACGCGTGTTAAGGGAAGTCCCGCCGATCATGATATAGACAACATGTCATTCCTCTTGTACAATGAAGTAGATGAAGAATTATTTGTTTCAATGAACTACAGGTTCATGAAGTAATAATCTGTCAACAAAGTCGCGACAACCTGCCTAGGTCATCTTATCTTACAAAGTAATATCGAAGTACTAGAGCATCCTTGTAACCCCACACTTTCCAACTGGCTGGGAAGACGTTGTCTCGCTGTGGTGGTGGGTCCAGCTTCTACTAATAGTATATCGTTCCTTTTTAGTAAAGGCTATACATAAGCAGCCTGCTCCTGCATAATTGCTTTAGAAGGGTTATGTGTAGACAACCAAGTTACGTACATGGTACAAGGCAGCAAAATGCCCTTAACCGCAACATCAGCCTCTACTAAACTTAGAACAAAAGTGATCCTGGAATCAGGTGATTCGTGTAACGCTCTATACAGTGGGTTCTATTTCAATCGACATAGCCTCCCGGGGGTCCTGGTCTTAGGTGTGTTGTTTCAAAAGATTAATTAGTTCTTTTAGCCCATGGATTCCTCGTATGATCGAAATGAGTGGTAACCATAGGGTGCCACTTCATTTTCTTGGGTGGTACTTTTCAGCAAGCAAAAGAGCAGCCATGGTCGAGGCACATCTATTGTTGCTTCTTTATAATCAGATGAGGGCCACATTTGCTTGTTCGTCATGGTCTAATCGAAGTTCACTCCAGGAACAGCCCAGATTCAGCGTTGTGTAACCCGGATTTCTCTGGAGTGCTATTCTTGATCAAGCTGGCATACTGTAAAGATCTTGCTGTCTACTCAAATACTGAGTTCCTCAAATGCTAATACATAGCATTGCATCGCCACTGGAGAACTATCATAACTAAAATAATGATTGAGAGCTGCCCTCAACTGATATGCTTACCATATCGCCGACTGCCTGCTGAGGCTTTACCGCGCCACTCTACGTCGCAACTGCATGTATGGCGCCCCCCATTTTAGGGAATCCTGCGGCTCCGCCTCTCCTAGGCTGGCTAGTTCTACGAACGAACCAAGCGGGTATTTGGTATCGATGCAAGCGAAGCCGTGCGCGCGAGATGATGTACCTAGACGATTAGGTAGGTATAGACTAGCCGCGCCGCATAACAAGCTATCCATACCATGAAGTCTCCCAGCTCGAAAAAACATGAAACCCTCAATCTCGCCCCTTCTATCCTCTATTCTACAAGCGTCACCGTCACCCCTAGCTGATTGCTTCTCGCTACAGGAATCTCCCCATACCGCACAACAATCATTACCATGGCTGAGCCCTCCCAGTCATCCTCTGGAGTAACACAGAGAAGATGGTGAAACAGTTATTGCAAATCTTAAGCCGGAATGCGAAGGCGAGCCTACCTGATAGATGCATACGGTTGTCTACCCGTTCATAAATCGACACTACCCAACCCAGGCGCTCACCGCATTATGGAGCAACCCACTTCGTCATGACCCCCGGATCAGGCGCAGTTCAAATTCCAGCTCTTTCACAGGGTAAGATAAATGTACCATGTAATAGCGAACTGCATTCGAAGGACTCCACGTGCGGCGTTGCAGCGATTATCTCGGGTGGTAGTTATGAAGATGCAGAAATCTAGAAGATGCGTGAGGCAGTAAAGGATATCAGGCCGGTGCCTTGGTTACGACCGCATATGTCAAAGCCTGCTCCACTCTTGGGCCTGGATAAGGGAAAGCGATAGCGGAGAGGATCAAGGTGACATTTTAGGAATTGTAGGCGAAGGGAACGGTGAGGGTATACTCGGTAGTGTACTATTGAGATTGGAAGCTGTGAAGGATTGCACGAGGATCTGCGAAATGTTAGCTAGGTCCACATGAGCAATCACATCCATGGTTTGGAGTAGGTAGTTGTGGATCTGGAGATCAGTCAATCAGATTGTTGTGTGCGATACTTGAAAGGATCCAGCGAGTATATCGAAAATAACCTGACTGGTAGAGCTAGTTTCAGGAGCCAATGGCTTGGGTAGACACTGAATCCAACATAAAGAAGCGATCCTTGATGCTTTGGGGGATTGGATATGCAAGTGGAGGTGGAGGGAGTGGGCTGTCCATCTCCGATCCAGAAGGATGCTTGGCGGTGACCGCCAAAAAATCTCCCGCGGTCTCCGCAATCCCCGATCTCGATTCCAGCATCTTGACACCACGAGGTAGCCTGTGTGTCGAGAAGTTGCTCGACAAGTCGCTAGCAAAATCAACCGTCGCTTGTTGATATCCATGCTGCTCTTATGTCCGTGATACTCGGGTTCGCCCCGCGCTCCTTGCCAGCACGGCTGGCTACTGTCGGATGTCGTCATTCCCAGGCGAAGTTGGGCGCTCTGGTACGACAGACTCCCAGAGGAAGAACAGTGACAACACAGGGATGCACTAGTATTAAAGATATTCCCTTGGCGTATACCTGGCTTACAAGGACCCCGGATGAAATTGTGGGTATTGGTTTCATGCCCCTGATTTCTGCTCTGGCTAAGTGTTCTTGAGACTCCAGATGACGTCCTTTCGAACTTGTCACCCATTCCAGAGTCCTTGACCCCGTCAAACTACGTACCTATCATCTTAGTCACCTCGCCCTTCGCCCATTGGATCGATACGTCTTCTCACGGGTTTCTCGAACAATGGATCAACCGTTTCTATCCCTCCGCGAACCTCGATCCCGCGAAGCCTGTCCATGCCATTGTCGCCGTGGTTGATAAGCTACCCGATCATCGTGTGCAATCTGGAGAAGCAGTCGACGGGATATGTACATCTGAGTCCGAAGGAATATCGCTTCTGCTGGTGAAGGCGGACAATATACAGGGGAAGGTCGCTGCACCTCGTCGAGTTCGGAGTATGGAAGCTACAGAATCTAGTCTGGTCTTTGCACTCCAGAATGGCACGTCCGCACAGTCATCGCAGAGACCTACCCATGAGATTGGATTACGACTTGCTAATACGATATTCGTCAATGGCAACGATAACACTCTTCTTGGAACACGCTGGGTCTACACATCTTCTCATAAGTACGCTTTGGAGCAGTCAGTTAACCTCTCGAACTGTAAAGTCACCTCGGCGGTAACTTCAGTCCGAGATTCATGCAACCTCCCGTTGTATCCTGTTGGTCAAAGGAGAAGGGTCATATCAAGCATGGGAAATATTCTTCGTCAGTTGGCGAAGCATACGGATAGCCAATCGGCCGAACCGATGCCGGCTTCATCTGAACTAGAAAAGGAGCTGCCACGCTATATCGAGGAACATAGTATTGCAGATCGGAGGGTTTCCGTTTGGGCCCTGATCGAGAACTATGAGAAAGGCTTTCAGGTGGGAACCGATATCAATTCTCAAGAGAGTCTCATCAAAGCGATTCGGACAGGAGCCAAACTCCATCGAGTCATGAGTGGTGGAGGTGGATGGGGCAAAAAACAGGGCCTCCTTTCGCTGGACCCTGAAACGACTTTTGTTGAAACAGAAGAAGATAGACTCTTAAACCTGGGAGGTCTCTTTGCTCCTCACGAGGCGGATACAGTCTCGGATATACCACCACCGCCACCTGCATTTTTTGATATGCCACAGCTTGAGGATAGTCTATCGACCCTATCTCAAGCTGCAGGGCCGGGAGACTACGTCCAGTTCTTTGTCTCCGTAGAAGCCGATCATGCCCCGAGCCCTCGGCCTGAGGAGGGGGGCATCTCATTCAATTTCGGCATTGTTTCTGATGCCGAGACTGTTGTCCAGGCTACCGATCGCACGAAGAAGGACTTGGTTGTCGCTTCTCACTATTTCGGGGCGCTATCGGAAAAAGCGATTACCTACTTGCAACCCGTAACTGGAGCGGGGACCTTCGGTGAGCAAGAATCCAGCGCCAAGTTTGATATCCCTGGAAGTCGAGTGGAAGTGATGCTGCAATAAGGTCGCTATATTGTAGAAGATAATGTATCAATATCAAGCTGTACGTTTCTATGCATCCTGCGGAGTTTGTAGGCACTATGAAACACGAAACCCGGTGGGGAGAATGGTTATCGTGATGCGGCGACCGACAACGGGACGGCGCCAAGCCGAGCGTCACCTGACCGCGCAGGTGGTCGGTCAGCCTCTCCGAAGCCTCCAGCGTGTTCGCCTTCAAGCCTCCATCTCCGTTTCGCTTCTCCAAGCCTAGCATCATCACATCGCTGTCGACGCGGCCTGTCCCTGCCCTGTCACTTTTATCTTCGGCTGTTTCTATAGTTTCACTCCGCCTTCTAAAGCCGCGAGGTCATCCTATCTGTCGAAATGGCCACTGAACTCTGGTACGTAATCACCACACCTACTCCTTTTCCCAGCACTTCAACCATTGTGACCTCTGGGTTTTCGTCTCCATCCTGTTTCTGGTACCTCTATAGTCAGCTTGCTAACCTTTGGATATGATAGCCCTGTCTATGCGGTAAGTCACTCGCGATCCCACTCTCGCCGATGACACAACTCGAGCTCCATGCGACCCTTGAGGTAGCTTGGTTTCGATGCACGAAGCGGCGAATCTCCTCTCAGAATGAGATATTACTTCAGATAGCTGATATCTATCCTGTATAGCCCTTCTTCGGTGCCCTTGGCTGCACCTCGGCCATCGTCTTCACCTGCTTCGGAGCTGCCTATGGAACTGCCAAGGCTGGTGTCGGTGTCTGTGGAATGGCTGTCCTCAGACCTGACCTGATCGTCAAGAGTACGTTGAAAGCCCTACAAATGCTTCGGCTCTTGCAAAGCCATTATATATTTACATGTGCGTCATTCATTGCTAATCATGTGAACACAGACATTGTCCCCATTGTCATGGCTGGTATCATTGGTATCTACGGTCTGGTTGTGTCGGTCTTGATTGCGAACGATTTGAGTCAGAAGGTCCCCTTGTACACTGGTTTCATTCAGCTGGGAGCAGGTCTCGCCGTCGGTTTGGCTGGTTTGGCAGCTGGGTAAGTTCCACGCCCAAGGAGCAGTCTCTAGCTTCCTGGTCCGACTAACATCCAACCTCTAGTTTTGCCATTGGTATCGTTGGTGACGCAGGCGTTCGTGGAACTGCTCAACAGCCCCGTCTCTACGTCGGAATGATTTTGATTCTCATTTTCGCTGAAGTCTTGGGTGAGTCGATACCTAGTGGAATGCCATCAGATCAAGCCATCTAATCAGGTCTACTCGCAGGTCTCTACGGTCTTATCGTTGCTCTTCTCATGAACTCTCGTTCGACGATCGACGTCCAGTGTTAGACGAACCCTTGTTCGTTCCTCGTGAAATGGCCCAAGTGAACACCCGCCCGACGAGACTATCGCGCATTGTTCTCGGATACGATGAAAAGAGCCCGGGATGCTCAACATGTGTTAACGTGATGTGGTTATTTTGACTTATGTTCTCGCTTTTGCTTTGCCGACAATGACTATGTGCGTCATCGTCCGAGATAGCTGGGGAATGTGGAGAAGTGGGTTGTTGGGGGTGGAGCGAGAAAAGCCCGTTGGATAACATGTGCTTTTTCTTTTCCCACCCCCATCACAACGGACAAGACATAATTTGATGTGCTAGCCAAGTTGTGTAGACTAGGACAAGGTGGAAAGGTGTGGTAGATACATTGCATGGTTTTAAGGATCGAAATTTGTACTTTATGGGAGTTCTTCCTCGTTGTGATCCTTTAGCTGGATCATAGGATTACTTTGCAATGCTGACATGTTTTCCTACTGGTTATATATTCTACCTTCTCAGTCAAATTCACTACAACGTAAAAGCATGACGAGTACACCTGTGGCGATTGCGAACTTACGCATACAGTCCCACTACCTTGTAAAACTAAACGGTTACTTGAAAAAAAAAATATCCAAACCATACACGTCTCAACGACCCAAAATAAATACCAATGATACGTTCGTTCCGTAGAATCAGTACAGATAGAGCAGCGATATAGAAAATCCACCTGGAACTACACAAGCAGAGCAAATAAGATATGGAACATACATATACATAATATTGTCTATTGGAGTGGGACAATGCGATGGACATTCAAATATTCAAGTAGGAGAAGCAGAAAAAGGAGAATTGAGATGACGCCATAAGGATATATATGCGATATGGCAGGAGCAGCCGAGCGCACACACATACATGCGAAAAAAATGAGACGCGGAGCTTGAGATCCACCAGGTGGAGAGTTGTGCAGGTCTAGATGGACTTCTCTGTGGGAGACAGAGGCGTAAAGGAGATTAATGGTGGGAAGATGATAACAAAGGAGGTTTATTCGGATTGTAGCGTAGCAGAAGCAAGCAATAGCAATGGTCTGAATTAAGCCTTCTCGAGCTTCCGTCTCAAGGTCCTCGTCCTCTTCCGCAACTTCTTCAACTTGTGCTTCTTCATCTTCAATCTGCGGCGTCTCTTGGTGCTGATGGCGTGCATGGTCCGGTTGTTCCGCAGACGCTCCATGTAGGTGGCGCCAGAGTTATGCGGGACATCGATGATGGCCTCGGTCTCTCCGATGGCACCGGGAGCTTCCATTTCGTCGGCTGGGACGAAGGGACCAGTGTGAGCCTCGTATGTCTTGCGACCGTCGGCGTGGGTCGACTCGTGGATGGTCAGGACGGTGGAGTAGCTGGAGGTCTCACGGGGGAGGTCCTCGAACTCGGAGGCACTGAGATCTTTCGCCTGGTCGAAGGGAACCGGGGGAGGAGGGGGGTGGAAGGGGCGGAGGCGCTTCGTGAGTTCCTCGACGGAGACTTTCAGGTCCGAAAGGTTCAGGCCATCAAGCTGGTTGCCTTCCATGTCGAAGTACTGCAGGGAGCCCTCCTGCTCACCAGCCTGGTGAGCAGAGTTCTCCATGGAGTTGACGGCGGAGGAGAGAGTGAAGATGACATCGTCCACCTCGGGCTTAGCTGGCTTCTTCGCGGTGAAGATGGCGTCGAACGCTTCGGGGGTCGAGGTCGGAGGAACGGTGGTGGAGACGGAGATGGGTCGGTGGATGGAAAAGAACGACGCGACGTGGACGTCTGGACAGAATGTGACGAGATTAGCGCAAGCCTGATCCACAGCACAAGGGCGGCAGCTGGAATAAAGCTAGATTGGTTATATCAGGTTGTATAAACTCACCATGCGGCTGGAGGTGCTGGGTTGAAGGAACGCTGGGAAGTCGGGAAAAAGCCGTCTGCTGCTTGGAGCCATTGCGGCCGTTGCTATCCTTGCCCCGCCGTCTGGAGGCCTTCCCCTCACGCTTTTCTGCAGAATTCACTCCCTTCGCAGGCGTCTGAGAGGAAGAATCGACTTTATTAGATCCATCGCTGGGCTTCGAGGACGAGGAGGAGTATCGGCGTTGACGCACATGTTGTGACGAGCCGATGAGGCCGTTCGCGGAGGTAGTAATACTTTGGCTGGACGCGCGAGATATGCCGGCGATGGGACCAAGAGGTGCCCATGCAGCCCGGCGCAGTGAGGATGACAGCATTTTCCGACGTCTTAGAGCCCAGAATCTGGGTGACGAAGTTGTCGGGAACAAAGAGGCGAAATCGAAGTTGAGGAGCCGATCATGCGGAACTCGGGGATTATGTAAGGTATGGTGCCTCAGGCATTAAGTCAGGTGACCCAAGTGGAGATTCATCTATCACGCTACATCATGCAATTGTCTTTCTACCGCAGCATTCAGACCGATGGCACTGTATTCAAATTCAACTTGGTCCCTGTCTCTCGCTCACTGGAGCCAAAACCGTACAAACATGGTAATATACTGAATAGAGTCCGGAAAGACCGAAAACAAAGGATACAAGGCTCATAAGAGAGCTGCAAACCTGGCACGAACAAAGATGCATGAGAGAAAAAAAAATGATACATGGAAGGCATAAGGATCAAAGAAAGGTCCACTTCAGAAGAATGAAAGAAGAGCTCGTTAGGTGCGGCAAAAGGCGCAGGCATGGACGCAAGCAACATATGGTATATGGTATCAATCTGCATTATATAGAAAATGCACCCGTCGCTGAACCGGAGAGAATGTATAAGCTTTTCAAAGCATGGGAAGCTTGGACGCAGATAAGGCAATAAGGAAGAAAAACGTACAGAGAAGGGGAGGGGAAAAAATAGGATGAAATAGATAGAGGTGGACGGAAGAGAGCAAAAGTTCTCTAGACGCCCGACGAAATTAGATGTGCATAGAAGAGCGGAAGTAGCATTGCCGATGTCTCGTGCCTGCGAAGGTCCTCGTAAGAAGTCGGTCGTTTCGAGTGTCACTGCCTTATAGTATGAGAGTGTGGAGGTTCTTCTGAATAATCATGTCTTGCACCGAGTCCATCGTTGCCTTCAACAACGTCGTGTCAGTGGCGTTTGTGTAATGGATGTAGATTTCTCGGTCAGGGATCCGGTTGATGCCCCGGAAGCGGTCTGCAAAATATCTAGCTGCGGCATCGAAGTCCGTGTTGGAGCCATTATAGTCAGGGAAGTGGCTGGACACAGGCGAAACGTGCAGTTTTCCCTTGAAGAGGTCGATCTTGTTCAGGAACAAAATAATCGGCTTGCGCTTGAACCATTCACCATTTACTAAGGACTCAAACAGCATCATTGCCTCATGCATTTGGTTCTGCCCATAGAAAAGTGATTAGATCAAAAGCTCCAAGGGGCGTGACGGGGAGGGAAACACATACGGCGTTCTGGTCCTCAACGAGGCATTGGTCGTAGCCAGATAGGGCAACCATGAATAGAAGACATTGAACACCTTCGAAGCAGTGAATCCACTTCTTCCGTTCTGATCGCTGTCCTCCAACGTCCATCATTCGGAAGTTCATTTGACCGAGTTCGAAGAGGGTTTCAGTAATGCCGGTTGTCCGCAAGCGGGCCTGCAGCATGTCCTGGTTGTCCGGAAGCCATCCAGGAGTAAATATGCGGTCCAGCGAATTAAAGAAACTGAAAGGTTAGTCCCCTTGTACATTGCCTGGATAGGACATGCGCAGCACTCACTAATGCAAGTTGTCATGGAGTGCAAACTCATGACCCCGAGCAACAGCTTTTTGAACACCCGTGTCATCCCACATGTCTCTTAGAGCATCGCGGACCTTCGGATCCGAGAAAGCCTCATCCGAGGCTACGTCTGGCTCGAGGCCGTCTATGAATTCCGCTAACGGCTGATAAGAGAAAATAACAGATTCAGGGTTAGCCTCTGTACAACAGAAGGTGTGGTCTCTTTTATGACCCACTGGTTCGGATGAAGTTACCTTAGTCCTTTCTTGCTGAAAGTCAATGCTTTCAGCGCGCATTATATCCAGCAGAACTTTGAATGCAATGACAAGATTCGAATAGATCACGGCCCGTGTCTGGCGACGTTCATCCTCGGGGAAGCCGCCTGAGTGAATGATTCGCATTTGCTTTATGATCGTTGATTTGCCCGATTCTCCGGCACCTATAGATAAAATTACATGAGCACTCGTTGTGGTTTGAAGGTGGGGGGGTCCGGTGGTTCCATCTGGGTACGTACCAAGAAGGAGGATCTTGATTGTCCGGTCCATGACTTTCTTATCGTTCTTCAACACCTTCTCTATTCTGGCACTGCGTTGGACGGCGTCTTTATCCGTTGTGTCAACGGGTTTCGAACTCATGCAGCCCATTTTGAAAATGCTATGAACTTCACTGTGCAATACTCGTCAATATCTGTAGAGTAATCAGTAAGCGCTGACCTCGATGTGCGGCAAAACCAAAAGTCGACGCAACTCAAGTAGAGTCCATGGCTGAATCAGGGATGCGCTCAGGCCTGAGAAGACAACCATACGGAGGACACACTCCGAGACATGTATGAAACGTCGACCAGGAACGCGCGGTCTCGAGAGACGAAGGCAGGAAGTAAAAGTAAAAGCGGAACTTACCCCGGAGGAAAGAAATGCCAAATACGGGCATCAAATAATTGAATCTGACTATACCCGCCCGAATGGCGCAAATTAGAACATGCCGCCAGCTAAGATAGCGTTCCGATGGACGGTGTCTGATTATTGTACGTACGTCGCAGTATTTTCTCCGAGAAAACAAAATGGCCTTGGCTAGCTGGAAGCTCCAGTGATGCTCAACAAGGCTGTCGCAAAGTATCCCCCGCTTTCTTTTCGAACAATATCCAAGATGGTTGACAAGCAGCGCAGCTGTTCCGACTCCTGGAAAATGCAAAATTGTCGAATCAAATCGAGGTATGCGACGACGAAGTTTGCAATCAACTAGCCAGGCTGATTGGTTCAGGTATTAAGGAGGACCGTGTCGTTTGCGGAAGCGGGATCTCTGAGGCTTAGGAGGCCGTACGACTTTAGATTTTGGGGTCCTGGTACGTGAGGGCGAGGCACGTCGACTGGCTGAATTAAGTGAATTAAGTGAGAATCCTAGGTCCGGCTAGGTCTGATGGCCACCGTGTCGGAGCACCCCTTTTGTAGTAGTGGTGGTAGTGGTGGGTGGACGACGATGCTGACTGCAGAGGCTCAGGTGAGGGGAAAGATGGGAGAGAAGTAGTAGAAATGGGGAGGGGAGTCTCAGTACATGCCCGCCATATCACACCGGAGGGGCAAAAGAGCGGAAGACCAGGACGAGGGAAAGAAGCCGGGCGAGTCGCAGGTCTATAGGACTAGTCGTAGTCAGTTGTCGCAGGCGGCGGAGGAGTAAAGGGTGGGAATGTTGGTCGCGGTGGTGTCGCGCAATTCGTTCGATATTCAATCCCGTCCGATCGGGAGTGGGCCACGGTGCCAGCAGAGTTGAGGTGCTAGTCGGATTAGCTCCCTTCGGCGTAGTCATCCTGCTGGGGGCCCTCCGGCTGTGAGTGGCCCTGACACCGGGCCCGTAATACCGGCGGCGTACCAACGCCCGCGAGATGGCGAAAGATTTCCGGCAGCAGCAGCCAGCAGCAGCACCGCAGCACTGCAGCACTGCAGCAGGGGTATCCACCGCGTAGCACTGGACCATTAGCTAATAAGCTAAGGGCCTTAGCCGTAAGCCCTTGGCAACTTAGTGCCACTTAGTCCGTGATAGCAAGTTCCTCCTCCGTCCTACCTCCCGATTCGGGTCATCAAGACGGACTGGGAAGGCATCGCATCTTCTCACTGGTGCTGACCAGCCGACGCTGATCCACACTCGGAAAACCCATTCGAGGTGGATGGATCCATTCATTCTTCGTCCGCTCTTAGCCTGGTTCGAGCCGATTGGAAAACGGAGAGAATAAGGTCCAGTGCTTTTTTACCGCCCGCGAGCTAAGCTGCATTGGACCAGAGTCTGGTACCGCCGCTGCCGTTACCCAGTATATACCGGTACAAGACCGACCACGAGTCAAGCTCTCCCGCCTCCCCCGTTGACCTCGGGCCCATGGACCATTATTATTACTTATGGGATTTTTGACCATTTCTCGTGAAACCACATCTTATTATTAATCATCGAGATGCACGGCGGATTCTTTCCATTCTCAATAAATGTAACAACACCATCCACGTGCCATGTTACCCTACCCATCAGCCTTCTCCCGACCACGATCCTTTGACCTCGCTGAATAAGATGTAAAAATAGGATCGGAGGGATCGGGGTTGCTTCGCTTTTGGGCCCCCAATTCCCTGATCACATAATATCCTAACTTACGGCCCATGACTCCGTGATGCCTTCGTATCCGGGGCGAATGAACTTCTGGGTCAGGTTCCCACCGGCGCTCTTCTGCAGCTGCCAAGCCATGCAAGCGAACGACGACGCCACGAGGCGCGAATTGGATGTATTGGCATGCACCGATCGACGAGTATTGGCATCGAGGACTTCGGAGTACGAAGCCGGAGTCGATGGCTGCGAATCCTACAAAGTACAATCAGAAGCTGGCTGTGACCAACCTCTAGTTGAAACAGAGAGTAAAGGAACTATTGATGGTGTTATCGATCCGCCAGAGCTCCAGGCCCTGCAGTCCGTTGGTCTACAGGGACTTCGAACGTACATCTCTCTGGGACCCAAAAGATTCGGGAAATTGAGTTGAGCTAGTGCCTCGGATCCTGACAGATCATCGCCATTCTATATGATCCATCACACGCAGAGGTAACAGAAAGCTGGGAGTCCGGACCTGCCCTAGCTCACGCTGTAGAACCTTATCGATGGCGGAGGCTTCTTTCCAAGCCCAACAGCCATTGTTTCGGTGTCATCCGTGGTTGTTTGTGACTTGTACGGCTGACTTTTGGCTTGGGACTCGGATCCACAGCTCTCTACAGGCGGTCTCTCTAGTCGCTACAGTCTACGCTGTAGTAAGTTCATTAAGTGCCTAGATACAGAGCAGAAAGTCTCTTGCAATGGTCGTCTAATTATTGGGCCATAGTTGCATGCTTGCTTTTGTTCCAAATCCCCGGTCGCCGTACAGACTTTGGCCATCGTCAAGATCTAGCATGATCTTTCCCGTCGGGTATATGCGAACCTAGGTTCAGTCCATGCCATGCGAAACTCTATTCTACGATATCATGATCTGTCAGGATCTCGAGACGTGGACATCATGGCCGTCGCATTGCATTCTGGGAATGCGCCCGGTGGGGCCCTCGACTGACTCAAGTCTCTTTTTCCGGGCTTCCGGTCACCAATCCGCCGTCGGGGCCACTAAGGCAGGGGTAGCTTTAATCAGCAGCCCGTCAGCTGGCGTCACGTCAATCAGTGGAGGGATTTCGGACAGGTAAACAGAGTGGCGAAGATTCCTGGCAGACACATCCACGCGTGAACCCTCGTTGCTTTTCTTGCGAGATCTATCATACGTTGGTCGCCGGCGCTACTATCCAAGATCTGTTCCAAACTGCCCCGGAGATGCCCACCGCCAAATCAGGCACCTCCCCGAGAGACTGAGCGCTGCCTCTGAGAGGCGGCTGACAGAATGACAATGTCCAAGCCGAATGAAGCGCGCTCCGGGTCGCATTCTTTGTCTCCTTCGAGAAGTATGTCGGAGCGGAACGTGAAAATCCTTCTCGATTGGGATTTCCTCCGAACCCGAACTGATGAAACCGAAGCAGTCTGTACTTTCGGCTTCCCACATATGACTTGCGAATAGGGGCATGCGCATTCCTGCCCTCTGAAAACGTTTCTGCTTCCATGATTATCCCTAGGTTATCCTGGGCTCGCAACTGCAGTAGTCGGCGTCATGCCTGCATCGTTACGCATTACCCGATACGGACAAGGGAGTTCTTCCCGCGAGATAGTTCGCGGGCCAAGTACCATGGTTCGGGCAATAAGTAGCCTTGTTAGGGCCAAGGAGCCTCTAGGTCCTATGCAGAGTCGAAGCATCCTTTCACCCTACAAATAGAATTATGAACAATGGCAAACAGCTTTAGCCCATCGCTAACCTGTTTTAGCCTCTGGCGGTCTTTCAGCATCGCTTAGTCTTTGCTTTTCAAGGGATCTACGACAAGGGTCAGTTATCCACCTTCATTCACGGTGGAGGCTGATAATGTATCGCCTATCTCAGCAGAAGCTGAGAGATACTCCGAGCGAGGTCTCAACCACGGCCAAAAAAGGTACACGCAGCTGATCCCACCTTCAGGTAATACGCAGGTACAGGAAGGACCCATACGAGGCCGGTACGATACAGCATGCCGCAACCACGTGCTTCACCCCCTCTGCCTCTGTGGGATTCTTAGCCTGTTTCACCAGTTTCGGAGTGCCCATCGACCCCACACCCAGAGCGGAGTCCTGACAGGACGCACTGAACTCCGTCCATGCCATGGACTTGGTCACGGTGCACCGCTACCCCCTTGCATGGCCACCAAAAAAGGCTCTGCGCATAGACCAGGGCAAATTATTGACGGGTGTAGTTGCCTGCTGGAAGCACTAACTACGACTCTAGTAAGTCGGTCCTAAAGAGTGAATTTGGCCCGCCCACTGATAATCAATTTGTGAGATGCGATAGCTAGAATCTATGTGTATCGTTCCGACCTAAAATGAAGCGGTTCAAGCGGACGGCCAGCCACGGGCGAACAAGCCTTTGCCCATGATCCTTTGCACCTCGAACCCCTTTTCTCTGCCTCGCTGGCCCATACCGTCCGCCTCTAGGACTCCACTGGTTGAGGGTCTTGGGCGCACCCGACTCCGTAATATACTCTCCGTAACGGCAGCCGTATCCCATTGGTCAATTGGCAGCAGTATGGCGCACTCGTCGGACAGGGTTGAACGCCGGATACCGCGTGGTTTCTATTCCGGGGAGGGACAGGCCGGGGTCTACCGCTTCTCCTCTTCTAACGGCCGGCCTGGTTCCCAACCGGGAAGAGCTCCTTCCCAAAATAAGCATCTCAACGCTGATGATAAGTAGCAGCACGGAGTACGGAGTACGGAGTACTTAGTAGTGGTAAAGACTACCATCCACCCACCAATAGAACTCCCTGTTCCCTCCCGAGACTGTCATGCTTGGCCGGGCGATCTTCATTCGTCGACCACCGGGAACTCCATAAGCACCCCAATACTTAATGATGATTGTCATCGCTAATCCAAATCAATCGGTTGCGACCCCATCCCTGGCCCGTATGGATAGGTACTTTTGGAGCGAACTTCCCTCTGGGCAATCAACATGACATATCACATGCCTTCTAGCCTGGTGACACTACTAATGCCGTACATAAAACGCACCGTGGCATCTAACTGGCCGGGCGACAACACATAGTTTAATAGTACGGAACCTCGCCTATCCTTAGTCGCTCTACTGAGGGGCGGCGAATAAGGCTGCTTGGTGATCAGTTTGTCCAGGTGGCTCGAAATTCTTATAAGGGTGTCTGGTTGTCACTTCCGAACCTCGAGCGAAAATTCACCGGTTGACCAGGGTGGATACTCGCGAACAATGACAGAGTTGAACCGCGAAAGCCTCCGTTCCTGGCCAAAGCTGCCGTCAAGCTGTCAAATCAAAGGGCTCTACTAAGTACCGAGCCCGACAGATCAAGGAGGTCATCAACCCACTAAACTGCCAGGTCTCCATCAGACTATCGGCACCTTATTCGAGCACGGTATTTGCAGGCACCACCGCGGTGGACCTTACCGACCGTTGATTCCAAGTGCCTGTTGGGGACCCGGTAGTGGGACCGGATTACGTATAATAGTGAGTAAAAGAAATCCATTTCTGTTGACCATCTAATGAATCTCATGCCCATCTTCGTGATCTTCTCGCAGGCACGGAGCACAACCTTGGGCGTCGTATTCCTAGCTGGATGTTTTCCGCGATATGAAAGGGCCTCCGGTACACCTGAGCTATCGTTCTGTCAGATGTCCGTTATGAGACACATACGTGCTTGGCTCAGAATTCCCATGCAGATTGAAGCGTGATGCAATGGACTGCACCTCTTTACCACTTGGGCCGGCTATCTACTCCTTCATGTGGATGAACCATGGTTAGACATGAGCCAAACCGCCATAAGGTTCCAACCGAGCTGTGCGGCTGCCCCGGAAAACAAGGCAGCGTCCCCAGTAACCAAGACAAAGAAGTGGAGGGTTCAATTACCACATGGAATCTGGCTGGTAGCAATTCTCGTGACAGCATACGCTATGGCTGGACCAGCCCGCGAAGTCTTCAACGTGTGCAGAAATACAGAATCCCTCTGCTGGGGAGAAACTCTTATCGGTCACAGCAGCAATCCAGCTTAGTTACCGGTACCCAGGACTGTAAACCGCAGTCTAGAATTGCCTCCCATCCTCTCAGATGCTCATTCTGCCACCAACCACTAAGGGATAGTAGTCTTGACCCCTGAACATAACAAATTATGCCGCGTACAATGAGTGGCTGACTCAGCATCGCCCAACATGTGACGGCGCCATTCATCACTAGACTGAAACGCAGCATCGCCTCGGATTGACAGGGGCGCATATGAAATCCATACAGCTCAGAAATGCCCCCGGTCATCGCAGGATTCGACGGCCCTGAACTCTATCCCCAGCTGACCGACTGCTCTATGTCTACGTGGTTGGTGAGATGAGTCGCATGCAGAAGGGCCGCATACTCTCACCACCCCTGAAAAGGCCAAGGTCAGTCAGCTTACCTGCAGCCACTAAGTGGCTACTTGCTTCCATCGCCTGCAGGGAAACAATGATCCTTTTCCAAGCACATGTGAAATACTACTAACACCCCCTCCAGCGAAGACACCACCGACTCGGAAAATCCCAACAATTGCAATCCCCCGGATATTGAAAAATATCAGCCCTACGTGGGCCATGCGCATCTTGATGATGACAATGATGACAGTGATGATTGGGAGACCCTGAGCAGTAGTGGCTCGAGTGATAGACGCTCCGTGGCGATACTTTGTGCAGCGTGTTATGGCGCGTTTGCCATATTGTCCTTTTTTTCTGCCGCTTATTATTTTTGGTGTTTGATGCCTTGTACGTATTATTCTCTCTTGTCTTCCTTCATTCTTTCTTTCCCTCTTTCAATTTCTTTTCTCGAGTTGGAGTTCGCAGACTTCATGGAGATACTAATAGAGATCTGCGCAGATGAACCTTCCGACAGCAATCCGTTCCCAAAGCGTCAGTGAAGTACAAATTTACCTGCCCAGCTTTATGGCAGAAGGTACATAATTCCGCGATGCCTCGAGATGTTATGCCCGTGTAGCGACACCCGAAATTCTATACTTCCTGGGGGAAAATAAAAGCCTACTGTGTATGGCTGAAAATGCCCGGGAATTATACATTACCGACTTTGGAGGCCTTGACTACTTCTATAATGCAGATCGGATAGCTTGGATCCAAGGGAATGCAGCGAATAAGCTGTGGATCAGGTCTGAGTAAGTTTAGGTGGAGCTGATTTCATATGTAAGATATTTATACAGTGGACTGTGAATATAGTGACAGGTAATGCGAGCAATATGAATGGAGCAGCATCTCTAAATGCCTTGGTTGCAACCCGGGGTCTATGATCGTTCACAGTATCAAGGTCCCTTCCGTATGTGGTCACACTGGGCTACGTTTACCGGAAGCTGCAGATGTAGAGGGACGCATCATTCATTTCTGATCCTGCAGTAGTGTTTCTGAAAAGGATGTATAATCTTCCACAGTAGATCCCTCTCCTGGACGTTGGATGTTTTGACTAGATCCATGAGTCTCGCCTCTGGTCTGAAAGAATCTGGCCCGCACGATCACAGGTACGCAACTCGCCCGCTTCTGAAAGGGGATTTCCCAGTACTCTACAGCGCTCATATAACGAGAATCCTCCTTCTGTTTGTCGCATCTTTCCTTCTTCTGGATCTCATTGAGAACAATCACCATTGCAGCATTCGTTGCATACGTGACTCCAGATCAAGACTTTCACTGACTTCCGTCGCTTCTCACTTCTGCATACGGAGTACTTGTGGTCTAAATCAAAGGCCTGAGTATGTCCATGAGCAGAACAAACACATCCCAGTGCCTCATTTATTCCTTCCAACTAACTCTGGAAGGTCCAGTGCAACATTCCCACGCGATGCATTCACCTAACGAAGTTCAACTGATGATCGGACAGCATGTCGATGACTTGCCAATGAGACGAAGCCTGACTCTATGCAGCAACCATATCCATCATCTATTCCAGCCACTCCTCTACTATCGACTTGACCTTACAGGTGCCTACCACCGGCGGGATAAAGCGCTTTTACGGAAAATGGCAATTTCATAGGTCCAGCATATCTGTCGACGCCCGGATGTAGCGAGCCTAGTCCGTTGCCTGAATCTCGAGGCCGATGACCTGACAAAGACCGGATAATATCTACGACCGCCAGACAGCAAACGAGTGGATGAAGGTGCCACTAACCTACAAGCTCAGCAGGTCATGGAGAAGGAAACGCAGAGCAGATGTCGACCTCGACACTGCCCTACTCATTAGCGTACTAGAGGAAATAAGTGAGAATGACTCAGAACAACCAGAGTTGTTATCGCAGCTCGTGGCGTTGAACAAAGAGACCTAGAGTTATATTTTATTTACACAATTAAGCCACCAGGAAGACCTCCATATATGGTATGGAGTGCCGTTGCTGTTTTATGAGACTCTCAACAAGGTAGCAAAGCGACAGAAACCGTTCCTTGAGACTTCTCCGTTTCCGTTTTGAGGGAAGTAGAGCTTTGGCGTCTCCCAGCATCCTATGTTGACAGCAACTTGATTATGCCTCTTTTGTATCTCCCAGCTGTTCAATATATAGAAATCTTAGACTTGTCAGGCCACCGTAGGCTGGATACAGACGATATCAATTTTGATAGTACGTCCTCCATTACCAACCCCACACATTCAGTTACAGAGATGTTTGTTGATTGTGCGTTCAGCAGTCGTGCGATAGGCTAATGACCTGCAGCCTGTGACAAGCTTATCATTTTCTATATGCAATACGGGTATCATATCTCAGATTATGCCTTATAATGTGGTTATGGAAAAGTCAACCCATCCCAACAAACTCCACCGGTCTCTGTCTCGATGCAGGAAGCCGCTTGAACATCTCCTGGTGAGCTTTTCGACCCGTACCCAGCTGTGCGAGAAGCATTGTCGACGACGAGGACGATCCTCATGACTGGGAGAACACGCCTTTCGGTTCACTCAAAGATCTCAGCGTTCTAAAAACACTGGGTATCCGCCACCGGAACCTTATGACACCATTAGAAACAGGGAGATATGACAGGACAAATTCTTGGGCAACCTGCTTCCATCGTCTCTCGCATTTCTTGATATCCTCGAAGTCGACCTACACAAATCTTCTCAGCTGGCTTCTAACTCAATCCAGCTGGTCCGCGAGCGAGAGATTCACGTTCCGCAACTCGAGGGGATCACGCTAGAAATAGATCTGGCTTTACCTTCCAATGATTCTATAGATCAGGAGAACAGAGCAGATTTTATTATGTTGGAGACTGTATGTGCAGATCATGATATAGATATTAATGCACATACCCATGACGCAGGACAGACAGCCTCGAATGAGGTATCTTTCTGAATCATCAGTATAAGGAACTTACAGTGCTATGTTGAGTGTCACCCATCGCCCCTGTATCGATACTAATATACAAGATGATTGCAGGACATAAAGTCTCTTCCCTCACCCTTACATCTAAAGCTACTCAGATGTTTCCAAGACATCCACCAGAGATATTTGCCCAACCCATTTATCATCGTCTCTTTCCTTTTATATTCCATGACTACCACCCTAAGAACCCCTACCGTATATAATCAACCCCCCCCCCCCCAAAAAAAAGGCACAGACACCTCATCTACCACCCAGAACATACTGATACGAAGACGAACCGAACTGAACGGTTGCCATGTTACTCCACACGGCCCTCCCCCTTCCGCAACCCCTGTATCCAGGTTTATCAAGCCTACGTATTTGATTCTCTGTACCTCCAGACTAAATGTTTATTTCCAAACAATTGCTTACCTCCAATGATTGATCATTAAGTTGGGGCTTAGTATGGCCATTCTTAAAGCTGTACTGAATTAGATTACATGTCTATAGACCCCGGATTGGGAAGGGGAGGGAGATCTTGTACTTTCTTACATCGTGTCATGTTACTGGTATGCCAAATTAGCTGAAATATAGTACCGATATGATATATATGATCTATATGACATAGTGATACTATGATACATAATTAGTATTTATATGGCTGAGGTGACATTAATTAAAGACGAGTAGTAACAAGCTAGCATGACAGAGTCTGATATAATACGAAACAGGTATAGATCACAGTTCTAGGAAATATGAATATATCCGATAAGTGTTCTGAAAACGGAATAAATACTCGGGCCATCTATATGATATAGGTATCGTAGACATACAAGGACGGACCATCACACAATTGGGGATTTTGGTCTGGTTGGCAAGTTGTGCGATTGCTTAGAGGTAATTATATTATTTGTCTCTCTGGGGTGATGATATGGAGATACTATACGTCTAGAGATGAGAGTTGATAATAGGATTCAAGGAAATAGGAGAGAGGGTGGAAGTTGTTAGTGCTTGGGAGAAATGCTGGGGGGTTTGTATATGTCTCGTCGCTAGAGGGATAGGGAAAATAGGGGAACGATTATTTCAAATACTAGTAGTATGGATGGTATTTGAGTATGACTGGATTCCCATAGTCCGAAAATTGTGTTAGTATTCATCTGGAGAAGAGACGTCTGCGTTGAGTAGATGCCTTAGCTTGTTGATGGATTACCATGAGGTTCGAGCGAATGTAGTACGTAGCCTTGTACGTCTTGTAAGTTTAGATCGGATCATGTTAGTACAGTTTCATGACGTCAAGGTTGGAGCAACGTCCCTGGCTATATGGGATGAATTATATGACGCAATCTCTTCTTGAGTAGAGGACAAAAGTTAGATGCCATACTATACACATCAGCTATCGGCCAATCTAGTTGAGAAAGTCATCAGAACCATCAGTACGGAGTAGCGAGACTACACCAGGCCTTCTATCAACTCTTTGCTTCGAGGATCATCATGAGAGTCCGTAAGTAATCGACAACATTAGTGGGGTGAATAATGCCGGATATATTTCCCATGGCCTAAGAGGCCTTGACTGATCCACTAAATCACGCAGTGTGATGGCTCGACCCGTCCTAGGCAGACAAATACCTTGAATATCGGCACATGAACGGGCAAAGAGTTGATCGTGTCAAATTTTCTAGTGTGCAACCAATAGGAGCGCGCTGTGGTATCATGGATAGATATACCGCTTGGGATCTGACCAATGATCACAAAGGGCGAGTGCTGGGTGATTGCTATGTGCATGCATCGTGTTGACAAGTCGGTGTGGAATCAGCTCGGTTCCTGGGCTGTACTCATACTCACCGCATAGTATCAGTCACCTCTGGAGTCTGCGGTCGTATGAAGTGAAATTCCATAGCTTCCCGTGTACTCCGAATATATCTAGATTCACATCTACTGGGATCGCGATCACTATGTCTTTGGGCCAAGATAGAGCCATCTTTTCGCTCTCAATGACATTCGGCCGTCACCTTCCCAACAAGGCCAGATGTCAGGAAAAGGCTCGTGTGATTGATCAACTGCTCCACTTGCCTTGTGCAGCCTGGACTGTGCGCAACTGCGAACGAGAAAAATCGGACGAGGCATTCTGACTGGGTCTCTCAACCGCCGAGATACACCTACCTACGGTTGCATGAGCCATGAGCCATGATGGGGAAAAGGGTGGCTACCTCAAGTACCTGTAGGATGTCCCTGTTACGGAGCGCACAGAGGCACCAGGCATCTGCAAGAGCAACTGAACGAATGGTCTGGCCCGGCCGCGATAAACTTCTGGACAAGGTGAGGGGCTCTGAAAGGATTTGCACTCGACCGTGTTACCAGCGTCTTGGAGCCCACCCCGGATCCCAATCATCATTCGCCTTGAATCGGGCGGGTGCTGATTTGGTCGCTATTCGACCGTTTCCCGCCGGAAAGAGAGCTTCACTTTTCTCTAGCGGACGGGATGTGGGCGGGGATGTGCGACGTATCAAATATCAATTGATCAATTGACTCTGCCCCAACGAAGACAGAATGGGGTTTGCCCTATGGACCTTTTGCCCTGGAGCGATATTACTGTTGTTTCGGGTCGTGCTGGAGTGATTGGTAGAACGTTGTCTTTCAACTCACTACCCAATGGGACAGATCGATTTTGCAGGGTGGAGATTGCGGTGCGCGGGAAGTTTTGAGTTGCTGGTGGTGGGATGTCAGCTGCAAGGCAAGGAGAATTAATCCTTCCCGGCTGCTTTGTTCACTGCCGTGAGATCCTTGCTTCGGGATGCGGGTGGACCTTGATCTGTGGCTATATGCATCAGTACTTGGCAGTGGAGTGTTCGATACCTTACCTCCTGTCGTGTGTTTTCATCCCGGGCTGAGTAGTGAAATCTCTTTTCAGCTGTTCAGCCGTGGAGAATAATCAGACGACTACGACTCCGTACATATGTCGTACTTCACTCGACAAAACGACCCAAATCCTGGGATCGGCCGGAGATCCGCCGCAACGGTCAGCCAGTGAGCGCTGGGAAGCCGTCCCCAGACCTGCCGTTCCAGGCAAGGCGGGCTGTCAGCTGGAGCCCACAGCACGACTTCCTACTTAGTACTATGTACTATCCTACTATGGTAATTAGGCGTTCCTCCTCGAGGCGACCATTGGCACTTAACGGCTCCCGAATGGCCCGGCCAACGTACCCCCCCAACTGCATGTCCGATCCAATCGTGATCCCTGAACGCCCTGCCCCCCCTTTTTTTGCCCTGCCCACCTCTCATTTGCTTTTTCAAGGCAATGGGCCCTCCTCATTCGACGCTCCCAATTTTTAAGACCGACAAATCGCACCGCATTTCCTCACGCCCGATCCACTTTCGCTCGCCCTTTTGGTCTTTTTATACTCCGTACTCCTCCGTACCTTTGCGTCGCGTGCCCGACCCCCTTTTATGTAACCAGAAATAAGTCCCGGTACCTGACTGAGGTGGGTGATAGACAGCAAACCATAGTACCTACGTCAGGGCACTGACTGGCCTCAGCTGGCTTGGTCGAAGACAAGGAGGCAGCTAACGCGTACCTCTTACTACTGTGAGGTAAGTAAGTCCCTATGTACGCAGCTGCAGGTCAGATCCGTAAGAGTTTGCACAACTTGATTAGCGCAGGGAAAGCAAACTCACGACAGTCGACGTGCAGAGCGGGTACTATATGTATCGCAGCATCGTTGCCTCGGCCTGGAGATTCTGACTGATCGACTGTCTCGTATCGGCCTCGAAGCCGCCGCTGCTGCACGGCTGCCGATCCATGCCATTTGGTCCTGCCTGGATGGGCTTCTAGGCACTCCGTAACCTGCCTAGGTATAATCCCGGCAGCTCTCGACGGAGTACTCCGTACCTCGCTCGCGGATCTCGTCAGATCCTCCGGGGCAAGATCCAAAGATATAGACCAGGTATATCTGATAAAACTATAACCGTATGATGCGATAGATCATATAAAAATTCGGCAAGTCGATTGTTGAGGAATAATAGTCTTACCCTGTTCGCTTTAGCCGGTCCCATTACAGCCCACCCGGACCATTCAATACCACAATCGCATGACAACCAGCCTGGAGGAGTTTGTCACTTCCACGAGAATCTACCCAATCCCAGGTGAGATCGTCAACTTATCTCCCTAACCCCCCCCTCCCTAGGGGACTAATCTCGCCCGGTGGATGTTGCGGTCCCACGATCTGAGGTCGATCGACCATCAGCTGACCGACTTTTGATGTCCACGAAGGACCCAGCTGATCGGAATAATAGGCAAGATGCTTGTCCGTGCAGGGAAAGTGAATGGGGACGACAAAGGATGAGGGATGAGTACTCCGTATGTGTCCAGGGGATTGACTGGTTGAGGGAGGGATCCCGTCTACTCCGTGGCAGGAATAGACACGGGCCAAAGTCCCCTCTCTTCTTTCTCTCCTCTGTCCCCAATGGCCGTCATGCCATGGAATGGCATCCCTCCGGCCTCCACCGTGACCGGTTGGGAACCATGGTTCTTCGTCTGGTGCTTCACTGTTAGTAAGTCAGTAACGTACATGCTATAGGTAGGTAGGACTCCGTAGGACTCCGTAGAAGATAGTTGCTGGTTCCGCTCTGCTGGAACCCGACCGGGACTAAGGCAAGTGACTTGGACTAGTCCCAGCCTGGTGCTTCGTTCCTTCCCAGCCTGGCCAAACCAAACCCTTCTTTCTGCGCGTCTCCTTCAGTCCTTCTCTCGCGCTCTCCACTCGCGCTCTCCACTTCCCTCTCCAACTCGTTGCACTGCTGCTTTATTTACCCTTGCTCATTACCTATTATTATCATCATCACCACCACCACCGCTGCTTATTAGTTATTACCGCCCACCCCAACTACTACTCGCCTATTACTCCGAATTGTTACCATCATCACTACTACCCGTGCTCTCGGTCTATTCTTATTTCTTCTACCCCCTCCTCTATCATTCGGCATATATTCTCCTGAGCAGGCCTGATCTTCTCGCCCCGACCGCGCTTCTATAATTATCCTCCGGGTTCCCCTGTCCCCTGCCCCGAGCGTCCTGGGCTCGATCATCACCTTGTCTCGTGCTACCGCTTACCCAATTCCTCCAATGTCGGACGTTTATTCCCGTCACGCTCAATAAAGGACCAACCACCACTTCGTGCAGGCTCTGGTCATGTCGTGTCGCAAGCACATATTGCGATCCCAGCGTGGGCTGTCCCTGTCACAACTTCCCTTCTAGTTCGCCGACTTCGGTGAATTTGAAGGCTTCCTGTCGCCCCCGGGGACGAGCCTCTGTTTGGAAGTTCTTTTTGCGAAAGGCGCTTGCTGCTGGTCGTGTAGCTGCATTCTGACATTGGCGCACAACATGGCGTGGAGCTCGACATCTTTGGACCGTTTCCCAAGTGAGCCAGGTCAACCTCAGACGGGCACTCTCCCAACCCCGAGGGAGTCAGAACCCAAGGTGAATGCAGCAGAGAATGCAGATACCCAATATGCGACAACCGACCTACGACGCGCCAACACGGTTGCCCACGGGAGAAATATCAAAGAAAATCCAACCATTGGGTCGAGAACAACCCGGGAACGGCTGGCTACTTCTTTTCTGCGGGTAAAGGACAGCCACGAGATACTGCGAAAGCGCTCCTTCCAGCGATCCGATCCCCCGCAAGCGCCGCGTGATGCAGTTGTAGGAGCTAGAGAACCGAACCACTTTACTGTGGGAAATGTCGGCCAGAACGGAAAGATCTTTCTCAGGTAAAACGGGTCGCCCCTCGCTCTATTTGGAGGATGTCGTGAGCACAATGCTAACCCCTTGTCATGATTCAGGCCAATTCGCAACCCGTCGATCAAAGAACCCTTCCCGGCGCCTTCTGTCCCCTCACCCAACCAAGCTAGACATGAACACCTTTCGCACGGACGCAATGGTCCTGCGGGCGACGAACCATCAAGATGGTCGAATTCGCAGCTCTCTGAGCTACGCCCGGACTTTATCCCCGAAGAGAGCTGTGAAGATGGCGACTCAGTCAACACACAGTCGGCGCGTTCTCAATATCACGGCCTACCTCATCACCGACCTCGTAAAGCGCACTCGTTCTCTACCATATCAGAACAGCGGTCGGAGTCGCGTGCAGGTCGCGCAGGGGAGCTCCGTATCTTCATTGATCGCCCGGATAATCGCCCAAAAACTGCAAATGAACCGTCGCAGCGCATATTGGAGGCTTCAATGCCTCGTTACAGATTGGACTTGCCTCAAACTAACCTTGACAATGACACGCCTTTGCACAGCTCTGTCTATTCAAGAACTTCAGTGTCGGATAATCTGCGCACCTCACGACTCCCGAGGGAATATTGGATTGGAACCCTAGCCTCTGATGCTTATTTGCAAAGCCCGGAACGTCCCTCCTTCATTGGCTCAGTATTTTCAGGGGCGGGTGCCATCGAATTGCCCCGAAATTCTGCAATCAGCGAGAACCCTGTCTTCTACGAACCAAAAGAGCCGATTGAGCCAGCTATATTTGAAACTTTAGTATCGGATATGGACAATGAATCGGTGGTCCGCTATGCTTCCGGCACAAGAGACATCAGCGCTGCCACCCCGGCCCGTATTGTCGCACAAATCTCCTCCGCATCATTCATGGATTACGAGCTTGTATCCGATTTCTTCCTCACATTCCGCTCCTATATCTCGGCTGGCACACTCCTCGCCCTTCTCCTCGCTCGACTACGGTGGGCAATCAATCGCTTGCAGGACGACGGGCGAATCATTCGTATTCGGACATTTGCAGCTCTGCGACATTGGATTCTCAACTACTTCGTGGATGACTTTGTTCCCGACTATGATCTGCGCGCTCACTTTTGTGAAACAATTAACAGCATGTACGATGATGTGAAGTCTCGACAGAGCGGTGGCATGAGTGATCTGAAAATCCTCATAGATCTGAAGCGATGCTGGTACGGGAAATGCTGTCTTTATTGGGATGTCACGGACCGTCAAGATGCATTCCAGAGCCCGGACATTGCCATTGTCCCTGGCGGGCGTGAGACGGACAGTTTGCTGGAGCCGGCGACCGGCGATGGCCTACTGACTCTGGTGCGTACCAAAAGCGGGCTGGAGGCTAGGCTTACGGGCAACCAGCACCCTCCAGTGATTCAGCATAGTCGGAATAACTCGTCAAACACGGTCAAGAGTGTACCAATCTCAGCAGGGAGTGACCGGAGCGCCCAGCCAGTCTCCTGTTCTCTGCCCCCAAAATCTCCGAAGCGTCTGTCGTTGTCGTTTGTCCACAGCAAGGCGCCCCATCCGGTGCCCATCATGCCTCTGAAACCGACTTCCTCACGAGAACCCTTTCCTCCTTCACCCCTTTCTTCACGCCGTTATCCATACCATAGTCATGCTCACAAGCGTAGCGGCAGCTTCTCGGACTCTGTTCGAGATGACAGAGCGCCCCTTTCTCTATTCAATCTCGAGCAACAGGGCCCAGCTTCCGCGCAGGAAGTGCTTGATCTCGGTAGCCTGATCCGTGGAGAACTATACCCACCAGCAGAGTCATACACAATTATGATGGCTCCTCCATCCCCTCCTCTGCCGTCATCAGCTAAGGACACTGCTGCGGACCGTCGAAGCACCACGTTCGGCATACAGAAACCTGCAACCTCAACCTCTGGTGTTAAGACAATCATTGGCTCAATTCGTCGGGCTTTGAACAGTCGACACGGCGGCCATGGTAGTCTTTCACGGGCCATGCACGGACACGCAAATCACTCGGTACGGGGAAGGACTTCTGCTCTGCCCACTAACGTTGCATTCGGATCGGATGTCTACAAGGGTAAGAAGACGGCGGCTGCGGTGAAGAAACCCATGCGGATTGACACTCTCTGCGACGAGGCTCTAAGGCAATACCGTGCTGCGCTCGCCGAGCAAGTTGATACGACAACAGACTCACAGTCGTCCGAGTCTCAAACTCATCCAGGAAGGAATGATGGACATGCGGAATTCCATCCTGCACCAAGTCAGGCGAGAGCAAAAAGCCAGGCTACCACTGGTAGCGAATCCATTGTCATCGTAGACGGAACCGGCCTGGGAATACCTGTTATGTCGGGAGCTATCGGAGGATCGAATGCAGGCCTTGAACAACCCCCTGGATTTTTGGAGGTCGCGCCTTCCCCCGCGACAGTGAGAGCGCCGTCCTTGTATACGCCTTTCCAAAGATCAACCCTTGCGACCGACGAGTACTCGTTACCCATCTACTACGATGATGCCGATCCAGGGCCGTCGAGCCGAGCCTCTTATTTTCTTCGCTCTTCCGGATATCCCGACTCGTCGCGCAGATCGTATTCTGTTGAACGCGGATCCAACCTGTGGAAGAGAACGTCTCCTTCTTTGCGCCTGCGGAAATATGCTTCCTTTCAGAGTGGGATATCAAAGCACCGCCTTACCATGGGTAGCGAGCAAATTCCTCCGTTGTATCATCGGAGCTCCCGGCAACATTCAGATAGACCCTCTGGACCGACGCTGCGCAGGCGTCCTGGCGGCGACTTGCGTCAAATGCGTAACGGCGGTGGCAGTCAATCCAGACCGGATTCAGGATCCTTTGCATCTGATATCACCTACCGCAGTTCCGGCGCTGACACGGCCATCACCCGAGTTGATGATCCTACTTCACGGCCTCAGACGAGTCTTATCCCTCCCAATCCCCGACTTTCGCTATTGACAACACACTCGTCGCAGAACCTGCGGCGCTCCTTTGAGGCTGCCATTGCGCAGTTTGCGCAGATCCCAGATGATGATGATGGAGGCGTCGAGTCAACGCTATTAAAGCTTGAAGGGAAGTGGCAAGGTACATCCGGCGCTGGTGCGGAAACATCCACGGGTGGGCCCGGACAGCGGCTTCCAAGCTTCGAGCCGGGTGGGGTTCATGAAGAGGAATGGTTCCAACGGGATTATGCGGATGCAGGACACGATAATCCCACGAGCTTGGATGCGGTCGCTAAGAGACGCCAAACCTTCTTTGGTGACGGCCTGACTTACTCCCAAGTCCAGGGGCGTGTTGTTCCGCAAAGACCATACTCTGATTCTATTGCTGAATCGGAAGACTCGTACAGCTCTATACCACTGCTAGAACGGGGACTGAGTGACGAGTCGATGAAGAAACCTGTGACTAGCCGCCCTGCATCTCATAGAACTGGGCCTTCTCGGTCTCGGCCTAGTTTCTCGAGTCGAGATATGTCGGATATGGGATCGTCTCATCCGTCATTTGATATCGTGAAGGAGACCGAGAGTATGAAGCGCATCCCACGAGGCTCGACACTTCCCGCCATTCCCTCTGGACCAAGGAGGCATACAGGGCGTCTTTCGGGATTGTCATCCGAGCTTTCGGCTGATATGATCGATTCACGGGAAGCTATAGAGCAACGCTTTTCGATAGATACGCAGAATATGAGCGATTCGTCGCTTGGCATCCCGCCTCATCCTCTTGCTCACCCCCCTTCTCCCCCGATGACCATACAAAACACGCGATCTGTGGCGTCCTGCACTACCCCTTTGAACCCAGTGCTTTTCCAGGCTCAACCTCTAACGCCGGACCCTTCTCCGAGAAACAAGATGACGGAACAAGCAAGTGGCCGGCCCATCAATATGCAACAGTTATCGGGAGACGTCCTTTCCCAGTCGGAAAACGCTCGCCGGCTCCCAGAACCACTTAAGACTGCCACTCCCGAACATGTGCCATTTGTTCTATCATGCGAATCGCATGTGCTCGCTCAGCAGCTGACACTGGTCGAAATGGCCGCATTAAGTGAGGTGGACTGGAAGGATCTTGTTGATATGCGATGGAGCAGTGGCTCACCCTCCACGCTGAGCTGGGTGCAATTTCTCATGGAAGACGAGCATAGAGGCATCGACCTTGTTGTGGGACGCTTCAACTTGATGGTGAGATGGGTGCTCTCGGAAATCGTCCTGACCCAGGATATCCACGAGCGAGCGCGCACAATCGCAAAGTTCATCCACACAGCAGCACACGCAAGGAGAATGTGCAACTACGCCACAATGCTTCAGATCGCCATTGCCCTCTCGTCCACTGACTGTTCTCGCCTCCAGGCCACGTGGGCTTTGGTACCGCTTGCGGATAAGCGTCTGTTAAAGGACATGGAATCGCTAATCCAACCGATTCGCAATTTCAATGAGCTCCGCCTCGAGATGGAAATGGCAAATGCGCAAGACGGTTGCATTCCGTTTGTTGGTAAGCTATCTCGCCCCTATTGACTTGTGGAGACTTGAAAGCTGACTTGAAGTTCGCAGGCCTCTATGTCCATGACCTGACGTATAATGCACAAAAGCCCGCGCGAGTGACAACGCAGGACGAAGAGTCGCTGATCAACTTTGAGCGCTACCGGACCACTGCCAAGATCGTCAAGAGCTTGCTCCGGCTCATCGATGCGAGCACCAGGTATCGGTTCGAGCCTGTGCCCGGCATCATCGAACGCTGCCTTTGGATCGCAGCACTTCCGGAAGAGCAAGTTCAAATGCGCAGTAAGCAGTTGAACTAAGCATGGTGACGACTCCCTTCTGAAGCTCAGAGAAGAGCGACACAACATAAAATGAAGAAAAAAAAAAAAACCAAAAAATCACAACATACAGCTTTTGCATGGAGGCGTTGTTAATTCGTTCACCCACACACCTGATATACCCAAGCATACCCTGAATGTCTATGATTACCAGCGACCGAGATATCCACGGCAATAGTCACCTCGATGGCCATGAATAGGAGGTTGGCATGTCATTACTATGTATACTAGAATTGCATTTATCTGCGAGGGCGGCTTTTTGGGATTGGAGGTATTATTTTGGGATTGCATTTTGGAAATTATGAAGCGATGGTTTAGCTGAGGGTAGCATTGATAGCGAGACCAATTTGCCCCTGTGGAAGGGGGTTTTCCTTTGAACCCCACGGGAGTTGAAACCGTAAGGCGTAATCAACACGTATGGCAGCTGAAGAATTGGTGTCTCACTGGAATCTTCCGGGTGGAGCGAGCCCGTTTCATGAACGAACGGGACAAACGTCGGCCGGGAACATCCCAATCTCCTGCCTGGTCTCACGTTCCGCCTTTCTTTCTTGACCTCTCCCTCTCCCTCGCCCCCTCTCTCTAACGTCCCTCTCCCCCCCACTCTGGCAAAGACCCGCTACATCGCAAGGAGGTCTTCTCCCCCGTGTCCCCCGTACTCTCCTCCATGGAGCGAGAGCCCACGCGCCTTTGCCCGACTCCCTCCCCTCCCTTCTTTGTTGGTTCCTGACGTTATCGCAATCCCCAACCGCTATGGACGCCTCCGGATCCCCCCGCGGGGCGTCGGACGAACTCGACCGCAGTGATACCGATCTGCCCGGCCGCAGCGCACGCAAGTCCATGCCCGCAGGGCTCCCCGATGATTTACCCAAGTCGTTAGACGACCGTCGTTCCGTGCCCGCCATCCAACCCGAAATGGAGATGTATGATGCCTGGCAAGGTGCGTTGCATCTGCTTTCTTGTCGCGCATGCGTCGGAGGTTATTCGAGTGACTACGTTTATGTGTCTATTGAGGCGCCCAGAGAACGCACGAAACCGTGGAAGGTTGAGGATCACGAGAAGTAGGACAGGTTGCTAATCCGTGTCCGTTCCGCAGGTCAATCCCAATTCCTCACCACCCCCGTGGCCGCGAAACCATTGAGCTTCAGCCTTGCCCTCGACGATCACTCGCATGACGAAGAGCATAATCTACAGGCCCACTATGGGCGCGGGTTGGCCGCCGCCGCCGCCGCCGCCGACGACAACGAGTCCACAACCACCGCTCGGCTGGAGGACAGCGATGCCCGGTTGATGGAGATGCTTGCTGCGCAAGCTGCCCACCGGGAAGTGGACTCACTAGTGGCCAACGAGGAGGCCATCGCGACGGACGAGAAGCTATCCGACACAGAAAAAAAAGATATTCTACAGCGCAGCTTGAATATGGCGGCTAGCAACGGCGATGTGGAGCGTGTCCGGAAATTGATGCAGGGTAAAGCGAGAGAGTATGTGGATGTGAATATGCCGGATGAAGAGGGGACGGTGCCTTTAATCTATGCCAGTTGCTTTGTACGTGGTGTTTTAACGGGTCTTCTGCTTGGATTGCGCGAAACTGACCCTCGGCGTAGGGACACCAGGATGTTGTCTCAGCACTCCTCGACGCAGGCGCCCATGTCGATCAGCAGGACCGGAACCAGTGGAGTGCCTTGATGTGGGCCATGACGAACAGACATAAGGCCATCGCGAAAATCCTCCTCGACCACGGTGCGTCTCCGGATATCAAGTCCTCGTCCGGTGGGACTGCCTTTGATTTTGCACAGCCTGGTAGCGAGATTTCCGAGTATCTGCACGAGAATGGGTATCACTTCGGGCCGAGCGCCATTGAAGATGATTTCTACGACTCCGGGTTCGGACACGGTCGCTTTGAGGAGGAGATTGCAGAGAATGAAATGAAGCGGCGGATGATGATGGAGGAAAGCGCCATCAACCTTGAAGTGGACCTATCGAGCCTGGGGCTTGATGAGAAGTTCGATGTGAGTAATAGAGTCGCTGAGTTGGAGATCAATGAACTAACTGTGACGCTTGTTTCCGATGGTAGTCATTGGATGAAGACGAGCTGGAGGAAGAACAACAAGAGTTTGTCTGGGATCGGTGCCTGAACGACCAGATGTTTGTCTTCCAGGAGAGCGAGTTGGAACGGATCCTCAACATCATCATCACGAACATGACACCACAACGGTCACCGTCGCAGAAGCCTGTTCCCGCCAACCTGCTCTTCCTCAGTGCTCGATACGCCCATTACCACGCCAGTCCCGAATTGCTTGCTAAGCTCCTGGTTTCGGCCACCGATAAGATTAACGATGTCGTTGAACGCCATCAGTGGGATATGACGATCCTCGCATTCTGGATGTCGAACGCGACATTATTGCTACATTATCTGAAGAAAGATGGCGGGCTGGTAGAAGCCACCGTGGAATTTCAGCTGCACCTGGCTGAACTGATCAACGAAATATTTATCCTCATCATCCGCGACGCCGAGCGTCGGATGAACAAGGTGCTTGACGCCGCCATGCTGGACCATGAAACCATCCCTGGCCTGGAGGATGTCCACTTTCAGAACGAGTGGAAGCTGTTCCGCTCCAAATCCAAGGCCAAAGCCCCCGAACCTGCGGAGAAGCGCTTCCGACCCCCATCCCCACGCCGGCGAGCACAGGTCTCACCCCGCAACATCACTTCTCTCCTCTCCTCCACTCTCTTTGTCCTGGATCTCTACGATGTGCACTCCGTCATCACTACGCAGATTATCTCCCAGCTCCTGTATTGGCTCGGGGCTGAAACCTTCAACCGCATCATGTCCACCAAGCGCTATCTGGCTCGGACCAAGGCGATGCAGATTCGCATGAACGTGTCGACCCTGGAGGACTGGGCGCGGAACAACAACCGACAACCGGAACACTATGAGAACGGGTCAACGAGCAGCACCGGAGAGAGCACGATGGAATCTGCGCGGCGGCACCTCGCCCCCGTGATCCAGCTCCTGCAGTGGCTTCAGTGCTTTTCGTCGCTCGGGGATGACTTTGAGTCTCTCGTGACGACCTTGCTCCAACTGCAGCAACTCACCCCGGCCCAACTTTTGCACGCCGTCAAGTCGTATCGGCCCGAGGTTGGGGAAAAGGGCCTGACGAAGCCGGCAATGAAGTTTCTGATCGACCTGCAGCGTGATCCCGAGCTCCTGTTTCGAGAGCAGGCGAAGCTCCAGGCAGCCAAGCAAAAGGCCACGGCGCAGGAGGCCGCCCCAACGGATGGACGTCCCCAGACACCTCCCGCATCGACTGCATCCGAGGCAGCTGCGTCCCCCGAGGCCTCCACGCGGGCGTCGGTGGCATCCCCTGGTTCGAGCGTGGCGTCGCCGCGCCCGGGGCCTTCGGCCTGGATGGATGAGCGGAGTAACAATGTGTTCCTGGACCCGTCCCTGACGCTTCCGTTCTCGCTGCCCACGAGCACCGATATGCTGATCAGCTATGGAGCAGGTTGGGGTGGCACCAACCGAGAACGCGCGCGCAAGTACATCCCGACGGTACCCCCGGAGGTGCTGAGTCGGTTTGACCGCGACAGCTGAGCGGAGGGACCGGGGTCGACGGAACGGTGACGGGGGTTGCGACACGGGATCCCCCGGGATTGCATTCTAGTATATAGGTTTTTGATGTGCGGAGCATGTTGGAAGCAGGCATGAACTTCCCTCTGGCGCCCGGGGGTGCATTGTGTTACGTAGCTAAGCGCGGGGGCCAAAGCGCGTCACGAATCAACGAGATAGAAGACCCGATGGAGCGATCGAAGAAGCGTGTAAGATAAGCCGGGGGCCAGAGGTGGTCTGATGGGCCGAGCAGCTGGAGGAGAATGAGATAGATAGGGATGGGCATTAGGGTTACTGGAAGGGGGGCGGGGGAGGGCGCGCGCGCGACGGAGATGAAACGGCGGGCCAACTGACGCCGGGATCTAGACTTTGATAGGCGGGCAGCAGGGCGGGCGGCCCTGGACCAGGAACGGCCCTGGCTCGCTCCACTGCGATGGGGGGAATATTACGTGGGAGATTGAGTAGGGGCCTTGCGGATTGGGAATGGGTCGGCCCAAAAGAGGCCTCGATAGTGGCCCGTTAGCTCTGGGGGGATCCAAAGCATGACGAGTCGCGACTCCCGTTCGTCGTCATCACCAACGCCCCCGATACGCAATGGCATCCACTTGGCGCTGGGAGATGCAATATAGATAGGTGATTGATAATGGATGGATGACTGTGTCTGACCGAGTCTGACCGGGTAGGTTCATTTCTCCTCCCAACTATCGACAGGTTCTGTTCGTTCTTCATCCTCCATCCTCCATCCCGCCCCAGGCACTCACTCCGTCCCGGCCTTGCGTCCTCAGGCCGGTGCCCGTCTGTGGCTTCCCGATCGGACTCGAGCGTGCGGGGACCATTCTGGATTGGGTAAGTGAGTCCTTCCCGTTTGGGGACTTCCCTGTTTGGGCGATTGCGATGCCTTCGGGCCTGGCCTGGCCTGGCTGGCTTTCCCCCCCGGGGTCACGTTGCCAGCTTCTCTTTTCCTTCTTTCCCTCTGCCTCGCTTTCGAGCTTCTCCATCATCTCATCCACCAGATCTGGCTCGGTCACTTCGGTCACTGCTCTCCTCCACTCCGCCTTCATCGGATCTGATCCGATCCGGTCCTAACCCCGGCGTGTGTGGCTCTCCCATCTACTTCCACTTGCACCTCTTGTCTCTTCTCTCTCTCTCTCTCTCCCCCCCACCTTCTTCTCTCCGTCAACAAGGAAGAAGATGCCTCCGTGCATCGATTCTCCTCTCCCCACCTCTCCTGGGCTGTCCTAACGCAATTTTCCCCGTTTCCTTCATGTACATGGTTGTCGATCATCTGCAATTGACCTGGTGGAGCGGTGATCTATCGCGATCTATCGTTATCTTTCTGCCTATCTCCGCTTCTAGTTTATGCCGTTATTTTGTCCTTCTGTTTCTCAAAACCCCCCTCCCCAAATTGATTCTGGCTTCTTGACCGCCCCTTCTTTCCCCCCTCCAGCTCAATTGAGCTTACCGAGAAGATGCTGCTCACGCTGAAGCCCCCCTCTCAGAACGGTGTCAAAGGTCCTCATGAGTACTCCATCGTCCGCCAG